AAAGATGGTTAACGACACGAGTAGATAATAATTTAAGGTACGAGCCTCGGCGAGTGCCTTAAAAACTTCTACAAGTGTCGTTAACACTATTTACGCGAGTTGCGTACACTACTATGACAGTGTTTTAATTACTAAAAATCACTACTCATAACTTCTAAGAGAGGTTATGTTTTCGTTTATAACCTCTCATTGCCACTGACAGTGATGCAACGAAATAGTATACCAAACACTAATTGCACCACTCGACAATGAAATTCGCGTAAACAGCTGATTAGTTGAAGTTTGAATCATTCCAATTTTACTTCCTCTCTCTCAATCCTTAAACCTCATTGGTCAGTTACCCGTGTTGTTATGAGTAAAACTATGCTGTTACGAACGTAAATAATGCTGTTATGTTATGGGACACTTTTCAATTCTAAGAACTGAACTGAAACGGCTACTTTAAAAAACGGTTGTAGGTAAAACGATTAAAACCACTAATTTTACTAATAAATATCACTTACCCCCAAACAATTAAACAATAAAATTTTTAAGCTAATTTAATTAAGTTGACTGGGGAAATTAAATTAATATTCGCCTCAACCAAGATTTACTTGTGTAAAATATCTGTGGACAGTTTTAAACTCACATCAGCGTTTTACAGAACCATCCTCAAGTTTTGGATTAAGGTTAACAGGCAGAAGCAGTTATAAAAGACTCGTTAAATGTTGCAAGTTGCAAGTTTGGCCAGGATGTGGTTGGTAGACGGAAGTTCAAGTTGTGGCATGCATGTGATGTTGGCAACAGACTCACTTAGCATGCTACACCTGTGTTCAGCTAACTTTGGGGCGATCAAATATTTAAGATTTTAAAATGCTCTTAGCAATTATTTGGCGTACCCTGTGGGAGCCTTAAGGTTAAGGATAGACTTTTGCTTAAACGCGGTGAGGTTTTTAAAATTTTTTTAAGCAGTCACTTTATAGTCTTTTTTTTGTCAAAGTTTGTCTGACTTTAAAAATTGGTTGATAAGACTGTGATGGTGAAATATATTTTGTAATTAAACCTTTATCCTTGAACAAGACTGTAGGGAGCTGTAGAAGTGGGTTTTAGAAGATGGAAAACAACAAAAAATGTTTCAGAAGTTGCATGTAAATATTTTTCAGTTTAGTCAATCCACAGTTTTTTTCTCCAAATTGGCATCGATTATGAGTTTAATAATGCATAATTTGATATATTAATTTTGGGAATTTTTAACCCTCCATATTATTATGTTAAAAACCCTCTGAGATTAATAATCCCCTTTAAACGAACGTTTAAGTCTTAAGCAAATAAAAACTCAATCCCTAAGCAAATGCAAACTCAAACCCGCTTATTTTTTTATGTCAAAAATCAGTTATACCATTTTGCAAATGTGGGAAGGCAAAAGCATGCAATTTACTTTATAATTTCGTCAGATCTATGAACAATTTTCATACTGAACATTAGATCAGAACTGTTATATGATTTCACTCAATAAGTTAATCATCTGAGTCATACAGTGATAACTATCCTTAAAATAAAGAAAATAAAAATCAAATAAAAAATAGATTTAATTGAAAACATCAACAGGGTTTTTTTTGCTACAGTTAATTATCAAAATTACTTTGTAAAAATTTGAGCCTAAACGGTTAAGTAATATTTTTCTATCACTCATGTCATAGACTTACCAACACAAGTAGACGTTTTATTCCATTGTAAAATAGCGCTAGTGTCAAACAAATTTTATCAATCAATATATTGTTGATGAGATCAAATTAGCTTTCTCCGATGAGTTTAATGTGCCTAAAATTGTGAAGAGAGTTTCCACTCACATATAAATGAAGTCTGGTTCCGCAGGTAAAGTAGTTGGAAATTCACAGAGTTATCCAAGTTTGGCGCTAGAGAGGTATTTGTTTGAGACAACAATTTCCCCGTTCTCTCCCTAAACAACCTTACCGCACAAATGATCCTTTTCGCCTTCCCTAATACCTTTTTGTATGCAACGCTCTTGCTCAGACTGATCTGGTTTACAGTCGAGATTGGAAAAAAAATAAACAGAGTTTTGAACGGGAATACAAAATTAGCCTTCCTATTTTTTCCAATTTGTTTTATTTAAGATGTATCATAAAATCTATTTTTTAATACACAAAAATCTTATATTATTGTCATGTAGAATGTAGATTATTTTACTTTTGTTCACTGAGAAATTTAGAGTAAATTCAGTATGGTCCTTAATGTCTCCTTGCTTTAGTTTTTAGAGACTCCATACTTCTGCCAGTCAAGTTTTTATGGACATAAACCCATTTTTGTAACCAATCAAACCAAGAAAGGAACATTTATGTAGTGTTTAGTAAAAAAATCTATTGTTTCACCTAATTTGAGTGAGTACTTTCTAACCATGATAACGTTTGTTCTAAAATTATATCTGTTTAATTATTACTGTAAAACCAATCTTCTCTGTCCCTATGTTTTGTAATTTAAGTTAATGGATGATGGGTAGTTCCTAATAAAAAAGTAGATTATAAATATTCATCTAACCAGCTTTCTTTCTTATGTGCAACATGTTATTCATTAAATAGTTACCGCGAAGGTCATCTCATGTGATTAAGGAAGAACGAGATTAGTTAAAACTTTCCCTATGCATATTTTGCAAGAAGAATATATTACCATTTTTATTGCCTGGCTTCCATCTCAAGTTCTATTTTGAAATTTATTAATTTATAATATTTTTTTTATTGTATTGAATTTTAGTGTTAGTACAAAGTAGTGGATGTGCTTATCTGTTGAATAACAGCATATCATTTAAATTGTATTCCTTTATGGATTTTGAAATGAGATAAATTATTTTAAATATGAAGGTGGTGTTTGAATAATCACCACTCCCAATTTTTCCCAATTTTTTGGCCCATCATTTTTAATTACTTTTTATGCTGAACTCAATGGTACAATCCATTTTCATATTTCATTTTTGAAATATTTACATTTTAAAACAAAATAGTTGTAATATTTCATCAAGAAAGCTTGATAGGCCTAACAAAAAAAAAAAAAAAAAAAAAAAAACAGATTGCGGCATTGAGTTCAGCATAAAAAAGTATTTCAAAATGATGGGTCACAACACCACACCCTTCATATTTAAAATAATCTATCTAATTACGAAATGGCAGGTCCAATATGGCGGCAAAAAAAAATACATCCGTCATAACCAAGTTAAAATAGGTTGACAATGATTGGTGGTGTATACTTATCTAGTACTATTTTGATATTATGTTCTTAGTTTGTAAATTGCACAATGTTAAAATGGGCTAAAATTCAAGTTATAAAAAGTTCATAACTATAGAATGGATCAAGATTTTTAAAAACGGATTGCAGCATCGTATTTAATGTAAAAATCTAGTTTAAAACGATGGGTCACAACCCTACCTTTACATTGTATACAATATGGCTGATCCAAGATGGCGGCCAAAAATGTATACCCAGTCAAAATAAAGTACTTACTACTCTACAATGATCTGACGTGGTCCGAAGTTAATATCTTAAGAAATGTAGTAAAAAGTAGGGGGGAACTCATTTAAAACTCACCCTGTATATTCATCACCCTTATGAAACAGCTGAAGACAATTTTATAAGCTAGTTACGTTATGTGTCAAGAGTGTTTTTGTTAACTATTTGGTCATTCAACTAATTTTAAACTATCTCAACCCATGAAAATTATTTAATTTTGAACAACAACAAAGCACAAATCATAAAATATACTTTTAAATTATAGGAAAAAAAACTATTCCTCTTTAAACATTACTATTAGAAAGGATATAATTCAGCTTCAGATTTAAAAACAAAACAAGATTCCTACTTGTACTAATAAAAAGCAGTGTGTAAAATAAATCTAATCAGCAGAGTCAAATAATTAAAGCAAATACTGTATTACAAGTAATCATTATTGTTTTAAACCTCATAGTTTGATAAATAACAATCAATACTCATGATACATATCGTCTTGTGTGTTGTGGTACATTCAGGACTGTTTCCAATGCCAAAGTAAATGTGAACAGAAGAAAGCTTCGCCACAGAACTGTGCTACCAAGAGGCCTGTTGCTGGTAGATAATTCCTCCCCCTCTTCCACCCCCTCCTCATTACACACCCACCCCCTCTCTCTATCTCTCTCTCCTTCTCATCCCTTATCTCAACCTTCTCACCACTAGTCTATGTTGCTTTAACATGTAGTTGGTGAAATCATAAAGCACATTCAAAGATTAAAAGCATCTCAAATAATTTAACTAGGGTCACAAGATTCTTATGACTAAACATTTTTTGATCCAAATGGTATACGGTAAAACCCCCTCTTAATGGGAATAAAGGTGGGGCGATGCTGTTTGGATTTGAGTATTATCAGGTTAATAAATAGTAGAATATTAAAAGGCTTTATCTATTAAAGAGGTCAACAAGAGTATTTTTTTATGTTATTTTAATTAATGTTATTTTATTGTATACACAAAATATAATTTGTTGAAATAATTGACAGTTGTTTTCTGTACTTTATACAATCTTAAGTATGCCATTGCAGAGGTTTTCACAGCCTAGCTTTTTTTGAATTGATTTGATTTTTTATGATAGTTTCACTTTACACTTTTTAATACTTTGTTCTGAAATGGCGACCTTACAAATGTAGGTATTTTAAGCCAAGTATAAATGGAGATGAGTGGTGCGATCTTGTAGTCTTGTTACTGACTAAGACATGTTTCTTAGACTCACCTGTTAATTAATAAACACATACAGCCAATGGCAAATAAGGGACCTACAGTTTAGAGTGGAATACGACCCACATTCTACCTTATTCAGTTGCATTATTATTTTTTGAATTCATTGTGAGTCTTAGCTTTCTTTTCTTTTACACTAAAAATATAACGACGGTTTTCCTTTATGCTGTTCATGCCTTTATGTCCTCAAACGTCCAATTTCCTGTATTATCCTAGGGACATCAGCCTCAACATGGTTGTTGTTACAGGACCAGGACAGCCATGACCAGTGTGAGTCTGAAGCTGGACAACCTTGGGAGTTCAGAGCAGATCACTAAACTGTTCCCCAAGTGTCACCCCAGAGATATCAACCTCAACATTATTGTTGTTGTTACAGGACCAGGACAGCCATGACCAGTGTGAGTCTGAAGCTGGACAACCTTGGGAGTTCAGAGCAGATCACTAAACTGTTCCCCAAGTGTCATCCTAGAGACATCAACCTCAACATGGTTGTTGTTGTTACAGGACCAGGACAGCCATGACCAGTGTGAGCCTGAAGCTGGACAACCTTGGGAGTTCAGAGCAGATCACTAAACTGTTCCCCAAGTGTCGACCTAGAGACATCAACCTCAACATGGTTGTTGTTGTTACAGGACCAGAACAGCCATGAACAGTGTGAGTCTGAAGCTGGACAACCTTGGGAGTTCAGAGCAGATCACTAAACTGTTCCCCAAGTGTCGACCTAGAGACATCAACCTCAACATGGTTGTTGTTGTTACAGGACCAGAACAGCCATGAACAGTGTGAGTCTGAAGCTGGACAACCTTGGGAGTTCAGAGCAGATCACTAAACTGTTCCCCAAGTGTCGACCTAGAGACATCAACCTCAACATGGTTGTTGTTGTTACAGGACCAGGACAGCCATGACCAGTGGGGCTGTTCCCCAAGTGTCGACCTAGAGACATCAACCTCAACATGGTTGTTGTTGTTACAGGACCAGGAACGCCATGACCAGTGTGAGCCTGAAGCTGGACAACCTTGGGAGTTCAGAGCAGATCACTAATCTGTACCCCAAGTGTCGACCTAGAGACATCAACCTCAACAAGGTTGTTGTTGTTACAGGGCCAGAACAGCCATGAACAGTGTGTTTCTGAAGCTGGACAACCTTGGGAGTTCAGAGCAGATCACTAAACTGTTCCCCAAGTGTCGACCTCGAGACATCAACCTCAACAAGGTTGTTGTTGTTACAGGGCCAGAACAGCCATGAACAGTGTGTTTCTGAAGCTGGACAACCTTGGGAGTTCAGAGCAGATCACTAAACTGTTCCCCAAGTGTCGACCTAGAGACATCAACCTCAACATGGTTGTTGTTGTTACAGGACCAGGACAGCCATGACCAGTGTGAGCCTGAAGCTGGACAACCTTGGGAGTTCAGAGCAGATCACTAAACTGTTCCCCAAGTGTCGACCTAGAGACATCAACCTCAACAAGGTTGTTGTTGTTACAGGGCCAGAACAGCCATGAACAGTGTGTTTCTGAAGCTGGACAACCTTGGGAGTTCAGAGCAGATCACTAAACTGTACCCCAAGTGTCGACCTAGAGACATCAACCTCAACATGGTTGTTGTTGTTACAGGACATGAACAGTGTGAGTCTGAAGCTGGACAACCTTGGGAGTTCAGAGCAGATCACTAAACTGTACCCCAAGTGTCGACCTAGAGACATCAACCTCAACATGGTTGTTGTTGTTACAGGACCAGGACAGCCATGACCAGTGTGAGCCTGAAGCTGGACAACCTTGGGAGTTCAGAGCAGATCACTAAACTGTTCCCCAAGTGTCGACCTAGAGACATCAACCTCAACATGGTTGTTGTTGTTACAGGACCAGGACAGCCATGACCAGTGTGAGCCTGAAGCTGGACAACCTTGGGAGTTCAGAGCAGATCACTAAACTGTTCCCCAAGTGTCGACCTAGAGACATCAACCTCAACATGGTTGTTGTTGTTACAGGACCAGGACAGCCATGACCAGTGTGAGCCTGAAGCTGGACAACCTTGGGAGTTCAGAGCAGATCACCAAACTGTACCCCAAGTGTCGACCTAGAGACATCAACCTCAACATGGTTGTTGTTGTTACAGGACCAGAACAGCCATGAACAGTGTGAGTCTGAAGCTGGACAACCTTGGGAGTTCAGAGCAGATCACTAAACTGTACCCCAAGTGTCGACCTAGAGACATCAACCTCAACATGGTTGTTGTTGTTACAGGACCAGGACAGCCATGACCAGTGTGAGCCTGAAGCTGGACAACCTTGGGAGTTCAGAGCAGATCACTAAACTGTTCCCCAAGTGTCGACCTAGAGACATCAACCTCAACATGGTTGTTGTTGTTACAGGACCAGGACAGCCATGACCAGTGTGAGCCTGAAGCTGGACAACCTTGGGAGTTCAGAGCAGATCACTAAACTGTTCCCCAAGTGTCGACCTAGAGACATCAACCTCAACATGGTTGTTGTTGTTACAGGACCAGGACAGCCATGACCAGTGTGAGCCTGAAGCTGGACAACCTTGGGAGTTCAGAGCAGATCACCAAACTTTTCCCCAAGTGTCGATCTAGAGACATCAACCTCAACATGGTTGTTGTTGTTACAGGACCAGGACAGCCATGACCAGTGTGAGCCTGAAGCTGGACAACCTTGGGAGTTCAGAGCAGATCACTAAACTGTTCCCCAAGTGTCATCCTAGAGACATCAACCTCAACATGGTTGTTGTTGTTACAGGACCAGGACAGCCATGACCAGTGTGAGCCTGAAGCTGGACAACCTTGGGAGTTCAGAGCAGATCACTAAACTGTTCCCCAAGTGTCGACCTAGAGACATCAACCTCAACCCTACGATTACTCTGGACAACCATGATTCCCTCATGATGGATCCTGATAGGTGAGTCTTAATTACTCCTTGTGTAAAATATTTTGCTCAACCTATCATTAATGTCTTTTTGTCAACAATATCCCTGAGTACGATCACTAAAACACTGCAATCTCACGAGGTATATCATTGGCATACAAGGGTTTGCATAATTTTGAAAAACTTATGTAAAAGCTTTTGCATTTTCCTCAAAAATCATTAATTCAAACTTCCTTTGCTGAATAAAGGCTTATACAGATGTTTCATCGCAATGAGTATGTACTATTACTATTGGAAATTTAATGAGGACAAATAGGGGAAAATCTTTCATTTTTATTTCAAGAAGTTCAATATTCTTTTCATGCATAGACATACTTATGTCATCTGCATACAAGCAGAGGGCATTGTTTTCTACCCGTTTAGATAAATGTTTTGGCATCCTTCCCAAGTAGCACAGGAACAGGAACGGACCCAACACAGATCCCTGAGGAACAGAATACTTAACATCCCTAACATTAGATCTAACATTGTACATCTTATTTCCATCTAAATACCCAATGTTAACAAACTGTTGGCGACCCTCTAAATAAGATTTTATCCAGTCCAGTTCTTTACCACTAATTTTATATGCTCAGAGTTTTTGCAGTAACTTTAAATGATTCACGCTATCAAAAGCCTTAGACATATCTAAAAAGGCGCCAACAACATAATTGTCCTCATCCAACTTATGTAATACACTTTCAATATAAGAAATTAGAGCTGTAGTAGTAGATTTATTTTTTCTATATCCATGCTGTTCTTGATCTAATAAGTGGTTATTTTCAAAATAATCTACTAGTTGAAAAAGTAAACTTTTTTCAAATAGCTTTGATAGAGCAGGTTGAATTGCCAATGGTCTATAGTTTTGCGGATCTTTTTGATCACCTTTTTTATATACTGGAATTATTTTTGATATTTTTAGTTGAGCGGGAAAACGCCTGTTATTAGTGATGTATTAATCATATGTAAAAGTGGCTTTAACAAAACAGATTTTGATTCTTTAATAATTTTGATTGGAATTTCATCATAACCGGATGACCATTTAGGTTTTATTGAATCAATTATGGATGTCAAAATTGATTCATCGATGGTTTGACACCTAAATTTTATTTTTTAAATACTTTGATCAGAATGTTGTTGGGTTTTCTTTAATTTTGGTAAAACATTTTTGTCAACCATCTCAGCAAAATTATCATTTAAGATGTTTGCGACAGCATATGGTTCTTCTATTTTTTTTCCGTTATGTTTGAGTGAAATATTACTATGATATCTTTCTTTTTTACTTTTTGTTTCAGTGTTCACAATTTTCCAAACAGTTTTGTTAACATTGGTAGAATGTCTAATTTTATTGTCAAAATGGGTTTTTTTCTTAAGTTCTATCATTTTTTTGTATCTCTTCTTGTGTTCCTTAATATAATTCTTCAATGCTATGTTACTTCTATCATATCTATAAGTCATGTTCTGCAATTATTTCATGGCGCTCATTGATAATTTCATCATCAATCCATCCATTATTTACATTACTGGAAACTATTTTTGTTTTAGGGAAATGTAAATCGAAGTAATATTTTAAAATGTTATAGAAATAAGTAAATTTGTCTTCCACATTACAGTCATAAAGTTTTGTCCAATTACTTAGTTAGTTTTTTATAATTAACTTTGTATCAATACTTAAACAGGCAATTTTCTCTAAAGTGCAAATTGTTTTATAGATTACTCAAATTACCAATGTGTGGTTTTAGTCAAATTTTTTTATATTTTATTTACAGTTGTAAAATTTGTAGGTTTTTAATACGTTGTCCTAAATGTCAGAAAAACTACTTCCTTAAACATTTTTCTGATTGTTAGTTAATCTAGTTAGTCTAATAACACTAGGATTTCAGTATTCGCATGTACTTAAATGCAATCAAGGCGCTAAAAGAAAAGAAAATACAATATTTTTTTCCATCCCGATATGATGCTACCTTCTCTTAATCAGTTATAAATCTGCTACAATATTGTCCTAGGGATTGTCACTCAAGTAGTTATTATTGAATAGTGTAAATTTCCACAACTGAGCTAATAAATGCATAAATGATGAGCATAAAAGATTGCAGATAAGTAGGGCGTGAACATACAGACAGATAAATTGTGTGTGGGGTGGGAATGTGAGGGGATGCTGCTCCCTGCAGATAATAAAAGTCTAAACAGTGGACAGAGGCACTCCACTTAACTTGATGCCCAAATGTGCATCAATTGTCTTGCTTTGTCTCTAAAGATTGGAGAGGTGCACTGATAGAACAGATTTGATTGTTTTCAAAACCAAATAGAAATAAATTAAACACTTTTTTGATAGGTGCTCAACTTGAACAAGTAAATTTCAAAAAATATATTGGAATGATGAATAAAATTATCAAGTGTGGAAGAATTAGTTATGAACACTTTATGTAGTCTTATATTTGAGAATTTGTAATTTTTAAGACCATACAAGCTAACTTTTCACGTTTTTAAAACATTCGTCTATACACAAGGCCCCACTAGAAAAAACAGGCCATGCTGCAGGATCCATGACGTCACACTAGTGGATAGATTTCATTGATAAATTCATTGCCATCACCATTTCCATATGTTTTAGGTAAATAAACAAGCTGAATGTTTGTAAGATTTTAATGGTAAGAGTTTAGTACAACTATCCACCACTGTGACGTAGTGTTGCGCTGCCCGCGCTGCAGCATGGCCTGTTTTTTCTAGTGGGGCCTTGCTATACAACACCAAAACAAATATAAACAATGTTTAGGTATCCTATATATTATAGGCAAGCAATGTTTCTTGAAAACCTTTTTTATGAGCTTGTGTGTATCACAGGGAAAATCTATGCCTACTGTTAGAAAGATATTTTCCTGTAGATGTGCAGAATCCCTTTATAAATTAAAATAGCCTCAAAAATAAGTAGAAAAATGAATAGGCCATATGGGTTGCCTTGCTTGTGACAAAATAACAACGAATTATAAACAGAAAATCAAAACAAATTGAAGAAACTCCAATCACTTGTTTTATTTACAGTGTGGGGTGAAAATAGAGAAGTCTGTACATGACATATTTTTGGTCGAGTTGTCGGCCTGATCTTTAATTAATAGTATAGTAATAATAAGCTCTATGCCAGAATAGGTTTGATTTGGATTTGGATAAGAAAATCAGGTTTAAAGGGTGAGTTTTCTCAATAGGTAACTTATAAATGCCATGATAATAATATTACCAGTCATTATAACAATTGTTGTGCCTTTTGTCAAGTTCAGGATAAAGTAAGAATTCCATTTATCTAACGACGTTTTATATCAGCATTGTTTAAGAAGAAAATAATAACTTTTAATAACATTATACCCAAGCCACAGCAAACCTGAAGATGAAGCAAATTTTCTTTTGCCTGATTGATCTTTTCTTAAATATGTCTCCGTAACCGTTAAACATACAACTTTTCAATATGCTAATCGTTATTTTTGAGCTCTACAAAATTATTTGGTAAGAAATTGTAAAATTTTATGTTTTGGGGTCAAAATCGGAAAACCCAATTTTCACCGCATAATATCCATCCTACCTCGTTTCTATAGTCCGATCATGCCGGAACTCATTTGACGAATGTAGAACGTAGAAAACGTAAATGTAGAATTAAGTAGTGCACTCTGAGAGAGAATTATTTTTCCTTGAATAAAAAATGGTGTACAACTATTCAATGTGATAGGTTTTTCTACTTCAGCACCAAATAAAACTTGTTTATACTGTTCTTTGTCAATATTGTGATCAAAATTACTATCAGTCATTATAACAATTGTTGTGTCTTTTGTCAAGTTCGGGATAAAGTAAGAATTCCATTTCTCTAACAACGTTTTATATTAACATTGTTCAAGAACAAAATAATATCTGATCACCCCCATTAATGACTTTGAGGATAAAAAAATACAATTAATGAATCAGAGATTTCTTTTACCTGTTTGTATTCAGCAGACTTACTACAAACATTGTAATATGCTTTTTGACTCCTCTGGAATTCCCTGAGTACACATTTTTCACCTGTGTTCCGTAATGCATGATTGATAGATACAGATTGCTTGTGTATTGGCTATCCTGACCACAAGGCTTTTGAAATATGAGAATTCAAGCTTTTCCCGATACAATTTCAACCTTTATTTTCTGTGGATATTGTAAATCGGTTTAATATCTTAAACTAAATTGTAGGTTTTTAGAATTATTCGTTAAGTACCGGTAGTGTACAACTTAATTGCTGAAATGGCAGAATGTTCGTAGTTTAGTTTAGAAATTTTGTAGAAAGAAAACCTGTAATTAAATTTTGAATGCAAATGAAGGTCTAAATAAGTCCCTAATGAGAATCAAGTAAGTTTCCTCAGCTTTTCAGAAGTTAGGAAATTACTTGTTGTACAGCAAATAAGTTCTAAAAAAAATTTGTTCCTTTTTTTAAAAAATCTTGACTGTAATTTGTTAATCTCAATTTTTTTATGACAAAGTTATACTGTAGTTAAACTAGTTTAATTTTTTAAATAATCATTTACCTGAAAAAATACATACATTTAATAGTCAACTATATAGTAGTTTATTCAGGCTTTCAAGCAATGATGACGCAGTGGACTTCATTAAATAAACATTTTAAAAGGCTTAGTCAGCTTGTTTAAATGTGTAAATGAATTACATTGAATTGCACTTTTAGAACAATGATTAAAATTATCGTCTGTTTGGTTGGTGCTGAATCAAGCGTACACAATGTTACTTATTTCAGCAAGTGAACATGATTATGAATCAATTAAATAATAAAAAATTAAATTATTTTTGAAACCGTAAAATATAAATAAGTGAAAGACTACATGAAATATTTTTCCACTATACATATTTTTCTACACATTATAAATGAGGGACAACATTATTCTTTTAAACAAAAAAAATAATAAAACAACGACAATGTTAAATTAGAAAAAAAAATAATCTGATTCTTTTACTAAGCAAAATAGTCTTCAAATTAGACAATTTTCAACAATGCTAACCATTGGAAGGTATAAAACACTACCGTAGCTAAGGCTATGGATACATCTTGTATTCAGACAGTTCCCTATAATACAGCAGTGATATGTCGAGTTACCATGGTAAGCTACATGGACATTGAGATATTTTCTACACAAAACTAAGGAAAGGAAGATACATTCTTTGTTTGTACTCTTTGTAGGCATTGGGGATTCATTTTCTGCCCCCCTCCGTCTGTCATCACCCCCCCACCACCTTGTTATCCGTCCTGTGTTTGTATGTCCAACCCCACTTATTGATGAATCTTTTGTCCTTATGATTGATTTGCTCGACAAATCACAATAATATGTGATTTGCTTTATATCCTCTCATTTTGAATCGTCATTCACAACTTTAATGTGAAAACTTAATTTATTAAAACAATAAAATCCTTTGTTACCTTAGTATATTTTAATACTTCCCTAGTATATATCAATAAATCAATTGTATTTGATAAATATGTATATACATCGATTTGTTTCAATAAGGTGCAGAAACCACGCAAGGTATAATTGTACCAGCATAGTTATGAAAAACATTTTTTGAACTAATTATTCACCAAGGATGAGTCAGAAATGAATAATATAAAATTATTTACATAGTTTTAGTTTTTGTGTCCTACACTATTTCATAAAATTTTTCGTGATGAATTCAAATAATTAGAAAAAACAATTTACAGGATTTTCAATCTCAGAAACAACAAACAAGAACAAAAAAGTCATTGGAAACAGCACAATGTACTACAACAAACAAAAAATGTAATTTATTTATAAATACAACCAACAAGGTAAAAGCAGCATGGGTAAACTTTTGTAGAAATATTACTCATAAATATAAGCCACACAATGAACCTCTGCACTAATTTATGTAGTTTCCTAAAATGAAATGTCTAATATTTGTACTTAATGAATAATAAATGGTAGATCAATTTTAAAATTCCTCAGGACTGTGGCCGGTGTGCTTTCAAAGTTGCCATGAATTGCTTTATATTTTTGTTCTACCTTTACATCCAAGGGCACCAGACTCTAAAGTGTGGAACCGTTATACATACCGGTATCACTTCAGGCTAGGCCTATATGGTGGTGGCATTAAAATTTGGATAAAATCCATTGGTGATTGGCGGGATTTGAACCCGGGACATCGGGGGCCAAAGCCCCATGCTATACCACTACACCAGCTCGCTCCCAATCGTCTATAATATTATATATCAATTTTATAAATTAGATTTGCAATCATTTAGAAAAGATCTTACAATGGTGTCTAACAATAGTTACAACTAACAGATTATATTGTAATTTCACTATACATATTCAACCTGTTTATTGGGGATATGAATATACTGTATAACAGATCCTGTAAAGCCGTGTCTATTGTTCTTAGAGACGCAGAGCTTAAAGCCAGAGTCAGTTTAGAGGGTTCAGTTTAATTACCTTTCACTGGCTACAAACAAAACAATTCAGACACTGGAAATAATTATCTTTGTACTGTGTGTCTTTTCATTAGCTGTGCACATTCTAAAAATATAATAACTAATTAGTTAAACTTTTTTTGTATAACCCTAAGCAACACTGTAATACATGAAAATTAACGATATTATTTGTTATCGAGTTCTGGTGCTAACAGACACATTTTGTAAATGAATTTAAATGGATGGTATTTTTGGCCTCTGGGGACATCAAAAGGAAAACATCAATCCCAGGGGGGGGGGGGTCTTACCATGAGATTTACCGTAATACCTTATTCCGTAAATGGGAAATTTGCTGAAATTCCCTTACAAAATCCACAAATTAGTGATGTTTAAAAAAGGTTCACCCATAACTTAAGCTGAGTTACTAATAATCAGACTGGGACGGTGCCGTCGTCCTGTAATCCATCTACTAGGAGGCCACAAATTGTGGATATTTATAGGTATGCAGTGTGGATGCGATACTCCCTGGTGTGGATTAACGTCCGCACTAATAAGTACTACGACTATCCGCAGTACTATCCTGATAATTAGACCAATTCGTTAATTCCAAGGCAAAATGTGGTTTGGATTCCACTATAAACTGTAGGTCCCTTAGTTGCCATTAGCTGTATGGGCTATTAATTAACAGCTGTGTCTAAGGAATATGCCGGCCCTAGTCACTAACAAGACTACTAGATCGCACCACTCATCCTACGCTCATCTCCATTCATACTTGGCTTAAAATACCAACTTTGTATGGTCGCCATTTCAATAAAGTATAAGTGCTATATTTGGATTGTCTGCCTCAACCAAATATTGCAATATGTTTTACCATTGACTATTGGATACCGAAGTAGAGATCCCATCTATATGGAGAAGCTGGCACCAATTTTTTTTATTAAAAAAGGACATAGTTGTGTGAGCCAAGAAACAGAATAAGGTAGTGTCTAAAACTAATTTTCTACCTTATTTTGTTTGTTGCTTATCAAGTTAATGGGCTGTAACAATTGCTATAGGTTGTGGTATGTATTCCACAAAAATTAGTAATTTCCATCAGCACAATCTGCCGGTGGCTCACATCAACTACGACAATTTTGATTCAAAATCTGGCTAAAAATTTAACATGGGGATGGGATGTCTAGTTGAATCAATAGTCAAAGGTTTTACTTAATATTTTATAATATAGAAAACTTGACTGAAGAGAAAACCCGTTTTAAAACTCTGAAAAGGATCACAGTACGTAAACATTCCTGAATTGAATGACTGCAAAGTATTTACAAAAAAACTAAATTGGAAAAATTCCGCTACAAACTTGTTGAAGTAGTCGTATTGCATGGAGTGCTAAACTTGTACGGAACTGTATTACAAGCTCGAGTGATTCCTTACGGCCACTTTAATGAGCGTTACAGTAACGGCCCGACCGCCACAACCACTTCTCAATCTAATCCGTCGACATTTCTTTGCGGTTTCTGTGCAGCTTAACACTACTCTAGCAGCAACTTGAGTCAGAACACTTAACTTTTCCGGTCACTAGCTAAAAATTTGTAGCAACTTTAGTTTTTTGACCAAACATCAGAATTCAACAATCAAATAACCATTAAAAAGTGCGGAGCTTTAAATCCAGCTTGATCCTGGTTCATCAACTATAAAATAATTTTTTGTATCATGTAATCCTGGACAGCAACGGTTTGCCGTTGTGAAAATGTCGCTGTTTTAAAAATTATGTGTTTTGCTACATTCATTGACATTGGATACTGAACCGATTCAGCCATTTCAAAATAGATAATAACGTAGTTGCAGTTGAATCGGGCATTCATTACTAATAATATATTTTAAATTTTTTCTTTGATGGGGACATAAAATATTACAAAATTTACTGAAAAGGTGCTCTTTCAGTGTGGATTTATTGAAAAGTTGGTGTAAGAAGAAAAACTGTAACTTGAGTAAAAATCATCCAATTTAGATTAAAGTCGGTACAAACATGTAAACCATGGGGTTTAATTTTCCATAAACTTCTAAAAAAAACAAATAATGTAATTTATTTTAGCGTTGTTGTACATTTAATATTTACAGAGAAAATTGAACTGGGAATTTTTATGTCTCATATCATTAGAGAATAAGATTAGTGAATGGTTGTAGTTTGCTTGTTTATGGTTATATTTTGATCAAATGTGATGAATCTATTTATTTCATACTAAGCAAATAACATTTCACTAAAAATAATTTCCCTGCAGCAGCAAATCTATGTACTCATTAAACCTAATGTTGTTTGAATAAAGACTAAATATTTTATTTATTAGGAAAGATGTTAATGAAAATGAAATCAGACAGATTGAAATATGTTATAGATTTGCTGTGGAGGGGGTATTTTTCTAACCCTTTATCTTGTTAAAATCATAACCCCAAATCTTTCCAGGAGCGAGTGTGGTGTGGAGGGGGAAGGTGCTGGGGAGGGGGAGGAGTCGTGCAGTCAGGACACCTCACCGGAGGAGAGCAATGAAGAGGAAGACGACGACATGACTTCGGGGCCTGTGACTGCGTCGGGGCTCAACACCACAGAGAACAACAAGGTGGTGCTGCAGTTGACTGGGTCGGCCAACAAACCCGCTACCTACAAGCTGCGCGATTCTAGGTACTCTATTCAAATCAAATAATTTATTAAACAGTTAAACACAAACAGGCAACAGGCTAAATCAGAGAAAGTGGTACAAGTTTTGCCGTCTTGCCTAAATAACATTGTAAGTAGTGTAAATAGTATCTGTAGTTTTGACACAGTCTATTCACAAACAGAAATTCTGGTCATCGACGTCTCAGGAGCTATTGACTCTTTAGTTACTCTCACGGATGTTGTGGACGTCAAAGTAATTCAATAATTGTCTGGTGTTTCAGAATAATTGAGATTGCCGGTGGAAGGGAAGTTTTCTGCCAAAGTCGGACGAAAGCCCTGCGGAAGTCCCGATCTGAAGACAAGATGGCCGCCAACAGATGCAAGAGTAGATCTCCCGCTCATCCTGGAGGAGTGTGGGAACTGAGGACAAGGTATTGTATTTTTAGTCGCGAAGCTTCCTGCACAACAGGGTGTGAATGTAGAGTTACCTGTAGAATGTAGTAGTGTGTGAATGTAGTTAGAAATACCTCGCCGCAGCAAACCTGCAGACTTAATAAATTTCCATTTACCTGGTTGGATTTTTAATCAAATACTCCTTTAAATTTTCTGATTTGAGAACTTAGTTTGCTGCCACAGGGAAGTTAATTAATATTTTTTTAAATATATACCTAAACAAACAAGCAAACTACAACAGGTTATTTAACCTCCATAACAATAATATGAGATTTTTAATTTGACAGTTTTGGGGGTTAATTTTAAATTTCATATTTTGGGAGTGAAAAACATGATACAATTTTTATTTTGGAAACTAAAAAAAATATATATATTTTAAATTGTTAAATTTACAGCAATTTGCAAATTTCTATTCTTGCTTAACAAATTCCAGTATTGTAGTTTTGAAAAATCAACTTGTGTTTTTGTGCAAAATGATGAAATTTTCTGTACAAAATGATATACACATATCTTTGTATTTAAATTGTGACAAAAATGTAGAAAGAGTTTATTTTCTATGATTATAGAACCTAATCCACCACTATATTATAAAATTATTTTTGTATTAGTATTTTGTGTAAACTATATTGTAGATTTATGTTATACACAGTTTACCAGACTGAGTAGATTTTTCAGCAAAGTGTTGTTTTTTAATCAAGCCCATGAATGAAAGTGTTTGTGGTGCCAAAGTTTACTCTTGAGGTAAGCAATTTCGGTTATCTGTGGTTATTGAAACTTGAAACTTTATAGTTTCAAACTTCAATCAGTCTTTATTACAGCTTACTTGTTTAAGTAATCTTTCAGGTGTAAAGGTGTTGATGGTTGGATTATTTTAAGTAAAACAATTTAGAACTCTTGCAGAAGTTTTCTCCCCTAATTTTGTATTACTTTGATTTAAATTTAATTAAAGTTGTTTTATACCTTTTGTTTTGAGTTATTATTTTGATAATGATGACTGAAACATTGAGGCATGTAAAGGAAGACAACTCTTAAAAAAACAATATATTTGACTAGATTTTTGTTAATTACTTACAAACCTACGCAAATGTCACTGTATTTAAGATTTGCTATGTTATATTTTGTGAACTATTATCTTTTAATCAAACATATTGAAAAGTTTTTTTTTTTTTATTTGCTTCAAACCAACTTTTCTTCACTACAAAAAATTAATTAATTTATATTAGGTGTATATTTGTGGGTGATCCAAGTTGAAACTACTTCAGTAACTACTTATAATTAATTCAGTATAAATAGTTTTTTGTTTACTTTCCTAATATTCTTACCTAGTTTCCAAGGAAGAATTTCTGTGTGAAGGTTTTTGTGGCTCTTGAATAGAATTCACCTATGTGATTTGTTTATTCTTTAATATAAATACTTGTGTAGGACTGGCGAACCCAAGCGAAGTCCGTCCTCACGAGAAGTTACCGAGACTGTTTTTTCTACCGAAGTTCGCTCCGTACGACATCAACGCCCACAATCGCTCAAAGGTGAGATAAAGACAAATGCACAACAATTTGAGGTTTTTTGACACATTTTACTTTTCATGTTCGAAGGTTAACTATTGATATGTATAGGTACATGTTGGACTCCAAAAGGTTTTTATTAGTTTCCCTCTTTGTGTGTGGCACCAATGCTCTGAATTATTACAATTTAACAAAAAAGAACAATATCATGTTTGCATAGTTTTACCAGATTGGATTCAGTATAATTATATATACTCACATTTAGTTATGTTTTTTTTAGTTTTTAAGACTCATTTAAATTTCTAATTCATTAAATTGCAACCATTCTTTTTAATGTTGAGTTTTAAGAACAAGTATTTTATCCATATGAATCTAACTGTGTAATATACTAACTAAACAGTTTTTAACGCTTTGAATTTTATAAGTTTAAACCTACAGCTCACTGTTAAAAGTGTTTACTTCCTTGAACATTTAGATGTATGTCGATCATACCTTCATTCTTAATCTATTGTAACATTCTTCATAGGTTGAGATTGTATCCTTAATTAATAATTACAAATGGCTTTGGGGTTTAGAATCGAACCAGTTAATTCACCTCAATTCTCAAGACTCACAAATCCATTACTATACTCCACTCACAGCATTTAGGTGGTTTTAGTGGAGGAAATCCATCCCCTCCACTTGAACCTACCTTTGAAAAAATAGCTCAACAGCTGAGGTTTGTCAAAACGTCAATCAGCTGTAACGTAAAGCAAAAATAAGTGGTGGGGAAACTTCCCAAACTGCCTAAATTTTGTGAACGGACTATAGTGAAGTTTTAACTGTATTCTAGGGATGGTCAAGTCTCGAAATTTCGGGAAATTTTCGGGAAATTTTAAATCTCGTTACACGAGATGAGATTTCTTTTTGGCCGAGATTTTTTTATCGAGACGAGAATAAAAAAAAAATTAAAAACGCCTGCAGAAAGTCAATGCAATACCCGCAATACAGGAGCGTGTTGTAGTTGCGTTTCCTTTGCGAAGGTGTTCTTATTGAATTAATTCTTTAAATGTAAATATTACTTTAATTGTTTTAATAATATTACTTTAATAACATTTGAGAAGTTTTGTTAAGTGTAAGCAGTGTGAGGAATGTTTTGTTTCTATAAAAAGTCAAAATAAGTACCTAACTATTTTATAAAAATTAATATTGCTTTTATTTTATGATTTATTTTATTTTCGGAAAAGTTTAACTCTATCCTAACTGATATCACTATGTTTCCTAATCGTAGGCATTTTTAATAAGTTAGGCGTGATTAATAAAAAAATGTTATGCTGATGTTTTTTAATAAAAGATTGTAAATATTCTTGCCTATTATCATTATTTTTGTATTTAAACAGTCATCTAACAATGTTACAAAATCAGGTAAAAACTTTGAACGTGCATTTCCCGTTGTGTATGAGAAGGGAAATCCCGTCTCGATCTCGTCTTGAAATTTTATGAGAAATAAAAAATCCCGTCTCGTCTCGTCTCGAACTAAAAATCCAATCTCGTCCATCCCTACTGTATTCTGGACATTCTGGTATATTTTACAGGTGGTGCGGTAGTTTTTGACGACATAGATGACAACTGGAAGAGTCTGAGGTTGCCGACGCTGGGTAGTGATCAGAGAGCAATGTCCTCGGGAGGCAGTACCCCCAGCCCTCCTGGCTACCACTCCCAACACCCCCCTGCGCATTTCTTTAAGGTATCATTGTTATACGAGTTGGCCAGTAAAAGGTAGTGCAGGTCTCAAACTATTAATGTTTGTTCATAAATGTTACCTACGTTGGTTCTGAAATGTTGTATTACTAAATTGGACTTTAAATTGTTGTGTGTGGTAAATAGTTGTTTTTCAGTAAGAAGTTTTTGTGACTGGCCACCTTTTGAGGGCCAATTTAGATAAATGTAGAATGAGTATTTTTCACTTGATAACGGGAGGGGTTGATCCACCTCCGGAAACATTGTGTAGTAAACACAAGACACTTGGAAAAGTCCAATTTATTAACTTAATAATAGTAACGTTTGGCTTATCTTCCCCAAACTAACTATTTATGGTGCCACATGTCATGAAAATTAGACTATGGTGTACTAATCTAGGTGTTTAGGTAATGACAAGCTGAACTAGAGGCCGACTATTTTGGTTGCTTAACAGATATCCATCTTCAGGGGAAACTACTATTCAATCTAGTTCGTTCTCCCTGAAGTTGGATAGCTGTTACACATCCAAAACGTTGGCCTCTACTTCAGCTACTTCACCCAAAGACCTATATTTGAAAATCTACTGTGACCGTGGAAACTTCATCTGAACTATAGTGTACTGGTCAATAGAATTTAACGCTTGCATACATACATCCAGAAAACATTTTTTTTTTATTCGGTGAAAAATCAAACTAAAACATTTAAAAATAAGCAATACTGTACCTACTTTTTAATTTTTTTTTAGATGCAAACATGTATGTGTTAGTAAATGTTCTTTTTTTCACTGTAGGTGTCCAACTCGGTGTCAGACGGAGAGTCTCTTTCGCCAGAAAGAGAGAGAGACAGTGGCGGGGGAGGAGGGAAAGTACCTAGAGTCATCGGAGGTCTGCCCATCGCAGAGTACGAGGGGTCGCCTCGTCGCTACGGCCCCCGTCAGTCTGAAAACCCAGTACTGCCGAGCGCCCACAGTCTGCTGGCATCACCCTCCGTCTATCTGCCCCGCCCGGGCTTCCCCCAGGTACGTATGTCACCAATGGTACAAGCTCTCTGATAGGTAACTTATCGATAAAGTGGTCTGCGTCCAGTATCTTTGAGTTTCTTGGATGTAAATACATCCTAAGCTGGTACACACAGCTGCACACATGAGCTGCTAAATCTCACTCAGTTTTTGTGCTATACTCATGCTCTGCAAAGGAGGAAGCCATTGTTTTTATTTAGTTATGGTGTGAGGTCTTGTTGGTAGTTATTTCTCTATGAGCTGCATATAGTTTAAGGTCTCAAAATGAACAGGATACCAGCCTAAATGAGTAAATAAACTTTTACTGGCTCGTCTCAAATTCTTTTCAGCAGTCATGAAACCCAAATTGTATAATCAAAATAATGGTTAAACAAGGTTACTACTATACACACACTTTTCTGTGTATGGAAATATAATGCAAGAGTAAGTGTGTTAAGGTAAGCGTGAAATTACTGCAGCATGGAACTGTTTTGGTTTAACAGTTTTTTCACCAATTCAAATATGGCAGCCGGCAAACTAAATCAACAAAATTTATTGTGTTTCAGTGTATCATATAGTGCGTTGTTCTGGAGTTAATCGTTTATACCCTGTTCTATAGAGAAGTGAAATATAGAACAAGTCTTTACAGGTGCAAGTTTATAATTTTGTAAAGCCTGATTGGATCAAATCTTTTTTTCAGAGGGTAGTGTCCGGCTCAGGGGAGGAAGGCGAGAACCCTGGAGCTCTCAACAGTGAAGGAGGCCCTCCTCAGACGCCTACACCTCCCCACGCCGCTCCCAACCCTCACAACACCTTCGACTATCTCTACGAGTTCTCCGAGACGAGAAAAGTCCTAGAGGAGTTCTTCAAACCAGGCGATAACAACAATAAGCAAGTCAGTCCTCAGCCTTTCCAGGTAACGGTGGTGGGATAGTCTAGAGTTGCGGGTAAAAGTTAAAATTTCTTGAAACGCATATTATTTTTTATGTATATATAGGTTTACCGCGTCTAGGGCCTTTGCCTTATTTATTGGCGCCAAAGCAAGGCTTTAAAAGCTCCATCCACATTGTAGCCTTGACAGCATTTCTTTCATAATGCCCATCTTCTACTCCTGGATTTCCTATGGTAATTTAAACTTTACCCAAAGCTAAGCACGAAGGAGAGTATTGACTCTTACTGTTGTAGTGATTATTTGTATGCCATTCACTGAGCAAATTTTACAGCTACTCATTCAACAGGACTTAGACTATGAGTTGAGAAGACAGTCGGGGTCGGGTGAAGGCAACGCTTACGTCGGTCTGAGACTAGCCAAGTCGACGACATCTCAGGAAGACGTCAACTGTGAGACTGTACACAAGGCTGGAGACGACGCCAACGTCAGTGATCTTATGGCTATGCAGGTCAGTTACTGTAGACAGTAAAACATTTGCTATGTCTGATGGGTTGAAATACAAAGGCATAGGCCTACAATATGAACTGCTTACTGTTATGTATGTGCTGTTGTGATTTGCAGGTCTCTGATATTTTCAAGTCGGGCCAACAGTTGGACTGTTGGATCGGTTCAGGCTGGAAATAGCTTTTAGGCCAAACTGGAGTTGAATCCCGCTTTTAAATTCAAGATCGGAGAAAGATTCCGTGGAGATGCCCAATCAAAAATTTACAATTTCTCTGTGATTGTGGGTGATGTTCACGGTCTTGCCATGATTGTGATAGACAATCATGATGTTGCCGTGACGGCAGTAGATGTTCTCAATTTCGCCGTTATCTCGGAAGATGTTCTCGATTTTGCCACAACGGCATAAGAACTATTTGACTAGTAACCCAAACTAAAACTGACTCTAATTGTTTGAGTTTGTATGTTAGCTTTGGCTATTGGGAATGTTGTGTGTCGTCCTGTGGTGGATCTCCTGGAGACCGAGGTGGGACAGACAGTAGGACACTCCCACAACTTCACTCTGTCCTCAAAGACTACAGACTGTGACTGTAACTGTGATAGCGAGGCATCATCACTGTTGGCTATTGAGAATGTTGTGTGTTACAGTCGTCCTGTGGTGGATCTACTGAAGACCTGGAGACCGAGGTGGGACAGACAGTAGGACACTCCCGCAACTTCACTCTGTCCCCAGAGACTACAGACTGTGACAGTAACTGTGATAGCGAGGCATCGTCACCGTTGGCTACTGAGAATGTTGTGTGTTACAGTCGTCCTGTGGTGGATCTACTGAAGACCTGGAGACCGAAGTAGGACAGACAGTAGGACACTATCGCAACTTCACTCTGTCCCCAGAGACTACAGACTGTGACAGTAACTGTGATAGCGAGGCATCGTCACTGTTGGCTACTGAGAATGTTGTGTGTTACAGTCGTCCTGTGGTGGATCTACTGAAGACCTGGAGACCGAGGTGGGACAGACAGTAGGACACTCCCGCAACTTCACTCTGTCCCCAGAGACTACAGACTGTGACAGTAACTGTGATAGCAAGGCATCGTCACCGTTGGCTATTGAGAATGTTGTGTGTTACAGTCGTCCTGTGGTGGATCTACTGAAGACCTGGAGACCGAGGTGGGACAGACAGTAGGACACTCCCGCAACTTCACTCTGTCCCCAGAGACTACAGACTGTGACAGTAACTGTGATAGCAAGGCATCGTCACCGTTGGCTATTGAGAATGTTGTGTGTTACAGTCGTCCTGTGGTGGATCTACTGAAGACCTGGAGACCGAGGTGGGACAGACAGTAGGACACTCCCGCAACTTCACTCTGTCCCCAGAGACTACAGACTGTGACAGTAACTGTGATAGCAAGGCATCGTCACCGTTGGCTATTGAGAATGTTGTGTGTTACAGTCGTCCTGTGGTGGATCTACTGAAGACCGGGAGACCGAGGTGGGACAGACAGTAGGACACTCCCGCAACTTCACTCTGTCCCCAGAGACTACAGACTGTGACAGTAACTGTGATAGCGAGGCATCGTCACCGTTGGCTATTGAGAATGTTGTGTGTTACAGTCGTCCTGTGGTGGATCTACTGAAGACCTGGAGACCGAGGTGGGACAGACAGTAGGACACTCCTGCAACTTCACTCTGTCCCCAGAGACTACAGACTGTGATAGTAACTGTGATAGCGAGGCATCATCACCGTTGGCTATTGAGAATGTTGTGTGTTACAGTCGTCCTGTGGTGGATCTACTGAAGACCTGGAGACCGAGGTGGGACAGACAGTAGGACACTCCTGCAACTTCACTCTGTCCCCAGAGACTACAGACCGTGACAGTAACTGTGATAGCGAGGCATCGTCACCGTTGGCTATTGAGAATGTTGTGTGTTACAGTCGTCCTGTGGTGGATCTACTGAAGACCTGGAGACCGAAGTAGGACAGACAGTAGGACACTCCCGCAACTTCACTCTGTCCCCAGAGACTACAGACTGTGACAGTAACTGTGATAGCGAGGCATCGTCACCGTTGGCTATTGAGAATGTTGTGTGTTACAGTCGTCCTGTGGTGGATCTACTGAAGACCTGGAGACCGAAGTAGGACATACAGTAGGACACTCCCGCAACTTCACTCTGTCCCCAGAGACTACAGACTGTGACAGTAACTGTGATAGCGAGGCATCATCACCGTTGGCTATTGAGAATGTTGTGTGTTACAGTCGTCCTGTGGTGGATCTACTGAAGACCTGGAGACCGAGGTGGGACAGACAGTAGGACACTCCCGCAAACTTAGCTCTGTCCCCAGAGACTACAGACTGTGACAGTAACTGTGATAGCGAGGCATCATCACCGTTGGCTATTGAGAATGTTGTGTGTTACAGTCGTCTTGTGGTGGATCTACTGAAGACCTGGAGACCGAGGTGGGACAGACAGTAGGACACTCCCGCAACTTCACTCTGTCCCCAGAGACTACAGACTGTGACAGTAACTGTGATAGCGAGGCATCGTCACTGTTGGCTACTGAGCCACCTCCGCCAGCGCCTCGCACCCCTCTGCTCTACTCCTCCATGCCTGTGCTGGAAGACGGCCTCTCTTCAGGCCACACCAGTGACACTGACAATAACAACCCTACCGTGAGTTATACAACAACCCATGCAATCATATGTTTACAACTCTGAGATGTGTCTTGGTTCCTGAAATTGTTCCTGATATTTCAGTTGGGTTTCAGATGTCCCCAAAACCATCGGAATTCTATAATTAGAGTGTTTAATGCTCCCGGATATACCTGACCTCCTCAAATGCCCCAGGTGTTTCAGTTGAATCCCTTATGTCCTCTAAAACCTCCAGGGTGTTACAATTAACGTTTGTACTGCTCTTGGTTATACCTGGTCCCCCGTAAAAATATCATAAAGGTTCATGAAATTTCTGTTGAGTTTGCATTTCCAAACCCCTTAGAATTTAATAATGATCCCTGATTTTTTAAATGTAAACGTAAAATTCATAAATGTTTTCTATGTGTTAGAAGGTGTCACATGTAATTAAAACAAACAAATTACTTTTCTCTGTTCTTTTCTTGTTTTGTGTATTATTCATAACTGCAAGTTTTACATGATTAATATTGTAAAGAATTAAAACTTGGATAAGTTAGAAATACCTGTTCTAAATGTATGTATGAATAGTTATTTTTATATTCAATATATTTTTTTCTATATGTCAACAATGATCACTGAAAGAATTAAAACCGGAACCAAGGGAAGCAAGCCTAAATAATCCAAAAAAGCTATTTTCTGTGATCGCTAATATTAATTCAAATAATACGACTGAGTATTAATTAATATTACTTTTGAATTTCAGGTACTGTTGATGAAGAGACAAATAACTGAAATAGAAAGAGAAATTGTAGAGAGAAGTAGCCGAAGAGAGGTTGTGAATGTTAATGGTAAAATGAACGGTGCAGAAGAGAAGACTGATGTAAAAAAGTCCACTACAATCATCGACCCAGCAGACATTGATTTGGAATGCTTGGATCCTCTGAGTAAGTCAATTAGATAGTTTGTCGTACTGCAGGGAACACAGCTGTTTGAATATGTGTGTCAGCAGGGTTAAAGTAGTTTTATTTTTATCCCAAGGGAAAAGGATTAATTAGTGTCGGAGACATTAGCTGTAAACATATCCCTTACTAAACAGATTTTGACAAATATTTATCATCATTATCACTCATGGCATAACTAGATGAAAACCATTTTGCGAGTTAATAACAAAAAAATAGTAATAATCCTTAGTCGTTTAAAATTACAGTTGGCAATATTGACAATTTAGACTCTACTAGATAAACACATAGCTTCACTGAAAAATGCTAAATTTTGTATTCTTGTTTCTCCACCAATACAATTAAATTAAATCACCTAAAACCAATGGAACGGTTTCCTATTGAGAGGGTGATAATCGACCCATCAGATTCCAGAAATCCTCCTAGCTTCAATTTCAGGTAATAACCCCGACCCTCCCTTCCAGTTAGATTTTAAACAGATTTTTCCCAAAAAAAGTTGGTGCAAATAGAAAAAAAAATTTGGTCTGATTGATCCAACCTGTCTGTAGATCTTTTCTTTTTGATCATCTTAGTTGCAGAACTGAGGTTACTTTAATTTTAAATTTGTAACGGACATTTTTCTTTAATCTGCTTTCCGAAGAAGTCCCATTTTAGGAGGAAATATAATTTTATGTCTCTGAACATATTTCTCGTGGACTCTGATTTTCTTTGATAAGCTACTTGGACTCTTTAACTCTATCACAATCAGCCAATTAAGTCATAAGTTCTACAATGTGATAGTAACGACTGCTGACATGTTTGCCTACCCCAGGTGAGAGAACTCCGCCCCCACCAGCCCCACAGCCACATCGTAGACTCAGTGCAGATCCCCCCTCTGTGGAGGCAGCTCTTAAAGATATCCGCATGACTTTGCAGAGAACAAAGACTCTGCCTCACACTTCACCTACTCAGCCTGACAAGAGCCCTATCTGGATACCCAGGTGAGATAGACAAATTCAGCTATGTATCTTAAAGTCTACTTGAAACCAAATCACTCCCCTAAATGCTCGATCGTCATTGGGGATATGTGGGCCCCCGATACCATTGGGTCAAGGGAGACTTACTGTTGGCCCAAGGGATATCTGTTCAGGCCAGAAATAGTTTTTGGACCAAACTTGGTTGAGATCATTTACATGAGAGTTGAGCCAGAAGTTTGATTTTGAATATTATTGCAATGGCTAAATATCTGCGAAGATTGTGTCATGGGAAATCCATGATTTCGCCATGTTCACAGATGTAATAAGTTTTCCCCATTTCCTCCCAATTGAAGGAGATTTTTGCCGTTTCTCCTTGACCTCAAATGTTAATGATTTCGCGTTGATCAGAGGAAACGTTTTTGAAGGTCAACATTTTTTACCCACCTTGACATGAAAGATTGTATTAGTCTTGCCTGCTGAAAACCAGTTATAGTCAATTCGACATTCACCTTCCAACGCAGTTCTTATGAGGCAGTTCTACTATTAACATTACTAAAAACATAATGTTTACCATCATGCGAGTTATATAAATGTCATCAAAAAGGTAGTAGAATCCTTTCCCTTGTAACTTTATGCTATTTTGGATCGGGATTTTTACCCATACATTGAGATTGCTTTAGTTAAAATTAGCATAGTAAGTAGTAACTGAGACTGCCATTATAAGGCTGTTAGACACTTGAAACTGCACAGTGAACGTGGAATAAAGTATAAGATGGGTAGATCTTAGTGTAGGCTGGATACCACCAATATTTGGTGACTATACTGTGGCAAGCTACGTAAAAAAAAATACATTGGACACATCTTAGACATTTAATGCCTCAGGTAGATAACCAGTGATCACAGAAGAGTTACAAAAGAAACGATTGAAAATAGAGATCTATGAGTATTAGAATAAATTTAATCAGGAATAATGATACAATGAATTTAATGTTTGTTTGTTTTCTTTTCAGAAAAAAGGGAACCAGTGCAACTAGTGAACACAGTGGGGATGAAGGTAATTCTTTTGTTAATTTTTGTCAGTAGCTATTGGCTTTTGCTTTATACTCTTCAAGAGCTATGTGTCTTGCTGCGATTTTTGTGCTTCATCTTGTCAATGTTGCTTTCTTGGTATAACAAAAATATTCAATCACAGTATATGAACAAAGCTGTATATGGCAAATATTGGAAGGAAATATTATATATGACATAATAAATATATCTCTATGTAATATAGTGTAATAGTATATTGCGTTACTAGTCCTGAAAATATGTGTTTAACGAACGAGTGTGGTCGTTCCCATGCGAGACGAAGTCGACTGCGGGATTACTATACAAGTCCGTTTAACACATTTTGGACAAGTGAAGTACGATATTTTATGCCATACTATTCTAAGTTAACAATAAAAAATGTGTACAAATCCTTATACATTCCAAATCCTTATACATTCTCACAGACTAAAGGACTAACAATCACTACTCATAACCTCTAAGAGTCCTTGCGTGGGTAGTTCGTTAAAACAGTATAGTGTGGCATAATAGATTATTGTTAATAAGACTATACAATCATAATTATTTCAGATTTTTTTTTTGCTTTAGATTTGAATTTCCTAAATATTGTCCATTTATGGTTTCAATATGTTTGTGATGACTCCAAATCCAAAGTATTTTTTCCACTATTTTTTATCAAGTTTTTTTTTTCAAATTGAATTTTTGTAAAGTGTATTATTCATCTAGCTGTATAAATATAAGAGGTTGTCAAACTTATATTTTCCCTTTAAACTGTGGACTATAATTCAGATGCTTTTTGATAAAACTTTTAGTAGCATGAACTCGTAAGCATTGACAAACTTTTAACTTTTATGAATACTGTCTCATTATATCTACCACAAATTAACTTAATATACAATTGTTATAGGCTATCAAGTTTATCAAAGAATTTTTTTAGAAAGTTTCGTCAACATTTTGTTTTCTTAGAAATAATTAATAAACAAACGGAATTGTACTGAACTATTGTTATTAGATCATTGAATGACATACTGAATCAATAGCAAACCTTGCTATATTTTATAAATAACCTTTCTTACAAATCTTATAAGCACTGTTGAAGCACAAAATTAACTATGAATAATGAGGGATTGAGAAAATGTTTTGAGGGTTTTAATGAACTACAAACTTTCATTTTATGCATGAGTATTTAAAGGTTTTATAAAAATGTATTGATATTTTTTATTTATTTACTGATGTGCTTTGCGACAAACAGTAGTCAGAAAAACAACTCTTAGCCAGATACAAAGTATTTTGTGATGATTGAAAACTAGAATTTGTTTACTTATTTTCACTGTCTACGCTAGTGGCATTTTTAATGAAGAATCACTAACTTTCAAGGGAGGTGCTCCAAACAAACACCTAAAATATTTTTGCAATGACGGGAATCGAACCCTTGTCTCTCTCATATCAATCTGAGACAAGCCCCAGTCACACCCAAAAAAGCAATTATTAAAAATATTCTTTAACTTTCCATATCGGTGGGACCCCACACTCCTAAGTTAGAAAAAGCCTGAACAATATTCTCCACAAAAGAAATGTCATTAACATTTCCAGCGCTACTGAGGAGTCGGTAAGTAGAATGTGCTGCTCGCATGACTCGCCTTGGTTGTCGTGTCGTAACATACGGTTGTGGTTGTGACAGTGACGCTGCCGGTTGCAGATGAACCGGACACGGACCTCGAGACCGACAGGTTATTGGGGCAGCAGCGCACAGACGATCACGGCTTCTACGACGACAAGGTACGAAACAAGACGCGGCCTTTATAAAACTTGATTCCCACAGGTTTTCAATGTGTTTTTTCCTACCAAACATGTTTTAATGGACCTCTTTTATAAATTGAGCACACATTTAATCATTTAGCAGTTCAATACCTGGTCTAATACAAACATACTTCCAGTAAAGCGAGTCTTGTAAACTTATTAAATTTACTGTAATAAATGTTTATCTTAAAAATACATGGTTAATTGGGCCTCAAGGTTTTTTTAGTTCTTATAAATTAAAAACCATAATTGAGTTAATCATAGCTCTTTAACTATTTTTTCACAGTTGGAATAAACATTTAAAAAATGAATTTGGTTTCTTCTTGGTTTAGTTCAGTATTTCCCAAGAGATATACGTTGAGTTCCATCTAAATAAGGAGTATGTATTTTCAGCAAGTTTCTTATTGTTTATTTAAGATAATTTACAAACTACATGTTAAAGTTTGACAAAAATATCATAACCATGAATGTACTTTAAAACCAAATGAAGCTGTTAAAAAACAGTGTCTATACTAAATTCAACCACGAGTCAGTCATCATTCGATCATACTGTTACTTCAAAATATAAGTAGCCTAGGGTCTGTGATTGGTTGTACCTAAACAGTCAGTTTGTATAGTGTTTTCTGTTTTAGGAAAATTATAACTCATTTCGAGCCAAAAAAGGGAAAAATGCTCATGTGAGTGAAATGATCGGGTGGTCTGGATGTTTTGAACGCATGAATGGTTGTCCTTATTTATATGTTTTATTTTTTTCTTACACCATTATTTGTTAACAAAATGTAGACGCAGAGTCCAATGTTCACATTTTATGTACACAGACACTAACTAAAAATATTTTTTTAATGATAACTATAAAATTGAATATACTGTAAGTGCCTACTGTTATTTTGCGATTTTATAATACACTGGCTTTCTTGGTTATGCTGTGGTAAATATCTGAATATTAAAAAAATATATATATATTAATAATTGTAGAAATTAGTGATTGTAAAACCAGAAATTTTGAATCTCAAAACAAAAACGCAAAAATAAATAAATTGAATCTTGAATATCAAAACCTTAGTGGGAAACTTGCGTACTTTACCTGGGTTAGAGTTAAAAAATACTGGTATTAATAACATTTTTATCATGAAATTAAACTGAAAGAAATGTAGACTCCTGATTTGTGTAATCCACTTTGAACCTAAAAAAAAAAAACAATTGCTCATAAACAACAAACACTAAAATAAATTAAACTTGTGAAAACGACATCATAAACAAGAATGACGATTTTGTAGTTTAGTACTTTCTTTAAACATAAATAACTTAAACATAACATAACATTTAACAACATTATTATAAACGAAAGCACAGAAATAAATTAAACTCCTTATACAATTTTTGAATCTTGAAACTAAAACTTCTTCAAAATTTTTGTACAAATACACATACTGTACTGCATGAATAACCATGATTAATATAAAACATTTTCTTGTGTATAAGTGACAAATAATTATTTTTAGTTGGAATAATACATCAAAATTGGATAAGTGCAATTTAGGGATTACCATTAGCTGTTTAAAAAAAATATAAATTTAAAATAAATATATTTTTTATTTGCACTTGAACACCTTTGTTTTAACTCAAAACCAACAAATATTTTTAAACCGCACAAATAAATACCATTCAAACTCCAGATAATTTACCAAGACTATAAATGTCTGCCAACCGTGATAGGCAGGTGAAAGTATTGGCGCGAGCCAGCGATGTAGAACCAATTGATAATGTGAGCCAGGCTGTTCAGTGGTGACATGGCTCAGTCTGTTGTGTTGTTTACTTTGCAAACTGTCTTCGTCGCACTACCGTACAGCCATGCTTGCTAGTAAGTCGTACCTGCAACTCGATAAGTTAAAACACTCACACTTCTATGGACAAAATGTAAAATTTGTTTTTCAGTTTTTATGTTGTGTGTTTGTTTTGTGTATTAGTTTTTGTTTTTCACGTCAAGTGTCAGTATTGAGTTTGTTATTTTTTTACGGTGTTCTAAAAACAGTTTTGAAAAATTTTCAATTTAAATTAGTTTTACTTATTCAGTTTTTATGTAGTATTTGTTTTGTGTATTAGTTTTTCACGTTTTTACCGTTGTTATTAAGACTGATGGTTTGGTTATTTACTGTTACCTTATGATGGTTTCTAGTCAAACTTGTTTTATTTCTGTTTTTACTGTTATTCAGTGTGTTTGTTAGTTTCCCCCCTTCGGTTTATTAATGATGGTTTTTACTAAATTAACTTCTTGTTCTTTTTTTTATTTTTACATTTTATTTTTGTTTTGTGTATTTAGTTTTTAACAATAGATCGGTTTGATTTATTTTCTAACTTATTTTACATAATAATAGCATTGTTTTATTTTTTCAGTTCTATGTTGTGCGTTTGTTTTGTGTATCACTTTTAAACTTTTTCTCTGTAATTATTATTAATCCTTTTCGTTTTTTTCTCTATTGTTTACTAACAATGGTTTCATTGTTTTGTGCATGCATACCGTTTGTGTTTCAATTGTTTTTTGGTGTGAATGTGTATGGGTTATGTGGTCCAAGTGGTTCAAAAAAGAAACGCTAGTGTAATAAGTTAATCGCATAACTTTTTTTGAAAGATTTTTTGATATAGCGAAGGTGCTCGCCTGAAAGAGCTACCTTGAAAAGTCATTGTATTCAATTCAATACAATATAAAAAATATTTTTTTTTTCAATCATGCAGGTGGATTAGAATTCCCTAATTGCAAACGCAAATAGAATGAAATCTCAAAGTTCAATCCAGTTCATAATTCTATTACAGGAAAAGTCTGTTATCTTGTAAGCCTGCTCCTTTATCATCCTAGGTTTTTTTTCAAGAAAAATACGATAAATTGACAGTAAACGTACGAGTTAGTCAAACCTCTTTTATTTATCTAGTTCTACAATATTGTGTCTGGTTGTTGTATATTTATTGTACTCGTTGGAGAATATTTATTCTAAAGGTCGTTGAAGATCATAAATAATGTAATTTCTGATAAAGATGTTATGTGCTGTTGAAGAAGACGCAGCAGCCTTAACACAAAATGAATTATGAAAATAGTGTAAAAGGGTCTTTATATCCAATGAGATTGAATTACAACATTTTTATAACTGTTGGCTGCTAGAATTAATTTTATTATGTCTATCTTGTCATTGGAACAGTGCTTTGGGTTAAGTTTTAGTTGTTTAACTGTTTTAATCCTATTTCATTATTGAAATCATCAGTATAAGTAAACTATATCGATATTTGATCCTTTTTGTAGATAATTAACTGTCACTAACCACTTAACTATGTGTTTTGTATCACCTTTTATATTATTTTGCATGTTCTAACCTGTTCTTATTTTTCAATTAATATCTAATACTTGAAGAAGCCTTCTACTTCAGAAGTGTCAATTATTTTTATCGGATCGCTTTATAATTTCTTAAGTCCTAAACACATAAATATGTAATCCGCTTCAAAAGCATTATCCTACTTTCTTCACCGGTGCACTCACTACATACAATGGTAATTTGATTTGTGGTTATTACAGCCACAGTATGAATTTTACTAAAGCTGAAGAAATGTTTTGTGTTTAAAAAAGGTGCAGAACTAACTTTGGCTAAGTGTTATTAAAAGATATATACGCTAAAAACGTTTAAGAAGATTTTAACATTACACAGATTTCCCATAGTAAAGATTGTCATTTTTAGAACCAAAACAACATTTTCGATGGTTATAGAAATAGAAAATTTTGTTTGTAAAACAAACTTTCCAAAATATATTATGATATTTCTTTTGCTTTTAAAAATACCTAACACGGTTTTACGTAAAACTTAAAACTATAATTTGTTGAATCTTGGTTTTTGAATCATGAAGCTTGGTTTTTGGGAGATGACCTCTGAGGAACTGGCAAAAATACTGGCATACGCGTCCAAATTGTTGACCAGTTTTTTTTTGCCAATTCATTCACATAGTCATCTCTCAAAGAGTAAGGTTCTGCAGTCTAATTTAACCGTAACCTTCTAGCTTATAAATTATAATTTATTTGTTCAAACAATTAAAATACAAACATTTGACTTAAGTCTGTATATTGTGTTTACAAATATCACAATATTGTTACTAAATGGTTTAGAGGGCATCTTCTTTTCTTCTCTTTTGGTGTGGAGCATGTTATAATGTTATAGGGTTGGAGGAAGGTGAAAACCAGAGCTGCTACGACAGGGTCGTCTGGCGGCGGCAAGCTACCCCCCTCCCCGCACCCTTCGCCATCCCAGTCCGTCTCCTCCGTAGCCAATGAGAGTGAAGCACCCCCCACCACTAGTCCTGCACTCCCCTCTCCTCCCTTGACCTCCCCACCACCCATTAGCACTTCTCCCACCACGGAAACCACCACTAATGGGAACTCTAAGTCTAAAAAGGTGTGGGAATCGTGCCTGTTGGACGCTTTGCATGTTTTGTATGGTGAAGGACGTTTGTCTTGAACGTGGAGGTCACGGCTGTCTTAGTGCATCTTGGACTGTTTTGCTACTAAAAGTTTCAAGGTCAAGAGAGTTAATGTTATTTTCCGTAGCTTAAGGATTAAAAGTCTTGAATTTTAAAGTGTTTTGGATTGTTGTTAGAGCACAGAGAAGTAAGATTACCAAAGAGAAGGAGACGTTAAGAACGATTTCTTAGGTACAATATTTAGATACCATATTTATATTTAGGTGACTATACTTTATTCTTCATGTTAACTGTGCAGTATCAAGTGTCCATAAGCAACGTATTTCAAATGGCAGTTTTAGTGACACTAGTTGCCCTAAAAACACAAAGACCCACAAAAAAATCCTTATTTCTATATTTTTCTGCTACTATATTAGTTTTGACAAGTCCAATTTATATTTTTGTAATTTCTGCTTTGTTGCAAACGCAACATCTTGAAGCTTGCACCATCTCAAAACAACAAAATAAATTACATTCAATACAAAATTTAAATTTACATGAAGTTGAAAGTAATTAGATATTTAAAACAACATTCTATTGATGCCACCAGAATTGTTTAAATGATATCACTATTGTCCTTATCACATAACGTTAATTCTTTGTGGTGTATTGGATGGCTTGAACAATTGCAACACTTGCAAAAAACTAGTCCGAATACCGAGGGAGGTAGGCATGCATATAAAGTTGCAAATTAAAGCCTTTACAAAAACATTCTTTGACTGTCCCTTCTCTGTGACCGAACTTGAATCTCAATGATTTGTGTTGTTTGTTGTAAAATACCCCCACCGCAGCAAACCTGCCGTCTAAGCGAATTTCCATTTGGCCAAATTGATTTTCAATTGATCTATTTAAATAACATTAGGTTTAACAAGTACCTAGGTTTGCTGCTACAAGGAAACTAATAAAGTAGTGTGTTTTTAGTAAAATATTGATAGCTTACTATAAAATAAATAAATTTGCCAAGTTTGATCAAAATATATCCATAAACAAGCAAACTACAACATTTTACAATATTCTCCATAAGAATAACATGGGAATTTTGAATTTATCATTTTTTTAGTTTTCTCCGTAACCAATAACCGTACAAAAACACTTTGATATACTGAATTTTTTGTTTTTTTAAGCTCTTTAAGAAGGTTTAGAGAAAAATTGGGAAATTTTGTGTTTTGAGGGTAAGAAGTGAGAAAAACCAATTTTTACCCCATAAAACCCCCCATAAAACCCTGTTCCCATGGTCCGATCATGCTGGATCGCGAACTCATTCAAGTTTATCCCGCCTTACACCTTCAAACCAAATTTCATCAAAATCGGATACAAATTACTCAAGTTATCGTGTTCACGGACACACATATATATATATATATACATATATAAAAATTTGAACGAATGGTGTTTTTGGCCTCTGGGGACATTAAAATGAAAAAGTAAATCGGTCCCGGGCCTAAGTCTTACCATGAGACCTACGGTAATAGCTACTTCCCTATAGGGAAATTCGCTAAAAATAAAGATTTTTTATTACATTCCTCTGAGTTACCAATACTTCTTTGACCTTGAAATTGATAAAACTGCTTTTTAATTGTTCTGTGTACTGTTATGCTATTTTACCAATGATTATTGGGGGTGAACGAGTTTTAATTATATCTCTGACATTTTAAAACCAGAATTAATTTAAAAGACTAAGTAATGTAGGTTTAAAATCTAAATTCCAATCTTAGATTTAAATCCTAACAGTCTTAAACTGTTTTCGATGTTTTAACTATACCTAAGTGTAAATAATCATTTTTTGTAATTGAGTTTTTTTTAGTAAGTGATAACCATTAAGGAATCAGCTTGGTATTTGTCACTAAAAATAAACGCTTTTACACAACTTAAAATTGTTATACTTTTAATCAAATGTATCTGTATGCAGTATTTATTTTTACTTTACAGAATTAAACAAATTGTCTTTTATGCATTCATTACTTATTGCAGTAGTTGTAACAACAATATTTAACTTGTTCACACTTTTATTGAATTTGATAAAATAATTACTCGTCCTCTCCTAATATTATTGATATTGCATGCCGATCAAGACCACCTTACTGTAATTGAAACATGATTTTTAAGAATTTCAAGGACATTTTCAGTTTAAACAGATTAACTTTGTTAGGCTTTCATTCACGTTGTAAATTTTCAGTGAACTAAATTGGTTTTGTCATTGCTACATTCCATTTTCTCAGTTTGGTGTACACATTAATTTTATCAGAACTATTGCCCTTTTTTTAATGTACATCAGCTGGTTTAGATAACTTTAGTTTGGACTGGATGACTCGTATGACTCGTCTGGAGCCACTTGCGTCTGACTCACACACTTATACATACAAACATTGTTACATTGTTCATAGCTACATAATCAAACAAGTCACAACACGTTCATCTAGTGCTACTCAGTTACATTAGATTGCTGTCATTAATCTATATCTTATTATAATTCTATAGTTTACTAATTTTTCACCCATAATATCTAGCTTAAAACATTTTCATTTGTGTATGAACTTCTTACAGTTCAGGGTATTTTCTATTTCACTCAAGGTTTTAGTGCCCAGTTGTCGGAACTGCCCTTTGTAGATTTCAAATTGTGTTAGCAGTTATATCTTGAATATATCGTTTCTTAAATATATCATGGAACTATTCTCGTATCAAGATTACTTTTACCATCCAATCCTTAGGAAGATGTTTTATTTGATTTCAAAAAAAAATATGTGAGAAATAATATTTCCAAAACATAGGTACGTTCTACAGTTTATGAACAACTCTGTACAATTGGGAAATATTTGAACTGTTTGTTCTAGATAAAAACCTCCTGCATGGCATCATTTTGGCGACGGAAGGTTAAACAAATAAATTATACCCTTTAGACGCTTGATGTAGATATCGCCATAGTTTGTTTAACTATTGATAAAGGCGTGCATCTGCTGTTACAATGCTTTAACAGTTGGTTTTATTTTTTGAAATGTAATTTGTTTCTAGTTTCAAGGCAGAGAAAATTCTTTTTGAGAGTTATCTTACGTTTGAGAGTTAGCAACTGGCTTTGCTTTGTGTATTGTGTTTTGTGATGCAAAGTTGTGTTTGAATACCTGTAAAACATAGTGTGCGTGTTTACGTGTATTATATATAATAGTAGTAAGTATTGTTAGTACTTTGTCAACACTTGCCGATTATATAAGAAATCTTCTAAAACCAGGAAATTGCATTGACGATTTATTTTACATCATGAGATTCTTGATTTGTTTTGTATAGTGAAATTGTGTGTGAACAGTTGTAGTTTCCGGTGAAAGCTAAGTAGGTGTAAATACAATCAAGTTGATTTAGAATTAAGCTGTATTTGTTAGAGGTTTACATCATATGAAGATTTTTTAATTGTTTGCTCTATACAGAACAGTTTTAAAATATGACTCAATTATGCAGTGTGATTTACTTGCAGTAGATAAAATCAATACGATAAGCTCTCTATATACTAAATTGTCTTAATTCAGTTCCTAAATTAACCTTTAGAGAAATCTCAAAGGTGTGAAAATACCACACATTTAACAATTCACAATCAATCTAATGTTCTAACATTGTTTGATTTTACTTTTGAAGCATTAAAAAGTAAATACAGGTAAATATAAGCATGCAATCTACAAAATGTAAAATAAAAATTAATTGTATCAAATTTTGAACATTATTATTTTAAAACAGCATTTTAAATTTAGTGTGACTTTGAGGTACTGTACTCTGTAGATATTTGTTTACTCTTTAATGTGGATTACTTTGTTTTTGGCATTTATACAATTTTCTTTGACGGACAAACTTTATGGTTTCAGGAAAAGGATGGGGTGAAGAAAAAAGGCAGAAATAAAGAAGGTAATATATGGCTGCTTAGTCTTCCATGATTGTGATTAAATTTAATTATTTAAAGTTGACCTAAACCTAAAGATTACCTACTTTTTATATACAAAATTTTGTACTCACTCTAAAAATGTTTGAAAACTGTGTCAAATTACATTTGTTCACTCTCACTGTTTATTTTTTAATTATATAAATCAGCTTTTCAACTGTAAAGTTCTTAAACTTGTTCATACAGAATCACAACAATATGCTATTTTTATTATTGCCCCGTACTAGTTATTAATTTTCTATTTTCCTTTTACCATGCTTCCGTGGAATCAATATTTATCTTGTTGGTAAGTTGTGGTTGTCCTAGACTAGTGTAAGGCTAATTTTGGTGTAATTGTTTGAAAGGGTTGAAAATGAATGCTTGTACGGTAGATTAAATAATAATATTTTTTTTCCTTTAATTACTGTGGAAGAATAATTATGTTTTCTCAATCTACGTAATTGAAAACATTTTAAAAGTAGTGTGAATTGCTGTAAACACTAAGATTGTTAAATAAATTGCAATAATTTTGATTAATAACATACAGTACCTTAATGTGAAATTTCACTAATGAAAATAAGCCAAATATGTGCATATGGTGATTTCTGGTTTTGCTAAACAGCATTTTGCCAATTCACTTGTAATGAAGATTTTAATTATGTAAGCAAAAAATGTGAAATGTGTGGCTAATTTGTACTAAAACTCAAAATCATTATTAAGTACAATTTACTAATGACGAACAGAGTTCTAAAATATCACCAGAAGTCACGAACATCTGAATTAGCTGTAGAGTGTTGTTATCACTTAGTGATAAGAAATGCAGGCAAACTTAGGAAATTATAGTTTAGAAAGTCTAGCAAACAATTTGACTGGTTAAACTAGTATTGTCGTAAATGGTGGTCAATAGAAAGTAATGAGGTAGAAATATTGACAAAATGATAAAAAATCTTGGTAAAATGACACTTAAACTTTACCTCTGGATCCCTATTACACATTCCAACTTTGACTGATTGTTTCACCCATGATGGAAAATGTAGCCTGCCATGCCTTCTAATCAAATTGAAGGCTTAGACAACGAGGGGAGCTTTAAGTCATAGAGAATATTGAGAGAATAGCTGCAACTAAGTCTCAGGAAACTGAAATCACAAATTTGCTTTCATCAGAACATCTATCAGTGTTATTTCGTTAGCGGGGCCACAACTATATTACACAAAAGTTTAAATTACTAGGATGGGACCCGGAAACATAATTTTACTTCCTGAAGAAAAATAAATATTTCTCGAGTTAGTGAGTTGGTTGCTCGACTGTGAAACCAAGGTCCAAGGACAGAGTATCCTGATACTACTACTAAACACTGATTCTACTAATATTTATTAGTACTTATACCCCATCACCTCACCCCATTTTTTTTATATATTTTTTTTTTTTGCTTGTATCTACGCCAGAGTGCAATTTTCATAATTAAGTCAATTCAAACGATAAGAAGAAGGTGGTCCTAAACTATTAAAGTTTGTGATGTGCCAGGAATTAACCCATCCCTCCCACACTAAAGTCTAAGACGCTTAGGACTAGGCTAGCAACACTCCCACTTTGCTTCATACATTCTATGAGCATGTCTTTGATGCTCATATGGGCAGACAAACTTTAGGTTGAAAGAGGCTGGCCTATTAAAAAAATCTTTTTAGGCACTGTTAAATATATCTGTAAAGACAATGAATTTGTGTCACTTGAAGATCATTAGTCTAAAACTAATATAGGTTTACTTGACAGAGCAAGTTAATTGGATCATTTTAGCTTAAATCAAGAGATCCAGAGGCTCTTTCACCATGTGGATAAGGATTTTTTTTAATAAACTTCCGAAGCAAAGTTGCATTGATTAGTAAGGGTGTCTTGGTGCTGGGAATTCCTAATCCTGGTCTGGTGGCAGGTATGATTCACGAACCTACAGTGCTGATCGAGGGGGTGCTGTTCCGAGCGAGGTATCTCGGCTCTACGCAGCTGGTGTGCGAAGGTCAGCCGACCAAGAGCACCCGGATGATGCAAGCCGAAGAGGCGGTTAGTCGGATAAAGGTCAGTTCCGCATGGTTTATTGTTTCTGTTTGGATAAAGTTGATAAAGTAGGTAATTAATATTCATAGTACACCATATATTTAAGGCAGTTAGGTTAGGTTAGTTTTATGTCAATACTTCCTATTGTACAGTTTTTATTCCTGCAGTAGTGTCAGGGTGTCTACAACTTCCGGAAAAGTCCTCAAAATTTCACTTAGGTCCCTGTTCCCAAAACCTCACGTTATTTAAATACAGACTCCTAATTTTTGTAACTGTTTCTTAATGTTTTAATAGTTTAAGGAAGTAATAAAAGGTCTGAAACAGATGATATTTTTAGACCGATTTCTATGGTTTTAGTTGGGAGCTAGGTGGCTTAAACTTGAGACGTGAACTGTGATTTGCAAAGCTAATGATCTTTTGTCAGTTGATAACAGTGTGTAGTAATATGTTGGTAAATGTTGTCAAAACCTTTTTCTGCACCAAATATTTTTAATTACTTATTTGTTACACTAAAAGTGGAAATGAAAATTGCTCAGTAGTCTCCAAACTCCCCCCTCCTCAAAAATCTGTTTATATGGCAAGAGCTATTATAGATACCCTGATTATATTACATTGTTGGTTTCCAAATTCCCTCCAATGCAGATCTGGATATGTATAAGTTTCTTTTTACAGCATAAGTCTGCACAGAGGTTATTCAAAATGTGTTAAAAAAATAACAAGAATGTTTTTAATTTTTGCCGGCTTTAGAGAGTCTGATTGTTAAACTTTTTTATGCTATGTTACATGACCTTGAAGAATGATAAAACTATCATCTCCAGTGGGTCGTCGTTTTACAGCCGTAAATGACTTTTTAAAGCGCATAACTGAAAGGACTTTCGACTTAAGTCTATCTCAAAGATTGAGTTTGAGAAGTGTTTCGGGAATTGGAAGAAGCACTGCCATAAGTGAATAAATTCTAACGGAGACTATTTTGAAGGCGGCAACATTAATGTTGATGAATAAATAAGTATTTTGTTAAAAAAATTAAATTTTCATTACTATTTTTAACACACCTCGTATTTTTATTTTTCATTTTACTATTTTTATTATAAACACACTAACATTTTAATTAGGCACAAACATGTTTTTTTTTATGTTTTTTATTATTTATTTTAAAAGTTTTGGTAAAAAAGAACTGCCTGAAAATAGAAGTACTCTGTATCTGTAACCAATATGATTTTGTTTCTCTTAAGTACATCAATAAAGTAGCTTGACCTCCGCAATCCAAATACTAATACAGTTTTTAAAAGAAAATATTTTGGATTTTAGTGTCTACAAAAGGCATTTGGTTTTGCAATCTTCCTATGATTATGTGTCTCATTAGGAACAGATAGGTGCATGTAATTATGTCATTCCTTCTATTGACACAGATAAATTTGCCATTATTATATCCTTACAAAACTTGTTTACTAAAAATGAACTAATGTAAAATTAGATTTTAAAATATTGCTTTAATTAGTTTTAAATCAGATATGATATGAGTTAGACATACCTATTTTTCGATGTTTAAAGGAAAAGCTTATTCTAACTTCCACTTTGCAGAATTTATTTGGACGCTCATGAAAAGCGTTTGAAAAGCTGGAGTTTAAGTACGTTGATTTATTTTGTGTAAAATGTACAGCATCATTTATTTTCACAACCTTATATTTTATGATTTTTTAAAGGGAATACATTTATAATTGGAGTTACTATTTAAAACACTCTTTTTAGAACATTTAGAGACAAATAAGTAGTTTAGTTATGTTATTAGTAGTTTAAATTTAGTGGTTCAAAATAGTCGATTAGTTGAGCATGTTTATTTATGCATCATAAACATAAACAAATGACGTTGTTGGCCCGAATCCTATACTAACAGCATTGAACATATGTTTTGGCAGTTCCATTTAAGCAATGTTAAATAATGTTTATTTTCGGGCCAAAAATTTAATTTGTTTATGTTTATGACCCATACCGGTATTTTTCTAGTACTTGTGATATTAACTAATATTTAATATTTTGGTAATATTTTGGAAAAGTGTCATTTTTCTTATTTTTTTGTATGCAAACTTGTTACTCTAAACAGATGTTGATTTTTTTTTCTTTTATTATTGTTTATTTGTTGACAGTTGACAATAATTCAAAATTTGGTAGCTCTTTGTCCCTAATAACATTGGTAGAATGTAATTGTTTTATTTTTTTATCTATTTGGGAGATTTTTATTTTATTCCACATCACTATTTATATCTAACTGTGTCGTTCTGTTACAACAGTTGTGATTCAATGTGAGCATTTTGATTTATTAAGTACTAAAATACCAACTTCACTGAACCTGGTGTATAAACACCTCGTTAATTGTTGCATTGGTTACTAGTTGAAAACCCCAGGCAACGAGTATGCATAGGTAATAAATCAATTTTACCAGAGATTGTGTTAAGCTAAACTTGATTAATCCAGAATTGATTCATATTTATCTTAAATTAACAAGGGCAGTCATTATTATTATTAGACTATATATTTTAAAATCATATAGTTGTGTAACTACTAACTAGATAATGTTCCTAATTCTTACCTATAATTGCAAACACTACTTCTGGCGAAGCCTTGACTCTTTTGTAAATATTTTGATACTTTTCAAGATATCCTTACAAATATCTGTAAAAATGTTTTTTAGAGGGTTGAAAAAACTCTTTAGTTTGTATTTATTTTTATTAGCGAATTTCCCTATAGGGAAGTAGCTATTACCGTAGGTGGCACGGTAAGACCTAGACCCGGGACCGATTTACTTTTTCATTTTGATGTCCCCAGAGGCCAAAAACACCATTCGTTCAAATTTGTATATATGTATATATATAGATTTATATATATATATATATATATATATTCGTCCGTGAACGCGATAACTTGAGTAATTTTTGTCCGATTTTGATGAAATTTGGTTTAAAGGTGTTTGCATGATCGGACCATGGGAACGGGGCTTTACGGGGGGGTTTTATGGGGTAAAAATTGGGTTTTCTCACTTTTGACCCTCAAAACACAAAATGTCCCAATTTCTCTTTAGACCTTTTTAAAGAGCTTAAAAAAACAAATAATTTAGTATATAAAAGTATTTTTGTTCGGTTATAAGTAACGGAGAAAATTTAAAAAATTGTAAATTTAAAATTCCCATGTTATTCTTATGGAGAATATTGTCAAATGTTGTAGTTTGCTTGTTTATGGATATAATTTGATCAAACTTGGCAAATTTATTTATTTTGTACTAAGCTATCAATATTTTACTAAAAAACACACTTTATTAGTTTCCTTGTAGCAGCAAACCTAGGTACTCGTTAAACCTAATGATATAAAAATATATTTAATTGAAAATCAATTCAGGCAAATAGAAATTCGCTTAGTCGGCAGGTTTGCTGCGGCGGGGGTATTTTTATATTTATTTCATTTGTTATCATATGAACTACAGTAACTCATTATAAAAGCTATAAAATGTATTGGTTATAAACACATCCATTTTAATGGTATACTTTGCAAATTTGTTAAATAGTTAAAATTATGATTACACTAAAGTATATAAATGTGCTAGAAAGTTAAATTGTAACAAGTATCATCAAATTGATGAACTTACTGTTACATCATAAAGTAATTCCAAATAATAAACATAACTGTTATGATTAAACTTACCTCAATTTTAGACACTGTAAGTTGATTAAATATTTAACATACGTGTCTAAGTATTTCTTTTGGTTTTTCTCTCGATGGAGTGACAACAAAAAATATTTGAGATAATTCATTAAAACAAGTTAGAACATTGCTTTAGGTAAAGCATACTCTGTCTATAAAAATTAATAATTAATTTAATGTTAATCACTACGCAAAAAACTATAAATAATTTGTTAAAAAACAACATGTTTGCCAATACAACAGGAGAAGCAAGGATGCACTTGTAAAATGATGTCTTCGATTAGACTCTTTTAAAATATTGAAAATATGCTAAAACAACTTAAACTATAATGTTGAAAAGAAAAAAAGAGTATTTAAGTAAGGTAAAGAGAGTAATCACTTTTTATAAAATATTCATTGCTGGTAAATTTATTGATTGTGTATATTTTTTGACACTGTTTAAATTGTGTCTCAAGTAATTTTATTTTAATATTACATCCTGTATTTACTGTTATTAGAGTTACTACTGTACAAAGTTTTGTTGAATTTTGAGATTTTAAAAACTTGTGAATAAAAAAACTTGCTTATCAAACTAGCCAAAAACTTACCAGAGCACCAGTACTGTTCTTGCACCAATGAAAATAGTATTGTTTTAATTTGAATTTATTTTCCTAATCTAAGTTAGTTTGTGCTGCTAAAAAATATTAATCGTCTGTAAAATTTCCAACCACCATCAACCAAACAAATTAGATCACTTATGTGCAAAACATAAAAGCAACTTAAACCTTAAATAAATAACTTGTATGATTATAGTAACATAGTGTATCAAAATTCAAACACAAATATTACACAGTCACATTTAAATTATTAACTTTAAGGCACAATTTAATGTCGTTCACTTTTAGATACCAGGGTTTTTCAATAGAAAGTGCTGATCCATTTTAGTTGTTTTTTCAATTCCCCTAAAGTTTCTTGCACTGTAGAAATACCTTTTTGTGTTATACTGTATAATTTTCTCCTTTTATGCACAACACAATTAGATTTCTTTCCGAACAGTATTCTTATCAATTCTATTCTTGCAATTATTTATTTCCTGCATGTAACCCTAAAACTATTATTTATCAGTGATGTTTACTTTTATTTATATATAAAATATATCATGGTGTGAGTCTTTGTCTTGTTCCATATTTTGTAGTTTTGTTAATTTGTTTGTCTAGATTTAGGTAATCTCTAAATTGTCTTTTGGACAATTTTGTTTATCTTTTCTTTTTTTAAGATTTACAACCAACTCATTTACAAGTATAATTGATACAAATTATCATATAAGAATGTTTTGTTGTAATCGAGTTGTATAAATCGAACAAAGACTACTAAATGTTTATATTGCAGTTTATTGAGCGCCGTTTGGTAGATAAACTGAGTATTATACAGGGTGAGTTTTAATTGTCCCCCCCCCCCAACTTTTTTCTACATTTTTTCAAATATCAATCCCAGACCACTTCCAAACATTGTTGGGTAGGAAGTACTTCATTTTGACTAGGTGGTCATTTCCGGCCGCCATCTTGGATTCGCCATATTGGATGCAAAATATTTTTTTCAAATGTAAAGGTGGGGCTGTGATCCATTATTTGGAACTAGATTTTTACCCTGATTACAATGCCACAAACCGTTTTTTGTTATCAAGTTTTCTTTATGAAATAATGCTATTTTTTTTGTAAAAAATGTCAATATTTCAAAATCAAAATATGAAAATGAAAAACAGATTGTGGAATTGAGTTCAGCTTAAAAAAGTAATTCGAAATTATGGGTCACAACACCCCCTTCATATTTAAAATAATTTATCACATTTCAAAATGGCGGATCCAAGATGGCGGCTGAAAAAATTACATCCGTCATAACCAAGTGAAAATAGGTCAACAATCACTGGTGGCGTATACTTATCTTTATATAGCACTATTTTGAGATTATTTTCTTAGTTTGTAAATGCACAATGTTAAACTGGGCTAAAAATAAAGTTATAAAAACCCCTCATAACTTTGGAATGGATCGAGATTTTTAAAAACGGTTTGTGACATTTTAATCAGGGTAAAAATCTAGTTCGAAATAATGGGTCACAGCCCCACCTTTACATTTGAAAAAAATATTTTGCATCCAATATGGCGAATCCAAGATGGCGACGGGAAATGACCACCTTGTCAAAATAAAGTAGGTACATCCTACCCAACAATGTTTGGAAGTGGTCTGTGATTGATATTTGAAAAAATGTAGAAAAAAGTTGGGGGGGGGGACAATTAAAACTCATCCTGTATTTGCGATCATTGCTGTATATTTTACAGTGTTTTAAGGTGATTTGGTTTGGTAAAAAGTCATTTTAGCTTAATTTATTCTTTGATTTGGATGCCCAATATGCTTTAGGAGTGTCAACAATTAAATCTCACAAGGAATTGTGCTCACTATTAATTAGGTCTTCATGGTTTAAATCTACTTTGACATCAAAATATACCATGGTCGGTCTTTTTAATTTATCAAAAAGTTTATTTCCTTATTTGTTCTTATTTTTATTAGCAAGCTTGAACATTTTTTAGCAAGCTTGAAGATTGACACACAAAAGTAGTTTTCATCACTGGGAGAGAAAGTGGCTGTTTTTGGTATGCAATCATGTTTTCAAGCTTGGAATTACGATTAAGTACCAATAAGACACTTTCGCTCCATGTGATGGACAACTATTTTCATCATACTGTGGAAATAACCTTCTAACCGTTACAAAATTAGACTACATAAATTGAGGTTATGCAAAGTCGTCATCAATGTTAAACAACATTAAATATCGTGTGATAACGTTTTCATAATGCAGTGATAAAATGTTGAGGTTAGCGAACCGAAAAATTTACTATATGTTTTTTCTCTTTCCTATTTGAAGTTACCCGAAAACGATGATTTTGCTGCCGATTTAGAGAACTAAAAACGGCTGCTTTCTGGACAGTATGATGAAAAATGACTTTTTCAATAGACGACCATAACTTTGTATGGTGCTTCTTGGAATTCAAAAATGAAAAATATATATTTGTGACGGATTGCAACAAAACGTTAACTCAAGTACTTATGTTTTTGCTGTAGCACAATGAATCAATTTACAAACCATTCAAGTTATTTGTTGTTATACAGCATTGCATACTCTGCTCTGATTCGGTTGAGTCATGTGTGGTCTTACATTGTTTTCTTCTACAATTAATGATCTAAAATGAGATTTTATCCTATTTGGAACAGATCTGATTAAAAGTATGTTATTAATTTGGGTTGTTTTAGAGTTGGTTAGGTGATCAGATCTAGGTTAGGCTGGGGCCAGACGTTGCTGTTTGGTCACGCACGGGTGAAACGCACAATGTTATCTGCGCAGTCAGTGTCAGTATTCACACCGGTTGAACCACTTCCTGTTGGATTTTCTTAACTTACCTCATCTGTAATGACCAAGGTTCAATTCACTTACAGTAGTCAAGGACAAACACTCTTGCATTTTTGGTATACTTACTTCTTAGTTTTTTGTCTTTAAGTAGACAGGATAAGTGGATTCGTTGTAAGTAGCACCTCGAATTTAACTTTTCGCTTATCTTCACTGTCTGTTCAGCTAGAACTTGTTTTAAACTACTTCAATTGTTTATTGATAATATAAGATTAAAACGTTCGAGTTGAAACATGAAGGTTAAGCGTGAACGCGTTTTGTTGAGATTGAACAATATTTTTCACTAGTTTATATTGTATAAATTACCATGGACTGAAAAATAGCTGATTTAACAAGCGACAAGCTAGTCGTCATTTTATGAAAAATGTTTGTCTCTTTTTCTCATTAGGAAAGTGTTTATAGCTGAGACTCTCCACCTTGTATAAACGCGTCACACGTCTCAAACATTTTGTAAACTTGTACTTGCTCACCGGCACATTCTTTGTTTGCACCGAGAAAATTATGTGAAATGGTTGGATAGGAATACTCCGGATAAGCTGTGAGATCCACCTGTATATATGGATGTTGTCTCACAAAGCACCGTCAACGTCAACTGATTCCAACCACCTATACCACCAATGAGCTTTCAACGTTGTAAATACACAAAAATGTCAGTGTTATCGCTTGGTTACCAATGGAAAACAAGCGTAACGTACGTCTATCGATAGGAGTTTAGTTTCAGTTTGCTTTATGAAGTGTCCCCCGTTTCTTTGCTCCCTGAAATGTCTAGATATGTTTTGTTACATCCTCACAGACCCGCACTGAGTGTTTTGTTATGTGACGCACATTATTTGACGCACTGCACACATCACTGTCTGTTTCTGTCTCTGTCTGTTGATACTTTGTATTTTTTCTGTTTTTTTTATAAACTCCCTGGTGACTTAAAATAAGTGTCAAGTAAAACTTAAAATTCCTTCAGGAATTCATAATGTGTAAAAAGTTATAAACAACTATTATTGAAGAATTTTATCCCAAAAAATAATTAATCTAGTCACTAAAGTAAGTGTTAAGTAAAACTTAAAATTCCTTCAGTAATTCATAATGTGTAAAAAGTTATAAACAACTATTATTGATGAATTTGATCCACAAAAATAATAAATCTAGTCAGAAAAAAAGTTGGGGCTATTTCGTTAGCTTGTAAAAATAAATTTTCAAATAAAACTTATTAATCTTTAAACACTTTTTAAACTATTTTTTGTATGATACAAAATTGAATAATTTGTTCATTCTTGCAACAAAAACAGTTCATTTTGTCATGAAAAAACTTATATTAACAATAAACATACTCATTCTTGAAATTCATTACAATATTTTGTCTAAAAAGTAAACATTGCTTAAATTTAACCCATTAAGCTATCTCTATTGGTTAAGAATATTAAAATACTTCAAGCTTTATGTATTACATCACACTCAAAAATATGAAAAGAGTAGGTTATTTTTTGATAATATTGCAAAGTAAACCTACTTTATGGGCTTAATATTTAACCAACAATACAGAAATAATATATATTTTTTTTTTATTAACTGGTAGAATAAATAAAAATATAAACATAATCATAAATTTCCATTTACTAGTTGCTTTTAAATAAAATAACAATTAATTATTATTACTAATATTCATTTTTAACAGGTTTTTTTTAATAAAATTTGCAATAGGAAGGGTCTACATTATAACCTTTTTAATCCATGAAATTTTAAAAAGCTGTACCTTTTTATCAGCTAGACTCTTTGGAGTTTTAAATTATATTGCCAGAAAGAAAGATAATTTGATCAAAGCTTTATAGATAAAGATTAATTCAATAAAAATTTAAAATGTATACATTTTAAAACTGTTTTCAACATATCAGTTGTCATTGGGTTGCCAATTAACAATACTGACTAAGAAATTATTCATTAGATACAAGACTACGATACGTTTATGAACCTTCAATGATTCAAGTGGTTTCCTAACAAAAAAGTAAAGATCAGCTGTAAGAAACTCATGTAAACTTTGTCTGATCTAATAAGGTTTTTATTTCAAATAATGCCAATTGCGTAGAAAATCACACAAATACATCCACACAGTTTCAGTAATGTTTCATCACTACAGTTGAGATTCGGGTTAGGTTAGGTTAGGTTGTGTTGGTATGGTGGTTGGAAGACAGTTATGTACAGGTGGGGACACACCACGCAGGGTGTGAACTTGCGGCTTTGAATCCGTCCGATTCCGACTCCACCGAATTGTCGGATCTCGAGGCAGATTTGAGCTCTAACGCTCGACTCGGCCCTGGCTCGCTTTTCCGCCTTCGCTTTCTCGGTTCAGTCGCTGTAGACGAAGAGGAGAGGTCTACGTGTAAGCGACGACTGAAGAAAACCATGGTCGAAGAAGCTGTGATGAAAATAAAGGTGCGGTTTGATATGCGGGGCACTATAGTTAACACTGCACTGAAAGAATTTTGAGGAAATTTATTAGTTCCTAGTTTTATTTCTATTTTAGTGGTTATAGTTTGTGTATGGCTAGAATCACGAATGTGATAGCCGTTTTGTATTGTTGTATGAATTGGCCCTAAGTCATTGCCGGTGTTAAATTTAAAATCGTGAATGAGAATATTGGTATGAAGTTTTGGGAAGTAATTGTTTTGCAAACTAAATTTCAGTCATCTACTAAGATTTAATGATACTAAGTAAGGGGGGGGGGGTGTTTTTATCTTTAGGCCGTTTTAAGAGACCTTTTGTGATTTTTGTGATAACAGTATCATTGTTTAGTAAAAGTTGTAATGACTAATTGCCTGAGAAAAGTTGAATTTAAATTTATTTTTCAGATGAGACTCAGAATAACCATGGTCGTTCAAATCCATTGATTTTTAAATAAATATTAAAAAAGTTATTACATTTTCAAATTTTGTAACAAATACAAATCTTGTCTCGATCTTTACCAGGAAAACTAATTAAATAAATTATTTAAAATCATTTCACAAGATTGGAAATATGTCATGCATTGTGTTATAGCTAGAACTGATAAAGCTGGCATCTATACTTGGGTTGATATTTTTTAAATGTTTAGCACAATTATGTTGAAATTATTTTGTGACATATTTTTAAATAATTTTATGCTGACTGTAAATTAGATTACCCTTACCTGACATGTTTGTATCAACTTTTCCAATGCTGTTCTATCTTACACCTTATAGGAAGTTATTGCCCCCAATAAGTTTGTGCTTTGTATGTAATGTCTACCTTTAAGTAACGTAGTTATTTGGATCATTTAATGACATATTGTTTCCTCATTTTTGTGCTGCTTTGGTCCTGTAGGCTTTGGTAAGTTTATTTGGATAATTATTCCTCTTATGGTTATTATTTTTTGAAAAGTAATACCTTTCATTTGAAAATGTTTGATGCCCATTATTCACCCGTAATGATTATATAAGCTTTACATAAAACAACGATATTTTTGTAAATAATTCAAGAGATGATTTATACCTGCCCCTAAGAGACAAAATAATGAATAAAATTGTCAACCGCTGACTATCACAATTTTGAATTTGAAGTAACTGCACACCTAGAATTCTAATGCAACGATTTCCCTTGCTTACATTTGAGACATACAACAATTGAAATATGTTAGTAAACCATCATTATTTTGTTCCTAATTTTTTTGTGAGGTAGTGTTTGCTGAGTAAATTGAAAACTTAAAATCTTTCATCCTGGCAATCAAAATTATTGTCTTAATATTTTAAATATGTAATGAATAAACAAAATGTTATATACTATACTAATGTTACTAAGCGAATATACGTTATCACAATACTTATTCCAGGCACCCGAAGGCGAAACTCAACCCAGTACTGAAGTCGACCTATTCATCTCCACCGAGAAAATCATGGTTCTCAATACAGATCTCAAGGTAAAGTTATTCCAAAAACTTGTGTCTAAAGATTTTAAAATTTTTTTCTCGGAATCTACGCTTGTGGCATTTTTACATGATTAATAACAAGAGGACGTAGGCTTGCATTAACGCTTAGAAAAAGCGGTCCAAACCAAATTATTGTATATTTCCATAAATAATAAAAGGTTCAATAATACTTAAAAGCATTGATTTTTAAATTCCGAATTAGACATCCTATCTATGTGGGCCAGCAGTAAATATTTTTTTATTTTATAATCACAGTTTAATGAGCTGCTATTTTAAAAATACTATTTTCTTACTTAAGTTTTTGTTCCTGCCATAGTTGATGTGAAAAGATGCTGCTTACAATTTGTCCTTTCAGTTTGGTTTAGTTAAAAAAACGGCGTGTATGACAGAAATTGGCAATTTACCTACATTAGTTTTCATTCTAATATTTGGTACTACATTAACATGGGAATGCAATGTTTGCTGTATCTATAGTCGATTTTTACCAAAAGAATTTTTTATGCGAAATTTTTGACTTGTGTACAGTACAACACAACTAAATCCAGGCCTATAGTGGCAAATTATGTCATCAAGTTGTAATTTTTCACAGGAGATAATGATGGACCACGCTCTCCGTACAATCTCGTACATCGCGGACATCGGAGACTTGGTGGTGTTGATGGCTCGGCGAAGGTTCGTACCCCACGAGGTCGAAGATCCGCCGAAGATCAACCGGACACCGAAGATGATCTGTCATGTCTTTGAAAGCGAAGAGGTAATGCACATCAGTTGACAATGTTAGGGATACAGTTGCTTAATAACTAGATAGATTCAATTAACATAATCAATTTTGATTAAATGGCTCCAGGGAATTGTTAGTGTAGTATTTTATGTGGACAGAATGGGCAAATATGTTGATTTTAATTGTTTTAAATATATTTATCCACTACCTACTCAATTTTAATTATAGTTCTAATTGTAAAACATCCATCCAATACTTAATTAACAGCGGTTTTTTTTGTAATGGCAGGTTTACCAACAATGCTTAAAAACATAGGCTTTTGTATTGAATCTTACATTATTAGTTTACAGAATTTACGTTTTGGATAGTATTATATCTATTGATGTGATATTTTTAGATATTGGGATTTTTTCTCAATTTACAGTACTTATTTTTATACTAAAACTTAATGATATGTTTAAAGCATATGTAAGAAAATAGGAATAAAAACACTTACTTTCTGTTATTAATGCTTACATAATTAACTTTGATTCCTTAAAATACAATAGTTTTCTAACCAAATTGATAATCTATTCCTGAATTTTGCCAACAAAACAATCATCTGTCCCCTCCAAAAAAAATCTTCTGTATAATTTTCTGTTAAATCATGTTTTATCCGTAACAATAGTTTGATGTGTGGTAACAGTGGCAAAATATTTTTGTGCTCTTGGACCTAGCTGTTAGCCTCTTAAAAAATGTTAATACGCAAAAGTTGAAACATCGTCTGATTCTCTCGGGAATTTTTTTTAGATAAAACACCACAGAGCTCTGTAGAACAATTCCCCACCAATATTTTACAGATGTGTCATTGGCAAAAATATGAGCTAGTGACAGGTAACAAAACTGGAAACGTTTAAAATGATAACTTATCATTTTCATGCCTGTGAATATAATTGCTTTTCAGTCAAGTTAGACCTCTCATGGTTCTTTAACAATTTTTCAATTACCTGAAAACTTACTTTGAGAAGTTTTAGTGAATTTCCCCATAGGGAAGAGTTTTATATGTTGCTATGGGGGTTTCATCAGTTTCCTGTAAGCACTTTTAAATATTGAAAAATATAAAATATAATTAAATAGTATTAGAGTAAAGGATTTTATCAAATTAACCTTTGATTTCACAATTTCAAGGGATATAAATTAATATATTAGCTTTGAAATTTTTAAGTGTTTAAAGTAATATTTTGTTTCTGTTTTAGGCGCAGTTCATCGCACAATCGATAGGGCAAGCTTTCCAAGTCGCGTATATGGAGTTTTTAAAAGCAAATGGGATTGAAGACCATAGTTTTGTCAAAGAAATGGATTACCAAGAAGTTCTCAACTCACAAGAAATATTTGGGGATGAACTACAAATGTTTGCAAAAAAAGAAATGCAGAAAGAGGTAAGTAAAGATTAGAATTCTTTTAAAAATCATTTTATTTTAGTCTTTAAAAGTCAATATAAGATTTTTAAGTCAATCGTTAGTGCAGTTAAAGAAAGCTTTGTCTTTCGATAGCGGAGTTGATACAGTATCAAGCAGTAGTTTACCAGCAGTGTCTCCAATAAAAACATTCAGATAAATTTCATAGAAAAGTTGTGGACTTTTGTAACCTAAATAAGAAACAACTTTGGGATAAGACATAAGCTATTATGATATTGATAATTATGAATTTAGTCTAAACAAAAATAAATTGTAAAGTGTGTTGTGTTTATACAATCTCATAATTTAGAGATCATTTAGTAGTTTCTGGAATATTAATAAATTGTTAAAAAGGATGTAGTACCACACTCTTTACCGCAAACAGTTTATTCTAAGGTAATTGGCACACTATTGATTATAGATCTGCTCAATCATTATTGCTAAGATTTGCAAATTAACTCAAAGTATTTGTAGGAAAATTGCTTTTTTTCAAAACTGTGAGCAAGTTAAAACGTGTCTAGGTCGTGGTACCGAAAGCAAAAGGAGAGATCTTGGGAGTGGTGATCGTAGAGTCAGGCTGGGGCTCGATGCTGCCAACCGTCGTCATTGCCAACCTAGCGCCGGCCGGCGCAGCGGCACGGTGCGGACAACTCAACATTGGAGACCAAATCATCGCAATCAACGGTGTCAGTCTAGTCGGGTTGCCTCTGTCAACGTGTCAGAACTATATTAAGGTAAGTTGCTGAAGATTCTTTGAAAGAAACATTATGTGATAATTTTTACTGTCATATCTCATCAAACAAGACTCAATATGATCTTGTAGATTGCTTTGATGGTTATTTTCAAACTCTGTTGTTAGATTTAAAAGGAACCACTTCTTAGAGGTGCTGTCCCAAATATTTGCAAAGCCGGTTTACTCTTATTAAAATTTAAATTTAAAATTATTACAGCAAACACATCACAAAGGTGTAACTTGCCGTGGCCAAGACTGGAAACATTAGATTCTATGTTATGTGGATTAATTTTATTTATTTATTAAAAAACAATAATAGTTTGCCACAAGGTTTTATGTAGAGTGAATCCCCTGACAGGGTTTTCCTTCATCTAATAGATAAGAATAGAAAATGTTTTAAGTCTTTAAAATGTTGAAATAACTTCTGGTAAGTTGCAAACTTTGTCGAAAACAATTTTTTAAAATCAAATCAGCTTGAGCAAACAGTTATTCAGAGTATCAAGGTTTTCCTGTAACATTTGGCTACTTACAGCATTAAAATTACCTAATTTTTTCCTCATATCATATGATTGGTAATATTAATTAAGTTACAGAGTGTCTAATTAGTTACTACTGTACTTTTTAAACTGAACCTTGCACATGTGATAATGGTTGCATGTTATTTATTTTTATTTTATTACAGAATTCCAAAACTCAAACCGTAGTGAAGCTGACAGTGGTTCCGTGTGCGCCGGTGGTGGAAGTGAAGATTAAAAGGCCAGATACTAAATATCAGCTGGGCTTTAGTGTTCAGAATGGAGTTGTAAGTTTCTAAATATTTGAACATAACACACTTTAAGTGAACGAGTATTTATGTTGTCAAAAATACCAGGGTAGTCCATTCATGTATACATCAATGTTGTAATACATTACTGTAATATGGAGAACTATGAACATCTGTTATGGAAGTCCCATCAATCGTAAAACAAAAAAGGTACTTGTAACTCGTATGGGTAGAAGATATGCTACGAGCGTTTGTGATATTTCCAGATCTGCAGTTTATTGAGAGGCGGAATCGCAGAAAGAGGAGGAGTCAGAGTTGGACATAGAATCATTGAAATCAACAACCAAAGTGTCGTCGCAGTTCCGCACGAAAAGATCGTCAACCTGTTAGCAACATCTGTGGGGGAGGTAATTACTGTTATTGTACATTTAACTATTTTTCATTGTATAGGTCTGTGTCTACAGCAACACAAATGCCTTTAGGGCAAGCGGTCCTAACCTATATGATTTGTGGAATTGAGCCCGCCCCTGTCTCACTGAAGTCCGAGATGCTAACTAATAGGCAGTAACACACCAACGTATTCAATTTGTCATTCAATCTCGTCTTTGTATGCATATGTTTATTTTTGCGTGTATCCAAATCTTAGTGAGGACCTCAACTTTGACTACACAACATGATGTTTTTGGACCTTATTATGTAGTAGGAACTTTTCAGGGTTGTTTGACTGAATCATAAGTCCAATCAACCTAATCCTCTAAAATCAATTGTGGGTATTTAGCGATTTATTACTTTCTCCTCCTACATAGTATATGGAGAATGAATTGTTAGTAGTAAAAACTTCTGAGTTTTAGTTTGGAGTAGATATATCCCTTTTGGGTCCTCCTGAACCCAAAAAAAGTGGTTTTCAAAAGAAATAAAGTCTCTGTGTGTGGATGTGTACAGAGGTACAGACCACACCTGTGGTCCGATTTTGATGAAATTTGATATGTGCGTAATGCGTATTAGTCCATGGCATCTCTAGGAGTTTTATTCGTTGTTTGAAATTTTGATTTTTATTGGTTTTTTTATTATAAAAACCCCATAAATAAACAGTAAAAACCAAATGATTTTGATGATTTTGACCAATGATTTTGATTCAAATTGAGTATGTTATATATTTAATATTCTTAACCAATATGGTACAATTCCCATTGCTGTAAAATTTTTGATCAAAAAGTTATTGTAACTTATATAATTTTCCCTAAAAAAAACCATAAAATAACAAAAAATCGAATTTTCCGAAAAACGGATTGACTGATTTTTATTAACATTTAGTATACAATGGTCCTTGTAACTCTACATAAAATGGTACAACCCCCAATTCTGTAAAAACTACACTTCAAAAGTTATTGCATCTTTTGGGATTTTACCCATGAAATACATAGTTACTCCAGCTTGTTCATGAAAAGGGGTTTTGTCGAGTTAATGGTAGAAAGTATGTGTCGGATTGCTGATATCGTTTGTTGTCGCAGATCCTGATGAAGACGATGCCCACCTCCATGTTCAGACTGTTGACCGGCCAAGAGACTCCGGTTTACATTTAAGTGCACAAACACGAGAAAGCAGCACAAGTGATCCATCTAGTTTATTTAACCTGTATTGAATACAGTAGTCTATTTTTAATATGTATTTATTTATTTATTCGGTAGGTATGTTAAAAGTATGCACGCTTAAAGAGATTTGTATAAAGAGGAACCATCGCCAGTAAATAGTTAATAGGTACACATTAAAACTAGGTAGTTGTTCCAATAGACTTAAACAATAAAATAATATAGAACAAAAAAACTTTCTTGAAATGTTTAAACTATTTCAATTTGATCGTGCGAGACAAGATGGGTGAATTAGGTTTATTTTTTTGTATCTCCGATTTGTAACTTCGCCCAAAGTATTTCATTATGTTTTGTTGTATGATCTTTTAGTTAAATTATGTAGTATTCATTAATTTTTTAATGACGTATCTTTGCTACTGAGCGGCAAATTATAGCCTATGTAGTAAAATTTTGAAGGATTATAACCCTTATATTGTTTTATATCGCTTTATTTGAATATTTCTAAGATACCAGTTTTATACCAAAAATAACATAATGTAGAAAATGTGTATAAAATAGATTATTAATATCACACAAGTGTCGTTAACTAGGATAAATTATATCTTGAAAATAATTTTCCAGCATTGTTTTTGCATGTACTCAAAAGTTTTTTCAACTCAAATATTGTGAACTATTTAATTTGTAATACTACTTGTTGGTTTTTAATGATAGCTTTATAATTTAAGCAACTTTCAGTGTTTTGGAAAAGTTTTGTGCTTTGTGTATTTTTTTCAGTCCAACACGGTAATGATTAAGAAAGTATCCTCACTTGAATTGTGTAAAATGGTATACAATCCTATTTAGTTTTAATATCTAAAAATTAGTCAAAATTTCAAATATTTAATAATGATTAAGTTTTTTCAACATACTTTACAATATTTTGTCATATGACCTTTTTTTCAATGAATTGTACGATTTACTTTCTAAACTATATTCATTTTCTTATGAAAAAATTATTAGAAAATTTCACTAGAGGGAAGAAACTCTAGCCGTAGGCGTGGCACAGAAAGACCTAGATCCAGGACCGATTTACTTTTTCATTTTTATGTTCCCAGAGGCCAAAATATTATTTGTTCAAATTTTGATGATATATGTTTTGATATTTGAGCAATTTATATACACAAAAACACTACATACGTCTGTCCATGAGCTCGATAACTCGAGTAATTTCAGTCCAATTTTGATGAAGTTTGGCATGGATGTGTAGAGCTGGATAAACTTGAACGAGTTTGTAAACCAGCGAGATCAGGTTATGGGAAACTAAAATTTAAATATAACTTTTTATTAAAATATTTGAGTTAAAATCCAATCAGGTGAATTGAAATTCGCTTAGTCTGCAGGTTGGCTGCTGCGAGGCATTTTTATGTAAATTATCATTCCTTTAATTTTCCTTGGCCCCTTAAAATACTAATGGTGATGAAGATTTTCTAAATTTGTTTATAGCTAACTTTGCAAGAGGCATACATCTGGTTAATTGCTGTTATGTATGAAGTTAAATGAATATTTTGTAGAAAAATACCCATTATAAGATAAATTATTTAAAATTAAGGTGGTGCAAAATTTATATAACTATCTTATATATTTTGAAAAAATTGTTTAAGATATTAATTTAAAAATGTATTAGTTGAACAAATAGAAAAATGTTTACAATAAGGTACCACATTATGACTGTCAAATCGTGAATTTATTTATCGATTTAAGGGTAGTTTAATCAACATGTTTTAATGTGTTAACCTTATCCTTCAAGGAGGGATTTTTATTTCCCGCCAGACCATGCTACGGTGATTCCCAAATCATGCCAAACCATCACTTCTACCATTGTTCAGTGAGTGTTGGTGATGGTCGTTATTGGATTCATAATTTCATTACCAAAGTAGAATTCAAAAATAAATATAAATTCTGGAATTTATTTGTTATTTGCTAACTGTAGCAGTGTCTTTTTACGTGTGACGAGGAAGGTTCATCAAACCACCTTTAAGGGTTTATGTTAATAATACTTTTTATTCAACAATTTTTCAAAATTTTCAAGTATTCAGTTGATTAGTTGCTTTTAATTATTTGTAATGCAACAAATCACTTAGTTGAAATAGAAATATTGTAACTTTATAATTTGTCTTTAACCTGAACGCATTGAACATTTCAAAGTATGTTACTCTAAATCTCAAATTTTATCCTCTTAACTAAATTCAATCTTTGGCTGAAAAATGTTCAAGATATATTATCAAACATTTTAATTAGTACTTGACAATTCTTACAAAACTCCAACAACCTTTTTAAACTGTAGCAAATGGAGGTAAATACCAAACTACACAGAAATATGTTTTAAGAACATTCAATAGATACATTCATTCTGTGTTAACTCTTCGTTTGTCCAGAATTTTGAATTTTTCCATTGTCAAATCGATTGATTCCCCTTTACTTTCCACTAGTATGCTATTTCAGTTAATCCTTATCAAACACAGATCTCAGACTATTACTTCTAACTTAGTATAATATTCTTGTTGATATCCATCTCTTATACCCTAGCTTGCCTCGCTTCCTCCCTCGACTTGTCGTTTGTCCCGCGCAAGCTATCTTTACATATCTGTATCGTATCGCAACGCTCCACGAGCGTCTTCACTGTCTTGGTTGCTACGAGCAATTCGAGTTCCCAGTCGGTTCACAGGAATGACGTGTTTTCGAGTGCCTAAACCGGTAGGGTCGGATGAGACTGTACAGTTACGTTTTCTAGTCGCATTTTGTAGTGTACATCCTGTAGATTTACTATATTATTCTATAAGTGTGTGAGTGTTATTGTACTAGGTGTCCAATTGTAGTGTACAATGATATGTTACAACTCGGTTCGCTTACGTTGGAAATGTGGATGTAAACGCTGGGGCCATACGCAAAACTTGGCTAATTGTGTTATTTATTTATTGTGGAAACACCTCATATCATGTATGTTTTGTAATATTTGTGTTCTGTATATTTTTGTTATTTTTTTACATGTTTATTTATGGATCTAAGTCATTTCACCAATGTGAAGTACAACTCAATTTTATATATTTGTGAATATGTTTTATCAAGCAATGCAAGCTTTATTGTGCCTTAGTTTATAGTGTTTTATTCAAAAATCTTTGCTCTAAAGAGCATCACCAAATAAACTCACCACACTTGCTTTACACAATTCAAACCAACTTTTGTTTGTTTTTAATATTTTTTTAATGTGATAATAATATCAATGAATACAAATCTTTTTTTAAGAAGCAGAATGCCTTTGTACAAAATTCAGTCTGGGAATGTTTGAATTTCGGAAAGTTCCCGTGTCAGCCGCTAAGTAGACTACTGTGAGCGCGCGGCCAAGTCAGCTGACTGAGTGAGACGAGATAGATAGAGCGGCCGCCGCGCAAAACTCATTTCCAAAAAAAAAATCCAAAATTGCAAAATTCCAGTCTGACTATTCTCCATAAGCATTTTGCTTCTTAAAGGGTTTTTCTATTCATTGATAATATTGTGTTTACAACAATGGAACTGGATATTTTTTTAATACAGAAGAACCTGGATAACAAGACTTATGGGTACTTATTATCGAGGTTTGCAATAACATGCGATCAGCGGTAAAATAAATTCAAGGGGATTTGAAAATGTTGAGACATGTTATTAAGGGTGATTTTTTTATTGAGATTCCTTTGGTTGATAAAATAGGCTAGACTACACAATTTTTATACAACTAAATTTAAGAATATTTAAGTTAGCGTAGTTTGAATTGTTATAATAACTATGCTTTCAAAAATAGTATTTCAAATGTTTTAAATTTAAAACAATCACAATAATACCTCACTCAACACTATTTATTTACACTGTCAATCACTATTGTTCTACCTCTATTAAATGGCATTATGAAGCTTGTATTGCACCTTTGTTTATTTGACAATACGTTGTCTTTAATGCAAAACTTTTGTATATAGGTAGATTTGAATAAACCTAGTAAATACTTCTATTTATATTTTGTGCTATTTATTTGTGATTCCTGAAAAGAGAGCCAAGAGCACTTCTCAAATGCTAGCGATTATAAAACAGCTGATTAAAAAGAATGAAATTATAGTACTGTATATTACGTTACTAGTCCTGAAAATAGGTATTTACCGGACGAGTGTGGTTGTTCCTGTGCGAGATGAAGTCAAGTGTGGAATTACCATACGAGTCCGGTAAACACATAATGGACGAGTGACGTACGATATTTTACGCCATACTACTCTAAGCTAACTTAACAATGAACAATCTGTACAAATCCTTATATATTCCGACCTTCTAAAGAACTGACAATCACTACTTATAACCTCTAAGAGATGTTATGTTTTTGTTTATAATTATAACCACTCATTGCCAAATAATCAGCTGGTTGGTATCCGGTAAAAACTCATTACAGTACAGTAGTACATAATGAAACCCCATTTGATTAAGCTGGCGGCATTGAGTCTCGTACACGTATAAGAGTTGTCACATAATGCTATTAGTTGTTACCGATTTTAGCTACCTAGTTCGGGCCGCTGACGCTTGGGTCGCGGTAGTCTGTCGGTAGTACAGTGCGTGCGCCTTTGAGGACCTTTTAACCATTTGGTATTAAAAATTTATTATAAAACAATGAAACTAGAAACAAACAAACTTCATCAACAAAAATGACATTTTATAACCTACAATGAAAGCAATAATAAAAAACAACCCAACTGCCTTACCAACAAGACCGAGGTGGAGTATTTCGGGCCGCTGACGCTACTCTGGAACAGCGCTGTTCAGGTAACGATAACCTCCATTGAGTGGCTACTCTAGTACATGTATACTCAATGCTGACGGCAAACAGCTGTTTTCTAGACCAAATCCTTGCGTGAGAAGTTCGTTAAAACAGTGTAGTGTGGCGTAATAGTATATTTCATTACTAGGACCGAAAGTGGCATTTTCCGTCGCGTGCTCAAGTTTTTGTGTGAGGCGAAGCCTCACACAGGGAACTCCAATTTCACGTGCGAGGCGAAGCCGAGTATGTGAGAGCTATTTTCACGTACGAGGCGAAGCCGAGGACGGGAATAATGGAGCAAGTGCCGGATAATAACTTTCGGTACGAGTTATGAACGATACTTTTCATCACGACGCAAAAATACACAAACACAGATTAGCAGACCTCAGTAATAATACAACTATTTTATTTCTTAATTCATTCGATTGAACATCAAAATAAAATAAAATCTTCTAAAAGAAAACCTACGTATATTTCTCAATAAATTTGGTTTAAACATGAAAATAAAAGAATAAAACTTCTTTTAACAATACATACAGCTGATTCAAATCATTAAATTAAACCATAACAAAACACTAGCGCGCGTAGAGAATAAATGGAGAACTAATTGAGAGCGAGGGAAAGTAAATTTAGAGCTTGGGAAACGACTACTTTCACGACCACTAACTTTTGATGTCAGCTGTTATCGAAAATAGTTACTTTCGTTACGGAGTGATGAAATAGTATATTACGTTACTAGTCCTGAAAATAAGTGTTTACCAGACGAGTGTTGTACACACATTTTAGACGAGTTACGTACGATAGTTTACGCCATACTACTAAATCCGTACAAATCCTTATATATTTCCACCAACTAAAGGACTAAAAATCACTAGTCTTAACCTCTAAGAGAGGTTATGTTTTTGTTTATAACCATTCATTGCCACCTAAATACAGTATAATCAGCTGATTGGTGTCCAGTAAAACTCATTGCAGTACAGTAAGTATGCAATGAAACCCCATTTGAATAAGCTGGCGGCAAACAGCTGTTTTCTGGACTAAATCCTTGCGTGGGAAGTTTATCAAAATAATTTAATGTGGGGTAAAATATTTTACCTAATATTTTATTCATTACGGATACTTGCCTGCTTTTAAAACAATTTTTTTCATTTCTATTTTCTATGGCCCTACAATTAAGACTTTAAGCGAGTTTTCTTTAATTGAAACCACTAACTTTTCCTGTTTCGAAGCCAAACGACGAAATAAAATATTACTGACCAAGTAAAAACCTCACCATTGTCCTTTAACATGCTAAGGTGTTTGCCGTCCAACCGGAAGTGTACATTTCTTAGTAGTGTGTAGAGGTGTGAGAGCTTTCATATTACATGATTCAAGCGACAGCTAAGAACTGTACTATTTTGCAACCATTCACTGCTACTGGTTGTCGTGCCTTGGCCGTGTGTCAGTGGCTCAGTGTACTTAAGAGCTTGCTCACTGCATGGTTTTTAAGGCCTGTTTTGCCAGAAGCGGCTGGTGCGTCTATCGCTCAGCAATTATCGCTCCGCAAAAAGCTGTCCACTGCTTTGCATTGTTTCAGGTTAGTCTATTTTGCAAGACGCGTCTATTGCTACAGCCGCCAGCATCTGTAACTGAGCCGCTAGCATCCATTGCTGACCACGACCACTGCTCCTGGACCAGACAGAGACGCAGTCGCTAGCGATTATTAGTAGAAGAAACACTTGTTTTGATGTTGACTTCATTTTATTTTATCAGTTAACAAACTAAATCAGCTAAAAATTCCGAAGTGACATTTTACAATATTAACCCCCCTAAATTTATAATCCTCCCCCCACGTTATTCTTATAGGGAAAAACATTGAATGTTGCCGATTTTGGTATGCTTGGTGGTATGGTATTATTTCAAAGATTTGAAATAATATTAATGTTCATGAATTAAGTTTTCTACAAAACCCTCCTAGTGTTTTCCAAAAATCACACCTCTTCACCCTTAAAAAAAGCCCACTTTCAAAAATTGGTAATATATTTTTTTTTTATTTAATGGTTTTACAACTTTTTCTTGCCTAAGTTTTTTTTTTCAAAAATTTGTAATGCTCTGTATTCTCCTTTGTTTACTTTAAATCTTAGTCATTGCATGTTTTTTTTTTTGTAACTTTACTCCTTGACCTCTTTTGCAGTAGTCCTTGTGATTTTGTGCACTTAATGTAATACTTGTATGAGACATGTATACCACTCGTGTAACCGGTTTCATAGTTCTGTTCTGTTACTGTTCTATGAAATATATATTTATGAAAAGTTTAACTATATTGTTTTGTTCTGTAAGACAAACAAAATTTACCAATAAAAAACAAATGCACTTCATTAAAATTTAATTGGGAATAGTGACACAATAAACGCACATTGGTAAGAATATAGTTTGTTATGGTAAATGTTAATGTTTGTTTTGGTTAGGCACAAGTTAAGCACAGAAACCAGTTAATTTCATGTTACAGTATAAACAGATAAGCAGTGTTTTTTTGTTTTTGTTACTATTGGTTTTTTACTCAGGTAGGTTACAGAGAATTGCAAGCTACATAGAAACACGCTTGTAGGACGACCATGCGCTTTCAGCTCTTGTAGGTTGTGCTGGATATACTAAGGAAGAGCCAGAGCGGCGAGCACACTGGCAGAAATTCCTATCACACAGGCCACAGAGACTTCCTGAGCATCTTCCACCATGAGCGTTGTATTACATGAGAGCGAGAGGGCGTAGTTGGTGTGCCCTAGACACCACTGAAGTATACCGTTGAATGTTTCCTGTGATTTTTTTGTGGGTATGTGTAACCATTGAATTTTGAAATGGGGAAAGGCATACAACCGTTCATATATCTGTTGGTGCAGAACTTCAGAGTAATCAAATTGTCAACGATTACTCTTTGATGAATCTTTCTGGTACTTAACAGTCATTGAATTAGCAAAGCTGGACTTCAAAAAGGCTTAGCACCAATCAGATTTATTTATTTATATTTTTGAAAAATAATGATTTGTTACAGTCATACTCATCAAAATTCAGGTAAAATATTAAAGAATTATACAATCATTTGTTTGTTAAAAAAACAATGGTTACTAATCTAACAATAATAGTTAACAAATTTAAAAAAAAACATACAAAATTTTAAAATGTAATTTATAATTCTCTGAATATCAATTGAACTCTACTTGGTTGGCCTGATTTGGAATTGGATCTGATGAACTAAAGGATCGTAAATGAAAACTTTAAAAAAATTATTTATATGACAGTTTGAGAAAAAAGAGTCAATATTTCACACCTTGGTCAGACTAGTCTGAGTTGAACAGAAGTGAGTAAATAACAGGATAACACTTGGAGAGCTTCTTCTGAAATTGACTTGCTTCAAAGGGGGATTCTCACATTACTGGGCCTTTGCAAATATGATCAATGAATGAAAAATTATGTATGTACACAGAAATAATCATTTAAAATTCGGAAAATGTTTAATCGTTGATTTACACTGTTACAAATAAATAAGGAACCCAGAATTTTTAAATTTGGTTTATAATTTTTTTCTTCTGAGAAGAAACACAATATTGTATGTATATGTTCAAAATGTATTCACTGAATGATGTTACTTGTGGTCATTGATGTTTTTAAAATATTGCGGACATTTTTGTAAAATGCAAATATTTTGTATTTAAATTGAGTATGAAATTCAAAACTATGTTAAATATAAATTGCAAGAGTTTAAAGTTTTGAATGATTCATTTTAACAAGTGAAGCATTTTTGAATTCCTTCCAACAAGTTATTTACAACTATGATTAATAATTTTAATAACTAAACATTTTTCATCCAAACGAATTGTTTTTGAGACCAAGTCACTCTAAATCTTCTTGGTACACAGGTGTCCGAGGAAAAAATAAATATCTCCATCAGGTCACAGTGAAGTAAGGTATAGAGAAACATTCAACACTATTTTCTTTTGTTATTTTTATATTGCAGAGTGGTGTATAGCACTATTGCTGGTGTCTAGGCAAAGTATAACAAACAATATTTATCTTTGGAACAACCAATATTTACCCCATTCCCATAGTCCGATCATGATGATTCGCACACTTGTTAGAATAAACATAGGTTTACATTTTCTACACAACTTCATCAAAGTTTTAGTTATCGTGCTAACTGACACACATACACACATAATATGACTGAACGGATAGTGTTTTTGGCCTCTGGGGACACCAAAACAAAATTTTAAGTGATTAAGGTCTTACCATGAGACCTACGGTATCAGCTTATTCCCTATATGAAAAATTTGCTGATAAAGAAATGAGAGTGATATAATGTCATCATACTGATTGTATTACAGTATAACATGTTAGCATGGTTATTTTTAAATAAAAAATACATCGAACGAGAGTTAGTTGTTTCTTGATGCTTCTAGACCGGACACCCTGTTTCTATATAAACCTACGAAGGATCACAAAATTTTGAGAAAACCCTAAGCCGCACACCTATAAACAGCATACTTGAATGAAAGGTCTTCACAGTGCTCAATCTGTGGGGGAACCCGGCGGAACAGAGTTCCAATACCAGTACCTCTCTTTTGGAGAGATAAAAATATTGGCAAAAGGTACAAATCACATTAAATAGGTTGTTCCAGGACCTAATTTTTTACAAATCGAGCATTGGGTCTTCATATTAAACTGTAGTCAGATAAACCCTCTCCTATAAGGGCAGTAACAGTAACTCAATTAAAGGGCTGTATTTAATCTCACATAAAATAATGAAGATGCATCAGCTGTTTAGATTTGTTTTTATTCATATAGTATTTTGTTTTTTTTTTTACTTTGGCTCTGAATTTATCTTTTGATTCTCATATAAGGTAAATGGACCAGTAGCTGACAGTGCTCCAGAAGCTGACAGTTTGAGTTTCATTACATTATAATGTGGCCTCTTAAAAATATTTACACATGATTGCATTTTTAGAAGAACATATGTTTATTCTTGATTTGTTTAAAAAAAATCAGTGAAATTTAGCCTATACTCGCTGAATGGTGGTGGTTTGAAAGCGACCCTGTCTGTACACATCACATTTAGTCGATTCCCTTAATGAAATTGTTAAGAAGGTAAGTTTGGTTTTTTGTAATTTCGCTAAATTTCTTAAATAGTATTAATGATTAGGCTCATTATTTTTATCAATTATACCTTTGTTGACAATTTCATGATAAAATTGGGGTGTTAGGGGTTTTGGATTTAAAATTATATCAATGTCAGGCTTTGGTACACAAAAGCCATACAAGTTCCACTAGCTGACAGGGGATATTTGCTACTTGCACAATATTAAATTGGTTTTACCCATCGAAATTTGCATGCTATTTATTATTTATGTGATCTCAACCACACCTTAAAATGTCATTATAATAAAGAAATAAGACCCCATAACTACTTTTAGCGAATTTCCCTATTGGAAATAGAGCTATTACCGTAGGTCTCATGGTAATTTTTTAATATAATTTTTTTAATGTAAATATTTTTTATTTTAAAATATGTAATAGTAGTTTACGCAACGATTGCGTTAAGTGAGTCTTTACGACACGAGTAGAAAATTTAAGGCACGAGCCTTGGCGAGTGCCTTAAAAACTTCTACGAGTGTCGTAAAGACTATTAACGCGAGTTGCGTACACTACTTTACCTACGACCGTTTTTTAATTAATATCAATCTGGATTTAATTACTAACAATCACTACTGATAACTTTTTAGAGAGGTTATGATTTTGTGTATTGTCATTGCCACTGAAAGTGATGCAACGACTTGTTGTATAATCAGCTGATTTCCTGTAATTACGTGTTTGTTAAACTTCGTTAAATATTACATTGCTAGCAGCATTCTTACCATAAATAATATTGTATCACGTACAATTCGGCAAATATTTCATTTATTTTTGGACTTCCACCAACTTAATTAAGCATACGCGAGTATCAACATGAACAAGGTGGATCAACAATTAAATTGGTCAACTGATCAGCTGATTAGTTGACGTTCAAAGCATTACAATTTTAATTATTTTCTCTCAATACTTGAACCTCATTGGTCCGTTACCTGTGTGGATATGAGAAAACTATGCGGATATGAAATGAAACTATGCGGATATGAAAGTAAACAGCTGTAAAGTGAAACTTTTCAATTCTAAGAACTTGACTGAAATGGCTACTTTAATAAACGGTCGTAGGTAAAATAATTTTTCTTAATAACGTTTTACATGATTTTATTATTTAATTATTAAGTTAGATTTTATTCGTCTTATAAATTATAAAACCCTTAGGTTTAGCAGGCTAGTACATTTTTAGTTCCAGTGTCAGCTACTGGTACAAGCACTTTTTTCACTGTCAGCCATTGGAACACGTACAAAGGTTGAATTAAGTTTAAAAATGTTATAAAATATATTTAAAAAACCCTTTTTGTATGACAAATTTGAAAACTACACTAAATTTAGAATCACATAAAATCCGTAATATTTCTTTAGTTCCTATTTATTCAAAACCACGGATTATTAAGTGCGTATAGTTTCTTATACTGTCAGCTAATGGTGCGTTTACCTTATATGTTTACATTAGGATAAAGTAATTAGTTTTGACTCTGCCACACAGTTTAATGCAAATATACATGAGATTTACATTAAAATAAGCAATATATATATATATACGATTGAGATTTTCCTTCGCATAGTAATTGTATGCATAGACTAACTAACTAAGGGTGTGTGTTTTATCGATGGTATTTTTTTTTTTTTTTATATATATATAGATTTAGGGACCCACATTCTTCTCTTAGTACTCTTGCTCCAATGCGGGCAGAAAAACTAGTTCCTAATAGACAAAATAACATTTTCCTGAATTGTGACTTACCTTCCACCACTAGGGCTGTTTGTTGAACTGTGATTGTTTTCAGTTTTAATAAATGTCTCATTGCGTGTTGTATTAATTGTGCCATGTGTTATTCATGATATTTCAACCTCTTGGCAAACTATAAGAGGGATCATCAACATTATAATTGATGATGCGCTTCACTTCTGACAGCACCAAATAGCTGTAGTTAATTAATGAATGATTTTGACAGACAACATTAGTTGTAACCTTACCCCAATAGTTTTATTATATTTTACATATGGTCGACTGTGATACTGTTCATGACTCCTGGTAAGTTTTTTTGTTAGCCTATAAATAGCTCTGACGTCTATTACACTTCTGTTTTAAGGATAATACTTATTAGAAAATAACATAATTTTTCTTCCCACTGCATGGAAATGGTTCACATTGCCATACCTGTAAATAGCTGATTGCAGCTCTAGAGCTTGCTGATCGCTGATTTCACTGTTGGCGTTACTACACCAACCACAGCCTTAGTTAACAACCAGTAAGCAAATAACACTACGGTAACTTAAAAAGCGAACATAACCTAGAAATTTCATTTTATATACATCTAAAAAGTTAATCTGTGTGTTATTATAAGTAAATTTTTGGTGGTAGGGAAAATCTTGTATGTATTACAAGCACAAAAATATATTACCGCTCACTAAATGTTTGGCTAAACTCAGCAAGCTTCGTGCAGACATCTACAGTTCTCGAGCAGCAATTATGTACTTTGCGCTCTTACACAAAAATAGCTAATTACAGCCAGGGCCGTATTTAGAATTGATGAGACCCCCAGCAGCTCCCACCACATAGACCCGTCTATATTTCAATTCTTTGGAAGGTTGGAACTTAAGGGTATTGCCCTTTTGTTTCAATAATCTGATCGAAAAAAGACCTTTAGAAGAGGCTAGCTAATAAAATAATGAGTCTATTATTTTTTTTAAATAGCATTATTAGGGGTCTCAGGTCAGGGCTAGACATTTTTCATTCCTTTCAGGTTGAGTAAACTTCGTGCATCGGATCAAAATCAGGTACCGGTACCTAGTTTCCGAAATAATTATTTTAAAATTGCCTATATTAATTGATACCACTAAAGCCTAATCGGTTTACACAAAATCTAGAATCACGGCCAAATTGTAAGGGTCTTCTGCGGTCACAGTAAAATCGTGGACATCTACCGTGGTTGCGGAGGGGTCGTGAACATCTTCTACGTTCATGGCAAAATAGTGAACATCGTGCGCGATTGCGGAGACATCATCATCGTCTTCTGGAATCCCAGCGAAATCATGAATGTCTCCTGTGGTTGCGGAAAACAGTTAACATCTTGCACGATCGCGGAGACATCATCTTCGTCTCCCCTGAACACAGTGGAATCATGAATGTCTCCTATGGCCACCAAGAAATAGTTAGCATCTTGCGCGAGAGCAGAGGCGTCATCTTTGTCTCCTTTGACTACAGTAGACTCCCTCTTATCCGGACTCCTCGGGACCGAGGCCAGTCTGGATAACGGTTTTTCCGGTTAAACCGACGCCCCCAAAAATTTGTTAAAACGCACCGTTTAAATGCATACTGTATACAGTATTTGACTTAAATTTACCAAAACGGCCCTATATTCCACAAAGGTTTTAAATTGTTCTAGGCCTAGGCTACTATAGAAATGCAACTGTTATGATACAATTGTTACAAAAATTAATGTGTACTAAAATATCTCATAACTTATCATCTTAGGGAAAAAGGAGCAAAACTTCCCCACAATAATAAAGACTGTTTATACTTTAAAACTTTTATTAATATTTAACACTGTTTCCAGTGACTAAAGTAACAGTTCACAAAATAATAAGTTACAGTGTCTGATTGATTTTATTAGAGGTAACGGTAAGTTACAAGTTTATCCATTCTCGCCAACTGCAGTAACTAATAGATGCATGCTGCACCTTCCCATTTTATTAAAGAAGCAAAATTCATTGTACAGTTTAAAAAAATAAACTTTCATTAAATCAGTGACCATGGGACCAATACCTGTGCATAACAAAATATCGCAATTAGGCTAGGCTGATTATATAATTGATTACAACTCTTAAATTAATGTAAACTGCATATTTTTTTAAGCAAAATAAAAATGCTCTAACCAGTATTACCATAACTTAATACTAACTTAACTCTGATTAATATTTAAGCTGTCAACATTTAAACTGAAAAAAAAAAGACTTTGAACTGATCCCCTATTTTACAAAGCAACTTTCATTCCAAAAATTATGCATTTGATAATTGAAATTGGTAACACCAAATAACACAGCAAAAAAACACATCTGTGAGCCAACACTTACAGCTTACTGTAATACGTAGCCTATTCAGGGTCGTCTGGTGGATGCGCATTTGCACTGTTTGGTTTTCTCTACAATCAAGATGAACCATACGTACACAAGTTTTTGTCTTGTGATTTCATATTTGACATGCAACTATATTGTGGGGTTCCTTCTTAATTTAAAATTTTAATTAAATTGTATGTCTTGACTATCAATTGAATTTCATTAGGGTCTATTTCAAACATTAGCAGGCCTTAAAACTTGACAAACATAGTTTTGGAAACAAAATGACAAGCAAGTTACAAGGCGGTGGAGGAGATCGGTTTTTAAACATTTGTGAAATCTGATAAGTTACTATAGGTACTATAAGTTTAATAAAAGGTTAACTTAAATGAAATCTTTCTTTACTTAATACATTTTAAACACCTAAAACAGGTTAAACATAATAAATTATTGGGAATTACAACAAACAATAGGCTACTAAAAAAACTGTACAGTAAGTTATTTAAAAATAGCCTAATCTGAATACCGATAAGTACACTGTAAAATATGATAGTTATTATGCCATTAGGCCTAGCATGATCCAAGTGTTAAAATGTGTCCATTTAATATCAGCTGAACTTTGTGATTTATAATGTTCTATACAGTAATTATACATTTATTATAATTCTTCTATTATAGTAATTATAGGCTACAACAGTTATTATAATTCTTTTATAATTTAGCCTGGACTTGAATTAAACTTTGAAAGGTTTTTGTAACTCAATTGTATGATTTGTTTCAATGGAAACCTCAGTTACCAGAACTCAAAGGTAACAAGCAACCAACCACACCCGATTGAATTTCAGTTAAGTTACTGGAATTAAGTAACACAGGGTTTATAAAATTTTTTAAAATTATAATTCTACTCACTATACAAAAGACCTATTATTTACAAGTCATAACGGCCAGTTTTCGCAGAAGGCCTATATTTACATGTGACAAAAATATTCATGAATGAAATTAAAACCGGGGGATATAAGAACTATAAAATGCTGAACGTATTAACAGTGAAAATAATCAAAACTCTAATTGAAAAGAATAATTTAATAACTAAGCTACATGAGCTAGCAGAAAAATGTAAGCTCAATTCAACCAAGCTAGGTTTGTTTGACAGTCCAATAGTTTAAGAAAGATCAAAGCTTAAGTCTGTGATGAAAAAGGTGCTTTTAATAATTAAATTTGGGTATTTTGGGTAGGTATATAAACATTGTAGAACTGCACATTAACTTAACCCTTACGCATCTGTTTGATGCAAAAATTAAATCCTATCAATGTCCGTATCATTGTAAATAGTTTTTGTTGCATAGAATTTGTTTTCCAAACCTCAGAAGATGCACGTGTTCGACAGTCAATTGTCCATGGCGTATCTCCGAGTCCATTCCTTGGCATTACGTATGGCTTCACTTTCATTAACCTTCCATAGTTCTGCGACATCATTGGCCAGAGGATCATCCGGGTTGGGAGCGCTGAGTAGAGCTTGAATCGATAAAAGAACTGTTCGGATCTGAAGAGCAGGACTCCATTTGTCTTTAAGTATATCAAGACATATTCTGCCCAATCTATCAATGTTAGGATGATAAATTTTTGTGATAAATCTAACTTTTGGAGCTGACATAGGATAATCTTCAGGCAAAAATAATTCCAACTTGAAAAGACCACCTTCAAAAGGTGAGTCTTCAGGACCAGTAACAATAACGTGGAAATATCTAGCGTTACTATCATCTGGAACTGCACTGATTCCTGGCACTGGTTCTTGCATCAATCTTTGTGTTTCCTTGATGATTCTTCTCGGTAAGGCTGCCATAGTTGACACACAATTGTGGAACAGTACAAAATGTGGTGCTAGGTACTGAGAACAATATAGCGTATTCAAACCCTAAGGTTCATAAAATAAAAAGAAATCAAAACTTACTTCAAGGTGGTTCAACAAGATTATGGATTTTAAAGCTTATTAGTAAAATCCCTTATCAACGGCAAATATTCAGCACTGTAACTTCACTATACCTGTACCTCGGTGTACCAACCAACAGCCAACCAAAGAAACGAAACGAAACAACCATCAACCAACAATACTACCAACATAACTGTTTTTAAAATTTTCTATGTAGTTTTGAATATAGAAATTAAGTTTATAATCACGTATTAGCTTATAATTAATTAACTAAGGGTGGCAAATATACTATTGAAGAATGTATGTTCAAATTAAGTGTAAACTATTGCGCCAGAGTTGTATCTGGAAATAACTATCTTTCTAATATATAAAATTCTCGTGTCACAGTGTTTGTCTGCAAACTTCTCCGGAACGACTTCACCGATCGTTATGAAATTTGGTGTGTAAATTCTGTAGGTATGCGAATCGGACGTAAACTATTTCCCGTTTCGAAATTCTTAAAAGGGCTCCGCCCCAGTGGCTCTGGAGTTTCCCATGTTAACCTTATGAGAAATGGAATTAATGAATCTTAACAGCTGTTTCAATTAAACAAGTTGGTTCTGTTCTATGATGTTCAATAGCATTAAAGTTACAAGGATTACCAACAGGGTGCAGCACTATTACTTCTTTTACATTTATGACAACAGCTAATTTGCAACCAAAAGGTGAGTGAGCGTAGCGAACGAACTTCAACCTGGAGGCGAGTTAGCGTAGCGAACGAGCTAACCTGGAGGCAAGTGAGCGCAGCGAACGAGCTCCAACCTAAAGGTGAGTGAGCGTAGCGAACGAGCTCCAACCCAAAGATGAGTGAGCGTAGCGAACGAACTTCAACCAGGACGTGATTGAGCGATGCGAACGAGATCATCTTGAAAATTAAACGTAACGGTACTTTCTTTCCATCGGTCTGTCTTAGGGGAAACCTATAACCATCTATAACTTAGGCGATACGAAGTTCGCCGGGTCAGCTAGTAGCTCAATAAAATAAACACAACCTCTTTCTACAGGATAATGAAAAATGTAATATACTTTGAATATTGTAAGCTCAATCCATTGATTCAATGGAATCCGGGAGATAGGTATAATTATAGACTTAATTAGACTTGGGTTTTCTGTGAATAATATAGTATCGTTAATTAAAAAAACATAAAATCAACTTATATTTATGTTTATTTTTTAAAAAACATTAAGATTTAAAAAAATCGATACTCTACTTAAAGCAGATATATTATCGGCAATAATAAAACGACAAAACCAGAAAACCACGCAGCCTCATGAGTAAAGAATATACACTAGTGTATATTTTATTATTTTGAATAGTGAGAGGAATTCCAATTCCAATCGAACGAAAGAATTTACATTTACAGCCAGAAGGGATAGTGCTGGGTTCACAACAGACCAACCGTATGATTCGGTTGTGTTTCGATTGTTATCAACTGAAAGTCGAAATCGTAATCGTAGAGAATCGAACCGATGTTGTTATCGTAAGTTACGTTACGAGCGAGAGTGAAGTGAAATAAATATGGTTGCCTACCTTGTTTCATTTTCACGAACCCTTGTCTCTCGTAACACCACCCATCAGCGCCTTCTCCCACCACCGAATCATACGCCCGTCATTTGCGTGAGGCCGGAGTTGGCGCGAAATTTAAAATTGCATGCTAATAAATGGGCTGTTAGCGCATGTTCAACCCTCGAGTTCTTACTTGAAAAAAGTTAAATAAATGCGTTTTGTGGTGATAACATTTCTGTTAATACTACTTATTTACAATTACCTGACATAGCCGAAAATTCAGAGATACATGTAATATATCTACATGATAAATTGCATTTGAACATCTGAACTGTGAGTAGGTTTTCATTGCATATTCAGTTCTTGGGGCCCAAAATAAAATTCTAAACAAATTTATAATCAAGCTTCTAGTATGGCAAGCATTCCTTTGTTTTATAACTAGAGAGTATATATCCTGGCTAAAAATCATACTTTTACGTTTCTAACTAATCATAAATGACCTGAAAGTAATAGGATATGTAGTTTTTTTTTTTTTTAATACAGTTAATAGTATATTTCGTACCTAGGGCCGAAAATGAGGTTTTGCCGGCTCGAGATAGTTTTTAAGTTCGAGACGAAGTCGAGAACTTAAATCGATCGAGAGCCGCAAAACCATTTCGGTCCGTGGTACGAACGCTATTTTTCACCACACTATACCCTATTACCACTATTCACCACTATAATAATGCATACTGATAGTCAACACAACTACAACTTTAAGGTTATGTGAAGAAATAATTTGAGGAATCAGCAAAAATAAAAATATATAGTTGCTAGGCAACGGTGACAATAACACAATTCTATTGAAATGCTATGGATTTTGATTATGTATTTAAAATGCATTCATGTTTTAAGTAAGTAAGCGGACAGCTGATTTTGCGGCCCCGGCCTGTAAAAACCTGCTCGGTCCCCAAATTATGGACAGCTGGCATCGCCAGCAAAACGTAACTTTCGGCCACCAATTAACGCATGTAATACAGCCAAAATCATGATAGTGTGGTGAAAAATAATTTTGATTATAACAATCTGTTAGCACTGCAGAACTGTATGTAAAAGCAAATAAAAGTAATATATTATTTTTATTAAGGCATGACCATGAACGCCTTTTAAGGTGAACCATGAACCATGAATGCAATTTATGGCCTGTTACTGTAGGCTATGATTCTGATTCACTCACTAATAGGCTACATTTATAAAATTCTTGAATTTGTTATATCATACTTTTAAAGACACAATACCAGAAATTATTCCTTACTAGATTAGAATCACCATTTTAAGGGTAATTAAATAAATTTCAAAATAGCTTATATTATATTAAGTTTAGGCTATTAACAAGACGCATGCACAGTAAACCTCTGAAACTTAGATTCTTTCAAGTTAGGCTATGTAAAAATCCATGTTGGAGTCCTAAAAAATGTTATTTTTTTACCACTGTTACCATTTGACTGTCTTCGCTATAAGTTGAGATCTTCATTAGGCAATTATAATTATTGTGAAACATTGACATTGCACAATTCCAATGCTGAAGGACAGTTAAGTATTTTGAATAACTTAAAGTTCAAAATTACAAGAATTAAAAATATTAAAAAACAATGACTGTGAAATAAAACAAAATATATTTTGCAAGAGTAACTTAACTAATTTTGAAACCCCAATAGGCACAATAGAAATTTTATTGATGAGGAAGTTGAGGTTTAGTAAATAAAAAAAATTAATTAGTCCAAATACAGTGTATTTAAACATTTCACAAAAACAAAGTGATTCTTCTTTTGTCCAAGTCTTAGGTCATTACATTTGGAGTTTTTTCATTGGAGAAACTGAACTATCAATTTGAGTGTGTTTGCTGTGGTGGATTTGGTTGATTTCCGTTTGATTTTCCCTGTGCTTTGTCTTGGAGTCTTAATCTCCATGGGTTCAATTGGAGTCTGAAACAAATAAGGCCTTAGTTTTTTTAAAAACATTACTCGATTACAAAAGTAAGAGGTGGTCCTTACTTTAATCAAGATTAAACCAAACTAGACAAAACTGTGAGTGTGAGATAATAATTCGCTTCTACTGAAATGAGCTGTAAAAATTAAAAAATCAAAGCTACACTTGCGCTGACACCAGGTAAAAGTAATAAAAGTAAAAATAATAGAATACTAAATCAGGTATAGTTAGGTTTCAAAGTTCCGTTAGAGGTAATTCTGAGCAATTACTTGGTCAACCCCAATTTTTTTCATATTTTACTACGGTCATCAGGAGGTTCTCAGAAAGCAAGAAACATATAATTCAAGCCCCGCAAGGTTAAGTTAGGTTAGGTTAGGTTAGGTTAAGTTAGGTTATTAATTAACCTAACCTAACCTAACCTAACGTAACGGTACTGTTACAATTGGCCTTAGAGATGTATTTGAGACTAAAAAAAAACATAAGTAAGTAACGTGTTTTCACACCCGTCACATAGAAAAGGATTGTCGGAGGAACCACTAGCCATAGCCATAACGGTACTGTCACAACTGGCCTTCCGCGCGTCTCCCGCAAGCCACTGTTATCGCTTGGACTTTGAACCTTCTTATCGCTCGGCAACCTGTACGATGGCCTTGCGGGACTTGAATTATATGTTTCTTGCTTTCTGAGAACCTCCTGATGACCGTAGTAAAATATGAAAAAAATTGGGGTTGACCAAGTAATTGCTCAGAATTACCCCGTTAGATAACAAAATTACTTTACACTAAATACTTCCATGTAGCTGTGCCACAGGCCTTATATGGAAGTGCAACCAAAATTAGCTAATACAATTTATTGTTTTTTTTTTTTTTTACAGGGATTTCATTAAAATTACAGCCACTATTAACTGCCACAGTGAGAGTAATAAGTTAGTGTCACTATTACTCTCACTGTGGCAGTTAGGCCTATGTTAAGTAAGGTTGTCACCAGATTCATATGGCAGATATCGATCCGGAAGGAAAAATTTAGGGTAATCTGAGGACTTTAAAACATTGCATGAATAACGATAAAGACACTTAGCACCTGAAAATGTTGACACTGTAGGCTAAATTGTATTCTTTAATAGGACAACAGCCTAATTATTTCTGAATATTATAGTAGGTAGTACAGTATTGTAGTTCTGATAGGGTTATATGTCTGCTTGAGTTTTAAGGCCAAAATATTATCATAAGTTATAAGTTAGCTGATAAACACCGATTTCTGTGACTGTGAAATTTTGCTATGCCAGCTTATTTTTTCCTAAAACTAAGTAGGCCTATTCCTACGATCTTATAATACATGAAAACAACCTTAACATTTTTCTAAGGCACAGAAGACTTTCATTTTAAGGTACTGTACCGGTATTTTAAAGATGGACTGCTTCTCTGGTGGAGTAATACCAGACGGGGGCACGACCACTGGCAAACGATTACATTTCAAATGGTCAGTCAGTCACTGTCAAACAACCTAGGCCTTAGTTTTTCTGTAACCCCCTGAAATGTCACTGTACAGCGCTTTGCAGAGTTAGGTTAGGTTTATTATGATCATTATGTTATTATGATAAAACCTTAACTTAATATATAATTAAGATGTAAAAGCATAACTTATCTTACCTCAACAATATCAGGCTATCCATAGAAAAGTTGTCCACGGCGGTGTTTTTTTTTTCTGAACTGCTGTACCTACATAATCGGTGAGTTCAGCGTCATCTTTAAGGAGCTTGACAAGTGCTCCAAGTCTTATCTAACTTAAACTTCATCATCAGATAAATGTTTACTGCAAAGAATCAATACTAAACAGTTTCTTTCAGATTTTTTTCTTTTGACAGCCTTTTCCCAGGATTTCAACAGCTTTGGGCGAGTTAATAGAAATCTGAAATTGTTAAAAAATAGTTAAACTTAATTCACAGTAACCTTTAGGCCTAGTTTCCATAAATCCACATACATTGTAGTTCAACACCTATACCTGGAAATGTAAATAATAGCATAATAGCTATGAAGGGCCTATGATTGATAAATAGAGCTGACGCTACTACTTGTCAGTATAGGTGCGAGTATAGGCTACTCTAAGCGCACGACTTGTTTGCGCGTGGCCCCTCCACCGCCTCCTTAGCCAGGAGGGGCCCCCACCACTGCCCGGCTCTTGGCCAATCTGCTACTAGTCGCCCTAAAAATGTTGTCTATACTGCTTCTACTCCCAGCGGATGCGTAACACCAACACATGGCACCTGTTGATCTTATAATATTTCCATCGCTTCTCTGTGAATGGTTTGCCCTTTTTACGGGTGGTTGCCATAATATTAATCTATGTTAGCCTAGCCTGACACTTTTTTAACCCACGGCTTAACAATCACTCAATAATTACTCAACCGCACTACTCATCTAAACAGCACAGTCCAATAAACTGACAGTTGATAGAACACGATAGAATACAATACTCTTCTGGTCATAAAATAGGATAATAAAATCATAAAATGTCATAAAATACTTTACGTACGACATTAAGAGACCGACTTTCGTTTTATCAACTTAGGGATATAAAATAAATAACTGCAAGTCATTAACCGTTTTAAAGGGTGTTCGGAAAACCTGTCCGATATTTTAAGGTGTTATTTATTGTACATAATATGAAAATAAGCAAAAGTTTCCATAATTTTATGTACTAAGCCTTGTGGTTTTCTGTTTATAGATATATCTGTATGTGTTTTTACATACATCTATATCTATATCTGAAGATACCACCTATAAACGTTAAAAATTTACACCTTAAAAGTCAAACTTTACGATTAAATTGGAATATAGGCCTAATATGATTTTACCGTTTGGTGTACATTTAAATAAGTAAAAAAATAGTTATATCAAAATAAAATACTCTACTACAGTAACAAAACAATAATATAGAACCCTTAGTATTTGTCAAATTCAAATTTAAATTTTAAAAAAATGTACGCAAAAAAGGAAAACAACGCGAACAGCGCTAGTCGAATGTTTTTAGAAAGCGTAGTCCGACCAATGCTACAGAAACTTTGGCTGCGTGGTGGGAGATTGGTACCGCTCTCCCCCCGCGCACCCGGCTCGCAAACAAGTCGTGCGCTTACAGTACTGTAGTAGCATGCTAGTAGGTATGATTACCAAAATAAAAATACAAGAATTTATTTTATTCAGTTAATTAATAGTTCAAATTAAAATGCACTTATGATTTTAAACAGTAAGAAGTTATCTGAAGCCCTAACCAGTCTAGGCATAAAGCTGGGTTTTCCTAGGCGCGGAAGCGGAGAGCGGAGAGAGGAACGCGGAGAGCGGAAAAGAGATTAACATGGTGTTCCGCTCTGTTTCTAGGAAAACAGTAACATTAAATTACCTAAGACAAGTGGAGTCCGCTCTCCGCGTTCCTCTCTCCGCTCTCCACTTCCGCGCCTAGGAAAGACCCGGCTTAAGTTAGCGACAACATTTCTTGATACAGTAAGTAATTATTTAAAACTTACTTGTAAAAGTGGATCCCATTTCCTTTATTGTAGGCTACGTTTCTTTGCATCCAAATTCAATACAATATCTAACCAAATTTGCTTAATTGACTCACACTCACATAATTAAGATAAACATAATTACAATAAGATATCTTGTCGTTCATTAAAGGTCAATTGTTTGGAGGACCCCTATCCAAATCATCTGTCATCGGCAACACAGTGGTAATTAAGGTAATTAAAACCTCACCCAGATAGTCTAAGTTATCCTTAATAGGTTAAGGCATCTTGGTGGGATTATAAGAATGAATGCCAACATTTCTAGTTAAAATTGTGGCTGTATTTTAGTCAATTTTAAGTTACAGTAGCCTACAATCCATAAGTAGATTAAAACAAATAAAGCTGTAACATTTGTATACAGAAAAAAATAACTAACTTAACCAGACTTATTAAAATAATTATTTCTAGTAGGTAAGTATTGAATGAATTTGATTAGTAAAGATGCATGCAAAGAGTAAAGTGTTACTGTTTTTTCACCACTCACCAGAGGGCCTGTTAAAAAGATGTGTTCTATGAGTTAATTTGAAGGTAAAATTTGTTAAATTTTAAAATTTTACCTAACCAACACACTTAAGTTTCAGGCTGAAGCAAGCTTTTATTTAGGGCCTTATTTTATTTTACATTCCAACACAGGGCATATAAAATAACATGTTAAATGGGTGACACAGTGCTGAGATTTTGTCGGCCAGTGACTATGGGTGGTGCCAGCATATTTTTTTTAATAATTCACATTTGAAATGTATACGAATAAAAAAAAAAATATGTAGGCCTAAATATTTTAGAGTAGGCTATTGAGCTATGATTTTGGCCCAAGAGGTTGTGAAGGGAGCCTTGGCCTGTTATGACATTCTAGGATTCCGGTACATAATTAAGTGAGATTATATGGACTATTTACAAGCGAATAAGTATAATCGAAAAATTCATTAGAAGATGCGTAGAAATATGTGTTCTTTTCACTTTAATTTAAGCTAAGCAAAAATTTCCGGGGGAACCCTCCGACCCCAGGTATCACATAAACACCCGGTAAGTCCGGCGCCTCTGTTGCCCAGTGGAAATCCCTTAAAATATGCTCTGTTTCCAACATACTATATGACTTACCTATCTTAACTTATTGTGTCAGTTTCATTCTTTTAAATGACCAGCATACTTTTAATTTTATTTGTATTAACTTAAATAGGCTACATCCTAATATAATTATCAATGGGGGAATTGTATGTAAATAAATCCCCCTCCTCCCCAAACAATAATTGGAACCTAGAATAATAATTCTGGAGTAATAATATTTGGTTTTTTATATTTGAACTTCAGAAACCATAAGTAAAAGGCCTAAATTGGTTTTCTAAAAGACATCATAGTTTGCGCAATTGATTTGATATTTTTATTTTGCTGATTCAGTTAAGCTATTAATAGTTTGACTCTAATAGGGCAAAGCGTTTTCAAACTCACTTAAAATTGGGAATAACTAAATAAACTAAGTTTATTGAAATTCCTCAACATAGATAAAAACATAACCTGAGTAACCTCAATCAATTATTTCACATTTGCAATTGAGCGGCAGACGACACGACGACAGCACTCCAATCCAATCCTAATGTTAGCCTGTGCGAGTGCGATGCGATGCAATGCGATTACAGATACGACTTACAACATGTTCGATATTCTTCGACACACAACCGAATCATACGGTTGGTCTGTTGTGAACCCAGCACTATCCCAGACAGAAGCAGAAGAAGAAGAATTAAAATTTTCGTTGATGGAAGATGAGTTGATTATGTAGGGTTATGTTTGATAATATTACTATCTGATTTTCGTGTTAATTCGTTATTTGCCTATCTTTTATTGATTTTGGAGGTGCCAACATTCTAACAATTGGGATCTTTCAATGGTTTGTACTAATTTAGATAGGCCTATTATACCTTTTAGACAGATTGTTGTTATCAGAATTTGGGAGTGGCGTAGTCATCTTTATTGATAGCGATGTCTAAGAACCTTTAATCTAATAGCCTAAGTGTTTTATAGCTTTATTTAATCGTTTTTTCCAACGTTATGCTGTATAAACCCCCAGTTTTTGTTAGGTCACGTAATTTTTTGTTAATATTTAAAGGCTATGGCCTAGCCTACAACATTTAGGCTTAAGAAACTTACACAATGCAGAATTTTTAGGCCTTAGGCCTAGCCTTCTTTATTTTACTTTATGTCGCATCATATTTACCATATACCACGTAATCCTCGCCACAATCTTCTGATCGGGGAGTCGTCAGAATTCTTCCCTTCTTGGAGGGGTCTTGAAGAAGTTGCTGATTTGAGGTGTTGGTAGTTATATTATAATATCCTATGAAATGAAATGAAATGAAAAATGTCTTTATTTAAGAGGCGAAGTTAGGACTTGCAAGTCTTCTCTACCACTTTACCTCTAAAACATAAATAAATAAAAACTTATTCACTTATATAAGTAAATTTATCCCTCCGAGTGTTAAGCGTGGCGTAATCGATGCACAACACACCCGCCATGGCGTTATGCGTCGCTTTTGCGACACACAAACATCGTTTACGGCGAAGGCTCTGGGACTGACTCAATCAGATTGAACTGGATGGAGATTGGTATCGTTGTTTTCAGCTGATTCTAAGCTTTCTCCTGATGTCTGTTTCTAGACGCTTTTCATTAGTTCTGAAAATATTGTAGCAGACAGCTGACGTGCGTATTTGTAATCAACTTGGTTAACCTCGCACCGATGACTGATGTGTTTTATTACGTTTATCATTGTTTGAGTGTTAAAAATAAAACGCAGAGGATACATGTCCGGTAACCAGACGTGGATTAGGCGTCCGGCAGTTACTGTCATAACCTAACCTAACCAACCAAACTTGCTGATAATGAAAAAAATCAAATGAAGGTTCAATTCTCTTCATAACATAAAATTATAAATGCCAAAAATTCTAACAAAAGATGTACAGTCAAGAAGAAATTACATTCAAAGCAAAATCTGTGACAAAAAGTTAAAGAAACCGATGGGTTTCGAACCAGGGACCTCTTGGATATCAGCCGAGCACTCTATCCACTACACCACGAACAACGCTGGCCAAACCTTGTATCGTTGTGGTAATGGCGTTCCGGGACCCCACAACCCGGTGACGTCACTACCGGACGCCTAATCCACATCTGGTTACCGGACGCGTATCCTCTGTGAAAATAAAAAGTAGTGATATACGTGGAACGTGGTGCATTATAAAAAGATTTAAGTGATTTTGAAGGGCTGGTTGATGATCTTGAAAAAGTAGGTAGTGATGTTGATGTAAATTATCGGCCAGATTCCTAGCTATGGTTAGGCTATGCATTCTTAGCTAACGCTAAATGTACGAAATCAGTTTTTCACCCTTAACTTATTTATTTGCTAATTTACTTCCTTATATTATTATATTTTTGTAATCCTTATAAAATTTAGAACAAAGTGGCTATTTAAAAATATTTGTGGACTGATAATTTATAAAAATTTATTGAGTGCAAACATATTTTTTTTCATTTATTTTATAGTTTTTAAGAAATGTTAACCCCACAAAAATTGTTGGAAATTTTTTTTGTAATGTTTTATATATTGTTGAAGCCCATAATTTCCCAAACAAAATTATATATAAAACAGTAGGGCCTATACTTTACATTGTTTTTAAGTTGGTTACTAAGATACATTTTAATAAAACCCTGCAATTGCGCAATAAATGGGCGGAAATTAATACCATGGACACTTGGAGGATTAAATAATCTAAAGTAATACATTAAATGAGTAAACATGAAGAAATAAGTTAATTAATCTTAAAAAAATCCCATTCACACAAGCCGCCAACAACCCCTCACACCAGCGCCAGAGACTCACTCAAGCCTGCTGCTCAATATAATAGATTTATGGTATGTGTGCTGTTCTATATAATGTGTGGTTTTGTAATATGGCCTGTTTATTAGGTATTCTATGAGTTTTTTTTTTTGAAGCTGTTGATTGTGGTTGTTGATTTTATATGTTCTGGTAAATTATAATAATATGTACCTGAATTGATGGTTTTTTGTAGTCGGTGTTGCTTTGTGTTAATGTTGTGTTTGTTTCGGGTGTTGTAGGTGTGTATGTCTGATTGTGGGGTGAGGGATGATTTTTTGGCTAGGAGTATTGTGTCAAATATATACTGGGAGGTTATTGTTCCAATTTTGAGTTTGATGAAGAGGGGTTTGCAGTGTTCTAGGTAGTGGAGTCTCAGGATTGCCCGGATTGTACTCTTTTGTATGGTTAAGATCTTTCCGATGTTACTTGTGCTTGCTGATCACCAGTCAGTGATACCATATTTTATGTCCGGAATGAAAAAGCGAATGGTAGGCCAATAGCTACGTCTTCATTCGTGAGTGTGCGGATTCTTTTTATCACATGTCTTGAAGTTGACAGTTTTTTGGATAGGCTAGGTATTTTATGTGATCTTCCTAGTTGAGGTGTTTATCGACAATTATGCCAAGGAATTTTGTGGAGTTGGCCGTTGGAATGTCTAGGTTGGTCCAGTCCTCTTCTAGGCTGTTGTTGTTGTTGGTTGTGAATTTTATGTGGGTCGTCTTGTTTTTATTTATACTCAGGTTTATTGTATTGCAGTATGCGGTGTCCTTATTAAGGGTTTCATTGATGATATCGGTGTTATCTGTTGTTCGGTCAGTGGGAAGTATGATTGTCGTGTCATCAGCGAAGAGTATGTATCTGAGTTATTGTCCAATTTCTTCCGGGAGATTATTTATATACTGTAAAAAATAGTGGGCCTAAAATTGATCCTTGAGGCACATTTACCCTAAAACCCAAAGTGCAAAAGATTTAAACTGTAGGCCTATTTAGTTGTTATTTTTTATTGATTTAGGTAAGTACAAAATTTACTAACATAAGTCATTGTTTCGATCTTAATTGTTGATTTTATTTTAGGAAATTATGCGTATTAAAAGTGACCAAGGGAAGTTTAGTAATTAATATATATTAGTAACTAGATTTTTACCTGAAAACAATGGTGCAAACCTTTATCTGCTGTCGCAAAAACTGAATAAGTTTAAACTAGGCCTACCCTACGGTCGTTTGAATTTTAGGGTAGACTTTCATTGTCAAAATTACTTAGCGGAATGAAAATATAGATTTTTTATTTGATTATTTAATTTGATATATCGTTTGGTTAAACTTAGTTCTAGGTTACTGTAATTTAACTAACCAAACGATATACCATTTCGAATAATCGATTTATCGATTGATGTTTTCATTTGGTTGTTTTTTACAACAGAGATATGAAAGTCTACCCAAAATTTATTACTGTAATGCCTCTTGCCTGCTTGTCTCTGACGTCATTACTGTGTTAAGTGAATTGAATACTAACACTTAGTTCACACTAGGTTCATCTTGTTATGTTGATGATTGAAAGCATCGTCTAAACTTAGGGTGAAACCTAAGACGACAAACATTAAGTTTGTACAAAGCGATAGAGGCAATTGTAAATGCAACTGAACGTTGATTATTGTGCACTAATCAGTTCTTATTTAGACTTGTGAGGTAGGTAGGTCGAGTTTTACGTGGATTTATGACTGTAGGCCTAGGCCTATAAAGTGTTTTGAAGTTAGGTTAGATTAGGAAGGTAAAGTTTAGGTTATAATGATTGATATAACTTATTTTAGGTTCCCTATCGTTATCTCCAGACTGTTTTTGCACTCTAGTACTTTAAACACAATAAATAATCATTTCAAAGATGCTTGTTTTTATTGTTTTATCAAATGTTTTTATTGGAAAATAGAGAAGTCTGTAAGTTATACCTATTACATATTTTTGGTCAAGTTTTAAACCACTGGAAACTAATCAAACCAAACTCCAAACTTTCTCAGTTAAGTTAGCCTATTTGATAACAATTGCCATACTGTGGGTTAAGGCAAAGCAGTAGGTCACAAATCAGCTTATTTGTGCATATATTGGTAGAAGTCATAGGCTCAAGTTTAAGAGTGACAGTTAAACTAAGTTTTACTGTAGGCCTAGTTATAAAAACATATCTTCATTCACGTAGTTTAACAATTAGATTAAGTTACCTCCTTGAAAATTGCAGCTTTGTCCAAAAATGCCTCAACTAATTTGGTGTGTAACTATTTGGTGTAAGACCCTAAACTAAGTTAGGTCTTAACGTTATGATACAAGAAATATTTTTAAATTTAGGCGATTTCTGTGGATACAAGCTGACTTCTAGACTGATATAAATTAATATTGTTTTGTCTTAGGTAAACATGAATGCTGCTGATGACAAGGAATGCAACAACAAACAAAACACCAACAAAGTGAATGGGACAGCAGAAGAAGCTTGTGGTACTTCAAATACTCCTCAAAATGAAGAAAACAAAACAACTAAGCAAAATGGCAATTCTGTTCAAAAAACTGATACCAATCCTTTTACCAATGGTGCCTACCCCAAAACCAAACAAGAGCCTCAAAATGGTTCCATTGGTCCATCGTCTTCAAATAGAAGTTGTAATGACAAGTCTTTTGGGAAATCGGAAAACTCTCAAGTAGAGTGTCGTGAAAACAATGGAGATTCGGCTTTGAGAAATAGTGAATGTTGTGACTCTACACAGAAACAATGCCGAGCAAGAGATAGGGTCAGCTGTGATTACGACAGGAACAGTTCCAGCGAAGACGAGGAGTGTTGTATTTACACTTACAAAGGTGATTCCAATCAAATGGCAGATTTGCCCAGTTCGTTCTTTAATTTGGATTTGTTACCGCAAAGACCACTGGCTAACAGTAGGAACTCGTCTCCCGATATGGACTACCTGGAGATGGATTTTGACCCCGGTCCGTCTAATGACCGGTATAGTTCTACAGACTCTGAATGTGGCGATAGACTGGAAAATGAGGAGGAATTTGTGCCAGAACTACCATTGTTGCCGAAGCCGCCAGAATGTGAGGGTGCACCAGAAGTTCGGCAGGTTGAGACGAGTCATTCCACCCCTGTCTCCCCCCTCTCCAGTCCATCACCGAGGCCGGAGAGCAGTTCGGAGCGATCCCCTGTGTCAGGTAGCCTATGTTGTTGATGAAGATTAATAGTCTGCTCCTTATAAGGTTAATTAGAATAAGTTTAGGCTATATTTGTTTACTTATTAATGTAACATTAACTTTTCCGTAGCCAACTCACCTGTCTAAATCAAAATGTTGGCATTCACTCTCAGGTTTTTACTGGTTCTGAATTAAAACCTATGAGTAGTGTTGGAGTACTTTGCTTGTTTTGTAAAGTAACAATACTATATACATGTTATTTTAAATTGTACGTCTTTGTTTTCCATGTAAGCTATAGGCTACGAGTTATTTTTTAATTTTTTGTCTTTGTTTTCCCAAGTCACATTTTGGAAAATCCCCAAGTCCCAACCGCATCCCTTGGAACCAAAACCCGGGTAAACAATGACCGATGAATTTTGAATTTTGAACCTAATAAAAATTTTGAATCCATTGGAAAATGAGCTAGGCATTGGGAATCGATGCTGTGACGCAAAGTAAACTGTCCTGCTTGGCCAACAGAATGTAATGGAACAGATGACAACTCGAATAGGCCTACTCATAATATGATAGAGATTAAGTTCAGAAAACAACTAGGCCCTAGTGATTATTTTAAGAAATGGATTTTGTTAATAAGTTACTGTTTTAAAATACAAAAATACATCCTTAACACTTTGTAATAATATATTAATTCCACATTATAAGTGTTATTTACACTTATAAATAATGTTGACTCACAAGACGGTAAATACAGATAAATTATGGCAAGTGGTGATCGATTTTGATTGGACACTCCAATCATCATTAGACCCAATAGAATGACTTAATAAATATTGATAATTTATTACCATCTTGTATAAATATTTAGTCTTATGGGTCTACAGTGTAAGTATAAAAAATTATATAAGAAGTTATTTAAAGAAATTTTGTTGTAGCTTATAGGATTAAACTAAATGTAATAAACTAATGTTGTACGTTCCTTGTGGTTTTATTGCAATGACAACTGTTCCAGTACCAGTTTCCAGTCCGCCGATCTCACCTGTGCGCCAACCTGAAGACAGGACTGGCGCAGTAAAGGAAGAAACACCGCCAGTCTACTGTTACTGTGGTGCAAACAAACTGTCTCCTACATCAATCGATGAGAACTTTGTAAGTTAACCATCATAACTATATTTTTACTAGTTTGTTTACTGCTTAAAATATAGCGTAAAACATTTACTTAGTGGTATTAAATTTTGATATTGGAGTAAAACTAATCAAATTATAGAAATATTGTTATTGTTTTACTTGCCTGACATTTTGAACAAGATTGACAATAAACAACTGATTTTAAACAAAGGATAACTTTGTCACGTTACGTGAACTTTGAAAGCCCGTGAGACATATCCTTGAGGTTCGTTTATGTTGGAGCCATAAAAAACTTTAAGTGTTGTTAAATGTATCTTACCTAAACTACCTGATTTTGGTTGTGTTGATATCACTATATTTTTAGAGGACAGTTTTTATATCAAACTAATTTAATATTGTAATATCATGAAACTATCTATTCATCACAACTCAAGACAAACTGAATCAAAACATAAATAAAAATAAAGAACATATGATAATTAACGTGTGAACATTACCAACTGTTTGTTTTCCTAATATTGTTTCTCTAATATTGATTTTAAAGAACCTAGTGAACACCATCTATCGTGAGGCGCCGTGCAACGCTGGAATCATGTCGTCGTGTATAACACGTCACGTGTCATGTCATTAGCACCGGCACTCTCGATCGTTTGCTCGGCATAACACCAAGATGATAGATAATCCCATAATAAGAAAGTCCTGGTTCCGGAACAATTACATACATACCTTAATTAATTTAACTAATCCACTAGATTTTTAGTCAAAGAACAATATTAGTGTGTAAATTTGTTTTTGTTTTCATAGAATGACGGAGATGGAGGAACAATGGTTTGGAAAGAACACGAGGCCAAAGATAAGCAAGTGAATCAGATCGGCGTTTCTCTATGTGGAGCCACTGCTGTAGTCAATGCTTTGGTAATAAAACAACTGTTACTGTGATAGAACTACAGATACAGGCTTTGTATTTTGCTTTGTTTTTTTTTAGGATGATGGGTATGAACTAATAGACAAAATTGTAAAGCTATTTTTTAAATATTTAAAACATGTCCAGAGATTGTCTTGAAAAATTAATTTGCTTTTTTGCCCTTTTAAACTGAGTGTAAATTTTTTTATTTTTGGTATAAAATATTAGGGTAATTATATCGATCACGGACGTGTCGCAAAAAAAATTTTTTTCACTATTCTTATTCTAAATTACGTCCTGAATTCAAAAATGATTGTCATTTTCGTCGGAAAAGCACTATTTTCCCGGAAAAGCTGAAAAACGGAAAAAACAAAAATTTTGCGGAAATGGGTCATGTGTATACTCAAATTAACCGGTAAAGCGAGCTGAATATAGTATAGTAGTTTTTTAGTGTATTTTACTTTCGTTAAGAATTTTTTTCAAAATGCCGGGGAGATACCAGCTGGGTTTTAGGATGTAGTTTTGGGGTTTTAACGTCGGTTTCCCCATACGGGGAACAAACATCTATTTAGGCAATGTAACTGAAATCACATGCTATTAAATTGATCAATAGTTCTCTCCTGCCAACCGAAGTAATTCACTCGTCCATAAAATTATCACAGCCAGCAATTCAGTATTCAATAGTAAGGCATTTATTAATTTATCCATATCAATGCAGCTCTGAAAATTTCAGTTAGTGGTTAAACAAGTTGTGCATGGTATAAATTAGTTAATCACAGCTCATCAAAAGTTGGGTTGTGTACGGCAATGGGCATGATCAGCCTCAGGGTAAAGCCTTTTCCTTTTAAATCAAACAGATCCAACACTTCCTCAGTCTTTAGTTAAATTAGCCTGAACAGTAATTTCTTGAAATACAACAACACCTGCTCACCCAAGTGGTAACTTAAAAGCATGTTTCCGACTTATAACCCGACCATATAACCCCCATCCATCCATATCACCATCTGTAACCAACAGTTCATCGCTACAGAAGGAAGTACGGTTGTGAATAACGCAATGACTTGTGAGCCTAAAACAATACTGTATTGCTATCACTGTTTTTATAATTTTTTTTTGCAGATGGGTTTGAACATCCAATTTTCCGTTTGCGCTGTGAAGCAGTTTGTCGCAACGAGGTTCCGCGCTGAGTCTGCTCCTCTGTCAGAGTATCTATTGTCTCGGTGTTACGCCGGCGCTACTGCCGAGGACATGATACGAGCCTTGGACGGCGCCTCACAACAGATGGTGTTTGCTAGGTTCTTCTCAACTTATCCGAAACGCAACATTTCCCTAACCAGTTGGTTGTCCCACTGGATAAGAAGAGGTAAGCACCAAACAGAATACGCAGGGTAGCATTACGCTGGAACCTCAATTAACCGTTTGTCTTTCAACCATGTTTGGATCTGACACCTAAAAAATGTGTATTTGGTTATTTTTACTGTAGGGTTTTGCCACGCTGCAGTTTTTTTAATACAAAAATATTATACTAAGTTACTTGTCTGAAAAATAGGTGTTTACTGGACGAGTGCGGTTGTTCCAGCACAATATAAAGTCGAGTGTGGTTGTTCCAGCACAATATAAAGTCGAGTGCGGTTGTTCCCGCACAATATGAAGTCGAGTGTGGGATTACCATGAGTGCAGTACACACATTTTGGACACGTGACATACAATATTTTTTGCCGTTACTACTCTCAACTAAACTAATAGTAATACAATTCAAAACCAATAAATATGTTCCCACCGACAGACTTAACAATCACTAAACTCATAACTTATCAGAGAGGTTTTGTTATCGTTTGTATCTACTACTCCAGACTAAATCTATGCGTTTAAAGTCCGTTAACTGAGTTATTTCCTTCTAAAGTGAGTGTAATTATCCATACTGTAGTCATTTAACAGGGATTTCTGTTATCCATCTATTCCATTTATTGTCATAATCCTCAGGGCAACGGTTAATAGAGGTTTCACTATATTGTAATTACATTTGTAATTTTCAAAAGAAAATGCTACTTGAAAACGACTTGGTCTGTAAAAAATTGTATTTCTAGGTTAAGCTAATTTTTGTTAGGCTACTTAACACAACAATAATTCGTAGGTTTCTGACTTGTTTTTTTTTTAATTTTACACTTTTTTTTGTAACTTTATTTTTTTTAAATCATTATTAGAGAGGGGTTACGTTTGACTGTAATGACTGTAGAGCAGTGTTTCCCAACCTTTTTCCGTTCAAGGCACACTATAGAACACGTTTGTAGTCACGGCACACTTGTCTACAAAAATATCGTTGGTTAAAATTACATTTAGTAAGTGCATGAAAAACTCTTTTTTTCAATTACATCTTACTCGGTAAAACCTGTTTTTTACTAGTAAATGTATATATGTAAATAGTATAAAGGTGGGTTTTCCAAGGTAAAAAATATAAAACTCACAATTGTTATCTAACGTACATTATTTAGTGTTTATTAAATGAAAAGTTTTAAATAATAATAAAATATTGAGCTTGATTAAAATGTTGTATGAATTTACCAATAATGAGTGAGAAATATTTATTAAACCCTGGTTTCAGTTCTAGTAGGAAACTTTTGTGCTTGACGTTTGTTCTTTAAAAGTTTAATTCTTGGACGAATGGTTGACAAGCAGACTCTCATATCGTCTTCCAAAGACTTTAGTTGAGAACGGGTTTTGGTCTTGATTGCGTTCATTGATGAGAATGCAGCTTCACAAATGTAATAAGTAGAAAAGGAAGGAGAAAAAGAAAACTATTAAAAATTTCCCGGCACACCTACAGAGGCCTACTGGCACACCAGTGTCGGTTGGGAAACACTGCTGTAGAGGAATATCTTTGATTAACACAGCTTAAGTTACAAAGTAAAAAAATAATTAACCAAAGATTGGTAGACTATGCTGAAGAAATCCTTGGGGATCATCAAGCAGGCTTTTAGGACATTTATTTTTTTTCATGTTGCTCTAGTTAACAGTTTATTTTCCCTGTCTACTCTACCATTTCCAAATTAACATTCTTTGTGGAAAAATCTTCCTTTTTAATTTTCATGTTCTAGTACATTTTTTTTAATAAAACATTTCATCCCATTTTAGGTGCTGTGCCCATTTTGACCCTGAATCTACAAAGAGTGGTTGTACCTGATGGCCCGCCAGCGGACTGTTGGCACCATCAGATGGTTTACGGTGTCAGTCCTAAAGGGATACATCTCACCAACCCATTGGAGGTAGGGAAGCTCAGAGTGACAACGAGTTTTAATTAAATATTTTGATAAACAAATTTTTTAATGCTGTACTTGCCGAAAAAGCAAAGCATATGAGGTTTTGCTCCAAATACTTGAAAGTAAAGGTGGTAACTTTTAAAATGAATATTGATTATCATGTAAGTAAACTGTGGAACCAATAGGTTAAGGCAATATTTTCATATTACAAACAGTCAACTATTTGATGTTAACAGAGGAGAGTAGTAGTTCAATAGCATTGACTTTTGGACACTCGTGTACACACCTCATCTATATGAGCCAGATATAACTGAATTTGTATGCACATAGAACTTGAATTTTCATAAAATGAAGCAATACAAAATTGTATTTCCTCACTTATTTTACTATTTTACCTTGATAGTTTTGTTACAGAAAATGTCATAGTGAACTGAAAGTTCTCTTTCCACACATTATGGTTAAAATGTTGGTGAATAGAATATTAACGAAAAAAGTAACGGTATAAATCAGTAATATTTTAAGTAAACTTTTAGATGAGAATGGGATGTACGCTCTCCATGTCAAAACTAATACATCTCCAATCTTATAAAGCGCTTTTGCGTATTAACAGATGTCTGCAGATTCAAATCAGCACGTCATTGCTGACACCAACCATGTATCTTGCGTGTGGCAAATAAATATTCTAATTGTCAAAATTCTTTTTCATCAGTCGAGAGGACTTATCAGCGTAAATGTTATGCAGGTTCAGATCGAGAGCCGTCTGTGGCCCCAGCTGTCTAGTCCATCTGTCTTGCTGGTCCGGAGAGAAGATGTGATTTCTCGGTGGAACCCCGACTCCAACTTGCTTCCTCTTGCTGATCCTTCCAGGCCCGACTGGAGAAGGTTGAATGTCCTAGGTGAGAAGTTTCTCTAAGTTTACATCTGTTTACATCTACATAAATTCACCATGTAGAAGAGTTAAGTAAGGGCTGTTTAAGCTTCTTATTTCGCATAAACGCCTCAACAATCCCTCGCCGCTTACTGGCATCATTGGTGAACAGAATGGCGCCATTTGCAGCTCTGTAGCTGACGTGTACACTTCACTATGTGTTAAGAACATTTTTTTAATTATTGAATTTCCCGCCACGCGAGGTAAGGTCAGTGATTCGTTTTTTGGCCAACTGTTGTTTAGGAACCCACCAAAAATCCAATTCCTTCAGAAATGGACATTTTCACGACATTTTAAACTCCATAACCCATTTCTGCACTTAACCCTCACTCATTGCATTAGATCCATAACATTCAGTCATCTGGAGATGAATTTCGGCTTTGGATATGTTTCTTTTGGTCAAAAACCTATCACTGACCTTATTTCGCATGTGGCGGGAGATTCAATAATTTCTTCTTGTTAGTTAGTTCTAACATTTTCATTGACTAACTAAAAATTTATCAAGTTTGAATTAATTAATGAATAGCTTGGTAGGCCTAATGATAGTTGCCACTTGTTGATGCCAACTTATAGTTATACCTATACTTATTAAAAGAAGTTCTTTATTCTCGGTTCTCAAGTTATCAATACTTGAACATGATGAGTTAACCTCAACTAAGTAATACATCAAAAATACCCAAGATCAAAAGTAAAGATTATCAACTAACTGGTGGACATGTGTTTTGCAGGCCAAGTGGTGAATGTTATAAGAGAGGAGGGAGCGAGAAGTCACTTGAGAACGCACATTACCATCCCTGCGTCCTACACTCCCGGCGTCACTCTGTGTGTACTGAGGTCGAGCCCAGTGTATGACGAACTGCGTCTTGCTCCCGAGTTACCAATCGATCCTTTTGCCAACAGATAGTTTTGCATGTACAGGTAAACGGTTTTATAGACTTATCACATGGTATAGGAGTGTAATGCGATCTGTCTTACAGGTTTGGAAGAGCTCAATAACTTTTTAGAAGGTCCGAAGCTGGTGTGGTACTTTTGTTTGAGTGTTTTTAAAGTTTTCTATTCTTAAGAGGCAACTCTATGATTCAAAACCCATTTACACCTGTTTTCCGTATATTATGAAGTTTAGTATTTGGTACCGTACCAATCCATGGTATCTCCTGGTGTTTTAGTTTTTTTTTAATTTAAATTTCCCCCTAAAATAACAAAAAATTGGATTTTCACTAAATCGGCTTGAGTGATTTTGATTAAAATTTAGTATAATATGGTCCTTGTAACTCCAAACGAAATAGTACAACCCCCAATATAGTAAAAGTTTAAGTTCATAGGCTATTGCAGTTTTTGTGATTTTACTCACAGAAAGTCATTTACTAGCACCGCTTATCCATTAGTTGTTGTTGAGATGATAATGGGAGAAAGTCTGTGTCAGTTTTCTAATACCGTATATTTCTTAATCACAATGTAAATCAGAACCTCTACAACAAGTTGTTAAGAAAGTCGAGAAGTCAAGCATTAATAACACAACTCTGCAAGCAACTGTAATTGACCAGTTTCTAAGAGAATTCATCAGATGTTTTGTAGGAAAGTCATTACGGACTCAAGTACTAGGTTTTTTTACAAAGCATAATTTTATTTAAACTTGTCAGCATTAAGATTGCTCTGAGATGCACTCCTTATCAAGGACAGAGCTTCCATTAATCTTGAAAACATGTCTGCTTGCTGAAATGACCATTACAACACAACCCTCAACAAAAAGAGCACCTCGTTAAGAAGACTGTTTCTTTAATCCCCTTGAGACACTTCTTCCTAGGGTTCTACCTTTGACTATTGGTTCTACTTAACTGTACTACAGAAAATTATTGAGCGAAGCGAGCAGAGCGAGCGAAGCTCACTTTCCCTCACTTTGTAACTTCTTTGTAAGAGCATCAGAATGTAATGGCTTGACCAATTGATATGAAATTTGGCCAACAGCTAAAGAATACTGAGCACAATGTTTTGGTAAAAAATATTTGCGAATTTCCTTCTGGATTTTATTTTACAGGTCACGCAATTTCGCTTGTTATTTTAATGCAAGTTGAAAGAAAAATTATATTGGGTTTATGACATATGGGTTTATCTCGTTTCATTTAAATAAGATAAACATATGTTAATTGTTTATAACTGTTTTGTTTACATTTCAATGTTTACTTTCATCCTAGGTTAAAGTTGGAATGTAACGGTTTATCAATGGAAGTAACAGTTTTGCTATATTTGTTTTGAGCATGCCTCAAAGGCCCAACGTAATATTGGTCGTCGCACCAATAATGCAAATATTGTAAGAGAGTGGCGTTGTGAACAAGAAGAACCAGATGAAAAAAGCAGTGGCGGAAGAAGCTGATAATGATAGACAGTTAGCTAATCAATTCCAACATGAATTAGATGCACTAAAATTTTTCACTTGCACTAACTGTCATCGGCAACAACTAACAGCTTCAAACCAATCACCGATTTGTTCGCGTTGTCGTTCAAATGCAACTAAATTCACGGCGTTAAATAATAAGGATGTGTCAAGTGTCCCGAACGAATTAACTGACCTGACGGTTGTAGAACAAATGTTGATTGCACGAGTACATCCTGCTATGCCCATTTACAAAGCACAAGCAAAATGGTCAGGATGGCCAGTTTCACTATAATTTGTCATTCTTTAGAACTTAAATAATATCGGGCAAACAAACGGTGAATCTGTTGAAAGGGAACATATTGTAGGGTGTTAGCTGCTTTAACCATTGACAATCTTTAAATAATACTTCGCTCATTTATGCGTCTAAAGTGTAACAGCAGACCACCCTAGTTTTATTTGTAGGTACTGATTTATCTAAGCCTATTTTCAATATGTTTGAGTTGTGACAAGAAAAAACTATTACCAACATCTTTTTTTCAGGAACTGCTTCATGACGAGAACCGTATAGGGGCTTCGTTTGTTTTCTTCTTATGAGGTATTGAATGAAGCCGTTAAATACTTTAAATTGATGCCAGGTATTTTGTATGTGAAGTTCGGCACAATTTTTTATGTAACAATTTTGTATATGACATACTTTAATCAAAGCCATGTATATAAGCTGTAAAATGTATATTTTACATTGTAATATTTCAAATAAAATTAGGTTACAAACAATGATTTCTGTATTCATTTTCCTGTTGTTGCACACGCTTCCTGATAAGCATCTAAAGTGTAATATTTATCTTAAAGTTTTACTAACATTGTATGATGTATGTGTTTAGTAGACCAAAAGGGAATGTTGCTGAAAGTCAACAGTCCCGGAAGATCAAATAATTTATACCTGTGCCGCTAGGTCAAAAACTGCAATGTTTGCAGTGTCTGTAGATCAAAAGTCCCAGTAAGTCAAATAGTACAGTCCGAGCTAAAAACGTGGTCTATGTTAAAGCAATTGACTTATTGGGAATTTGACCTAATGCAACAGCAGTTTAGTCGTTAATATAACGAAATACGGTAAAATACAAGTTCAGTTTCGCTGAGTCAACAGTGCCGGAAGATCAAAAGCAATAAAAGTGAACGTCGATTCAGTGTAAAGTAGACCTCCTGCAACGCTTACTACACCAACAAAACTCGCTTTTAGTTACTTCGTGTTTTGTCATAATTAGAATAGAGCTAAAATTATCATATTTGGTACATAGCTTATCTATTAATGCTTCTTGCCAACTGTTTGGTCAACACTGTAAATAGGTATAGTTTATGTAATGAAAAGCCTTTCGTCAAAATTTGTGGCATAAAATACACGCAAGGACGATCTGAAAATTTCTGGTTATTATATACGTTTGTAAAAGGAGATCCATTTAATTGTAGAACTATTTTATGAGTTATAATGTAGTTTACATATAAACTGTGTAAATGTATTACGCCTCGGAAGGGTTGAAACCTGTCCAAACTATCATATATATTATTAAAACGTAAATGGGATTTTTTCACGATTCTGAATCAATCAGACGATGGATTTTCATTAGTTTTGTGTTGAAAGAAAGATAATTTTGAGAACTAGGGAATGTCAAAGCCATAATTATAATTAAGGGTCCCAGCTTTTTAGAAATTAAGTTTTATTTTTAAAAAGTCTAGCAGCCGACGCTAACCTTCTAAGCCAGCTTTTAGTACAATATAATTTGCTTAACATAACAGCTGTAAACATTCAGCATCTGTGACACAAATTCAGCATTTGGAAACAAATTTAAAGATATAATTAGAGTTGACTTATTTATACTATGTGTAATGCTGACCATTGATACATTCAATTCTTAGGTATGAGGATGGCAGATTAATTAAATATGCATAGTAAAATAAAAGGATGTTCAAATTATTTTTTAAAGGAATCTTTGTAATCATCGATTTGTTTTAGTCCCATATAATTTGTTTTAACTAACAGCTGGTTGAATGTAATATTGTTCTTTAAGGTAAATGCACCAGTAGCTGACAGTGCTCCAGAAGCTGACAGTTTGAGTTTCTTAACATTATAATGTGGTCTCTTAAAAATATTTACACATGATTGCATTGTTAGAAGAACATATGTTTATCCTTGATTTGTTTACAAAAAAATCAGTGAAATTTAGCCCATACTCGCGGAATGGTGGTGGTTTGAAAGCGACCCTGTCTGTACACATCACATTTAGTCGATTCCCTTAATGAAATTGTTAAGAAAGTAAGTTTGGTTTTTTGTCATTTCGCTAAATTTCTTAAATAGTATTAATGATTAGGCTCATTATTTTTATCAATTATACCTTTGTTGACAATTTCATGAAAAATTGGGGTGTTAGGGGTTTTGGATTTAAAATTATATCAATGTCAGGCTTTGGTACACAAAAGCCATACAAGTTCCACTAGCTGACAGGGGATATTTGCTACTTGCACAATATTAAATTGGTTTTACCCATCGACATTTGCATGTTATTTATAATTTATGTGATCTCACATTTTTATAAAATGATTTTACTTTTTTAATTTATAAGCCAAATTATTTTAAAAAATTGTATATTATATAAAATATATATAAAATATATAGGTATATATTTTTAATGTAAATATTTTTTATTTTAAAATATGTAAAATAAATTTTTTTAATAACGTTTTACATTATTTTATAATTTAATTATTAAGTTAGATTGTATTCGTCTTATAAATTATAATACCCTTAGGTTTAGCAGCTAGTACATTTATAGTGCCAGTGTCAGCTACTGGGACAATTGACAGTCAGCTACTGGTACAAGCACTTTTTTCACTGTCAGCCACTGGAACACGTACAAAGGTTGAATTAAGTTTAAAAATTTTATAAAATATATTTAAAAACCCCTTTTTGTATGACAAATTTGAAAACTACACTAAATTTAGAATCACATGAAATCCGTAATATCTCTTTAGTTCCTATTTATTCAAAACCACGGATTATTAAGTGCGTATAGTTTCTTATACTGTCAGCTACTGGTGCGTTTACCTTATAACTATTAGGTTTTTGGAGAATTTCCCATATAGGGAATAAGCTATTACCGTAGTACTTATGGTAACACCTGGACCCGGGACCGATTTCATTTTTCGTTTTGAGCTCCCTAGAGGCCAAAAACATCATCCGTTCAAATTCATATATACAGGGTGATCAACTCAAGGAGGCCACCATTGGGAAATCGGAAACGGTAAGAATTAGAGAAAACATTAAATGGGGAACATTCCTTTATTTTTTGTGTCAGTTAAAAATATGATTTTAGTTTTTTTATCATGTTTTCGGATAGAATATGCAATTTCAAAACTTTTTTAGCCTTGACCCTTTTCGATTAACCCACTCGTTTAGGAGTACAGCCTATGGGAAAATGACTTCCGGTGTACATTTTACATCATGTAGCTCCTAAACGAGTTAGTTTAGAGCAAAATTGCAAAAAGTAAATTAGTCTTAGAATTGCATCTACATTCCTTAAAGACTATAAAATAAAAAGTTTTCCACTTTTCAAGTTTGCTGCCATTTCTTAAATAATATAATTCATATTTTTTATGAATTTTATGGTCTTTTTTGAATGTGGATGCAATTGTAAGACTTTTTTACTCCTCGCATTTTTGCTATAAACTTACTTGTTTAGGAGCTACATGATGTAATATGTACACCGGAAGTCATTTTTCCATAGGCGGTAACTCCTAGACGAGTGGGTTTATCGAAAAAATTTCAAGGATAAAAAAGTTTTTAAATTGCCTATTCTATCCGAAAACATGATAAAATATAGGGTTCGATAGGAAATTTCAAAATTGGCCGCCATTTTGGAAAATGGTGGCTGAATTTCAAAAAACTAAAATCATATTTTTAACTGCCACAAAAAATAAAGGAATGTCTTCCATTTTGAGTTTTCTCTAATTCTTACCGTTTCCGATATCCCAATGGTGGCCTCCTTGAGTTGATCACCCTGTATAGCCTATATTTATTTATTTATATATTTTTCCCGGGGGGAACCCCAGGACCCCCCTCCTTTTTGGGGGGTATTCCATACCCCCCAGGCCCCCGGTGACCCCCCCAAAATATATGTCTAGGACCGCCCTTGTCTTCTTTACCTATAAAACACATGGGATACAGCCTTTCTTCACCGATCACGTAATGTGTGATTTTCTATAAAGTGTTGGAAAAATAAAAGGTAAAATAGATAGAATACAGGTGTACTGTATGTGGTTTACACACAAATATTCATCAAACTGTGTGATATTTTGTTATTGCAATGAACAATTTGGGAGTATCGTATTGTTTAAGTCGATGGAAAATCTTTGTTGATCTTGTTTTACAAGCAAACCAAAAATATACAGTAGTCACCACTCTATGCGACATATTCTAACCAGAAAATTGTAATCGTATGATTCTATAAGCATTGGTAGGATTGCAAAGTACTACACAAACATTATTTCAAGGGTAATAACAGTCACAATTTCCGCCGACTTTAAAAGAGTCAACTAAAATATTATACTAATGGACACACAACTAAATGGAACAACTAATGGAACAACTCACGATGTACATATAACAGTTCGATATAAGCATCGAGTATACACGTCAGTGGATACGTGTATACCCAATGATATAAGCAACGGCGCAACGGTTCTTGCAATTTATTGCTTATTGTTTTTTAGAGTTTTTCGGACTTACTCACACTCGTATAAGGTTGTCCACGTTTGTCATTGATAATGTAGCCATGTAACATGGTTACACCCATTGTCACGAATATGTTTACAAGTTTTCCGTCTGTTTTTGAATAGCGATACATTTTTTCACATACTTAAGAACCATCTGATTTTGTGCATTACATGTTCGTCTCAATTTTATTTGCTTTAGTAGGCATTCTTTTGGTTGATGAGGACTTCAATCGGTCCTTTCAATGATTGCTCATGAAATATAGTACTTTGTCCATTAATTTTTATTGTTTGGTAAAATGGATTAAATTATCCAGCAAACCCAAATTGAAATAGTAAATATAGTATTTCAAACAAATCAGTAACATGTTAATAATGTAGCCTACATTATTTCCTTGAATTGCATAACAGCAATTAATTGGGCTGATCCTAATATAAATAAATCAATATGTTCTTCATAGGCATAACATGGGTTCATAACATGAGCCGCTGGGGCTGAGCCCAAGGGATTTAAAAATGTAAGGTTGGTCTGCAAATTTACGTGACACGCTCTCTCTAATGAGACATGAATGGTCAAAATCGCCTAAGAAATGCGGAGGAGTTCAACGGAAAAATTTCGTGTTGGCGTTATACAGTATGGTTGAAAAGTTATTATCACTTTTTTATCCCTTAAGAGGGATGGACCACAAAGACTAAGACAAAATTCTTATATAATTGTAATACTATTTTACTTGTTTTTGAAATGGCGACCATACAAATGTATGCATTTTAAGCCAAGTATGAATGGAGATGAGTGTGTGATGAGTGGAGCGATCTTGTTGTCCTGTTAGTGACTTAAGGCCGACGTAATCCTTAGACACAGCTGTTAATTAATAGTCCATACAGTCAATTAATAGCAGCAGAGGTCAAGTTTGGTAGGTATCAAATTAAAGGGTTTATACATAAAAATACATTGCCGCAAACCCAAACTCAAACGATGATGATGATAATAATGTTAATGATGTAGCTAAAACGTATCGTTTGAAATTTAACAGCTGAAAATAAGTGAAATAGAAAAGGTTTTGGTTAAATCCATCAAATTGTAATTGGACACTAGTAAGTACTAGTGCACTTTTTGCTACTTCCCCCCTTCGGTTTCATGTATTCCTCTCAATTAGTTCAAACCTAGGGGGATTAAACATTAATGTTAATTAATGTTAAATCCTCCTAGGTTCAAACCGTAAACACCCAGATCGAAACTCGCCTGTCGTTATTTTAACATCGCCTTATTTTTTTTACTATATTTTTCAAAAAAGAAAGATTATATTGATTTACTTTGAATTTTAAAAATGTTAACGTTTTATTTTATTAAATATTTATGGTGATACGTAAATATTGTGGTGTAGTAAAGTATATTATATTGTAGTTAAGTGTTAAATGTAGAAATTTTAGGGTGAATCGAGATGAATCTTTTTTTATAACATGGGTCTCTCCTACCTTAACATACATACCAAGTTTCATAGACATCGGTTGAAAAAGTGTAAAGATAAATACGGTATGTAAAAAATACAAAATGGCGGATATCTGGTTAACGAAACGATTTTGGAAAAAATCTTATCCTTCATTTTCTGTTTATTTTGACCCAAGGAATTACTAACTAGGTAAAGTATCTCTCCGCTTATTTTTAACACCCTGTTTATGATGTATTCTTATTAATATAAGTGAAAAATGTAAGCTGGTAATACAGAAAGATGTTTTATATATAATATGAATGTACTGGTAATCTGTATATTCATCTTTTTCTTGTCCTTAGAACTGTAAATTAAAAGTCCACTCAGCAGTCGCATCGTACGATGTAGTTCTTTCCATGCGTTGCGAAATGCTAAATTTGCCGTCCTCTTCAACCCAAGTTATCTATTGAACCACTTATTGTAAAAAATTTAAAAAAAATATATTTTACGCATCGCACTTTTAGCTACAACTTTGCCACAGACAAAACATCTCTAACCCAAAAACAAAAAAAAATCTCGCATGCTAACTTTTTCATGTTAGAAATCACGATTTAAAAATATTTCACCATACATATCAATTTTTATTAATTAGATTGGTAAATAATTAAAGTTCCAACAAAACTGTCATCGAGTAGGACTAACCAAGAAGCTCTGTGCCAATTTTCAAAATTTTAGCACAACTTTAAGTACACCAAAACACGAAATTATTGAAGTCATGCGTCGAGAGGACTATCGCTCTTTTTAACAGATTATACTTTTGACCTTCCGGCACTGTTGACTCAGCGAAACTGAACTTATATTTTATCTTATTTCGTTATATTAAAACTGCTGTTGCATTAGGTCAAATTCCCAATAAGTCAATAGCTTTAACATAGACTACGTTTTTAGCCCGGACTGTACTATTTGACTTACTGGGATTTTTGATCTACAGACACTGCAAACATTGTAGTTTTTGACCTAGCGGCACAGGTATAAATTATTTGACCTTCCGGGACTGTTGACTTTCTGCAACGCGTCCGACCAAAATACCTATTAGTTGACAAAATCCTATTTAAAAATATTTCACATGGACCAAAAATAATATTATAATTTTTCAGTACTAGTCCCAAAGTTACCTGTTTAGGGGCAAGACAGTGGTTCAAGAGCGAGGCGAAGCCGAGCACGGAACAATACACAATGCAAGAAACCACACAAATCTTCTTGGTTTAAAATAATAAAATATTGCAGTAGAACCTCAAAAACAAGACTCTCATGGGGATTATAAAATAAGACTATTATCAAGGTGGACTTTTTATCGAGGTTTGTAATAACATGTGATTAGGGGTAAAATATTCTTAGGGGATTTGAAAATGACACTTGTTATCGAGGGTCTTGTTACCAAGGTTCCACTGTACATCAAGTAATTCAATTTAAAGTTGGTCATAGCATAGGTTTCCGATTATTTATTTAAAAACAGCTGATTGAAAGATTTTTCTCGTAATAAAATAGTACATTTAAAAGTGCTCCTGTTGAGCTAAACAGAAACTTTGTTTGGGGAAGGAAAGGTCATGTAATCTACGAGCAAAATCATATGTTAAGCTATATAGGAAATTGATGATAGATCAGCTAAAATGAGCTATTTCCGTAAACAAAGTGATAAAAAATCCTTATCAGCTGTAATCAATCAATTTCTTATTAAGTTGATTTTATCTAGGGGTATGTTTATTTACTTTTGCGTTAATGCATAAATACTTAAGTAATAAAACTTTTAAAATTCATAAATATTAAAAAAATGCAACGGATAGCTTAGCCTACCTATGTTGGATTGGATATGAAAATCTCAATTGGGGAAAATTTAGTACCTAGAGAGCCAAGAGATCAAATAACTACATTGTTTGGTAAACAAATGACTTTATTTCCTATATAAGAATACTTTTACAAGAGATCCTTTATCATTTACAGTGTCAACATTTAATTACAATTACTTGTGTTGTTCAAACTGCTTGGGCACATTTTAAATATATTTCTTAACGAATCTAAATCCCCCTAAGATACAAAACTGAGAGCATTTTTATCATTTACGGAATCAACCACAGCTCTTTTTCGGTTTTACTGATCGTTGGAAAAACAAGTTCACTCCTTATAGAAAACAATAACTTAATCCCCCTTGCTTACAATTGACAATTGCAATAGACACTTAACCTATAATCACTTCATCTAGACTTTCTTCAATGCCTCATCCACTTCACCTACCAAAGAGACAACTTTCTTCCATTGGGTGGCGCTCAGTGAAATGCCTAAAACAAATTAAAATTAGATTAATTGGCAAACAACATACTGTCTATGGTACTCTAGGTATTTCAAACACTTGATGAATCAAATCTTTCGATAATCCAAAATAAAAGCTCAGTCCACAGAGAATCTCTAAATATTTAGAAGTTTTACCATGCATTTTGATATACTCGGTATCAAAGCCCAAGCAGAGGGCCGGCCGATTTGGAACATCGTTGGTAAAACACACTATAATTCGAAGTGGAGGGATTCTTTCCTGTCATAACAGAAAACTAGATACATCCTGTTAGCACAGTAGTTTGTCTTAAATAATGCTATTGGTGACACAAGAATGAATAGCAAAGAGCAAAATAATAACAGATTTTTTCAACTAACTAAAAAATAAGCCGTTGTTTGAGGCTAGTAACTAAAATAAAATGTTTTGTGTGTTTGTTTTAATTCTTTACCTTACAGAAAACAGTATATTAAAAAAATAACTCTGTAACTCAAATAGCTAAGTATAAAACTACCCATACCCATGCTGCTCTGCAGCATTGAAATAAGTATCATATCTGAGAAACATGAAGCCCGATCTTGTAGTCTTACAGACTACGGCCGACATGTTCCTTAGACAGGACTGTTAATATATAGCCTGTACAGCCAATGGCAACTAAGGTACCTACAGTTTATAGTGGAATCCGAACCACGTGAATAGTTGTAGTACTCACTAGTGTATGTTAATCCACAGTGCATGCCTATAACTATCCACAATTCTTGACCTCCTAATAGCTGAATTACAGGACGGCGCTACCGTCCCAGTCTTAAAGGTAAAGTAAAATCTTAAAGGTCCCAGGTGCCCGTAGTTAAAGACCTATAGATAAATTCCCTTACTTTTCATAATAGCAGAGAAACAGGAATTAATGTTACCTTTCTTTCCCGGTCTGATGTCTCCGCCAGCGTCGTAGTACTCTCTGATGTCGATGAGCACTTTTCCTCTGAACGTACGCACTTTAAGATACTTCATTCCCTCAATGTGGAAAGAATCAATATCATCTTTATCCAGCTTTAACTTCTTGCTGTCCGACGAAACTTCTCGATCCTAAAATAAAAGTAAAATAACAAACCACGATCATCAGAGCATTACATTGAGAATCACCATTAATAGTTTCACATTTTGCCAACAGTCAAAAGATGGTTTGAATTTCAATTATAAAGAATGTTATTTACGCTGGTTTTATCCAGTGTGGTAAATTACAGCAATTTCATGCTTTTACAATAGGCTAGTTTTTAATTTTTATTTAAGAGGTTTGTGGCCTCTTAATCCGAACCCACGACATCACTGCCTTGGACCCGAAGTCTTTGGCACTACCGACTCGCCTATTTTAATCTTTTGTAATTATTAGGCTAATTTTTTTTCTCATGTAACTTACAAATGATTATCAACCATTAGGCCTATTATTTTTATTGCTACCTTTGGAGTATTTTAATTTAATTTTAACAAACATCTTGAAAAACGAGACAAAATACTATTTATCTGGAAGAATGTTTAGGCCTACATATTAACTTTTGTAATAAATTATGCCTGAATTGTTTATGTTATTTTTTTTTTACTGACACCTATCATAATACAGGGGGTGTTGGGAGTAATGTTTTTATTTAGGCCTAGTCGGCGTTCTTTACATATACAGTAGATTTCCAAAAAGTCTGGTACGGTAACTAAAATACCTATATAAATGAAATTAGGGAATTTAATCTACTAAAATATATTCTGGGAACATACGCAAATAAAAGTCTAAGCAATATTAATGTTACTATAGTTAGTAAAAAGTGTGGATCAAGCAACACACACACTTACATTTAATACTTCTCTGTGGTCAAAATTTAAACTTGACTCGCTTTCTGAGAGCACCATTTTATAAAGAACATTCACTAAAAATAATTAACTGCAAGCAACAATGAAATTGGTGAGTAACTGACTGTCAGATCTCTTACAATGCACTATAAATCATCAATTGATAAAAATGGGTGATTAACGGCCACAAGATAAATGGCATAACAAATCCATAACCAATCGCAATAATATAGCTGTATCTTAACATCTGTTTCAAAACAAAAATATTCAACCAATTTATTTATTTAAAACAATTTATTGTAACTAAGGTTGTAACATAGACCCATGGCCTAGGATGTTAGTGTTTTGTGAGGATAGCAATCTTACCTGATAGGAAAGTCTCCAAAATGGAACAAGAGACAACAAGTCTTGTGTCACTTGTACCAGCCAAGCGTTACAAAATGTTATCCTCCTAATCATTCATATGTTGTCATCATAGGCCTACTTCAAAAATTATTTTTTTTATATGGGTTAAACAAACTCATTCTGATATTATCAATCAATCAAATATTCTTTATTCACAAAGTTTAGACAATATGTCTTGAATAGCGTCATTAAACTAACATAACAAAAAATTATAAACTAAATCATTAAAATCATTCACAAAGGATTTAACTTATATAGTAAAACTAAAAATGAGTGCTATAAGTTTAAAAAATCACAAAATCTTAGAAGGTTACGTTTGTTTATATGAAAATGAAAAATTATACAATGGCAACCATACAACTAGAATGTTAAATCATTGCTAAAACAAGATGGAATGTGAAAAATAGTTATCTTAATGTCCTGCCATTTTAGAATGGGTTTTTTTAAAATGAATTGTAAATTAGTTTAAAGTAAAAGGTACAATTCTAATAGTTTTGTAGCTATTGCTCAAAAGTACTGACTTTTCATAACTTCAACTTTTCGTGTTTTTATAATAATAGCTTGAACTTTAAAATATTTGACACCAAGAATATATAAATAGGTATTGCAGAAATATTGATGAACAAAATATTTTGTTGAGATTTGAGAAACATCAGGTATAGTTTAGACATGAAGTAAATGTACAAACAAAATGGATTTAGATTATAAAGGTTAAGGTTGCAATGTGTCTTGGTCTTGACAGTTTTTCTTTCACATTAAGCATAGATGAAGCAATTACTGTACATTACTTCTTCTATGTATAGACTTGAACAAAATTACAACAAAAGAATCAAACCAATAATAACAGACAAAGTTTGTATTAATTGCACACTAAAACACCTGTAAACATATGATATACTCATTTGAATAAAAAATATCGATATATAGGTAGATCATTCGATATATCGATTATTTCATTCGGTTAGTTAGGTTATAGTAGATGGGTAAAAGGGTAAGTAATTACCCAGGAAGAATAATGGGTGATAAGCCGGTAAAATTGGTGATTCCCTTTGCCGACAAAGAGCAGAGACAGGAAGACAATCAGAATACAATACAATACAATATTCTTCTTTATTGTTAATTCGTTAAGAATAGTGTCAATACAATAGTGAATTGTACATGTTAATTTCCATAATTTTCATAAAATTCCTTTATTAAGTAGAAGGGTCTTGCGATTAGCCACTTCTTCAACTCCTAGTGTAGCTTGTTCTCAGGTCTCTCAGGTAGTCAGGTGGATGGTTTCTCAGCTTGCAGCCGGTGTAGGAAGGTTTTTCTCCCAAAGAGTTGTTCGGTGAACTGGTAGTGCAAATTTGGAGCCATGACGGGTGTTGTAGTAGTGCAGGTCTTGGTTTCTTGGGAGGTTTATTTCATTCACATACTTTATGGTTTCAAGTATGTAGAGAGACACCACTGTGAGGATTCCTAGGTTTGCGAATGCTAATCTGCAAGTCTGTGGTGGGACAAGGTTGGCGAGGGCTCTTATGGCTTTCTTTTGAAGGACAAGAATTCGATTCTTATTTTTTGTTGAAGTTCCTCCCCACACTGTCAAGCCATATCTAAGATGCGACTCTACCAGTGCGAAGTAAGCTGTTTTGGCCACAGAGAGTCCGCCTATGTAGTTTATTCTTCTGACGACATATATTCCAGTACTGATTTTTTTGCTTAGGTGGTTGATGTGCTCTTTCCATGTTAGTTTGTTATCAAGGATAACACCGAGAAATTTTGTGTGGTTTTCTATTGTTACATCCTCTAATTGAGGGACTATGTCTTTTTTCTTACTGAAATTCAGAGTTGTAGTTTTTGTGGGGTTTATTGCTAAGTCATTGTTCTTTGAGTAGAGGATAGCTTTATTTAAGATCGATTTTGAATTAAGGTAAAGGCTTTGGGCTGAGTTGTCATTGATCAAAATGGTTGTGTCATCTACATGATTGCAACAGCATTTTCACTCTCAATTTGTTTGGGGAAGTCATTAGTCAATAAGATGAATAGAATCGGGCCTAATACAGAGCCTTGTGGAACTCCTCTCGTCAGCTTGCTTTTTGAAGATTTGAAACTTTCTGTGACTTCATTTGATGAGTTTTTCAGTTCCACGACTTGTGAACATCCCGTTAGGTAGCTTTTGAACCATTCTAAGTAGTGCAGAGTTTCTTATACCGAGTCTTTCGAGTTTCTTGCATATCAGGTCGTGGCCCAGGCAGTCAAAAGAACTGTATCCTGCTATAATTAGCCTATAGCCTAGGTAAATGAAAAAGAAACAAAAAATGAATCATGGAGGTGCTGGAAGTTGTGGATATGTATTATACAAAGCCTATCAGACAGACCAAATTAGCCTAGACCTAAGGTCTGATAAGTAGCCTCATAACTTAAATTACATACGCTAGGAAGAACTTAGTTGGTGAGTTTGTGAGAATTAGACCTGTAGCCTATAACCTAGTAGTCTACAACTGTAACTTAGGCGTAACTTAAACATCTCTTAAATGAGGGTCATCGGATTTAATACCTTAGGCCTAGGCCTACCAAGGAATAGAACGTCTCAGGTTGGCCTAGAAAATAAACAGTATTTTGAAAAGGTGTAGGCCTAACTGAAAACTGCAAAACCGGTGGACGAGGAAATAACCAACATTGCATACCTCAGGACCAGAGTCGCTATCGGATGATTCTTGCTTCCTCTTCTTTTTCTCACTTTTATCATTAGGCATTTTAACTCAGTTACGTTTCCCGATACAATTTAGAAATTTTAACCACGAGGTAATGGTAATGAACTAATATTATGTTATGATAGTGAGACTAGTGAGAGAAGGGGCCTGGGCCTACTGTATTTTGTTTTCCAAACCAACACCGCGACCGCAACACTTTTTTTTCAAGATCAAGACAACAGAGACACTTTAGTTAGACCGAGACAAGTCGAAGTGAACTAGTGGTGGGAATCACCGAATGAAAATAACCGAATCAATCGGTTATTGATGCTGATTAGACTAATTCGGTTATTTTATCCTGGTTCGGTTAAATTAGTCTTACCGAGCGATTCGGTGATTTAGTTATTTAGTTGATTTAGTTTGTCACATCATCAGGAAACTAAAATTTATTCGGCGATTCGTTCGACTAAAAATCACCGATTGACGCTAAAAGACTAAATGCCATTCACTTTCCCATAAGATAAAAATTAGTTGTGTTTTGTGACAGTGAATAATGACTAAAATTGATTCGGTGATTCATTCAACTAAAAATAACCGATTGACGCAAAAAATAACTGATTGATTATTCGGTCATGGAAACCATTCGGTTATCCCATCACTAAAGTGAACCAGTGCGAGTGCAGTGAGGCAGAGGCAGTGAAGTGAAAGTGAAGTGAAGTGAACGTCGAGTCGAGTCCCGGCTCCCGGTCCGGAGCAAAGAAAAATAGAGAAAGGAAAACAAAATACCCCCGCCGCAGCAAACCTGCCGACTAAGCGAATTTCCATTTGTCTAAATTGATTTTCAGTTAAATATATTTTTACAACATTACGTTTAAGGTGTACCTAGGTTTGCTGCTACAAGGAAACTAAAGTGTGTTTTTGAGTAAAATATTGATAGCTTAGTACAAAATAAATAAATTTGCTGAATTTGATCAAAATATATCCATAAACAAGCAAACTACAAAATTTGACAATATTCTCCGTAAGAATAACATGGAAATTTTAAATTTACAATTTTTTTAATTTTCTCCGTTACTAATAACCGAAAAATAGTTATTTGTGTAACTAGTGGTGAAAGTGGCACTTTGCTGCACACGAGAGCAATGTTTACGCACGAGCCGCAGGCGAGTGCGGAATGATCTCGAGTGCAGCAAAGGCCTTTTCCTACAGTTACCTTACAATGTACATGTTCTCTCACTGATTTGAGAAAGCAAAGTGGCCAATTCGCTCATCAGTGAGACAATGTTAACATTGTCTCACTCTAATTACTTTGTCTCACTCCAGATTTGCAACGTGAAGGCACGAAATAGTGAGCGCGTAACATATAGGTAACGTCGTATGCGCGCGAAATACGTTGGCAGCACTGGCTGTAAATCAGCTGGTCAGCTGTTGTACTGTTGTATTTGTCACTTCACATTAAATGTTATATTAAAAGTTCACTTCTGTGTAAAAATAGGTTATGTTTCTTCACAAATTTATTTGTTTTATGGTAACTGTAGGAAAAGTATGATGTGCAACTCGAGTTCAAAGTGCAATTGCCTCACTCGAGAAACCATTCCTCACTCGCCTACGGCTCGTGAGTAAGTATTTCTCTCGAGTGAGTCAATTGCTCACTTTTCTCACTAGTTGCACAAATAACTATTTTCACTCGTGTTACACATTATATTTTTCCTACAGTCACTATAAATCATATAAACAATTAGTCTTTCAAACACTATACAACACGTTTTTAGATTCAGCTGGCAACACAAATGGTGCCCTTAGAGAAAGTAGTACCCGCGGTCCGTATCACTCCGCTATTTTTCCTCGGCAAGAAATGTGCTCCGCGTTTTGAGAATATAGTTCCGTATGTTTTTGTAATTTAAAGTGGTTTCCGCGCCTAAAAAAATGCTTTAAAAGTATTTTTTTTGTTTATTAAGATCGTAGGAATGTTTTAAAAACGTTTAAAAGAAAAGTCCAGGAAGTTCAGGAATACCGAAACTATAAACACGAAATGACAGGTTAAATCGTAGTTATAATAGTCAATCAGCTGCTCATAGTATTATTATCTTTAAGTGTTGCCAACCTATTTCCGAGCGTACACGGATTACGTGCATAATAGAACCACGCTGTTTTGTGTTGTTTCGTTGGAATCCTGATGTGCGGCAAAGTATAAACCGTACGGCAAAGTATAAATATGCAGCAATTAGCAGCTTTCTGTACTTTAAACAGTACAAGGAAGCCAACTTTGTCGGGTGACTGTAGGAAAAAATACTTTTATCATTGAGTATAAACCTAACACTAAATTATTTGTTATTTAAGCTCTTTAAAAAGGTCTAAAGAGAAATTGGGAAATTTTGTGTTTTGAGGGTCAAAAGTGAGAAAAACAAATTTTTACCCCGTAAAGCCCCATTCCCATGGTCCGATCATGCTGGTTCGCAAACTCATTCAAGTTTATCCCGCTTTACACCTTTAAACCAAATTTCATCAAAATCGGACAAAAATTACTCAAGTTATCGCGTTCAAGGACGTATATATAAATATATACGGTACAGAGTATTTTTTTAAAAACTTGCATCTTTATTTATGTAAAAACTGCAATAGATAGAAATATGAAGTTTGCGGGAATCATCTATTGATGTAGGGGGCCCAATTATTTTGATTTCAACGTTACATTCACATTCCCCCCTGCCCCTAACTTAATGTTTTTAAATAGCAAGGTACCCCTTGTGACATATCAAATAAAAGAGCATTAAAAGAGAAAATGTTTGATGAAAAAAAATTGAAAATCGGTTCATAAATTTGTGAGATTCTCCCCCCCCCTCCCTCCACGGAACTTAATTTTTTTTAATAGCAAGGTACCCCTTGTGACATATCAAATGAAAGAGCATGAAAAAAGAAAATGTTTGGTGAAATTTATTTTTCATTTTGATATGTCACAAGGGGTACCTTGCTATTAAAAAAAAGGTTATGGGTAGGGGAAAAGGGGGGGGATTATCTCACAAATTCATGAGCCGATTTTCATTTTTTTTTACCAAACATTTACTTTTTTCATGCACTTTCATTTGATATGTCACAAGGGGTACCTTGCTATAAAAAAAAAAATTAAGTTCCGGGGAGGGAGGGGGGAATATCTCACAAATTTATAACCCGATTTTCAATTTTTTTCCATCAAACATTTTATTTTTTCATGCTCTTTCATTTGATATGTCACAAAGGGTACCTTGCTATTTAAAAAAAAATTAAGTTGGGGGCAGGGGGGGAATGTGAATGTAATGTTAAATTTAAAAAAAATTGGGCCCCCTACGTCAATAGATGATTCCCGCAAACTGTATATTTCTATCTATTGCGGTTTTTACATAAATAAAGATGCAAGTTTAAAAAAAAAACACCCTGTATATATATAATATATATATACAGGGTGTTTTTTTTTACATATATAAAAATTTGAACGAATGGTGTTTTTGGCCTCTGGGAACATCAAAATGAAAAAGTAAATCAGTCCCGGGTCTAGGTCTTACCGTGCCACCTACGGTAATAGCTACTTCCCTATAGGGAAATTCGCTAAAAGGCAAAAACATGGACACCAACCTCCAAACAAAAAATGTCTAACGATGCAATACAATTATTTGGGAGAATAATTCATTATAAACTACCCCCGCCACACCAAACTGCGAACTAAGCGACTAATAAATTCCCAAAAATACATTTGCCAAATTTGACCAAAAAATATTCATGTACTAACAACAATACAATATCTTATTGTTGTGAATCATATAAATATGGGGAAAACCAACTGTATACCCCTGAGTAAAATCACACTGGTCCGCGAACTCGTTCCAGTATCATTTCCCCTTGATAAAAAGTGTGCTAGTACTATTTTACAGTACTTAGAAATTAAATGAATGAATGCACCTTTTTCATAACTCAAAATCATTTAACTTTATTTGCCTTTTTAAACAAACAAAAAATAAAGATCTTATGTATTCAAACAAATTTGGTTTTCTTTTCCAAGTTCCTTTGGCTCTTTTACCCAGCCGATTTTCATGGTTTGAGGTCTCATTAAAGGTATGCACGCATAGATTTCACATTAAGCATCGACATATTTATGTACAGTTGATTGTAATGCGGAAGTAGTGTGTCCTTTTTTTGATAGGGATATTCAACACAATTTATCTTGGATTTGAAGTCTTGACTCTAGATTTTATCTGAGATTTTAACCTAAATTTAGGTAAAATAAGAACAAATAAGAAATAGACACAGTCCCTTTATTTGTAAATTCCATTTTCATATCTTTTTAAGATTAAAATGGGAAAATCTCTACAGGTACCGGTATACGTGTTCAAAAAATATTATGCAAATTCATTTCCTGCAACTGTAAAGTATATAAATTTATGTAACTGTATTTGGTGACTCAGCCCTGTTGGATACCCTTTCTTTTAAACATATATCTTGTGTTCTAAGTACCGAAAATAAACACCCTATTATAAAGGTCTAAAGTGTTAATTACATTGAAAAATTTTACCTTCACTCAAAATAGGTACCCAAGCCAATGGAAAATGTATTAATTACTGAAAAAAAAAAATATATTCCTTTATTTAATATCTGTTTCCAAAAAAAATTGAGCCTACTTGATTAGGTCTTATCTAAAAGGGTTCCAATTCTTCATTGCTTTTGATATGGAAAACCTCGGTTTTTATTTCCTAGTGTTAAAAGTCAAAAATGGAGAGAAAATAGACTCGATACTGGGCAGAAAATAATTTAATTATTCACAAAAGAAAAGTTACTCAATCATAGTAAAATGCTACCAAAACAATTATTTCTGTAATCATAACATAACATTTCATCCCAAAATCATATGTGTCAAAATTATTAAAGTTCATATTTTTATACCAGCTGGAAAAAGACAAAAAAATATAAACCATAGATTATTGAAATAAAATGTTTGAATACTATATCCAACACCTAGTGATTAAAAGGCAATTAAAAATATGAAAATTTGTGTAATCTGTAATATTTTTTTTTTTATCACTAAACAACTTCTTAAGAATACATCGCCATCATTAAATTTTATAAACAAAAGCTCACTCCAGTTTCTATAGACTCTTAATTTTCAGACGACCACATTCAATTCTTTATGACTTTTCACAAGGAAAAACTAACTGTTCATTTCAATTCAATTTATTTATCAGCATAAACCAGATTACAAAATGATTACGTATTAGAAAGGTATTAGTACATGCATTTTTGCAATTAACATGATGATATGATGATTGCAACATGATGACACTACAACTACAAGCAGGTTTAATCAAGTCTGACAACAACTTAACAATAATTTTTGACGATTAATAACAGTATTGAACACTCTACTAAAAAATAAAATAGACAATTTAAAAAAAAAGTAGAATAACTGTCATGAAAAAGGGAGAACAAAACTGTCTTAAGTATGGTAATGAGCCAATTAACATTTCCTAGCAATTAAAAGGCAATCCTCAAATATACACACAATTTACTTATAAAATGTTTAATCTTTATTCTACAAAATTGTTAAAAAGTTCATACAAAAAATTATTTTTATATTTTATTAACATCATAATTAACATATTATACACAAATACTCTCTTCAAATTCTATAATAAGCTCTTAATTTTCTGATTATTTTGAGCAATCATTTTAAAACTTCGTTAATAGTTTGATTTTCATTGAAAAATAAATATGCTTTAAGTTTTTCTTTTGAAGGTTTCCTAATTAATTAATTCCTGTTAATTATTGTGTTGATATTACTAAATTAAAAAATGTGTTGCTACTTTGCTTCGGAACCCTTGTTTTTGACGTGTATACTAGTGATATTTTATCAGTAAATACTTTAAATAACTGTAAAAAGCAACCTTGGTTGTTGAAATGGTAACTTGCTTTTATTTATTTATAAATAATCCTTACGTTACTAAATATTCAATTCAATTCAAATTCTCTTTATTCATTCACAGTACAAGCTTTTATTCAATGAATAGCGTCAAATAAATATAAAAATGAATTATGCCTTACTTATCGCTAAAACAATTATATTATCTTTACAAAACAAATGTTAAGCTTAAGAAGACTAAACACAACACAATTAAATCATCTTTTTAAACTATAATTTATGATTTCTCTTGAATTCAAAAAATCATCAAAAGAATACAAACATAATGAAAGGAGATAATTTTTAAATCTTTTTTTAAAAACATCTAAACTATTTTCCTCTATTATAATTTTAGGTAAATTAAATAGGCTATGAGTTTTATGCCAATATGAAACTACATTTCTTTTCAAAAAACATGAATTTTGGCTTTGGGTTTCTTTCATTTGTAGGTAAGCCTACAAGGAGTCTAAAACAGTCTCTTCATGAAAGACCTTCAACTGAAGTGACTGTTCATTGATGCCTGAAGATGGTTAAATATAGACTGACAAAGAAAGGTTTCGCAATGTGCTGCTTGAGCGTGCTCAGTGTTTGTAAATTCGCTGCCGTTGTCGATTCACCCTCTGCTACCAGCACTACCACCCTTGCAAATGAAATGCTAACAATCTGTCAGACCTACTTAACTTTTCAATATGTGTAAATTAGAAAATTCTGAAAAACGGTAGATTAAACAAAAATACAATTTTTTCAAAAATCCCCAGAAATTGTTAAAACACAGAAAAATAGCGGAACAAACTCCAACTCCCTAGATTCCGTAATTTATTAAAAAATTGTATACCGTACTAAGATATGTGTAGCTATTGTGTGTAAGTGTAAGTCTTGTAAGTGGTAAGTTGAGGCTTAGATGAAACAGTTGCTTAGTCTATGGTTGAGATGATGGCTATTTCTTGTGTAATGTGCATTGTGCATGTTCAGTATGTCAGATCAGATGCTATACTGGTCTATATTCTCTTTTACGTATAATAAGCAATTTAAAATGTATTAAGACGGAAGGGTTAGGATATTTAAGGCCTTAAAATCTGCTTTGCAATCGTCCCTGGGTTTTGTTCCTCTAACTGCTTTTCTTTGCTACGGTATTTGAAAACAGAGTTACCTCATATTGTAGGTGAGAATGGAAAAATGCATAGCCTAATAATAATTTAGAATAATTTGTTCACTTACATTGTCCTTTAATTTTTTAAACAAAAATACAGTTCTAGCCAATTTACTACATAAAAAGTTTGTATGCTCACTCCAATTCAGCTTGATCAATATTCCTAGCAATTTTACCGATTTATTGTCATTAGATATAGTAACATAACCCAGGATTACTATCCAGCAAGCAGCCTATTTGCACAATTAGAAAAAAAATCAGTAACCCAAAGGCTAAACAAGTAGCCTAATTGAAATTAAGTTATTTTTTATCAAAAAAAAAAAAAACAATAACCGATATAAGGAAAAGTAAATAAAATACCCCCGCCGCAGCAAACCTGCAGTGTAAGCAAATTTATATTTACCTGGCTGGATTTCTACTAAAATATTCCCTAAGATTTATTTCCTATTTAAATAACATTATTTTAGTGAGTACATGGGTTTGCTGCTACAGGGAACATATTTAGGTGTTTTTTTTTTTAATTTTTCTATGTTGATAGCTTAGTATTAAAACAAAATTTCAAAATTAGGTTTAAATATATCCATAAACAAGCAAACTACAACAGTTTATTTATTCTATATAAGAATAACATAGAACTTGAAATTTACAATTCTTTAAACTACCTATTTCTGTAACCGTTGGGCATACAACAACGCTTCAGTATACAAAAGTAATTTTTTTTAAGCTCTACAAAATGGTATGGAGGAAATGATGAAATTTTGTGTTTTTAAGGTCAAAAATGGAAAAATCAACCCCCCATAAACCCCTGTGCCCATAGTCCGATTATGCTGGTTTGCTACTTCGTTCAAATAAACAATAAACGTTTGTACCAAATTTCATCAAAATCGGATAATTTTTGTTCGAGTTATTGCGCTAACGGACAGATATATATATATTATAGAATTATCGTAGTAAATAAAGTACAACTGAGCACCTTGAATACTATATTAAAAAATATATAATATAATATTCAGGAATATGTAATTTTAATATAATTTAAAATGTAATTTTATTTTAATTTTTTAAATATAATATTCAGGGAGCTCAGTTGTAGGCTACTTTATTTACTACAACAATAATTTAATATATCAGCAGCCCTATTACGTGATCACCCAAATTAAAATATATACCGGTATAGAATATATGGTGTATCGTAGCCAGTATTAAGTTATGATTAAGTATGGTTTTCAAAATCTACATACAAACATATGGATTATGGTTACCTCATTTTGTTACAGTAGTTGACCGACTACTCCTACATCTTTACACACATACGGATTCCAAATTTTGCTGCTTCACCATATCCTTTGCTTTCATCATTACCATAACAATAAATTTCTCTAGCTTAAGGGAGTTGTTCAAATCTTAAAGTTTATTTGATTAGGCCTACAGCCTACATCATAGTTTCTTAAATATAAATGATAGCCTTACTATACCTTTTAACTATTTTACATGTACTTTTTGCACATCGTTACATCCAAATGATGATTTACATAACTGACAGGACATTTCCCCTTTTGTTTTGAGAGTAATCAAACATTTTCTACAAATGAAGTGAGAGCAGGGAATACTGAACAACTGATCAGATGACTTACAGACATAACATTCCACCAAAGTCTTTTCACATTTTTTTTCATGTGCTGTAAAACTCGGAAGACTAGATAGAGTTGATCTTAGTGAAAGCTCCAAACTTTTTTCCATTTCTTCTTGGAATGAAATGTGAGCTGGTTTTTTTTGCTCAGAAACAGGATCTTTTCTGACATTATTTTGTTGTGGCGATTGCATTTCTCTGCTACTCAAAAAGTCTCTTATATTCCGTTCAATTTTTCTTCGTTTTTCAGTTCCCTCAAAATAACTTTCATCAGTGGATGATCGATTGTAGGTTGATGCCATTGTATGTCTTTTTTGCATAATTAATTTGCTCACACTAGGATTTAACGAACAAGTTCTGGAATGAGCCAAACTCCTACCTACTGTTCTTGGAATTTTTTTAAGGTCAGGATGATCACTATTATCACACAAAAACTTATCAATTCTAGATTTTAATTCTGAGGCAGCAATAGGTTTGGATGAATTTGTAAATGGGATTCCTGTAAATGGATCACTTGAAACCCGGCCCCACTGAGATTCAGCTTTTTCAAAGCACTCCAAAGTTGAGACATCAATGATGTTTCCACTCGGTAAGATTATAGGTTGACACATTAAATCACATGTTATTGGGTCAATAAAATCATTTGGAATTTGTAAGGTTACTGGCCAAGTTGGTTTATCTTTAGCTATTGATGGTTTTGATTTAGTACAATTATCATTAGGCCTACCTCTAAGTGAAGAGTTAACCGTAGTGCATTTAAGTGGGTGGAAAGGCTGGGTCAAGTTGTGACCTTGGTTAGTAGAACTTCTTAAATCTGCTTTATCAAGTTTGTTTGGCACTCCCCATACCTCTAATTTGCCCAAAGCAGGAATTGAAGCACCCTGGGTCCTGAATATTTTAATTTTGATACTTGAAACCCTTGAAAGACTTCGAGATGATTTAAAAGAACGATAACAGAAAACTGATCCAAACTTTTCTTTTAGATTTTCACTATAGCGGTGAAACACAAAGCCTCGTTCATCAGCTTTTATGACTCCTGAGCTGACTGATTCAAATGGATTTTCTTTAGATAGTGGCTGAATAAACAGTTCAATTCCTGATGATTTTTGAGCACCAACACTGCACTGTAGAAAAACATACTTTAAATCAATTGTATTTGTCAAATCAAGAGTGATTGTAACAGGGGGCTTAATGAATCTTTCAACCAAAAACCCATTATTTCTTGAAGAATTGTTATAACTAACAAGATTTTCAACTTCAAATCCTTCACTACAAGGGTGATCACATTTAATGCTTTTGATTATTTTATTCAAGCCAATATTTACAACTGGTCTCTTCAGTGGGTTTGGTCTCTCCATGATTTTTCATACAGAATTAAAAAAAGAAAAAGTACCTGACATTTATCAATATCAACATTCGGATGTCAAAGTTTGAGAAGTGATGAATGCACACAAGCTCTTCAATTAATTAATAGGTTAAATGTTTAAAGTTACTGTAATGCACTTTTTATTTGTGAATAAAAAATCTGTCTTAAAAGACACGTTAAGAATAGATTTGATAACTTTATTCACAAAAGAAACTTTCACTGAGAACTGTATTCATAAAAGAAACAAAACAAGCAAAGCAAGTTTAGGTTAGAGAAGAGAACAGCTGCTAAGACAAGGATAGCGCTGGGTTCACAACGATATGGTAGGCATACGGTTAAGTATCGATCGTCGTAGTATGAAAACAAATACTATCGAATATCGTAAATCGATTGGCTTCCATAGCGCCAACCAACCAACCAAAACGTAAACAAACAAGTTTAGCTGCTAACTCATGTTTTCCAATTTTTATTTTATTAATAAAAATGTCATCGTATTTAATTATTAATTGTTTAATGTAAAACAGATTGTAAATAAACTTTGTTAAAAAAAAAACCAAACCAACCAACACCGACACTCGACAGACAGAAGAGAGAAGACAAGAGATTACAAAAACTACTAGCACTAGCCTAAAAGGAGAGGAAAATATTTGATTAAATTTATTCCAACATTGTTCCTTTTGATCAGTTTCATGGTGCATAGTGCATTATTATGGAGGAAATATGCAAAGGTCATCTAAACGCTTTTAAAAGTAAGGGGGTGGTAATTTATCTGGCGTTAATTGCGCAAGTTACTGGAATATTAATTTTAAAATTCCTCCGTAATTTAAGTTCTTATATATTTATCATGCTGGTTATCAGCCTTACTGTAATTGGATAATAAACATTTTCATTGGCAAATTTTATGCCAGGTTCAGATATTATGTTGTACTTATTTATTTGCATTCACTCTCACTGTAATATTGTGAATAAAATTATGGCCTTCCGTCGTCAAGGCCACATTATGACGTTTGACGACATAGGAGCTATAGGAGCAGCTGCAGCAGAAGGCACCAAGGCAATAGTTTACTATTACTATTCCACCATGAGTATGAGACAGCCGGTGCGGTGAGCCAGAGAGCCGATGCCGATACTAAAAGTCGATGTCTGTCATCCGGTAGAAAACAAGCTCGATATTTAACCGAATGCCTACCATATCGTTGTGAACCCAGCGCTATCCCTAAGACAAGACAAGACATTGACAATTAAATTTACCAAACGACAAGTCAGTCAGGTCACGTTCCGGACAGGCTCACGGGAGCAATCCGTGACATCATATTGATGGTCCGTAGATCCATGACGTTAATTATAAAATTAAGAAAAGAATTTTACCTACGACCGTTTTTTAAAGTAGCCATTTCAGTCCAGTTCTTAGAATTGAAAAGTTTCACTTTACAGCTGTTTACTTTCATATCCGCATAGTTTCATTTCATATCCGCATAGTTTTCTCATATCCACACAGGTAACGGACCAATGAGGTTCAAGTATTGAGAGAAAAGAATTAAAATTGTAATGCTTCGAACGTCAACTAATCAGCTGATCAGCTGATCAGTTGACCAATTTAAATTGTTGATCCGACTTGTTCATGTTGATACTCGCGTATTCTTAATTCTTAATTAAGTTGGTGGAAGCCCAAAAATAAATGAAATATTTGCCGAATTGTACCTGATACAATATTATTTATGGTAAGAATGCTGCTAGCAATGTAATATTAAACAAAGTTTAACAAACACGTAATTACAGGAAATCAGCTGATTATACAACAAGTCGTTGCATCACTTTCAGTGGCAATGACAATACACGAAAACATAACCTCTCTAAAAAGTTATCAGTAGTGATTGTTAGTAATTAAATCCAGATTGATAGTGATTAAAAAACGGTCGTAGGTAAAGTAGTGTACGCAACTCGCGTTAATAGTCTTTACGACACTCGTAGAAGTTTTTTTAAGGCACTCGCCAAGGCTCGTGCCTTAAATTTTCTACTCGTGTCGTAAAGACTCACTTAACGCAATCGTTGCGTAAACTACTAATAATTAATGAATCTAATAATTTTTTAAAATCATAATATTAAACTGTCATGACCTAACCAAACTTGCTGATTATGAAAAATCGAATGAAGGGTTACTAATCGAAAAAATAGTTCTGGAGCCCGTTTCATAATAAACTACAAACTAATATCTAATATTATTAGTAAACCAGCTGATTTCCCAATGCAAATCCAATGGAAATTACAAATTACAAGTTACAACTTGAAACTTGTAGTTTATTATGAAACGGGCCTCAAATTCCAACAAAAGTTAAGAAGTAATCGCATTCTAAGCTAAATGGCTAAATCGTTGAAAAAAAATTATCGAAATCGGTGGGATTCAATCAGGCTACCTTCAGTCAATCAGCCAGGTACGCTATCCCAGGACCAACTAGAAACGTCAGGACCAACTTCTAATTGGCCCTGAAGCTATCCACTACACCACCGAGGCCGATGGCTCTACGAGACCTTCCTTGGAGGTGGAGGACCAAAAGCCTCCACCACCGCGCCGTGACTAGCGTCTCAGGAACCATATATATTATATCAACGGGGTCCTGGTCAGAAGTCAATTAGAACCACTTCTGCGAAGGAGTGGGTGATTGTGGGAGAACCCCTCAAGTAGACAACAGTTTTTTTATTTATAAAATTTAAAACCTAACCAACGAAACTTGCTGATAATTTAAAAAAAGATATAAGATATAAATCGAATAAAGGTTTACTAATAAATAAACAATAGTTCTATAGTTTTTTAATTATAAATTTATTTTTTGATTATAAAGTTAAACTGTCATAAGTGTTATGACCTACTGATAACTGATAACTTGCTGATAATTTAAAAGAGATATACGATAAAAGTCGAATGAAGGTTTACCAATAATTAAAAATAAATCTTTTCTTAAAATAAATTTATAAATGCTTCAAATTCTAACAAAAGATGTACAGTTAAGAAGTAATCGCATTCTAAGCAAAATCTTAGACAAAAAGTTAGTATCGCCGGTGGGATTTGAACCCGTGACCTCCTGATGCATACTAGATTCAAGTACTCTATCCATTACGTCCGGTATCCAAGATTCATCCGGCTATCGATTGTACAGTTTGGGTGGTCCGTTCCGATTTTAATTCCGCTGTCCCGGCACGGCATGGTGGTTGGGGGGTTTTGGTCCTCCAGGGAAGGTTTGGTGATGGCTCAAACCATATCGTTGGCACAATTTGTTATTCAGGCAGGATTAGTTTTGCCAACAGTGTCATTTGGAGGTTTCTGATTGCCTGTAATGAGGGTTTACTGATTGAAAAATTAGTTTTGTAGTTTAAAGTATTACCTTTGACTATTAATACAACAACCTTTGACTATTAATACAACAACCTTTGACTATTAATACAACAACGTATTACCTTTGACTATTAATATATAGTCAATGGTATTACCATTGAGTATAAACCTAACCACTCAATGGTATTACATAAAGATGGCAATTAAGTTTTCTAAATTCAGTGCATATTCAGTTGTCGTTGTCAGTTTGGCATTACCGAAATTGAAATGAGTATGGATAATGGTTGCCGTTTGCCAGGCACCAGGCACTCACTCACTACTTTTGGCGGGAACGGGAAGTTAAAAACACAAAACAAAATGAAATTTTAACCTTTCCCTTTTTGTCCTTGAGTTTTTCGTTTGTAGGATACTTTGTTCGTTCTCGTTGAGTGAGTTTTCCTTTCTTTTGGTTTAGTTTTACTGAAGTGACTGTTGAGAGAGTGTTGAGATTGAGAGTTGACTTGTTCTTAGTACGATTACATTACGAGTACTTGTTTTGTTGACACTTGACACTTGAAAACCCTGTTCTGTTGGGTGAGCCTGAACTTACCTTAACCTAACCTAAATCTTTGGTTTGATATTGATTTACAATTTTGGGCCATTTATCTTATCTGAGTGAGGATAAAGGATCATAGTTATTTCTGTTGTTTTTTGCCTCCTGATCACAAATTTAAATTAATCTAGAGGTTAAAATACCTTTAATCCGTCAAAGTGATCAAACGTCACCGATGAGCGGCGACCGGTTTCAGCCCAGCTGTGGGGCCATCTTCAGGCGATGAAGGAACATAAATATCAGTCCTGGACTAGCAACTTAATGTACGCGTACCGTCCGCCGCGCAGTTAATTTGTGGCCACACGTGTGTTTGTAAATAATGTATCTATATGTTGTTTCTCGTGACGTATTTATGGACTGTATGACGACCTCTTCGGAGTGATATTTATGTTCCTTCATCGCCTGAAGATGGCCCCACAGCTGGGCTGAAACCGGTCGCCGCTCATCGGTGACGTTTGATCACTTTGACGGATTAAAGGTATTTTAACCTCTAGATTGATCATAGTTAGTTTGGATAACATTGTAGGTTGATTTTCTTTGTGTCCTAATATTTTTTCCATGTTTAAATTTAATCAAGGGAGTCTAAGTTATTTAACTTATCTATAATTGGTAAGCTGGGACTCTGCCAAGATTTTTAAGTCAAAGTTCCATTGCTATAAAAGCTATTTGAGCAGCAGGCATGAGTGAGTCTTATTTAAATTTATTTATAAAGTGGATAGTTTTATTTATGTTTTAGAGGTTAAGTGGTAGAGAGGACTTGCTAGTCCTAACTTCGCCTCTTAATAAAGACATTTTTCATTTCATTTCAATTTCATTCACAGGGAATACCAAAAAAGACAGTCAATGGCTTGCAAAAAGGGAATATATTCACCACGTTTGGACAAGGAAATATTAACGTTGAAAAAGAATCCACCTTCAGGTATTTCTTGTTATCCTAAACAAGAATGCCAGAAGAATGTTTTATCTGCAAGTGAGTATAGTCTATCACTTGGAATTGTCATTTCATTAAGAGGATTAGCTAGGCCTAAACTGAGTGACATTAGCATTTATCACTCTTTTCAGTTTAAGAGGTTTAATACTTCTTCCATAATTACTAAGTTACCGTACTACTTCCACAGGCTAAGTTACTATGGGTCAGTAAGCTATACAATTTTTGAACTGTGCATAAAATGCCCAGGTTATAGCTTCTAACTGCACTTTAGTATCTGCTGTCCTACACAGTCCTAGATACTAAAGTGAAGCCATTTAGAAGAATCATGTCCTTTTGTGGATCAAAATATGTATAACCATCTATTGTATTTTCGATCATATGTAGGGGCCTATATGCATAATTTACCTAATAACATAATCATTTTTGAAATGAGGTTTCAGCCAATCAAAGAAATCAACCTGCCCAATACCGGTAGGCGTACCATAAGATATTTCAGTTTGGTAAAGCCTGGAAAACGATAAACTTAAGTTATGCTCATAATTTTAATTAATCCTCAATTTTTATTACAACAAACTACAGTATGGTGTAAAAAATGACTTACATAGTATTGAATTTTAAAAAATATAGACTTTTTATTAGCGGACATTAGGCAAAGTTAATTTTTTTGGAAAGTGTGTTTGTTGTGTTCAATCATCAGGGCCCTGTTTCATAAAGATACTAGTCTAGTAAATACTAGTCCCGTATTTACCTGTCCTACTAATTTGTGTTTCATAAACGTTTTTATACCGCTAGTAAATACTAGTGAATTTTACTAGTCACGTGACCAAAACTACTACTGTAGTCACGTGACCAACTTTACAAGTGAACTCTCAAAACAAATTTCTAACCTCAATCACGGGTTTTCTGACGCTTCATAAAGCATTTTAATTTTTTCTTTCATTTGATACCGTACTAAAAGTAAATAGTTGTAGAAACGAAGTGTTTTCCTCTAATTAATAACTATATAGCCTAGACACATAGGTAAAAAATCACACATTATTTATCAAACCACTATTATTTATGTTCATCAATGAGCCCGCCGGCGTGGCGTCCCTGGTTCAAATCCGCACCACTCACTATACTTTTTGTTCCATTAATTAAACTTTTACATGTTTTTACATTAAAATAACAGCTCTAATCAACATCTAATTTTTTTATTACTTTGAATAACAAATTCAGAATACCAAAATGGATTACAAGTACAGTAGAACCTCTTTAATCCGAACTAATTGAGACCAGGGGTAGTTCGGACTATTGAATAGTTCGGATTACAGAACATATTGTTTTTTTACATAACAATAGCTAAAATATGGCTAAAATTGATCAACATCATTTTGGGAAAAGTGAAAAAAAATGTTTTATTTAAAGTAAAATTTTAAAGTAAAATACAGTGTTTATTTAATACAGTAGTAAACATGGTGAATAAACAGTACTGTAAACTAAATACAGTATACAATAAAGAACTGCTGTACTGTGTATAGAGTACAGCAATGAGGGGTTCGGATTAGTGGACGTTCAGATTACGGGGGTTCGGATTAAAGAGGTTCTACTGTAATGTTTTTGTGATAAGCTGTTCAGTCCAACGCCCAAAAATCAAATATAGGCCTACACAATTGTTAGTACATCACAGGGTTTTAGCTATTTAAGGAAGCAAATAATAAGCACCTCAAAAAATACAATGAAACTCCTCTTTAAAATTGTATTACTATTATTTCCTATTAAAATGTCTTTAAATAAAACCGAGAGCCTTGGGTGTAAAAGAATCTGACTAATGTTACAATGTTGGATACATTTTTTACATCTTTGTATGTAATACGGTATGCGGTTTTAATTTGGTTTCTCTCAATGATTAAAAATCTTTTATCTGTGATAACTAAATAGTTGATATAACCTTGAAATTTAACTCAAGTAAATTTAGACTAAAATTTCACAGAAATTGATAACTTATCTATCTATATATTAATAGGCAAGCATGTTTCTTTAAAACCTTTTTTCTCAGCTCATGTGTATCGTAGGGAAAATCTACGCATACCGTTAGAAAGCTATTTTCCTGCAGGTGTGCAGAATCCCTTTATAAATTAAAATAGGCTCAAAAATAAGCACAAAAAATGAATTTGAAATTTTAAAAAATTAACATGGGTCATATGGGTTGCTATGGTGATGACAAAATAACAACAAAATATAAACAGAAAATCAAAACAAATGGAAGACATTTCAATCACATGTTTTATTTACAGTGCGGGGTGAAAATAGAGATTTTGCACAAAACATACTTTTGGTCGATTTTTCGACCACGGGGCGTACTCTCGTACTTATTTAATACGCAAGCAGGATTTTTGTGACAATTACTCCTCCGAAACTACTTAACCGATTGACATGTTTTTGGTCTCATTGGAAAGAGCGTAACGTGAAGTTGTGCAGGAAACCTTCTTTTTAGGGAAATAATTAGAGAGTGAGGCCCTGGAGCCCTTTAAAGTTTCGTATTTCTCCATAAGATTAACATGGGAAACAAAAATTGTTATGAAACTCCAGCTGTTGTCAGAAATTAAAAGTGAGAAGAAGAACCTATGCTGTAAACCGTTAATAAGTTTACTAATTTAACAGTTTGCTACAAACATTTACTGACTTGGTTGAAATGAAATGTTTACTACTTGAATTTGGGTTGGCGTAAATAATACAATGGAAAAAAGTGAGAGAGCCTGGATAGATTGATATCTTAAAAAGAAAACTGAATTAACACTGTGCTGCATTTCTTATTAATCATTGAAAGAGCCCATTTGCAAACTATGGAACCATAGGAAAGTCATAGAACACCACCAAGGAGAAGAAATAGAAATGTTTTTTTTAATTTATAATGTTATTATGGGTAACCTAATGCGGCTATGAGGAAGGCTATTTGTAGAAAACGCTAAAAAACAAGATCAGCTTTTAACAACAATGATAAGATATTTACAAGAAATTGTGATTATATCGATCTGTTATGTACCTACATCATGAGTATTTCCAAAATCTTTGATTTGAATCTTTTAAAGTCATCAGAAATTATGACTGTTTTTCGTTTTAAAATAACGCCTTTAATACTTAGCAATTGCTCGAATTCGAGCAACAGGGACACTAGTAATTATAATTATTCTAATAGGGTGATTGTACATACATTATAAAATTCAATTTCACTCATTTTGTACTATGCCACATTTATTGATTGTAATTTACATCTAATAATTATCATTTTAGCACTCACAGATCTATTTTCATCTTAAATTGCAAACTTGAGCCAATTCGCACTTGAAAAAAGAATTCAATAATTCATTTTTTTAAATGATGTAGCCTAAGTAATGAAATAACACTCTTTCCAAAAATACTAGTCTACTTCAAATGATACGGGTGTAGAGAGGTTGTTAGCAAATGGCAAGTATTTACAAGAGTACAACTTTATGAAACACATTGCTGTATAGTAAAAACCACTAGTAAAACTACACTACACTAGTAACCTACACTAGTAACGAGTATTTTACACTAGTAGGTTTTTGAAACGTAGACTTGTAAAATACACTAGTATTACTAGTCCATGGACTAGTAAATACTAAACTAGTATTTTTATGAAACAGGGCCCAGCTGATGCAACTACAGACTATACTGATCAAATATTTAAGTTACTTTAGTGTAAAAAAGTATTTCCAATAGCCTAATCCATATTTAACTAATGTTACCGGGACAGGTATTGTTGGAGCAAGTGGGAGTCCTTATGAAAAAGGAGTGTTTCAGCTAGAAATCATTGTTACTGAGAGGTAAGTTAAGTGGACTTAGTATAAATTAAAATAAATATAAATAGGTAGTCTGTTACTGTTGCTCAGAAGCAAGTTGGTAAAAGCTCGTTTATTATTCAAGGTAGTTTCAAGATGGATAGTTGTTGCCAACATTTTTTTTTTGTCGAGAGAGAGAAATTCTTAACTTTTTAGGGCACAGTAAAAAATCTTAGTTCCCCACTGACGGAATAATAAACTAACATTACAATCAGTGATAGGTTTCTGATTTTTGTACAGCACAGTTTAATATTATTATCACCCCAATACTGTGGACCTGGCAGGACTGGGATTTGGTGTGTTGTACACCAAGATTGCCTGCGCTGTGGATGGGTCCGGAATGGGCTTTGCGCTGCACTATTGATCGATCCTACAGGGATGGACTACGCGCCATGATAAGGCAGTTTGCTAAGCTCTACAAGCATATCAAGAATGACAAATACCTTGTCAGCAGAAAAATCGTAAATTATCATCACAAATATTCATTGAAAATCAAAACTTGTTTTTGTAACGTACAGACTGATTCATTATAAATATTTACTTAATTAGGAAATAGTAGGCCTTCTAGTTAGTATAGTCCTAATTTTGTTCATTATGTTCCTTAAATAAAAAATCAAATTTCCCAACTTAAAAAAAATAAGTTTTACAATGGACCTAGTTGCCTCTATGTTTGCACAGTTTACACCAGTCAGTCAGTCCGGATAACGGGTTTTCCGGTTAACCCTTTCAGTGCTATGAAACGATATATCGTTGTTTTAAAAAATCTCTAAGGGATATAGAGAGGAAGGTTATTTTAACAAAAAGTAGCAAAACGGCCATTGGTGACCTGCATGTTCATAGGATACACTAAAAACCACTTAGCTAAAAGATTCGCCCAATCCGATGATTTCGAGGTGTATGTCTAAACCTAGGATTATGAACACCTCACTATGCCCCAGTGGTTGTAGTATATCGCTACAAACACACAGGTCACCAATTATTTGCCACACAGGACGGGAATCGAACCCGAGCAGACGAATGCCACTGGCCAAGTGACACACGCCCTAGCCTTCTCGGCTATCTGTGCTTGAAGACTGAAGAGTCAAAAACCGTTATTTAAGCTGACGCCACCGATTGCGAACAGATAGCGCTACAGATGGTTGTTCTATGCGTTACTAGGTAGCAGCACTAGTTAGTCACGGACTATTTAGATGATATTTTTCAGTTGAAACACAACAGTGATCATAAATGTGTTCCTGAGACTTTGCTGCAAAACATTATTTTCCCTAAAATGGCTATATAACGATAACCTCGTCCAACTAAATCAAAGTTCAATTCAATATTACATTGTAAACTATATGTCTATTGATTTTGTGAGATTTTGGTTTCAAACAATGCTATCAGAACATAAAAATTTATAGGAAAATCGGAAAATCACAACAAAAACTAAGTTTTATTTAATGTTTACTACAAATACCGGGATTTATCTTTGTTATATATTTTCTTACTGTCTTATTATTCAAAATTAGCCTAATTAATAAAATAGTGACAACATTACAGTTAAAATTCAACAACAGGTAATGGAATTGAAAGGCAAACAAAAAAGTCTTACGAAATACGAATTATTGTCCTAGCATTGAAAGGGTTAAACCAATGTCCCCAAAAACTTGTTAAAACAGACCGTTTAAATGCATAGGTACTGTATACAGTATTTGACTTAAATTTAGGAGAGCATTGTATTTAGACACGTGATCACTGGTCCCAAATCTTTCCCAAAAGAACAGTAGTTTTAGTACCGGCCACTTCCTGCCGATATAGTCCGGTTAAACCGATATGCTGATAAAAATTGTCCGGTTAAAAAGATGCCTTTTTTGCCGAGTGTAGTCCGGTTAAGAGGTGTCCAGATAAGAAGGAGTCTACTGTACTGTCTAGCCTACTGCATAATATGGTATACAATTATGTGCATGTTTATTTTTCAGAGAAGTTCCTCAAGCCACCTTAAGTAAACGGTCAAGCAAACAGAGACCATCAAGTCTGGTTTTACAGCTGTTTACGGAGCACACCATTTTTAAAAGTGAAAATCTGGAATAAAAAATAATCTAAAAGCAGAACAAATCTGCATTCTAGAAAATAGTTTAATAATCCCCACACACCTAAAAAATGTATTTGTTACAGGTACCCTTTTGAGCCACCCCGTGTAAGGTTCACAACACCTATTTACCACCCCAATGTGGACGCCGCGGGACGGATATGTCTCGACATGCTCAAGATGCCTCCTTCAGGCAGTTGGAAGCCTATCTTCACTATCGAGGGTGTCCTCACTACCATTCAGTGTCTGATGACCAACCCTAACCCTGACGACCCACTAATGCCGGATATTGTAAGCTACAAAATGGCTCTCTTAATTTATCATCTTAATTCGTAAATATAATGTTGTCATACAGTTAATTAATAATATAGACAAACTGAATTGTTTGACTATCTCAAACAATTTAGTTTTTCTAGTTGTAGTTTTAAGTATGTTCAGCAATAAACAACTAGAAACACACTGTAGTTCAGGTTAAAAACACAGCCGGCTGATAAACACATTGCTGGTTCAAGGCTGATTGAGTTTTGTCTTGGGGTCTCAACTAGCTTGAACATGTGACAGTAGTTTTTGATGTTTTTAATTGCAGTCTTCTTAAAATCTCCCAACTGTATTCACAAAATCTATTTCTAAGAAAAAATCCAAATTTTTTCCTGAATATGATCTACATCAGGGAATGAGAACCAGGTTGTCGTCTTCCTCCATTACATTCCTTTGGGTATGTTGGACCTACTACCCGTGCCGCAGTGAATATTTCCCGTTGCCTTGTCATTTTCAAATTGATTTGATTTTTTTTATCATCTTGGTTGAAATAGTAGGCCTAGTGGTTGAAAGGAGACTGTATGTTCATTTTTATTCCTTGACATGGGTATCGTATGTCTAATTCAATAGATAGAAAAATTACATTTCCACAATGTTTAACTGCTTGATTGATCAATTGCAGGCCTCGCAATACAAGTACAGCAAGGAACAGTTTGACAAAGATGCAGAAGCTTGGACAATAAAGCATGCTCGAGCTAACACAGTTTCTACCTGCGTAAGTTTTGATAACAAGTTTAAATCAGTATCTAAAGTTGTACAGTCTAATACTGGTTTCACAAATTCCTGGATGTTTTCAATCAACTTGAGCTACCCACATGATTTCTTGTGTCAAACCTCCATCATGCATTAGAATAGTTGTAACAAAAAAGTGAATTTTTTAAACTCTAACAGCACCAAAAGCAATTCATAAGTACCGGTAGTTAAAATTCTGTGGGAACAGTTTGGTTTGTATATTAGTTTTCTAATATTTATTTAACCTTTACAAAGATTTATAAGTAGGCTACTGTATTTAAATTTAAAACCTAAAACTGTATTTTTGAAAGACGGTCAGAATTGACATAAGTAGTAAAGTATGGCCACATCAATTTAATGAGGGTCGTTGAAGTGTGTGGCCACATCGATTAAATGAGGTTCATTGAAGAGTATGGCCACATCAATTTAACAAGGTTCGTTGAAGAGTGTGGTCACATCGATTAAATTAGGTTCGCTGAAGAGTGTGGCCACATCGATTAAATTAGGTTCGCTGAAGAGTGTGGCCACATCGATTAAATTAGGTTCGCTGAAGAGTGTGGCCACATCGAACAAATTAGGTTTGCCACTGTCAGGGAGTGGCCACATCTGGGATTTGTTTGGGATTTTTGAGATATTTTTACCTGGGGAGAAACAATTGACCAATTGTTGTCACTGCCGGAGTGGGTGTGACCCACTGTCGGATGCAACATCCTTGAGTCCGGTTTTTGGGTATGGTCAGGGTTTCTGCCGGCTGCAAGAACCTTGAGTTATCGGACCTGTTTGAGTGTTGAGAATGGTCAGGGTTTGTGTGAATGAAACGAGTTCTTTTCTTATGATTTATTTGAAAATTACTTGAAAATCTCAATTATTGAGGGATTTGTTTTTGATCTCGGTACATTTGATTTTATAACTCCCTTCCTCAATTTTTCCACCTCTTCAGGGGACAGGTTGATTGCAAAACGTTTCTTTACAAACGTTATGAATTTCCTCTCCCCCATGTCCACCTCCGCAATAATGGACTTTCCATAGGTCGGATGATTGTGTATCCTCATTCCGATGATCGGGTAACCTGCTGAGTTCGTGAGCTCAAGAGCACCAACCCTCTCCAGCCCTTCGACAGCCTTAAAACTTTGCAATTTCACTTCCATTCTGTAAAAAAGAGGAATATGGATAAATTTTCAAGCTTTAATTTCAAATTTTGAAACTGTAACATAAATTTTGAAACTCCAAAGTCGGAGGATTTCAATATTGGATAATGGGTGACGTAGATAGAGTGCTATATATACTATAGTGAGTTGCATGGCGTATTGTGCAGCAATGAACCAACTGACTGTCCCATTTTCGCATCGCTCTCTGGAGGAGATTGGAGAAGTGATCACCATACTGTAGAAGGTCTTTCCCGCTTCAGAGCCCAAAGGTAAGTTTATAGATTGAATTTAAGAACAGTTTCAAACGATCTCAAGTTTTTATATGATGAATATTTATGTTAAATAATGGTTTGAACGCTATAATAATAACAATGAATTAAGTAAGTTATCTTGTAAATAGTATTCCATCTAAAATACGAGTTTATTCTAAGCTTGAGCTAAATAAAAGAACTTCAATGACTCAATTATAAAAAATTAAATTCTTTGAGGATTTGCAAAGTTGCAATTGTTAAATAATGGTCTGTTTCCTATGGTTTAGTTACACAATGTTAAATAATTTTTTGAGTCAGTATTTGTTCATGATCTGGTTCTGGAGTTTTCATTTGAGTCCAAAGGTTATTTATAGATTTCCTTACTTTTAAAATGAGTTTTTCATATCAAGCTTGATCTGTATAAAATAACTACAATGAATCAAAAATACAAAAATTACATTGACAATCTCCAAAAAAGTTGTAACTATCACTGTTCCAAGCGAAAAAAAAAACATTCGAAAAAACTGGTTTTTAAGGAAGCTGCAATAACTGGGTTCAAAATATGAAAATGCCTTTGGCCCACCATAGTCATGGCTTTTGTAAATGGACTAAAATGTTAATTCTTTATTTTTACTATTCTTTAATTTACAATTAATATGTTGAAAGAGACAATAAAATTCAACCTACAGAAACAAACTATGAGTGGAATTAGTCATTGTGTTTTGCTGTAACATTGTGGGTAATCTCCAAGCTGCAATTATAAAATAACTGGGCTCAAAAAATATGTAAAAGTTTTTGGTACACATCCAAAATAAGAAGTCAGTTTTTTTTTTGTTTTTTTTTTTTGTAAATGGACTAAAATGTATGGTAATTTGTTACTGTTCCATACTATAAAATGAAAGAGGCAATTGAAAATCAAAATCAAACTATAGAAATATTGTGTTTTACATCATTGAGGATCTCCAGTGGATTTTATCTGTTCAAGAAAATCTTGTTTAATAGTGAGAGGTCTATGTTATTTACAAAACCAATAACTAACCACTTAATGTGCATGTTACAGAGGTTCCGTCACTTACAGGAGTAAGAGTGGAGGAATGTGGTAGGCTGGAACGTGTGTTAAAGTCGCCAAAAAAGGTGCTGCGGCGGGTCAACCGTTTGATACCTTATTGCAGGATCAAGACGATAGACTTAACTGTGGAGTCGGAACCCCCAGCACCTAAGAAATATTAAATGAGTTAAACTTATTATAAAAAAGGTGTTTTAATTATCCTTCCATTGAGCATTACTAGTAAACACAGACCATTGTTTTGAACCTTGTGGTTTATGTCTAATGACACTGATTGCTGAAATTTTGTTTCATTTTATTTTCATAATTTACCGCTTAACAGATGAGTGTTATAGTTTTATTTACCAGATAACAACAAGAAACTAATTGTAAAGAAAAACTTCTACAATGCACGGGGCTATAAAACTTGCTGATTCATAAGGAAATCTAGGGAGTAACTATGTACTTACTTTTGAGACGTGTAGACGCTGAAGATCACAAGAACAGAATGATTGTGAACAAAATCGGCTGAGTATATATGTAGGATTATCCCCCACCTTGTTGTTGTTGTTGTTGTTGTTGTTGAGCTGGGAGGGTAAACTACAAGGTTATTTTTAAGGGGCGGAAGTTGAACCTTCAAGGTTGCAAGGCTACAAGGTTAAGTGGACAAGGTGATCCACCAATGACTCTAGGTTGCAACTCTAAGGCTGCAAGGAACAAGGTAAACTACTAATGTTCATAGGAGGGAGGATCACGAAAGGTGACAAGTTGTTGGGTGAGTTAGGAGGTCGTTGAATAGCTATAGTAGATTGTGTTTGTGAAGCAACACCTTAGTCACAACTGACTCCTGTTCCATTGGCATAGGCTTCGAGAGACCTGCCTTCTTCACCACAACCACCAGCAGAAGCCACTGCACAAACATCGTCTGAGCATGGTAAGTCGGAGATCATGACAAACTCTAGTGCTAACATTTTGCAGCATAAAGGTCTTTACAGGGTGTCTAGTTTATTTCCATTATAAAATTCAAGACTAATTCCAGACTTTTCAAGACTAATTCCAGATTTTTCAAGACTAGTTTTTTCAACAATTAGTGGGTCGATTCTCGATTCTTGATACCGATACCAATTTTTATAGCTTAACCAAATTTTCTGAATAATACTACAACAACCCCTGTCTTTGTCATAAAGTAGTATTATGATAATGTGGTGTTTTCAAGTAAAGAAATAATGCAGCAATAAAAAATTCTAACTAGCAAATTTGGTTTTTTTATCATGAAAAATCATGAACATTTCCCGCGGCCTTGTAGACATCAATGACATCATCGTCGTCTCCCGCGGTCTCAGAAACGTCATCGTCCGCGATCGTGGCAAAATCATGAACATTTCCCGCGGCCGAGCAGATCATCGTCGTCTCCCGCGGTCACGGAAACGTCATCGTCATCTCCCACGGTCACGGAAACGTCATCGTCGTCGTCCGCAAACGCGGCAAAATCATAACCGTTTCCCGCGGCTGTGTAGACTACATCGTCGTCTCCCGCGGTCACGGAAACGTCATCGTCATCTCCCGCAGTCACGGAAACGTCATCGTCGTCGTCCGCGATCGTGACAAAATCATGAACATTTCCCGCGGCCGAGCAGATATCATCGTCGTCTCCCGCGGTCACGGAAACGTCATCGTCGTCTCCCGCGGTCAGGGAAACGCCATCGTCGTCGTCCGCGATCGCGGCAAAATCATTAACATTTCCCGCGGCTGTTTAGACATCACCGTCATCTCCCGCGGTCACGGAAACGTTATCGTCGTCGTCTGCGATCACGGCAAAATCATGAACATTTCTCGCGGCCGTGTAGGCATCATTGTCGTCTCCCGGGGTCACGGAAACGTCATCGTCGTCTCCCGCGGTCACGGAAACGTCATCGTCGTCTCCCGCGGTCACGGAAACGTCATCGTCGTCGTCCGCGATCGCGGCAAAATCATGAACGTTTCCCGCGGCTGTTTAGACATCACCGTCATCTCCCGCGGTCACGGAAACGTTATCGTCATCTCCCGCGGTCACGGAAACGTTATCGTCATCTCCCGCGGTCACGGAAACGTTATCGTCGTCGTCCGCGATCACGGCAAAATCATGAACATTTCTCGCGGCCGAGCAGATATCATCGTCGTCTCCCGCGGTCACGGAAACGTCATCGTCATCTCCCGCGGTCACGGAAACGTCATCGTCGTCGTCCGCGATCGCGGCAAAATCATGAACGTTTCCCGCGGCTGTTTAGACATCACCGTCATCTCCCGCGGTCACGGAAACGTTATCGTCGTCGTCCGCGATCACGGCAAAATCATGAACATTTCTCGCGGCCGAGCAGATATCATCGTCGTCTCCCGCGGTCACGGAAACGTCATCGTCGTCTCCCGCGGTCAGGGAAACGTTATCGTCGTCGTCCGCGATCACGGCAAAATCATGAACATTTCCCGCGGCCGTGTAGGCATCATTGTCGTCTCCCGCGGTCACGGAAACGTCTTCGTCGTCTCCCGCGGTCACGGAAACGTCATCGTAGTCCCCCGCTGTCACAGAAACGTTATCGTCGTCTCTCGTGGTTTCGGAAACGTCATCGTCGTCGTCCACTATCGCGGAAAAATCGTGAACATTTCCCGAGGCCGTGTAGACATCATCATTGGCTTTTGCTGTTACGTAAACGCAAGACGACGATCGCGGCAAAATCATGAAAATTCCCGACTTTGAAATCAAATTTAAGACTAAATCCCGACTTTTCAAGACCATTTTGAAATTCAATACTAATTCCCGACTTTCCCGATTTTCCCGACTACTAGACACCCTGTCTTTGAAAATATATGCGTAAATCACTCAAAGCTTCCATTATCATTCTTTTTAACGCTGCAACATTTGATCAGTACATACGTTTAGTGAGTACGACGATTTGCAGTACTATCCTGACACCGCAGGACAAAAATGTGGTTTGGATCCCACTATAAACTGTAGCTCTCTTGTTATTGGTTGTATGGGCTATTGAGTCGTGTCTAAGGAACTGGGCTTAGTCACTAAAACCGATCGTGCCACTACCCTCGGCTTAAAATATCTACATTGGTCACCATAAGAAAATATAAAATACATTTTCATGGTGAAAGAATATTAGTTAAAGTCAAAAATATTTTTTCCGCTACACTAACTTTTGTGAAATGACATTTTTTTGTTGCAACTTGTTTCTTAGTCCCCAAATATCCCAAACAAATGCCAGATGTGGCCACCCTCCGACAGTGGCAAACCTTATTTGTTCGATGTGGCCTTCAGCCAACCTCATTTAATCGATGTGGCCACACTCTTCAGCAAACCTAATTTGATCGATGTGGCCACCCTCTGGCACAATGTTGATGTGGCCACACTCTTCAGCGAACCTAATTTGATCGATGTGGCCACCCTCTGGACGTCGTAGTGCTCACCCAAACCTCATTTAATCGACGTGGCCACCCTCTGGCACAATGTTGATGTGACCACACTCTTCAACGATCCTCATTAAATCGATGTGGCCATGCATAATTGATGTGGCCATACTTTACTACTAATCTAACATTCAATTTTTAGGTGACGCAAGTTGCAGTTGAAAATAACGAGAACTTAGCTGTGAATAAGCGAAAAAGTGACGGCTTTGGTGAAGACACTGAAAACTGTGATGGAACTAAAAAGCGTACAAAGATTGAGTGAGCACACTTTACGTCCCATCCATTTTTTTATTCTTATTTAACATGTTTGACTAAGTCTTTTATTGACACAATCCTAGTCATTGAGCTCTGTTAATATTTTCAATAACTTTCTGTTTATTTTAGTTACACTTGTTATAACAAATAATATTCACAATTTTTTTAGTTAATATTTTTAAGTTAGTTGCATAAGAGAAATCTAAATAAAATATTTTAACAAATAGGCCTATTTCTTGTATTTTCCTTGAGTTGTAGCAATGACAATACATACAATAGTATATTTGGTGTATAGTTAATGATGTAGGTAATGTAATTGGTTATCATTTTATTTTAATTTTTTCAATAGGCCTATTTGATTGTAGGACTGCTAAACTGAGCTTATCATTCAAGAGCAAGAAATCTCAATCTCGTAAAATTTCTAACTCAACAACGTATTATACAAATAACTCATTAAACAAATTGTAATGGACTCAATAGAAATTATCAAACTGTTGACAATGGAAAGAAGTACAGAGGATTCTTTTTGAATAGATGGAAACTTTCCAGACTTTTAAGCCTTTCAGGAAGACAGTTAAGGAGCCTGACACCTACTTGAGAAGGAAGTTTCTCAAATGCAGCTGTTAGGTGTTGGACATTGTGAAAACTTTCCCTTTCTCTAGTCCTGTGGCTGTGCACAGCAGTGCCTTGGATAGGCACATGTTGGAACCGGCAGTATACAGCCGTTTCCAATATATACAGGAAAGGTATACTCCCTTGCAGCTTGTGATTTGGTTAACTACTATGTATCAGTAGAAGACATAACTTTGCTTTGATATAACAGAGAATATTTTAAAAACGTAAGGTCAAATCAGAATAAGGGGGTTGATATGTAATTATTTATTTTATAACTATAAAAGAGGGATAAAATGTACATACGGCTGAATAAATTAGAAAATAACATATAAACTAACAATACAAAATTTCAGGGCATTGGACATCTCAATAATTCATCTAATTTATTGGGGACGTTCATGGGCCAGCCATTTTTAGAAAACATCTATGTTTTTATATTCAACTACCCTGACTCATAAATGATATTTTGTACATTTCCTAAAGTGATTTATGCATTCAAACGCTAAATATTACAATTAATAAACGTATTACAAAGGTAGAAAGAATACTTGCTAAAAAGTTGAACACTAAAATAAAGAATAAAATACTTTATAGGGATTTATAAACTTGAGCAGTTTTGACCTACTTGAAGATCACAGTAATACATTGAAAAAAACATGTTTTATCGTTTATCATTTAAGATCTGTTTGTCACATTTAAATGGGTTAGAACTTAAAACTAAACAATCTGTGGAAATAATTTTTCGCATACCTACTTAATCTGTTTAACAAAAAATTATACAGAGGACTAAAATGTAAACAATGCATAGTGTAATACAGTAAAATTACTTTTTATGAATAAAAATTCCAGAAATGTAATCAGTTTAAAAAAAAGTAAAATATACATTTGTACATCCGTTTAAAATATGTTACTTAACACAAATTTATATAATTTTGTAAATGAAGATTGTTGGTTCATCCAGTGTTACCTTCAAGGAAAGTATTTCAAATACAGCATTTAATGCTTTTCCAACTTCACCCATTAAAATATAGTTTAATATCACAGGTAGTAGAGTCTCTATAATCCGGCCGTTCATTAGACCGGCACGTCCAGTAATCCGGCACTGTGTTTTCGCCGAATATTCAGTAAATTTTCATGTCTAGACTTGAAAACGCGAGTGTCCATATTTCACAACAGCAGTACACTGAGGACTGACGTCTGCTACGGGTAGTTGCGTACAGTGCGTGGCGTGTGAGTTGAGTGAAGGCAGTGTTGTGAGTACAGTGTATATACTATATAATCTACAAGTGTAGTGCGATGTCGGGAAAACGTAAGCATGTAACACTGACTTTAGATAAAAAGTATACGATTTTAAAACGTTTGGAAAAGGGTGAAAAGTTGGCTCATCTGTCTAAGGAATACAATATCGGCCGTGCAACTATACACGACATAAAGAAGAAGAAGGAGCAGATCGAATCATTCTTTAAGAGGAGTAGTGAATCATCTTCGAAGGTAAGAAAGACATTAAAAGTAGGCGAATTTCCGCAAGTAGAAGACGCACTTTATAATTGGTTCATGCAAGAAAGGAGCCGACACACGCCAATTTCAGGTGATATTATAATGGAAAAGGCGAAACTGTTCTATAACAAAATCATGAAAAAGGACGACTTCCGTGCAAGTGTTGGGTGGCTGGATAAATTCAAACGACGCTTTGGAATTCGACTGCTAACTATGACTGGTGAAAGGCTTTCGTGTGATGTAGCGGCTGCAGAACCTTTTATTGAAAAATTTAAAGAAATCGTGGATGAAATGGACTTAGGCCCAGATCAGATCTACAATGCTGACGAGAGTGGTCTGTTTTGGCGTCTTTTGCCGAAACAAACATTCGTTCATAGAGAGGAAGCTAGTGCCCCTGGTCGCAAGTTGGCCAAAGATAGAGTAACTTTTATGCCGTGTTGTAATGCTAGTGGCACTCATAAATTAGAATTGCTTGTTATTGGGAAAGCCAAAAAGCCAAGGGCTTTCAAAAACACACAGTTGCCAGTTACATACACAAACTCGACAAAAGGATGGATGACAAAAACACTTTTTTTGGAATGGTTCCATCAAACTTTTGTACCATCAGTAAAAAAGTTTTTGAAAGCACAAAAACTGCCTCAAAAGGCACTTTTGTTGCTCGATAATTGTCCTGGACATCCAGATGAGGATGAGTTAAAAAGTAGGGATGGAAAAATCACTGCTTTATTTTTGCCCCCAAATGTAACTCCGATACTCCAGCCCATGGACCAAAATGTGATCCAAACTATAAAAACGAATTACAAAAAAACCCTTTTGTACAGTGTTTTGTCAAAAGAGGGGAGTGTTGTTACAGCTCTGAAGGAAACCAACCTGAAAGATGTTGTTTTTAATCTTGCAAGCGCATGGGAAAAACTTGCAACAAAAACAATTGTTTGTTCATGGGCGAAGTTGTGGCCTTCTCTTGATTTATTAGAGGATTACAGAAGACAATCAAATCCTCAAACGACAGTGACAACAGATGCTGAGCTAAATGACTTGAGAGAAGCAATAGCCGAACAGTTAGTAGACGATCCAGAAGATCTGACATCAGCCGATGTTACCGCCTGGTTAGACGGAGCAGACGACGAGCAGTGTCAAATCATGACAGACGATGAGATCATCGAAAACGTTAGACGGCAGTGACGTGGAGGAGGGGGACGAGGAGGGCGGAGTGGGCGGAGCCAGTACGTCGACGTCGACAGCTGCAGCTGCACACACAGTCAACACGGATTCGGCGCTCTGTGCCTACGCAACTGCAATAACTTGGGCGGAAGAAAACGGTGCTTCGGCTTCCGATATTATGACACTAAAGAGGCTCCAGGAAAATGTTTTAAAACTTTCTTTTAATGCAAAGAAGCAGAAAAATATTACAAACTATTTTGCTGTTGTTTAAGTAGGTCTTACATGTAAAGTGTACAGTAGGCCCAAAGTTCTGTAATTTTCATTTTGTACACGTACAGTATTTAGTGATTATCTTTGTTCATCGTCTGATATTGTACTGTACGGTTGTTTTCTGTTTCATATCACTGTTTATTTTTCACAATAATACATTAAACAACATTTCATTAGCCCTATACTGTACAGAAATTCAAATGATTGTTATCATAGTTTTCGTAAGCAATAAAATGTTGTTTATTGTAAAACCACTTCAATTTCTGATGCATTTCCACTAATCCGGCATTTTCTATAATCCGGCCCTACTAATCCCCATATAGGGCCGGATTAACGAGATCCTACTGTACTTTTATTTTTAATCTTAAGAGCTGTTTTGCGAATTAAACGTTGCTCTTAAGCATTAGAATTAAACCCTTAAGCAGCATTAAGCAGCTCCTTACAAGCATGATTCTTACAATTTAAATTTCAATGATTCAACAAAACAAATTTCACCAAATTTGATTGTTTGGGTGTTGACAAAGAGCATTATGGCTCTAAATAAACGAGGTTGTTAAACAACAAAAGCTAATTTACCTAGTTAAATTATAAATATGAGCAAAACTCTTTTAAACTGAACTCTACCTGACTGGAAAGATAGCTTAGGATTTTCAAGTAAGTTTTATGATCTAAATGCACTTTTACATCTTCTCAAACGTTTCTTCGTAGCCGCAAGACTTGCAAGTATGACTGTAATTGTCTTCTTCTTCGTGATAAGTCTCCGACCCAAACTCGTGTTCGTGAGAAGCTGTAGTTGTTTTGTTGTAGAGAGAGCTTCTTACATTCATGCGGAGAGCTAAACAGAACAACAATTGGCACTTTAGATTATTTAAAACATTTAGGTACAACTTAAAATTGATATGAGACGCCCTACTGAAGCTATTCGATAATCTAAGCTTAAGTTAAAGTTTTAATATAGCTCTTCCGTAGTCCAACATTATGAAGAAATAGAAAATTATGTAGGCTAACTTGACAAAAAAAAAAAAAAAAAAATACCCCTGCAAATTTTGCAATTTATTTTTATTCCAAACTATAATACTGAAATTGTTCATAAAAAAAAACACTATTTTCTTCCCTGTAGTTTAAAACTTACTCGTTAAATCTAATGTTATTTAAATAGGGAATAAAACTGACAAGTTTTAAGGAAATATTTTAGTATAGATCCAATCAGACAAGAAATTTGCTAATTCTGCAGAGATTTAATAATTGACTGCAGTCCACAATGGAGTTTATTTCAACCAGGTATTAATGTAAAGAAGAGCATCATGCCAACATTGGTTCTTTGATTAAATATTGTGATGTATAGATACACTTTAATTTTACCTTTCATATTTTTGTTGTATTTCTTGGTCTTAGCCATTATTCTTTTTTCTTCCCTAAGTTCTCTTTGCTTCTCTAACTCTTCTTCTGAGCCCCAGACATCCATTGCCCGATTTTCAATCTGCAAAAAAAAAATTCCAATTACTCAAATGTTTCTTAAGTTGTAAGAAGTGATTGCATCTTGTAAATAGTTATGTACTATCCAAACAAGATGGATATTGATTCTAATATAAGATATTGTATTAAAATAGTTGTTGCATTATGCCAAAGAGCGCTAAAATTTAAATACTGAGACACAAGGTAAAAATAAGATTTTTAAGTTATATGTTCTAAAAGTTATAAATTATTCAAAAGAACTTAGAGCAAAGATTCTGTGAAAAACATACTTTTTCCTTTGTCATTTGTGCCTTTTAATTATCACCCACCCTTCATGATTAATGAATGGCCGATGTCAAACCTTTCAACTGGTCTTTGTCAGTAACAAAACTTACTTAATATAAAAGTAAGTATCAGCAAACCGACACATACTTTCTCCCATAAGCTTGTGAACAACCTTTATCAGTGGTGGGAGTAACTATGATATTCTATAAGGATAAATCACAAAAGTCGCAATAACTTTTCAACCTTAAAATTGTTACAGCAATGGTTGGACTATTTTTGTTTAGAATTATAAGGACCACAATGCATTAATTTGAATCGAAACCTAATTTTCCTAAAATCCGATATTTTCATATTTTATGGGATAACTAACATAATATAAGTTATGATATCTTTTGAACCATATTTTTTACGGAAATGGGATCTGTACCATTTTGTTCAACATTTTAAGGACCATAATATACAAATTTTAATCAAAACCAACTTTTTTTCCTAAAATCCAATGTTTTGGTTTTATGGGAAAATAACATAATTTTAGAACCATAATTTATACGGAAATGGAATCTGTACCATTTTGTTCAGAATTTAAAGAACAAGGCTATAACATGCTAAACTTTTATTAAAATCGAGATAAACCTGATTTTTGTTGTTATTTTATGGAAAAAGTACCATTAAAAATCAAAATGTCAAAGAAATTAACAAAACACCTGGAGATACCATGGATAGGCCTACACTACATACCAAATTTCATCAAAATCGGACTACAGGTGTGGTCTGTAGCTCTGTACACATCCATACACAGACATCACTTTGAAAACCACTTCTTTGGGTAAAGGGGGACCCAAAACAGATATATCCACTCATAACTTAAACTCTAAATGTTTGATGAAAACAATGCTTTCTCCATACAGCCTACTATGTATAGGGGTAGAAAGTAAAAGTATTAAGTAAGTTTTGGTATTACCCTAATAAAAATATCTACTTCACATCTCACTACTTGGATTAAAAACAGTAGGCCTAAAATAATTAATTGAGGTGATGTGTAGAAACAAAAACACACATTAACTAAAAACTTGTCTTGCTATGAATTCCAAAGTACTTCTTACCTGCTTCAGAAGATAAAGTTTCATGTCACCCCATCGCACGTTGTGTGGATTTTTACGTAGGATGAATTTCAACAGCGGTTCTCTTTTATCTAAATCACAGTCCTTGAGAAGATATTCATTTCTGGCGTCAGTTCTTGTAATTAAGCTGTGCTTTTCCTCGTTATCTCTAAAAAACGGGAATATATAGAGAGATATATAATACTATAGGGTAAGTCTATTGAAAATGTAAGTACTGTAATTATAATATCTTAATTAGGCCTACAGCAGATTAAAGGTGAATTAAACGACAAAGCAGAGATAATTTGTCTAAACTTATATACCCACTGCCACCGGAATATTTTTTTAGGTTATTCATATCCTTTTATATCTCATTTAAATACGTTATGTCCATTTTCAACCAACAAGAAAAACATGTATCCTCCTCCTCTAGGCCTATACTATCTCTGTACTACTACCTATTTATCAAGCACACAATGACACAAACAATAATTTGACATTAGATTTTACGTTTTTGAAGACCAATGGGTTAACAGTACGACTAATAAGCGGTGAAATGCAGTGACGAGCTACTCTCATTAGTCCTTGTTAATGGGTAAAACTATTCCGGTGGTAAAAATACTTGAAAAAATGTGTGAAGGCTGCAGTATTTAAAAGATTAATTGTTATCTGTATAACTTAAAGTTAAAGTTAACTTAAACTTAAGTAAAGTTACAACGTTCTGTTTGCAGAAAAAGTAGCCATCAGCGTTTGGGAAAACTTCTCAATGGACCCCAAATTGATTTTAAAATAAGTTTATTTTCTAATGGCAAAAACAAGGTACTAAAACCTTTTTTTACACTTACCTACAACCATCACAAACCGGGTAGTCGAAGCTTTTCAACAGAAAAGAGTCTCCAAACTTTTCTTTACATTCTTCACAGGTAGGCTGGTCTGGGATACAAATGGCAGGCAGATCTTCGACAATAGTGGGGATCTCCTATATAACAGAAATATGTTATAAGCCACTGTCATCTCTAAGAACAACTATAGATATCGGACAAAATAACATGGACCCAAGGGTTGATCGTCGGCTGAGTCTAATCAAAATCAAAATATCATTATTGACACTATGAAAAATGTTACCCACATTAAGTGCTTATAGCAGTAACTGATGTCTCGCCAATTAACAATATAATATACTTTATAGTAGATTACTCTTAATCTACCGGTATTTGCTCAAAAATACTTACAATAATTAGGGATCCCAGACATCCTCTTTTTGGGTACATAAAAAACGTCCGGGGGGGATTTTTTGCAAACCCTTAAAATGTTCGGGATTTAGACTGAATAAATAAATAAATCAAATTATTCCTGAACGCATATTAGGCCTATTATTAGTAATTGGCTCTAGTCATCATTCGCCCAGGATGAGAATGAAATTGGTATAAATTAAATTAAAATATTGTGTCACTGTAATTATATCTTATATTTAGAAGTTTTGTTTACTTTTTGAATCAAAGTTTGTGTTTAAAACTAAGACTGTCGGCAAAATTAACCTAGCTGTCTCTGTTTATGCTCACCACCAAACAGACCAGTGCCTATCTAACTACAGCTAGCTCCTCGTATGATTTTTGCTTATGTTTACACTCCTACAGGCTTACATTAAAATAATTTTCTTACATCTTGTTTTGTCATTCTAGAACGTTCCTAGACCCTACTAATGCCGAAAAGAGAATTTGTATCTTCAGTCAAGTTAAAAAAGGGATTAGTTTGAAAAAGGTTTACTTGTTTAAAAAAAAAAAACAAAAAAAAAACAACACAACCCCAACCTTTAAGCAGTTGTATCATCCTCTGAAATTGACAGTTCTTTTTTTTTTCTTTTTTTTTCTTAATTCAATCATTTTGCTCGTGTCGCTGAAGAAACTGCATTTCACACTCTGTAGTAAAAACGTCGCCCGAGTTTGGATTGCATGGATTGTACCACTAAACTTCAAAATGTGTTGTTTAAAGACTCCTAGTCTTGAAAAACATATTTCTAATCGAGTAATTGATAATAAGTGAGGGGGGATCCAGTAATCCAGATAAACGTTTTTGAGTCAAAAGCCTTAGTTGCAAATTTTTTTCAATTGCATTGTTAACATAAGCATGCCTGAATTAAAATTAAAAGCAAATATTTCAGTGATGGTAAAGAATTGGCTAGCAAATCGAACATGATAGCTTAAAATTGTCATACAATGGGCTACTAAGTTATTTAGATAAAAAAATTCCAAAATGCTGAAAGTTTGAGTACCTATCTAAAATAATCTAAAAACTTTTTTAAAGCCCTTAAAACGCATAGGCCTAAAAGTAATTCAAAATTTTAAAAAAATTAGTTGAACCCCCCCCCCCCCCTCCAAGGTAAGTTCCACGAGTCATAATTGTCCTCTTTTTTGATGGAGGGTCTCTGGGACCCCTACTTACATTGAATTCATAGTGGACAATAGACAAAGCTTTTTACATAACGCCTGAACACAATATTAGTACAAAAGTAATTCCCAAGCTGGTACATGGTCAATTTTATTGATTTAATATAGTGTAGCTTACTTTGACAGTTGGGAAAAAAATATACAACAAAACATAGACAAGTACAAAAACAACAACACAAATGTAGGCTATAATGATCAACCCAAGGAGGTGTCTGCTAAACTTAAATGTACCGTTACCGGTAATAAATTTGATAATTTTAGGCTATTTTTTAAGTTTTTTTGAGAATACTTACATTCTTGTCTTGTTGACCAGTAACTTCCTCAATGAGAAATCCACCTCCTGAATCAGTGAACTTGCTTCCCTCAAAACGAATTATATTTTTATCCAGACATTCAACTGCACAAGGTGAACTAGAAATGGGAAAAAATATTCTTCCTTATTGAGTGATTTTATATCACAGTGCAAAGTTTATTGGCTGACAAGAGTTGTTACCGTACTAAATTATTCTTGTGTTGGAGGAAAGAGTCATTGACTAAAAAAACCACAGTGTAAATTTATTTCTATTTAATTGTATAGGTCTTGGTCTATTACTGGGGACAAAATTTATCGAAACATATTTCCTTCAACACACCTTAACAACTAACATGACCTAGGCTATACTCGAAATACAGACTATAACTTACTCTTTCTTGTACAGATCTATTTTTGGTTTGGATAACAAAATGTGTATGACTCATGTGCTATTGCACACTGATTAATGTTAAATTATTCAGCTACCGTTATACAACGCATGTCCTGTGAGGTTTTAAAATGTATCCATTCCTGTTGGTCTGAATTTATACTATTTGGTTCGGATTTGTCTGGGCGAGAAGTAACTTAGACAGTATAACTTTCTGTAAATTATCTGTTGACAAAAAGTGCCATTCCAAGACATAAGCTAAGTTATTAAGGCGGTGTATTTTGATAAAATAACCAATCAAAACACAATGTAAGCACTGTGGCAAAACCCATGTTAATCATCTTTTTACTAAGTTAATCATTGATAGTTCTTTTACACTTATCAAAACCTAATCAAATATAAGTTAATGTTTCTTAGTTGGAAAATCGATCTTTTTCGTTAGGGTTTTATAATTAAAACGTTGTTTATGCTTAAGGGTACTTACTTTTTGAAATAGGGATGAGCAACAACTTTTGATTTCCTTAGTTGTAAAGCCTTTTGGCGATTTCGTTCAATTCTATCCTTCTGTGATTGAGTTAATTCCTTAGACATGATAGTTTATTTGTACTAACAAATTTGTAAATAAGAGAAAAATTGATTTGAGGAATTGCAGCTCAAGCCTAGGCTGTGTAGTATGCAAACATTTTTTTCAATGGTAAAGTGAAACAAACAATGGTGAATGGTGATTGGTGAAACTGTCTTCTTAACTTAACCTAAACAAACAAAACAAAACATAGACATGGACAGATGCTGAGAAGAAGAACCAATGAATTGAATTACGCTACGCTTTCCTATTAGATTGTTTAGCATACTTGGATAGTTTTCATGTAGCTTAATTTACAGATATTGGGTTTGTTGTGGTTTTATAATTAGTTAATGCTGTAACTCAAGTTAATTAATTTCCCAGAGTGATAATTACAGTAACATTGAAAATGTGAAACAAATTGCCAAACGCAAACGGCAGAGCCGTCTCGTAGTTTATCGGTGCATAGGGCGGGATGGATGTGGGATGTTGTCAGGCAGTCCCCCCACAAAAAAAATGAACGATGCTCATGGTTGGTTACGTCGCCGCCACCTAATAGCGTAGACATCATAATCGTCTTCTACGATTGCCGCAAAATCCTGAATACCTACCGCGGTCACAAAAACATCACCCTCTTCCGTGATTTTGGCTTAATCCTGAATGTATCCATCGTTATTGGAAATATAGTTAATGACCTCTGCAATCATGGCAAAATCAAGATTATCCTTCGGTCGTGTAGACATCATCGTCGTTCCGCACTCAAGTGTAATCCTTAATATATGCAGCGGTCACGGAAATATAGTCGATATTATCTCCTGCGGTCGCATGCATCATCAAGGTCACCCGTAATCGCAATAAAAACCTAAATCCATCGGTAACGGAAATGTATTCATCGTCCTCCACGATTAAATACTACAAAAATTAAGTCGTATACACATCATCCTCATCATCATAATCTTTCGTGAACGCGGCAAAATTATCTCCCGCGGTTGGTAATTTAAAAATCACCATTGTCTTCTGCGGCCGCGGCAATATCTTGAATATTCCCGCGCCCCATAGTTACGAAAATATAAACATCATCCTCGCCACAATCGCAGCTAATCTTGATTTTCACCCACGGTCTCGAACGAATTATCAGCGTCTTACACGATCACAAAAATGTCATTGTTGTCGATCGCCGCAAAAGTCTCCGCAGACGTTTAGCGATAGCCAAAACATTGAAATCGTAAAAGCTTGGCTTGGGAGCTCGATTTTATGACTTAGAGTGCTCGATTCCTAATTATGTAAGTTAGTTATCACCTATATGCACATCTAACATAAATCGGTTGATTTGTGTACTACTTTTGCCTTTGGACCTGCGGTGCCCTCCGAAACCGCCGCTTCCGAGGCACCCCCTGCCCGGTGTGGTCGTCCTAACTCACGCGACGGCCCTGACAAACGGTTTTTGTAACTTACCATATTGCAATTTTATTTTATTTTCCTTAATTAGTGTTTTGTTATTTCAAACAAAGTGACCTACTCCCAGGATAAAGATTAGTAAAATCCCGCGTATGGGAACACTGATACATCCTCTATTACCATCCTATTACACTACAAAATTACCACAAGTGGCAAAAATCTCTTCACGCATGGTGGAAGGAAAGTACACGAGAAGTGATGACTACAGTTAGTTGTTAATTATAGCTCAGTGTTTCTAGTATATCTGGCAAATAACCATAATTTGTATCAACATAGTATTCGTTGATTAACATACTCACATTACTAACTTATTGTTAAGAGTGTTGCAATAAAATAACCATGGTGATTTTAAAGATATTAGGTAATAATAATCCAACGTAGCTGGATTGCCTCTCTCATTCACAAAACCCTGTATTTAGTTTAAAATCGTATTTCTTTATCGATATAGTGAAAACATAACAACATCTGTTCTATTTGAAAAATAGTTATGTTTACAGGTTTTTACTTTGTGAAAAAATATATATTTTATGTTGCATTTCAGCTCGTTTTTTGTTGGCTGTATATTAATGGTTTATTCTTCTTTATCAGAAGTTACAGTGGATTTCGAAGGGCGTTGGATAACAAGGCCCCCAGCCGATAGGGAATTTCCATTCGCAGTATTGATCTTCATGTCATCCTCTGAAGACGAGATCTGCAGTGGGTCATTAATAACACTTGAGTGGGTGTTGACAGCAGCACGTTGTATGTATAAAGGAGGCAATGTGGTGGAGAACGATACATCGCTGGTAGTCTACGCTGGGGTGGACGGCAACGTGCAAGACCAACATGTACAGAGAAGGGTTAGCAAGAAGTTAGTCATACACAATTCAGGTTTAAACGACTACTTCAGCCTCGCATTGGTACAAATTGACCCTTTCTTGCCAAAGTACAATAATAAAGTGGTCTCAACTTTACATTTCGGGGTTGACCAAAGGTTCACCAAAGTCGAACGAACCTGCAAGTCCGGGAGTTACGGGAGAATCGAATGGGATAAGGAGATACCTCCAGCACTGAAAAAGACAATGAATTTAATTCAACCCTGCAACTGTTCAAATTCTCTGAGAGAAGCCTTTCCTGAGAGTTCTACGGATCAGTGGATGTGTGGAGAGTACGAGTATAATATTGGAGAGTGCAAAGGGGATTTCGGAGCTGTTTTGAAGTGTGACGACAAAGATTTTTTAGCAGTACCCATTAATCTAGTCACGTTCTCAGACTTGAGGATGTGTGAAATTAGTGACAAGATTTCCAAGAAATGCAGTCAGGCTTCGACAATTAGTGTCTACACTAGCGTGTGCAAATATCTCGTATGGATGAACTCATACATTCCATCTGTGCCCGTTAATAGAACATCTTGTGATAGCCCTAACTCTGCAGCCTATCAGAGCTTCGTACATGGTTCGATTATGTTTATTTGCATATTCATCTACCATTATATGCAATAGGTACGATACTAAATCCATATTTTGCAAAGCAAATGATCACATTTTAACAATATATTATAGAAAACCAATTTATTTTTTTTCTTTATGAAATGAAATATTTTTATAATTGTGTATAATGTTTTTAAAATATAATTTATACATACAACTCAACTGCTAAAATGGGTTAACTAAACTGTGGGGCACTTTTTTATCATTGTATGAATAAATAGAAGAAAGAATATATACTTTATGCCAGGAATTGTCATAATTTATTCACTAGAAATAAACGACGACGAGTAATTAAGGTTTATTTTATTTGTTTACCTTTTGTTCTTAATGTTCTTATGTTCAATGGTACTGTTACTGATGCGCATTTTCCCACGAGTGAGGCATAGGCCTGCGCCTGTACTAAAGCCTGGTTGGGACAGGTGACTAAGTAGCTGCACCTGGGTGGGTTCCAACAGTGTGGCCTTGGTTCCAAGCAAACATCTGTGTGGTCCCAGATTGTCGACATCCCAAATAACCGACATCCCATTTTACAGACATCCCACATTACCGACACTGTCGATATTTTGAGTTGTCGACAATACGGGACTATTTCAGTGTCGATAATCTGGGACACCACGCTGCACCTCAATAGCAGGGCCTACGTAGTGGGCCTTGCTACGATTCTCTGGATGGATACTTGTATAGTAATATAGGAAGTAAGATTTTTGTCTCCTTATATCCCTCTATGGGTTATAATATTTTGAACTGGTAATACTATTTAAAAAACAATCATAATTAGTAAAATGTGACTTTAACCCCTTCACAGAGGTATAATGTTGACACTTACTTCCACCATAGACAGGGAATGTGTAATCTATGCTTCCCAAAACGACAGCATTTTGTCCTAAGTTAACTAGTGTGCATAATCAACGTCTAGTACGGGTAATAGCTTTCTCCTTGACGCCCGGTGCTGCACGAAGTACGACATACGTCACGTCTGTTTTTGTGTGAAGTCTGCTTGTTTGTGCTTCTGTTTGTTGTGTTGTACTTTTGTTAAAACAGAACGATTTGTTGAGGTTGAGGTTACAATCCTTGACAATTAAGTTTTGTTTTGGGCGAATGATTTACTAAGGTATGCGAATTTTATTATATTTGCTAAGTACCTTCTAGGTAACGTTAAAAAGTCGTTATTGGAAATAATACTCCTAAAAATACATGTGCAGGCATATAATTTGTTCAGTTTCAGGTTTTCTTATATCTAGGCCTAGGTCTGTTCCTTTACAAATTTTAGAGCTAGGCCTAGGCCTACTTCTTCAATATAACTAAAAAATATGTTAGTTCGTAATATTTTACAAAGTTTAACTTATGGGTACAGTTCCGCAGAGAACCTGCGATTAATACCGATAGTTTTAATAATAGTTTAAATACCAATAGGCTTATATAGGCCTAGGCTATATAAAATTTTTTCGGTCGATATAGGCCTATTGTTTCTACATTACAATTTTTTTTAATGTTTTGCCGAATTCAGTTACTCCTTCGATCTGTTAATGTTTAATTGATATTTGTTGTAGCCTATGTGTTCTTTTTTGCCCAGCCAGTAACTATGATAACGTAATGTTTCAGTTATAACGAAGCTAACTTAAACCTAATTTATTTCAGACAATGCTAATCCAATTAATTACTATCACATCAATTGTTTTCAATTAGACCTTCCTATTTAAATTGTGTAGGCCTAAAATAAAATTAAAAGGTAAATGCTACTACTTAGATCCTGTCAAATATTAACCCTCCCAGTGTTACTTGACGAAAATTCGACAAGCAGCACACTTTGTGTAGTGTTACTTGTCGATTTTTCGACACGCAGACATCGTTTACGGCGAAGGCTCTATGACTTACTGAATCGGATTGAACTGGATCGAGTTAGGTATCGTTCTTTCCGTAATATTCTAAGCTTTCTCCAGAGGTCTGTCTCTAAGCGCTATTCATTTTAGTTCCGAAAATATTGTAGCAGACAGCTGACGTGCGTGTATTTGTAAACAGCTAGGTTCCCCCGGACCGATGACTGATGTGTTTTATTACGTTTATCATTGTTTTAGTGTTAAAAATCAAAAGTAGTGATATACGTGGTGCATTATAAGAAGATTTAACCCTTAGAGTGCCAGGCGAGAAATAAAAGTAACGCTCAAAAAATGCCGATGATTTTTCCCGAAGGTCGCGCTTAGAATGCCGAGCGTGATCTGGCGATTTTTAGGTTAAAATTTCGTAAAAATCGAATTTTCGATATTTCGACCAACGAAAATCGATGTATCGCATCTAGTAACTTTCGACTCAATGTTAATATATGGGTTAAAAGAATCCGAGTATCCATTCGGTTGTTATGACAACTGTTCGATCATTACGAAACGTCCGGTCACCCGGACGTTGGCACTTTTGGCTCGTTCTAAAAACGTCCGGTCGGCCGGACGTCGGCACTTTTGGCTCGTTTTAAAAACGTCCGGTTCCCCGGACGTTGGCACTCAAAGGGTTAAGTGGTTTTGAAGTGCTGGTTGATGATCCTGAAGAAGTAGGTAGTGATATTGATGTAAATTATCAGCCAGATTCCTAGCTATGGTTAGGCTATGCATTCTTAGCTAAACGCTATGTACTGAAATCAGTTTTTTGCCCATAACTTATTTATTTGTAAATCTACTTCCTTATATTATTATATATTTGTAATCCTCATAAAATTTAGAACAAAGTGGCTATTTTCAAATATTTATAGGCCTATAATTTATACAATTTCATTGACCGCGAACTTATTTTTTTTTGAAAATTTTCGAAATTATATTTTTTTTACCTAAAAATTTTTTTTTTTTTGAAAAAATGTTCCTTATGTTTTATATATAATATTGAAGCCCATGATTTTCCAAACAAAATGGTATATAGAACATTAGAATTAACATTGTTTTAAGCTTCTCAGATCCGTTTTAATAAAACCTTGCAAATGCGCCAAAAATAGGTGGACATTAAGGCCTAAACTATGGACACTTGGAGGGTTAAACAAGTTTTTTTTCAGGTGAAGGAGTAATGATTACACTCACTCGGAAATTGAAAAAAGATGCAAACGACAACAAAACTGTACCTGCTGGAAACTCAACCAAAAGAGTTTCAGTTCGAGATAAACTTCTTATCAAAGAGGTAGGCTAATATGTGCATACCTAGGCCTATCTCAAAGGTTTGCCTTATCTACCTTTCCAGCTTTCATCTAAATTATTATAACCAGAAGGCCTACACCTGATATGGGATTCCTAACCAATTGTAACTATATCCACACATGTCTAGTTGAGTTTAGCTGTGTAGAAGAGAAAGGTGGTGCTTGTAAAGTAAGCATATTCAACAGAGCCACATTCACTTGGCTACTGGATTTTCACATGCTTCAATTGATATTTTTAACTGTCGCCACGATTGGCATGTTTGTTTTCACCAGTGCCTTGCTATGGACCTTTTCTAAATTTCAGGCCAACCTATTTTTTTGACAGAAATTGTTTTAACAGGTCATATAGGCTAGGCCTAAGCGCTGTAAAAAGTCAAAACCGACACTTTTTAAATGTCTTAACGTTTAGTGCCAAAATAAACCGAGTTTTTAGTAGAGTGTATTAGGCCTGTGTAATTAAGAGGTAAGTATTAGATATTTGAACCGAAACTAAGGATAGACAAGAAACTGAGTGGAATAGCTAATTATATTTGTGGCTAATCCTAAGGTTAGTACAATTTAATAGATTTCAATATAAATATTGTTCCAGGTTCAAGAAATGGAACAGATGCTACCAAATACTTGCAGGGTTAAGTTTGACGATCCCCATTCTCTCCATGAGTTTAACCTGTTTGTTACTCCAGATGAAGGTTTTTGGATTGGTGGGAGGTTCTGCTTCCACGTTTACATTACCGAAGAGTACAACATGGCGGTAAGATTAACCTTGTCATTAGGTGTAAATATTGTCCTTCCGGTCAGAGTAACTTAATACTCAATTTCCAATTGCCAACACAAGAAATCGATTCCCTCTGGATACTGATGTAATGGCCATTAAATGTACTTTAATTTAAACGGTCATGCTATGGTTAACTTGATAATCTTATCAATTTGATAAGGCATACATTTTTAAGTGGAAATTTGCCTCCTTAAAACTTGGAGGAGATTAATTTCGAGGATTAAGGGGTTGGCCTACATTTTAGAATGTAGTGAATATCCCGGAATTTATGTAGTTTACTATACCTAATCATAAAAATCTGAGTAGCTAAGTGGTTAAAACGATCACCTTAAATTCTGAAGGTTACTGGTTCAGTCACAAGCAGTCTGGATTCTTGACTCAGATGCCATTTTTCATTGGGCTATAAATTAATAATGTTATACAACAAAAGATAAAGGTTTGCTTACTATCCAATATTTTGTTGAGCTTTTGTTGGATTTTCGTTTTCACTACATGATCAGAGTTCGTATCGATTCCTTAGAAATAGCCTACAGTTAAAAAATGTGGTTGGCTTTAAACATTCACAAAAATACAAAAAAGTGTATTAATACGGTAGGCCACAAGCTAAAAATCTATATTTTTCTATCTATAGCTATATTTTATCTCCTTACCTTATCGGCTTGTTACCAATCATGTACCAAGAAAGTATTGACCATTTTCATTACAGCTATCATTATTGAAATTGTACTCCTATGGTTCCAGCCCCCCAGTGTAAAGTGTTTAACAAAACTGTGGCATCCGAATATCAGCGAAGAGGGCGACATTTGCCTCAGTTTGCTGCGGCAAAACTCTATCGACGGCCTAGGCTGGGCTCCGACTCGCAGACTGAAAGATGTCATTTGGGGGCTTAACTCTTTGTTTACTGTAAGTTGACAGTTTGATTCATCTAAGAATTATTAGATATTCGGTTAGTCAAAACTTAAGTGCTACTCCCTGTTGTAGTAGTGTCCCAGAACATTTGAAAGACAATGTTTGAGGATTAAATTTACTCTTGTAACGCTGTGATTCCAATGTGGTTTATGTTCTGTTTTATTTATATTTAGTATTGACTATTACTAGCGGCTAGTCCCTGCCCACCTAATCTGTTCGGTAGCGAAACTTCTATCCTCCCTCCAGCCCAGCTGTTATTTAGAGGCTTCTGATTGGCTGAGGGAACACCATTACCACAACGATACGGCATGATACCATCGGCCTCGGTGGTATAGTGGATAAAGTGTCGGGCTGATGAACTGAAAGAGCCGGGTTCAAACCTCACCCGCGGCACAATTTTTTGTCTCAGATTTTTTCATTATCAGCAAGTCTGGCTAGTTTGGTTAGGTTATGACAGTTTAATTTTATAATTAAAAAATTGAATTTGAGGCATTTATAATTTTATTTTATGAACAGAACTATTTCTTTCGATAAATAAACCTTTATTGGATTTTTTCATTATCAGCGCGTTTGGTTGGTTTGGTTAGGTTATGATAGTTTAATTTCTTAATAAAAAATGATTATAAAATTGAATTTGAGGCATTTATAATTTTATTTTTTGAACAAAACTAATTTTTCAATTAGTAAACCTTCATTATAGTCAATCAGAAGCCTCCAAATGACACTGTTGGCAAAACTAATTGGAATAAAAATTCAGCTGGAGGGAGGGTAGAAGTTTTGCTCCCGAACAGATTTGGTGGGCAGGGACTAGCCGCTAGTTTGACTATTAGATACTGAAGTAGACATTCCATTTATTAACCAGCTGTCGCCATTTTTTTCCAAAAAAATAACATAGTTGTGTGTGCCAGTCACAGAAAGTGTTAGTGTGTAAATTTCTATTTTCTACCTTATTTTTTGTTGCTGACATAGTTGATAAATCATGACAGTTGCTATAGCTCACAGTGACGATAATTCAATCCATAAGTTTAACTTGGTAAAAAGGGTCGAGTATTCAAGAGTAATTGTTAGTAATTTCAATCAGCACAAATTGTCGTTGGCTCACATAAGTAACTAAGACAATTTAGATTTTTTAAACTGGTGAAAAGTATAACACTGGGATGGAATGTCTAATTTTATCAATAGTAAAAGATGAAGTATATCAGCAGTAGGCTTACATCAATATAGTAAAAGACATAAACTAAAATCCAAGTAGTTAATGAGTTGAATGTTATTTCCAACATATCTTTTCTTTGTTTGCATGATCAGTGACATGCAAGGTCGGATTAAAAGTAACAACTAACAACACTTTTAAATCAAGTTATTCTTAAACACTAACAAATCAAAACACGCAAACACAGGCTTGGTACATTTTAAGATGAAATAAAATGCAACTGTTTTTCTCACAGGATCTGCTCAACTTTGACGATCCCCTGAATATAGAAGCTGCTGAGCTGTATCTGAAAGACAAGGACGCATTTCGTACAAAAGTGAAAGACTATGTGAATCAGTTCGCCAAGAGATGATAAAACGACCTTCTAGTCCATCGACTCTCGTGTACAAATTGTGATAAACTGTTTATTGTGTGATCAACAATATTTACCAGTAGCTCAGTCAATAAATTACAAGTGGAACTTGTCGTGCAAAATGATTCCAGACGGTTTTGGTTTGAACATCACATCGAAAGGTTGGGTTTGATTAAGTTCTTTTTGCCTGAGAATTAAGGAGACATAGGACAGGATTAGCAGGCTGACCCTGTCCTGCGTATCTTACATTCAAACTGAAAGGCTTGTAAGTATGACGAGAAGATTTGAGTTTAAACTGTGTTTATTTACGCCATTGCATTTTTTTACAATTGTTATAAGTTGAGGTTGTAATTAATTTTGTTGCCATATTCTTACTTCTTCCCCCAACATAGTGTGTGCTGTTGCTGTTACATAAATAATGTAGGATCTATGAAGTATCTAAGGGGTGTGTGAATAGTAATTTTAGAGTTTTGATAGAATAATTTCTAGCGAATGTTTACATTATTATTTCAATTTCAACCAAGGCTTGCCCAATCATCTTGAGTTTAACCTACAACAGTGTCCATTGTTTTGATTTATGTAATCTATATAAAATACAATATTTTATATCACATTCGCACACCCCTATATAAATCTTATTACGGTAAATTTTGGTTCAATAGTGTCAAATAATCTAAGAATATTTGAAATTGCAATTGTTACCAATTTTTCCTAAGAAGTTTTTGGTAACTTGTTACTAAAAATTCTACCACCTTTAACTGTTAGTTTACATTTAATTAGTACTTGTACTAAGTTCTTGATCTAATATTCTATTTTGTTTTTTTAAGGGTAATTGGTTTGTAAAAGGTACGGTACATGAGTAAGAATTGAAATCAGTCTAGCCTCATTTAAAATTAAAATCTCTAAGCTTGTTTAATGGTACTCGAGCTTAATAAAAGCAGTCAATGTTTCAATCTGAATATTTTCCAAGCTTTTGTTGAAAGTTTTATTAATTTTTTTTTACCCGTTTAACACTTATACCGAAACCCTGGTCTGACAGGCCCACGGGAATTTTCAAAAACACATTTTGGTAAAATTGTTTATTTGGGGAATTCCATTCCCCCAATACCTTCCCACCTTTTCCTCCCCTACCTGTTGATATATTTTTTGTTCATTTTGCTTGGGTGCCGTGACCTTGACAGGTTGTCTGTTCATAACAAGCCCTTTCAGAAGCCCAGCGTTAGTGCTTTAAAAGTGGGGTCTCACAGGCCCAGGGTTTCGGTTTGTGTGTTTCTAAGTGGGGTTCATTATTTTCAAATAGGGTCTCACAGACCTGGGGTTTCTGTAAAATTGTTTAGTTAAATTTAAATAGCTTTTGTCAAAGCGAAAATAGCTGTTTTCAATACATGTGCTGTGTGACTAGGCTATAAGTATTTCTTATTCTTCTTGGTTAAAAAACAGATTCAGCTGGAGTCAAGGGTATCAGCTGTACATATTTCTCGTTAACTCCTCCTCTAATTTAGCAAAAAAAAAAAAAAAAAAATAGTTTTGACAAGTCAATTTATTAGTGTATTGTTAATAAAATTTCATAATCTTGTTACTGTTATATTTCACTACAAGAACTATCCAGTTTGGTTAATTGCCATCTTTTATAAATCTGAACAAAGCGGCTAGAATGCATTACAAACGTGATAGCCTTTTGGACATACCAGTCTGAACGTAATGCTTTATTTGAGTTTTTTTTTAAGAGTCTTTTAGTTCACTTTTTTTCATCGATCCTGAGAAAATACTGATTTTTGATGGTTCAAAACTGGACCCAGCTGTTCCTGATCATTGGGCTTTAAAAAATTATCCTGACTAATGAAACAGCTGATCTTATATTTATTTACTGAGCTACATCGTGCAACGGCATTTCCTTACTTATGTTCTGTGTACTTTAACCAATGTGTCTAATGTTATTTTTCCATTAAGTTGTATATTATAATGAATAAAGACTGTTCATGAGTAATTTAAATTCTTATAGCTTTTGCAATCTTCCCTTGTGTTTAATGGTAGTTGGATTTTGTAGTGAGATGAATGACTTTTGTTTACCTCCCAGGATACATCAATTTGGGTTAAATCATATTTTGAATCAGCCAATCTTGTTTCAGAACCATAACAACAAACGTCTAGCAGTGTCGTTATACTCGTAAATGATAATAATGGTTTTAAGTTTTCACTTTTAAAATTAGTAAGTCACTTACCTAACTAAATTGAAACGTTGATCATTTGAAACAAAAACTGAATCTGTAAGTTTTGTTTAAGTTGTTACTTCATAAACCTTAACACTTAAAACTGAAAATCAAAACCGTCGTTACACTTTAAAATTTCTTGTTAACAATATCCTCTACCTTAGGTCGTACCATTGACTTTGGATATTACAAGTCTTCTCGTCCTATTATGAAGTCTTTAATCTGATGTGTGTTCCCGCCTGGATACATAGAAGTGCACAGATAGGCCTATAGACTTTCCTTTTCATATTTTATCATATTTTACTTGGTGTAGATTTAACAATGTAGTGCTTTACTTTTTTACCCAATAAATAGGCCTACCACAGGAAAATCAATAGTTGATAGATCATTTTATTTGGTTAGTGAAATGAATGGTAAATATTTACCCAACATATACTAAACAAAAAGTAACATATCTCAAAATGTATTAAGTTGATTCATATAAATGATTTATCAAGTTAAATTCTGTGGTCGTTTTGAAGCTCAGTTTGAATGCTGTTTGGCAAATGTGGTTTAAATTATTGGACAACTGCGCTTTCAGCACTAGTATATTGTGCTGGAAATATAGTTGTGACGAGCAAGGATGAGCCCGAGCAGTGAGCACTGTGCAGGAATTCCTATAGCACAGTGCACATGGTCATCCTCCAGTGTTAGCGTTGTAGTAGATGGGGCGAGGGAGGTGGTGTTTGACTTTGCCCTACATACCAGCGTCTAGTGCTAGACACCACTTTTGCCATTGAATGTTTCCTCCGTATCTTACTTCTCGCTTCTGTATCAAATCGCTTTCTTACTGTCAGTCTTAATTCAATTTACTCCTGTTATATCTTCAATTTTAACTTACACAATTCAAGATGAAGGTTGAAATATAAAAATATGTTTATAGTAACCAATCCTCAGACAGGCTCAGTTTCAAACATATATTTGTCTTTTAAATTATTATATATTTCACTTTCAATCAGGTTCACAACTGAATCAAAACCAATTTCTGTGTTTATGATTATCACCTTAGGATCTTGGATTCTTTTGTAAATCTCAAGCATTCTGAAACAGAAAAATTATTAGTTAGCTTTGTTTAGGTTACAATAATCTTTTTAATTGAGATGAGCCCTCAAAAACTGAACAATAAATTGTCTAACTCAAATTGTTCATTATATGAGTTAACCAGTTCAGTTCACTGAAATTTAGCATGTTAATAAGCTAAATTTTAAAACTCACTTAGGTTTCCAGCTGTTAGGATTTCTTGTAGTGGCTTGTGGATAATGAAGGTTGTCTGGGAAGTAGGTGTAGAAAACTAGATCTGGTTTCAGTAAGTCTTCCGGAAACTTGTACACCGGATCTCCAGATGGTGGGAGGGTGGCGTTGGAATTTGCTTTTGAAATAGCGTAAGCGGCCTGGTCCATCCAGTAACTATGAAAAATAGGTTTTTAATTTCTCACATGTCTTTTTTAAATACATTTTATTTTGATCAATTTACATATAATTGCAAGTCTGTTCTATTTTTCGTCCTATAGTCCATTAAAAAGTTTTGAAAGTTCCCCCACTAATTTTTTGTTCAATGTATGTTGCAGCTGATTTACGTAGCTGTTGAGCTATTGTTTTAAAAGGTGGGATCAAGTGGAGGGATGCCTACCTTTCTACTTTTTTCTTTCAGTATTGGTTTTGTTTTGTTTAGACTATACAGTTGTCTGTGTGGAGCACATAGCAATAATGGCAACGCAAGCATAATTTGATAGATCAACAGTTGGAAGCTGTACAATGAAAATATTATGATTCACAAAGTCTGTCAATGTTTCTTGAGACTGATTTGCAAACCAAACTATTTCAACTTATTGCCAACAGACGGCAACATCGAGAGCTGCGATTGCTGTACAATAACGCAATAACGTTACCCGTCTAGACTCACATTGTTAGAATCTGTTTCGGGAAAACATGTGCATTTCAATCTTAAGATTGTTAAAACGGAAGATTTGACTTTGGTAACACAGTTTTTCATTTATATTTTTTGATGCTTTTTAAAAACAGTCTCTTGTTCAGTGCATCTGGTTGGAATTAATATTTTCCTATACCGATCATTCTGAGGCTATAAACTATAAAAACTTGTGTATTATTAAACATTAATTACTGACCCATTTATCACTACTGGCCACCTGTTGATGATTCGATTGGCTGTGTAGGCCGAGCCGTACATAGATAGGTAGAAAAACGCTTTTCTGATGCGGGTTCCATATTGAAACATGTCTTTGAGATGGAACAAACATCTGGGTGGATTGTGTAAAATCCCGGCTCCTATTCGTTTGGCTACTCTTCTTGCTATTATCTTTCTACCTAAAAAAACGAGCCTCTATAAAAAGTCAATCCTAAGTGTCACAGTGTGCACACACACAACACTTACATACACACACAAGTCCATATGACGATCATAAACTCAATTAGAGAACTAAAGAAATTTTTGTTTACATGAAAACACATTGTTGGTGTTTGCTTAAGTGTCCTTTAATTCCATAAGCTTATGTATTAATTTCGTCAGCATATAAAATAAGGTTGTCACAGACATTTTTAGGCTAATCATTTATATACAAAATAAAGAGTAAAGGTCCAAGAAACGAGCTTTGAAGAGCACCAACTATAATCTTTTTCCATTCTGATATCAACTTTTCATTATTTTTAAAAATTACTGTCCTTTGAAAACGATTTGTTAAGTATGAAGTCAACCATAAAACAGATTTTGTTTGAAACGGTTTAGCTTTACCAAAAGGATATCATGGTTGACACAGTCAAATGCCTTGGATGGGTCTCAAAACACTCCCATTGTGCTCTGTGACCCATCCAAAGCCCTAACTTACTTATAAAATCTGACGAAACTTTCATTGTGCTTTAACCCTTTCTAAAACCAAACTGTTAATTAGCCAAAGTATTGCAATTCTCAAGAAAACTTCAACATCCTGAACTGCAAGCTTGTCCGCTAGACTCTTGGACCCAGATTGAAAAATCGTCCATGATCGATCTTGGAGATCTGATCTTGATTGAAATCAAACCAACGACCTCAGATTTGTAAGCAAGCACTACCACTCGGCTAATCAGACAAAAATAAATGATTCCTAAAGTAGAGTTGACTCAAAATGAATAAATAAAAATCTCAAGTACCTACTGGTTTTGTGGTTTCCTTCAATCGCAATAAACGGGTTCTCTCGAGTTCTTGTCAGAGGAATATTGTTTTTGCAGCCATATTCAAAGGAATACAAGACTTTCTGTGATAGCGAAGAGTTTACGTACTGCAACAAAACACTGCTTTGAGATAAGTATTTTCCCGTTGTTTGCCAACATTAAACATAATCCTTTATAAATTTATCATCTCTATGGATTGGCTGAAGGCAATTTTAAGGTAAGATTCTGCGCAGATAAGAGGAATTTTTGTTGTTTACAGTTTTACAGATTTCTTGTTACTTAGTTGCTTTCCAATTCCACACCAAATGTTAGCGAGATATTAAAATAGCTAAACACACTACTTTGTCTCCTCCCTAGATCTCTTCAAAGGTGTGTTTCATAACGATTTGTACATTTTCTTTCGTTTACTTTTTTTTAACAAAAATATCATCAAAACAACAAGAATGCTTAATTTGCATTACTGCTGAATATTGTATTGTACCTACTGTACGTACAAGATATACAATTTAAGATATTATTTTGTCATGCTTGTTGAACTAATGGATTCTGTAAGTTTTTAATATAAATTACCTCTTCTGTCTTGAAACATGATAAAACATCATCTAATGAGTAGAAAATTGGAATTTGTATGCTTCTTGTTTCTCCTGTAACATAACAATATTTTTAAACATTTAAAGCACCAAGGTTTATTTTATGTAATGGACATTCCAACATGGTGCAATGCAAATCTCTTATTTGTATTTTTAACATTACTGGAAACATCATATTTTTTGTTTACAGGTTGCCCTAACTGTTCTCGTGACTCTTGTGAAGGCGCAGAAGAAAATTTTACTCATTTGATAGCTTTTTGCATTTTATGGATTGGAATTTCCACTTGACGATTTGGATTTGGCCTCTCGTAAAGTCAAAATTAGTATTTAAATAAAAAGCGTTTTGTGGATTCAAAAGTTTTTTTTAGTACAGTTTAAGTCAATGAAACTCCCATTTAAGGTACATATCTTAAGCTGGGTTTTCCTAGGCGCGGAGTCGGCGAGCGGAGAGAGGAACGCGGAGAGCGGAATTGAAATAAACATGGCATTCCGCTCCGCTTCTAGGAAAACAGTAACATTAAATTGCCTAAGACAAGTGGAGTCCGCTCTCCGCGTTCCTCTCTCCGCTCGCCGACTCCGCGCCTAGGAAAACCCAGCTTTTTGGATCCTTGGAACTGAAGTTGAACGTGGAATGGATTGATACCTAAAATCTTTTAAATAAATCACCATCCAAAAATAGGATTGACCTAGCTATTTCAGAACATATTAAAAAAAATCATGATTCACAATTAAAGCTTATTGCAATATGGCAAGTACAATTTCTAGATACTCATTGGTTTTATTGGGCTACGTAAGTTGATAAATGGATATTTTGTAAAAATGTACACAGGTAAGTTAGCATAGATAAAACATAGTCCCTTAGTAGATTTCCCATCCTTATGGAATAGCTGAAGCCAATTTTATTGTTAGTTCTGTCTGGTTTTCTGTAGATCTTGTGTTTTGTTTACAATTTGTTTCTTGTTATTTCAGTAATTTAAAACCTCGTTTAACCAAATAAAACTATCTAATCATTAACAATAACTTGTTCACTAGCTATATAACCAAACAGTGAGCCACAAATAATGAGAAACTAACCCTAAAATAATAGAAACAATTTGTAAACAAAACACGACATCTACAGAAAACCGGACAGAACTAACAATAAAATTGGCTAAATTCAGCTGTTCCATAAGGATGGGAAATCTACAAGGGACTATGTTTTATCTAGCCTATGTCATTAGGTAATGGTGAGTTTCATGCAAAATCAATTCATAATATTTTTACTTACATTTAGAGTTTATTAATTTTAATAGATTGTGTTTAAAATTCAATATAATTGTAATAAGTAGCTCTAGATTAACTATTACTCGTTTTAATGTGTTTCCCTCTTTGAAGTTTTCCAGGGTCGAAACCGCATCCTGATACACGGGCTGTCATGATGTAAGTATGTGAAATGAATCTCGTTTACAATCAGTGGGAACTGTTGAATCCCTATAAAAGTCAGTAGCTTTTTGTTGGTTTGAAACTGGACCCAGCTGTCTATGATAGATAAATGATCCTGACTACTGAAACAGCTGATCTTAGTCAGTACAAAGCTACACAGATCATCTTACTCTATTCTACACTCATTATCCTTCACTCAATTTGATATTGAACCCTAGGTCAATCAAATAAAATAAAATCAATCAGGGGGGGGGTAGTGAGTGTTCATGGAGAAAATACTGAACATACCCACACACTCTCCTTTTCATATAGATTAGGTACCAATTAAGATGGGGACGTCACGTATGAGCGTATTTTAACCCAAACATTAGTGTAGAATGGAGTGAGATGATCTGTGTAGCTTTGTTACTGAAGCTTTGTTAACTGACTAAGACCAGCTGTTTCATTATAAAATAAACTGTATGACTGGATTGTTAAAAATCCCTTTTACAAAATTGATGATTTTTTAAGTTGTGAAATAAATATTAGATTTTGAAGAGTAGTTTGAAATAAAGCTTTTATTTTCATGTATGTGGCTATTTAAATTTAGATACATTGTACTGTAAACACTGAATCACCTTGTAACTATATATAACAATGACGTGTCCTATTTCTTTTATAAAGATCAATGGAAATAAATATTTCTTATTCTAATTAGTGAGGACCATTTATTAAAAGCCCAATGGCCAAGGACAGCTGGGTCCAGTTTCGAACCATCAAAAAGCTACAAACTTCTAAGATACCTTTATTTTACTCTTTATATGTTAACTAGATGTACAATAATAATTTTACTAAAATGTATTTCAAAAAACTGTATTTAGCTCTTTTAACACATTTTGTGACTTAGACTGTACATGAACCAAACATCCTCAGGTTCAATATTAATCATGCAAATTTCAAACAACACCAGTTGTTTTTCATACTTGATCATCATTAGTTGCCATCTCTCCTTGATGATAAGCAACAGCATTTTCAGTGGAGGGAAACAAACAATTTACTGGAAATGTATTGAAGAAATCGCACCTCTGCATTTGCTCATAAACTCGGCCTGTGCACTCCGCAAGACACACTTTTACTCCCTTGCTGTTGAACTTGTCAATAAGAAAAGTCAAATATCTAATGGCCTCTGGATCTATGAATGTGACCGCTGAAAACACTAATATCACAACCTTCACAGGTCCCTCCTTACTTGTTTTCCTGAAGAGATATTCAATTCTATTTAGACAAACGTTCACATTAGCGAAGTGTAAGCCCGCGTAGATCTGCACTATCATGATTCCTGGTATCGGTTCGGCAGTCAGGTATCTATGCATCTCCAAATACAAATCTTTCTCAGGAACTCGACCCAGCAAACAAACGTATGTCTTCTGATTCATCAATATAATGGACAAAAATGCTATAACTAAAGCGATTACAAGGCCGTAAACTAAATCTAGTACGATAACTGATATGAAAATAACTACCCAAATCACACCGTCCAAAGAAGATTGCCTCCAAATAGTCGGTAGGTCAGTCACTTGTAGTAATGTGGTTTTCAAAGATTTGATCACTAAACCACCCAAAACACAGTATGGAAGAGGATCCAAACATTTGATTAAAACCATTATGAGTATTAAGCATACGGAGGAGAAAACCGTGACAAGTTGAGTTTGTCCACCGGTCGAGTACTGGATCACACTCCTTGTGAGCGAAGCCGCCATCGGGAGGCAGGGGAAAAATCCTCCGAAAATGTTCCCCACCCCATAGGCATACAGTTCCTGGTTTGAATCTATACTGTAGTGTTCCTTTGTGGCGAAAGTAGTTGCCATTGAAATGCTAACCGCAAAACAAACTGCAGCGATGGCAAAACTATGAAACAAGAAGTGCGGATCCATTATCAGTCGAAACTGAGGAATCTTGGGACCCGGGATTCCATCCGGAATTTTTCCAACAACATTAATGTTATAATTATTTTTCAAATCAAACAAAAATGAAACCAAGGTACCGCAAATCACAACAAACAGTTCCCCTGGCAGCTTGTACTTCCAGTTTAGCCACGGTTCTACGCAGTCGGTGCAGACTAAAAGGCAGAGAACAACCAAAAGTGATATCGCCAATGCCACCAAATTTGTTTCTGCGAGTCGTCCTGTCAGTTCGTAAACTTCGTAGGCCGCACTTAAAATACCAAAATGTTGCTTTGGTTTGACACCTAAAACATGTGGTAGCTGAGTAACCAGGACAAGAACCGCAGCTCCTGTCGTGAATCCGCTAATGATCGGCTTTGACAGAAACACACTTAAATGCCCCGCTTTGATGATTCCGAGGAGCACTTGAAATGTCCCCACAGAAACACATAGCATTGACGCTACTTCTATTGGGGAGAATCCAAAATCATCTTCACTCACGTCAAAAATGCCATCGGTGACGTTATCTCTTACCAACGTTGAGTATTCCATGATTGGTCTTGCAGCCATTACACATGTTATGGAAAATGAGCCGAGAGATATATGTTTGGAAGTTCCCATTACAACATAAGGTAAGGTGGGGAACACAGCCATGTATATACCGACGATAGGGTTCACATGTGCTAAAGTTGCATAAGCCATTCCTTGAGGTAAATGCATCACCGCAACTGTAAACCCACTCAACAAATCTGACACAAAATCTGCCTTGCAGTTGTATGCGGGCAGCCATGCAAAAATGGGGAACAATGATAACAGTACAGTTTTTATACTCCAGTCTGACTTTGTTTTCACGGCTTTTATAAATGTCACACTCTTCACCTCTTTGTACCTAAATTCTTCATTGAATCCTTCCTGTGTCTGTGGATCTGTAGCCAGAGGTCGAATCATGTTTTAAGATAAGAACTGTTGTGCTCACTTTGAGGAAAAAATATCATTTTTGTTCCCACAGATTCGTATATGATTTTTATTAACTTATAATAACAAAATGAATTCAAATATTTGTTTATGAATACATCTCAGTAAATAAATCCAACTAAATTACTTATGAATGCAGTTTCTTCAAGAGAAAACATTTTTATAATTAAAACAAAAGTTTGGATCATAATAAACATTAACCTCCAAAACATTGTATGTTCCAGCTGATAGCTTGGTGTTTTGGTTTAGTCAAGTCTTGAGTTTACAATAAATATATGATATTTAAACAATTAAATGGCTCTTAACCATTATTTGCAAACATATATATTTTACATATTTTACAAACTATAACTGCATTTTCAATGTATCTGTTTATGTCAGGCCAATATAAAATTTGAATGGCCTTGTATAATTTAACTACAATTTTATCATTGGCTTTTACATACCGGAATAGGATTCTTTGTGAACTAGCTGTGCTAAATCTGTCATTCAAATAGAAATAGTAGAGTTGTGAGACTCTGTGAAAATAATATTTTCTCTTGTAGTTTTTGGTACTTTTCTGATGTGACATAGAATATGACATAGCGTACAAAAATAATTATTAATTTTTAGGTACTTACATTACCTATTAATATACAGTATACTAATCAATTAGTCAATGGTACCATTCAACAGTGAATCATGCTTTAAGTGTGTATTTTAAGAGTAGAATCATAGATAAAACATACTCCCCCAAGTAGATTTCTCATCCTTATGGAACAGCTGAAGACAATTTTATTGTTAGTTCTGTACGGTTATATGTAGAGGTCGTGTTTTGTTTACATTTTGTTTCCCGTTATTACAGTCATTTAAAACCTCGTTTAACCAAATAATACAATATAATCATAAACAGTAACTTGTCTCCTAGTTATATAACCAAACAGTAAAGCACAAATCAAGAAATTAACCCTAAAATAATAGAAACAAAACTTCGTCGACACTAGCGCCCTGTGTGGTGTACATGAACTAGACATGAAAAACGAGCTTCAAAATTTACAATGGGATGAGAAGTCTACTTGTGTTGGTTAGTCTATGGTAGAATCATAGCTTCCTTACAAGGATGTTGCACCAGCTGGTTTATTGCCACGGTAATAACAGCAATAACCACTAACCAGTGCTCGATTTGCGGCAAAAATGAGTTCCGGCATCTCTCTTCCAGAAAGATAAAAATATTGGCATAAATAGGTACTAACTACTAAATGGATAATACAAGATCGGGCCACTCATCCTACACTCATCCTTATGGGTTAAAATACGCACCTAGTGGCGTCCCCATCTTAAACAATTGATAATTGGTCATTCAGTGAAGTTAAATCATATCAATAGTAGAACAACAATTTATAAAAGCTTACCTAAACCTTGAGAGAAAGTTCTGGGTATGAAGTTTAACAATAACACAACACTAATTAGTAACAAAAGATACATTTTTACAACAAACAACTTTTTTACTCTGTCAAATAATACTAGAAAAGACTAACCCTACTGTTAATTTATCATTTTAATCAATCATTACTGATGACTATGACTACACAAGTTTTAATTGACAAATTAGTAGTTTATGTAAACATAGATTAAAATATTGTCTGTTTGTAATCAAAGATAACATGCCCAACAAAAACAATTAGCTATACAAAATGTTGATAGCATTTCAAAAGATTTTTACAAACAGATATTATTCATTGTAGTTGGCTCTTTCTAGCTTTTACCTTTGATACTGGCCCTTGTCATGTTTAAAAGTTCAAATCTCAGAGTTAACATAATCATTTGATTTTCTGTGAAAAACTAGTAAAAAGTGTAAAATTTTTAAATTGAATAAGTGAATTCAAGGAATAAGCAACAACATAATTAGTTTTACCAAATAGTGCAAGCAAACAGGTTGTGACTTGATTATTTGACTTGGCTATGATTATCTTAATTCAATTCAAACTTATACATCTACTATTGTACTCATGACGGCCCATCTTTATTGGCCATCTTTTATGAGAGCTCAACTTAAATGATCCAAAAGTTTTCCGCTCTTTCAAACAAATCTGATTAAAAATTAAAGAGTTATTTTTTCAGTTTCTGAACTCAACAATGAATACTTTGCTTGAAGTTCATTTTTGTTGATGGTGGGTTTATGGTGTTGGAGAGATTATGCAGACATTTTCCATCACGATTAATAAAAATATTTCACGGTGTTTCCGGATCTGGAATCTGATCCCGTCCTCAGTTGAAAAAGTACAAGTACCTAAAACATATGGTTCAGCTTTTTAAATCCTAAAACGTTGTGAAATCTTTGTATTTTACTAATTGGGCTGGGAAATGTCAGCAATAATCCCTCAAACACCACCAACATTGAGTTTTCTTTCTAATGAGTAGATTTTTGAAACTTCTAAGATAATGTAAAATAGAATGGAAACTGCTAACCAATTATTGGTAAGTACCAATTTTATTGGTAGGGGTATTTTTAATTTCAATTGGAACCTTTCTACATGATCTAAGACCTCAATGTCTTTAGCTAACCAATAATGGCTTTGACTGAAGAACAGTGGGTGTTAAACATTAGAATTGAGTTTTGAGACTAAACAGATAAGGATTTTTTTTATTGATTACATTTTATAACAAAAAATAAAAAAATTATATCCTTTTCAATTAGAAACCAGTTACAGCATTTTTTTCACATTTCTTAAGGAAACGGTCAAAACTATGTTTAGTTTGCTTCAGCAGCAATTACAATGGTATATCTTCTCTTAATTTTAACCACACCTCAAATTTGCTATTGAAACCAAATTTGGTTACGATACTAAAAGAATATCCGTGTACAAATTTACACAGTAGCGCTATGTTTTACTCAAGAACATAGGGAATAACAAAAAGGTTAATCTTATATATAATTCAAGTTCTTGGACCTGAGATAAAAAAAAACAACAAAATTGTATTCAAATCTACACTTTTACTCACAAAGAGGACAATGAGTTGTAATTTATATCCCTGAACATTTATGTAACTGGCTTAATTCACTTGAGATGTCTAATTATGTTATTAACAAACCTATTAAGCCTAAGCGATAAGATTTTTGTGATAAGCAAAAACAATGTGGTTCTTTTCTAGTTTCAAAATGAATTTATTATCAGTTGTAATTTTATGTGTTCAGGGCATCATTGTGGTATTGGCACAACAATCACGTAAGTCTGATTTAACTAATTGTTGTCTTGATAAATTTATTTTATTCAACACTTTAAAATGTCGGTACTCAAATTTGAAGTTTGTATATATATATTAAGTAGTGGTGTAGTTGTAAATTTTCCTGTGTGGGAACACTCATCATATCTTGGGAAAAATATGGGAAAATAATAAATGTATTGGAGTTTTAGGAAACACCACAGAGAAGTAAGATTCAGAGGAAACATTCAATGGTACACTTATTACAGTACAATAGTACATAATGAAACCCCATTTGATTAAGCTGGCCGGCAAATAGCTGTTTTATGAACATAACTTAAGTGGGAAGTTAGTTAAAACATAGTAGTGTGGCATAAAAATTAAAAAATCCTCATAACTTTGGTTATAATTTAGCTGCAAAATAAGGTGATGAAATCAAATGAAATTGAATAAATTTGTATGATTATGCGATGCGGAAAAAGCTTCCGCATGTGCCTTCTTATTTTTTAAAGGCTAAGGTCCCGTATGAGGAAATGAGGCTAATAATTTATGTCAAGTTTTTAAGAATAGAGCTTTTTCATGCCAGATGTATTTTCATATATGTAAAAAAAAATAATAAATCTATTAACTTTTTGAAGAAAACTATATGAAAATTGTTGTTTAAAAATACAGCAATACTTATTTACCGTATAATGTGAATGGTAAGAATTCACAAAAATGATTTTTACTAATAAGGATAATTATTTTCAGATCTTGGCGATAACATTCCAATATTTTACAATCTAAGACAAGTTCTGGATGTTTTTCATTCAAAAGAAGTAAGTAATTTTGTACTAATATAAGTCTTGCTTGTTAGATATCTAGAGACTGATTTATACCTGCATTTATAATCTATCTATCTATAAATTTAATTCCATAAGCGAATCGATCCCCACGAAATATCTTTAGCTAGGAAAAAGATAGTATGGCTGTTGAGGATTCATTTTAAAGCTTAAGGTTCAAGGATGGTGGGAAAAATATCAGAAGTGTCAAAAATTACCCCTCTGCCCCTCAGGCCGTCAAAGATCGAGTAATTTTCTAATGGATGTACTGCTACAGTGTTTTATAAGCTGTTTTAAATATACCAGCTGATGTACACCATACATGAAACATATGTGTAAATGTTACATATTTGAATGTTTATTGATTTTAGTGTTATGTTTTTAGGTTAGAATGGTAATGCAGTGTTGACATGTATTGCGTTAGGGGAAGACGTGACTAAAATGTGTAAAAAAGTTTGCATATTTAATTTCACTTTGTATACCGTACATAACTAAAAAGCTACTAGCTATAGCTTACTTTAAGCCACTATTCAGTAATACTGCATAGACTTTTGGTAGTAGCTGACTCTTGAACTAATATGGTAGAGGTTGCACTTTAGTTTCTGACATTAACCACTGATGAAACTGATGTTCTAAACTAAACCTAACCTTAACCAAACATGCAGTGTGAGTAAATGTAGGACGGAAACTGAAGTGCAGCCATGGTAGATTTTAAAGTAAGGTTTTTTGCTTAGTTACAATTAAGTATACTGTTAAATTTTATTTGTAAAGTAAAAACATTGGCTTTTTTAGCATGCAGGACGACAAGATACACAACGAATTTTGTATGCTTTTGAAAACTACTGCTTCAGTCAGTACACAAGATCTCCTCCAGGGAAAAGGAAGCCGTTTGTTGTTGTTGAAGGGGATCATAAGACAAGTAAGTTAAACATAGGTTTACATAAGACCTTGCAGGATTACAATATTGTAAAATCAAAATCATTACGTTCAAACTATGATAGCTTACGGTGCAAAAAAGATGTGGAAGTGTACATATGGTTCATTGTCTTTTAGTAAACCCTGTGTTAAAGAATGGAACTGGTATTCTACACCACACCCTCTGTTAGTGGTTCAACCAGTGGCGGTTCCAAGGGGGGGTGGCTAAAGAACCCCATGGAATCCTGGAACCCCTGGTTATAAGATCCCATCTTCCCTTGACAAGGTCCTAGAACCGCCACTGCGCTCAACCGAACTAAGCAGCAACAATTTATCATGAAAATGGTTTGAAAACCGTTTGGCTTGAGAATTTTTAATGACTTCTTTATCAAAGTATATTCTTGTAAGTTGTTGGGTATGTTCATTTCATGTCTTTAAACTCAAACTCAAACTCTTTATTTGCCATATAAAAAAATATTACAAATTTGAGCATGGCTCATGTAACAGATAACAGATAGGCGCGCATGTCAATTATAACTAGAGTGTAAATTAATTATTAAAAAATCAAATATAATGGAGAAGATCTTTCAACACAGTATGTCAATTTTTAGCCAAAATAAAAGAAACGTAAAGTATGTGTCTTTCTCCTCTATACCAGTGTAAAAGAAGAAGAAAATACCCCCGCCGCAGCAAACCTGCCGACTAAGCGAATTTCCATTTGTCTGAATTGATTTTCAGTTAAATATATTTTAATAACATTAGGTTTAACGAGTACCTAGATTTGCTGCTACAAGGAAACTAATAAAGTGTGTTTTTGAGTAAAATATTGATAGCTTAGTAGAAAATAAATAAATTTGCCAAGTTTGATCAAAATATATCCATAAACAAGCAAACTACAACATTTAACAATATTCTCCATAAGAATAACATGGGAATTTTAAATTTACAATTTTTTTAATTTTCTCCGTTACTAATAATCGAACAAAACTACTTTTATATACTAAATTATTTGTTTTTTTAAGCACTTTAAAAAGGTCTAAAGATAAATCGGGAAATTTTGTGTTTTGAGGGTCAAAAGTGAGAAAAACCAATTTTTACCCCATAAAACCCCCCGTAAAGCCCCGTTCCCATGATCCGATCGTGCTGGTTCGCGAACTCATTCAAGTTTATCCCGCTTTACACCTTTAAACCAAATTTCATCAAAATCGGACAAAAATTACTCAAGTTATCGCGTTCACGGACGTATATACAGTATATATAAGTCTATATATATATATATATACATATATAAAAATTTGAACGAATGGTGTTTTTGGCCTCTGTGGACATCAAAATGTAAAAGTAAATCGGTCCCGGGTCTAGGTCTTACCGTGCCACCTACGGTAATAGCTACTTCCCTATAGGGAAATTCGCTAAAACAGGTTTTTCGGGAGAATGCTGGTCAAGTGGTGAAATGTGGGGTTTTATTCACCAAGGTCCTAGGTTCAAATCCTGTCAATGACCTTTTAGTAATTTGATAGTGCCCTGACCCTGGTGAGCAAACAATCAACACTTTGGGAAGCCTGACCCCTCCAGATAAAAAAGTAAAACGCAAAACACTGTAGCTTACTAGTTACCTAAAAAAATATGTTAAAAGTCAACATGTTAACACCACTGGTGTCATTTGATTCCTATTTCCATCAAGTAAATTTATAACGTAGTTTATGTTGTTTTAAACATTGTTCGCTTAGGTACCGACATCATCAGCCGAAGACTAGCCAAGAGGTTGGGCGCGACTTTGCTACAGAATGTTGCCAAGTGCCTGGAGGGGTACAAACGGGTGTTCCCTCAAGGTGACCCGTTACGTCGAGCGTTCTACGGGCTCTCCATGTACGCGGTGGCTCACAAGGCTAAACTGGTCTACCACCGGTTTCCGGTTGTAGCTAACGGGTAAGTTTGTCATTTGACTATTGAAAATTATTCATTTTCCTCTCATTGATTTTCCATCTTTACATATTTAACGGACTTGACCTTATGTGATGAATGGTTATGTTAGACAGTGACATGACCAGGATTTGGACCGATACCAAACAAAAAACATAAAAAATGCCAAAGGCAGTGAAAACACAAATAATAATTAAAGAAAATTTTAAATATACAAATATTTCTGTCCGGTATATGTATAATTTTTAATATATATTCAAGGTTGATGGACCATCATTTGAATCATCATGATCAAAAAGTATAAAGTATTGGTAAACTGCTGCTTGCCATTTTTGATTCTAACCAAAGAGCAAAACACATTTTGTACAATCAATATATATTATTCTAAATATTCAAAGTGTCTCGGATTAAAATTTAAACTCATATACAGCTTTGAACTTTTATAGGGATTTCAGCGTTGTTTAAGAGAACTTTTGATTACTTTGAATGGATTATTCTTCTTCCTTCTTTTAAAAATACTAAAACCGCTGTGGGCACTCCAACTCAAATCAATTCCATCCTCACCAACAAATTATTTGCCGGGATGACTTCTCTATCCTCCTACATGTTAACATTTCCTCCATATCTTTTGGCGTCTTCCACCACTTGTCATTCCATCTTATTCTTGGTCTTTCTAGTCTCCTTCTGTTTGACTTATTCACTATTCACAATTTGCTTATTACAGTATTGCATTTTCTACCTTCTTAATTCTTACAACACCAAACCACCTTCTTACTCCTTACTTAGTTATTGAACTAGTCACTTTCTTCACACTCTTATCATTGCATTTCCCACTTCTTCTTACATGACTGACCATCTCTTTCTCTTCTTGTCACTTGTTTTTTTGTGACCAAGTCCTCTAACACTCATACTTCTTATCTTTGGAGTTTCATCCCCTCTTCTTACACTACCAAGCCTCCTTTATTTACTACCCCCCTTCCATGACCTTATTCTCTCACTTCTTATCACAGACAATTTCCTCCTTCTCTGCTGTTTCTTTAGTCTACTTTTATGAGTCAAGGATTGTACATTTATTTGCACGGAGTTATATTGATTACAATACAGTAACTATGCATTATACCTGTTTAGGTACTGGGTTGAACAAACTGTCTTTGGTGTAGGTAACAAGCACGACACTGTTGAAGACATTCCAACCAGAGGATCTGCTGTGTATACCTGGCCCTCCGATCTTCTCAAACCCGACTTGTTGGTCTACGTCACCTTCCCTGACAACTTCCACAAGAATATTGGGACAACAAGAGCGCCGAACTCATGGAAACAGAGGTAATATTCCTTAAAGTTCTGGTAATCGATGATTCAATTCAGTTATGCCAAGCAATCTTATTATTAATAACAGTTTTGATGCATATTTTAAACTGATTATGAAGCTCAATCTATGAATACAGAGTGTAGCTTGGAGGGATATAATAATAATAAAATCCCATGTAGCACAGATGGTTGGGCCAACGTTGGTAAATTGTGGAGCCACACAGTTGGCCAACGGTAGAAATGTCACCTCTTTAAACTGTTTTCCAGCCAACCATTGTCCAACAATGGCCCAACCATCCAAAAATACTGATGGCCAACTAACCATAACACAACTAATATCCAACCAACCGTTTTATTTCACACAAAATAATAAAGATTTAGTACGAAAAGCATAATTATTAGTTGAGTAAATTGATTAAAATAGTTGATAAAAACAAATTTTGAAAAAAAGCTAGAACAAAATTTTTTTGGCCCAGACGGGTCTCGAACCCGGGTCCTTCGACTTATGAGCCTCTTACCTTACCACTGAGCTATCTGTGATTGTTGATATAGAGAGTTTTCAAGTGGTGAAAGAGTAGCCGACAGTTGCAATAGTCGCAATACTTCAAACATTTTTGATACTACACAGTATAATATGATTATAAGTAGTTATTTTTTTTTTGGAGTTAAAGAGGATACTGGTATTTGAATATAGATTAATTAATTACCGTTAGATTATTAATGCTATTATAATTGACTGTTATATGATTAATTACTCTTTCCCCTTAAATTGTTGCAAATAAGTTAATGAATATTAATTTAAAAAATATTTGCATTATTATAATTATTAAAATTCATTGTTGTAGCCCCGGAACTGTAATATATAAAATATCTGGTTTTACAATACCTTTATCAGTTCCAAAAACTTTTGGAAACTTTTGGAACTGATAAAGGTATTGTAAAACCAGATATTTTATTATAATTATGTTGTGAAAGCTAGACCCAGAGAATGAAAGTCGTGTAAACTCAACTATGGACCATCGTTGGTCCAACAAAAGTATCTTTTGTTGGTCCAACGGAGTGAAAAACGGTTGGACAACGGTTGGCTTGATGTATGATACCCAGCAATTCATATTAATGTATTTCATTAACAATGAACCAATGTTGGTCCACAGTTGTAAATATTGGTTGGCCCAACTACGAGATATACAGTTGGACAACGGTTGGTTGGTTGTGGAAGCTCCAACCAACCATCGACCAACTGTCCCACAGTTGGCCAACGTTGGCCCAACCATCTGTGCTACATGGGATGCCTTTATTTAAAGCGGTCTTCAGTCAAAACTGTACAAGTCACAAACAGTACATTTTACACAATAAAACATAAAACTAGCTTTAATTTGGCCTTAAATGAATTACATGACAGTCTTTTCATATTTCTTGGGAGCGTATTGTATGCCTGGGGTCCAAAGTATGAGAACCCCTTTTTCCCTGTCTCACGCCGCACTCTCGGCATTTCATCAAGCCATCCCGTCTAGTACAGCGTTTCCTAATTGATGTTCGAGGCATAAATTTCCTTTTCAAATAGGGAAGCAAATTAGGAGACGGTGTCTTGTGAACAATCTAAACAGTTTGTAGAAAACATTGTTTTTCCAAAGAAAGCACCTTAGCCTATTTGCGATAGGCAGATATGATCAAACTTCCTCAGATTGAAGACAAACCTTAGGGCTCGGTTTTGCAACCTCGTAAGAAGAACTCTACAGTCAAGAGTAAGACATTCACCAAACAATGGAAGTGCATAGTGAATTATAGGGAAGACTGTTGATCTGATCAATTCTAGCTTAGCAGTGTCAGATATTACCCCTCACAATCAGTGTAAAATTCTTGACCTATTTGAAACTTTATGTAACTAACATGTGAGCGAAAATTGAGTTGAGAAAAATGCTGATGCCTAACACATTAACCGAATCAAACACCAAAAGAGTTTGACCATCCAACTCTACCTTTCCAACAAGACTATTTTTAGGTTGCAAAATGGAAAAGGTAAAATGAAGTATAGTACACTTCAGTTTTAGACCATGATTGTCAGACCATTGCTTTATCCTTAGCAAGTCAGCGTTAATGAGATTGACTGCTTCATGAAAACTAAAAGGGGTGTGGGAAAGAACTAGTAGACAATTATCAGCCTAGGAATGTAAAGTGGAGAATTTCAGAATGCTATTGGGAAAGAACTAGTAGACAATTATCAGCCTAGGAATGTAAAGTGGAGAATTTCAGAATGCTATTGAGGTCATGCAAAAGTATACAATATGAAAAGTATTGGACCCAGACAAGTTCCCTGAGGGACCTCTACCTCTCTTTGAAGCTACTCAGAGCACCTACCATTCACCTTTGTCAGCTGGGATCGGTGACAAAGATATGAGGAAAACCATTTGAGTGTACTCTCATAGAATTTTAGAAACTTGAGCTTTTATATGAGCATGCCGTGATGAACAGAGTCAAAAGCATTTGAATAATCAAGTGACGCCATAAAGCTGTGCAACCTTTGGCCTGAAGAAGCTCATCAGTCATATTGAGAAGAGAAGTGCAGGTGCTGAACCCTCTACGGAAATCTGACTGTGATTCTAAAAGAATATCCGAATCCTCCAGGTAACTCCATATTTAATGGGGGATTAGAACAAATACAATTACCCCCACTGCAGGGAACCTGCAGACTAAAATGGATTTACATCCTCATTGGTATTTCACTTAAATATTCCCTTAAACCTGTCAGATTTATTCCCTGTTTAACATTAGGTTGAATGGATACTTGTAGGTTTGCTGCTACAGGAAATAATATGTGGTTTTTAGTAAAATCCTGTTTTGAGAGCCAAAAATGAGAAACGTCAATTTTTACCCCATTAAATCTTAAGAGCCTGTTTCCATAGTCCGATCATATTTATTTAAACTTGATGTTATTTTAAATATTTAAGAAGTTTGTATTTATGAATTGAGACATAAAGGTTTTTTTTCAGACTTGAATACATTTATCAACAGATTGAGGATCCACCAGTCATCATCAAATCCACGGCACAAGGGTTCGACAACATTACTGCAGAACTGGAAAACACTATCACAGATATGTTCTCAGACACTTTAGATTGTAATTTTACACCAAACGAAATGTGATAAACCTTTTATACTATGTTTCTATATGTTTGTGTTGTTGTTTATTCATCCCTTAACCAATGACAACGAAGTTTTGTAGATATTTCTCTATTAATATTTTTGTTTAAGGTTTACATCCTTTATCATAATGTATTTTCAACTTATGTCAATTTTTACCCAGAATAAAAAAAGAAAAACTGTGTGCTCCTCCTATACCAATGTAAAAAAAGAAAAAAAATGTGTTATGTGCAATCCATATTAAACTCACTAATATGGTCATGCTCGATATGGATTGCACATGGGCGGGATTCGAACCCACTCACTTCTAGAAAGACCTCAATGGTACACTTGTCAGTGCAACACCTTTGGCTGCTCTACTTTGGAAGCGGATTTTTCTGGCCAGGTTACTTGACCTGAAAAGACCCGGCAATTTTTTTAGCTCCCTAACCCATTTACAGTAGCCTACAGTATGCATTTTGCTCTCTATCAGAGCATTAGGGCCATAGCCCATCTGGTGGTGAATGTCTGCAGCCGATATCAAGAATCAAGAATTTATTTGTCATTAGATAATACAGTTACAAGGCTTCGTCAACACATAATTTTTTTGAAAAAGTCAAATTAGGTATTGTTTTTTAATGCATATTTTATATTCGTATCGTTTTTCTTAATTGCAATGACCGCATCAGCACCCTTAATATATAAATAGATATTCTTGTATTTGGCATATAGCTTAAAACCTTTTTTCAAACCCCTAAAAACCTCCTTAGACATGTATAAGGGCAATAAAGCAGTAAAAAAGAAGATTAAGGGGGAATATAACCGTAGGAATACTGGCAAAATAGTCAATGAATCATAAGAAATCATATTTTTAATTCTAGAATACATATTTTTGGTCTAAATGTACAAGGCCATTAGACATTTCATAAGTGTCAAATTAATTTTTGACTTTATATTAAGAAAAAATACTATGCGAGAGGCAAGGGCGCTCGCCCCGTACCCCTATAGGAAATTTTGGCTCTAATTCTAAATATGTTTTTTTTTAAACTGTGCAGTTGCTTTAGAGAACCAAATTCTTATCTTCTGAGATCTCGTCCTACTCCAAATCTTGGACAAAACCATGGAACGGCCTCCTGTTCTATTACAAAGCTGCAGCAAGTCAAAAGTTGTACCGGCCGCAGGCCCGGTCTACCGAAACAGCTGTTGCCCTAAATCATATTGAAGCTTCTGTACACTTTTTTTTTTATATTTACACATTTTTTATTACCTTGGCAAAAGACTGGCTGGTGCGACGTTGCCACACACTAACAGCCTTTTAAGCTATGGAAAAATTAAACTAATAAAACAAGTTATTGTTGTTTAAGGATAGAAAATAAACAGGGTAAGTTCTAATTGCGATTATGATTTTAATATTACATATGTATTATTTTTCCCTGATGAAAGGAACTTCAAATTCCTGAAAAAGAATAGCTTTTTTGTTCCTAAATTTATTTTGATGTACTCTTTCATTCGTTCTAAAGCTTCATCCCATCCCTTTCTGGTTGATATTTCTATTGTTGTCGGGTTTTGTATTCTTTGATAGAACTTTAGAAGCCTGAAAAGATTAAACACAAACCTTTAACAAGGGTTGATATATTTCATCACTAGGGCGTAAAGTGAATCTTTTAAACCCGAGCTCAAGTTTCACGATCGAGGCAAAGCTGAGGTCGGAAATCGAACGAGGGTTGAAAAGACACTTTTTGCCCCTGTGTGATTAACTATATTTTTCAGCGCATTTAAGCAAACATTTATTAATTTAAGTCAACTTTTACAAAACAAAATTATTGTTCATGTAAAGATAACATCTTAAAACGACTTCCAACATGTTTTGAATTTTGCTAATGCAAACAAGCAGCTGTTTAGTATGTGATTCAATTATTTTAGTACATCATTTTCGTACAGTTGTTACTATGGGTTCTAGTTATGTAGCTTGTAGGCTGTAACTATATGGCGCTCCCAGTCGTGTGCGCCAGAACCTATGTTAACTGCAGCACAGCTGACGGTCTATATTTAATTCTTTTTGTCTATGATTATACTATCGATATATCAAACTATTGACAAGAAGGCAACAATGAGCTACAGCCGATTTAACACAATTAATACATACTTTTGATACTTGAAATTTACTGTGATTTACCGTACTGTATTGGATGCTTAAACACCAGAGTATTTATCTTTCTTTAAGCAATGTGATGCTATAGCTGATGCTACTGACTAAAGTCATCTGATTCTTTAGCCTGAATTACCATTGACTATTGGATACTGAAGTAGACAGGGGTGTCTATGAACTATGTTCTTAAAAAAAAAAATGGAACAGCTGGTCCATATAGATGGGGATCTATATGGACCAGCTGTTCCATTTTTTTTAAGAACATAGTTATGTGAGCCATTCACAGACTGTGCTAGTGTCTAAAAATCAATTTTCTGACTTGTCAACGAGATAGTTTAGTGATTTAAAATATGCTATAGCTTACAATTAGTAGTCCTATTCATTTAACTTTGTAAAAAAGTCTACATATTTGACAGAAATCAATTAGTCATTTAAATCAACACAATCTGTTGGTGACTCACTTCAACTATGTCCACTTTGATAGAAAAAACTGTAGACAACTTATACATGGAAATTTCTAGTACTATAAATCGTCAAAGTTAAAATCCCAAACTTAAAATCCCAATGATTGATGCCCAGTTCATCAATGATTTTGTCTTTTTTCACAATCAAACTGGTGTGCACAAATTTTAACTACATCTTTTACCTCGGTTTCCAGTTGTTTGGGGCCCTTGTGGTGATCAGCTGGACGTGCATATCATCAGGAAAGTTGACGTAGAACACTAAATCTGGCTTTGGTAAATCCAACGGCCATAACGAGAAGACAGGATCTCCAGGTTCTGGTATGTCACTGTTGTTAAGGATAGTTGTTATGGCAAAACTTGCTTGATGATTCCAGTAGCTGTGGGAAGATTTGTTATTGAAATAACAAGAACAAATAGTCAAAAAGATGGTATCTGAAAGTTTTGGTTGCCTGCAATAAAATATATGCCAGTACCAGCTAGAACAAAAGAAATTGATTTATTGTTCAAGTAGTAAAGAATCCAAGCAATTGGGAGTTTAAATGTGAATTTTTAATCTCAGAACTAGACTTAGTTACACACTCCAGACATTGAAACAACCACGCGTATGTTCTTCAAAAATCCTATTTTCAAAATTACTTTTTCCCTTTGGTTCATTGGTACTTTTTTTCTTTATTTATTACCAGCTAAACAAGTCTTTTTAACACTCATAAAAAAGGTAAGCAAAACCTTTCTCTCTCCCTTTTGTACTACCACTTTATATCAACCAACCAACTGGAAAACTAAATGCAAACGTAATAAAGACATTGTGTTGAACCAAGTTGAACAGTCAATATTTTAAATCTCTGTGATGCATTTTGCTAAACTCTATTGTTTTTCCTCCATTTCTGTAAAGAATACCTCACACGTCTCTCCTGCTTTACTATTACACTTCAATAAACACCCTGGTCAACAGCATTTCCCTGAGAAGTAGTAATAAAATGATGATTCTTTCATCTGAAACATTTTGACAAATTTGTTGAACTAGATCACATTTGATTGATGTTTACCAAATCTTACTTGGACACGACTACAGGCCAGGTACGCAGTGATTGCATGCTACTACACCCCAAGGCATATACTGCCAAGGCGAAAAAAGCTCTTCGAAGAAGAAGTTCCTTTGTTATGAAAATCTTTCGATATGATTTCAGACAGGGAGGGCACATCCGGTAGTAGGAAGCGCTCAAGATCTTTGAAAACCGTTTGCTGAGAATTGAAGTGCCTGAAACAGTAATTCCACGTCTTGATTAACCAATGGTCAAGTGGCCTTTTAACATACCATGATTTTCATAGATCTTAAGGGTACTTGGCACAACATATTTTGAGTTACAAAAATCATTTACAGTTAAAACAGTTGCAGTGAAGTGGTTGACAATGAAATATTATGTTGTATTATTGAAATCATTAATTCTTCTGATTTTAGCATATTTCCCAGCTGTATATAGCTGTACATTGTTTGTGATTGTCTAACTTATGCTTGAAACTGACAATGTCATGAAATCTTTACTACACCATTTTTGAGCTAACAAATTGACAAAATGAGAATGCTGTATATTTTTCACTACACTAATATGAGTTGAGCTGTTTACGTTATGTGCTTACAACCTGCAAAATATCATATTTTCAATAGCTGTCTATTGCTTACTATTAAAAGTAACATTGTTTACAACCGAAAATTTTCCACTGTCAACAACTTAGTAACCTAAATACATTCTTGCTATCATTTCACCAACTGAAATGAAAGTGCCTGTTCCCTCGTCATTGAAAAGAAGAGCGGAGGAAGTAATTCATGATCTTCTTCCTAAAAAATCAAAGGAGGTATTTAATGTAGAGTACTAGAAATTTTGTTCGTTGCTGGACACGGAAAATGTAGAACGTGGAACCGTAAGTGATGACTTTATGCTGGTTTATTTGTCAAAGGTTTCAAAGGTTAACAAGCCAATGACTTTATTCCGTAGTGTAGTGAAAAGTATCGTTCAAAACTCGAGTGAAAGTGTTTTGCATGTTCTCGACCATTTGAAGTGCTTGACAAGTCTTACACTTCAAACATATGGTACCTCGGACCCCACTTTCCAATCTTGTTATGAAATATAATCAATATCAATATATCAATATTAATATCAATTAGTTAAGATGGGGACGGCGCTATGTGTGTATTTTAACCCAAATATGAGTGAATATATTTTGTATTTATAATTTATTTTGTTTTGCTTCTGTTTATTTTTTAAATTAGGAAATAATCAGCTGCTACCTGTATATTTATTTGGCTGGTTCAGTTTGTCCATTGACTCAAATAAGGTTTGTCCAAAAAACGTCATTGCATGAGATAAGTTTAAAAATGTATAAAAATACAAAACATACTTACTCAGCCTGTGATTCCCATCGAAAACAATGAAAGGGAATCTAGACGATTCCCATTCTTTTTTCTGAAGATCTTTAAAATTGGGACAACATTCACGTTCAAAAGTATCCAAAAGTGCCTTGACACAAGGCATCTGTGCATACTGAAACCAGTAAAATAACAGATGTAGATGTGAATGTGATTGACAAAGAGGACATTTACTAAACATAGGCATTTTAGTTAACTTGCGATACTTAATTACTCTCACATATTTTATTTGATTAAAAAATTGGATTTGCATAAGAGTGGTACTCTTACTCACTTAGAAAACATGCTTTTCCTTACTTTTAGTTTAACTTAGATTGATTCTCATAAAATTATCAATTCCATAGTTTAAGTATTTCTGTATACTTGAATTAAGTATGTTTTTTTTATACAAACAATAACTTTCTCTATCTAAAGCCTCATACAAACCAAGTTTAATCAAAACAGATCCTGGTTGAATTTGATTTTTCCACAAGATTTTAAAAACTATGAAAACTCAAATTGTCTTTCAGTACATTGAGTTCATATATGTATCATTCAGTACATATAATATATGTTCAGTACATGGTGTTTTCTCACAAAAAAGACAAAACAACATAAACTCTATCCAACAACATGATTTTTTTTATGGTTCAGATCAATTAAAAACATTATGTAATTTTAGGTCTAATATATTTTTACGGATATCTATCTCATGGTGTTACTAATTTCATCAAGAGAAGGAAAACCATACATTTATTTACCTTTGGAATTGCAAGGACATTCTTAACATCTTGGAGTGTGTAGAATATTCTGAGATCCCCAGCATCTCTGTACAGCAAGGCTGAAATAAGATAATAATAAAGATAATAAGATTTTCAATTTGGAATACTAGCCGACCCGTGTGAAGCATTCACACTGAATCCTCAAATCCCACTTATTGAGACACAACATAGGCCTACAGTTAATCCTGCATTGTAAGTACATTGTTGATTTTAGTATGGGTCCTTACTTCAGGAATAGAGTCTACGTTTTAAATAATTAACCTTTTCAAAATATAATGTTAAGCTATTTACATTTATACATGTTTACAGGACTTATTTGAACACTAAGTTGTTTGAATAATATGGCCATACACAATTTTTGTTTTGATGGCTTTGCTTTTAAATAATCTTCACTGAAAATCGCAACCTTGACAAAGCCACAAAAACTGATGTGTAAAAAATAGATACTTCCTTCGTTTGCGTCTGTCCATGTGCCTTTTTTAAAGTCATGGCAAAGGTAACTTTTAAGGGAAATTCCTTCTTAGTCAGGTTGTTAGGATTACGGACTATTGTTAGTATGACAGTTTGACCGGAGTCAGCCAACTTCACTTTGCTAGTGTAGGTGCCCAAGTGAGCTACAACCAATCTTGGATCATGCTTAGTTTTCTCATCAACATGATAATAGCATAGATAAATCATACTGAATAGTTGATCATCTCCTTATCATCTCTCTTATCATCTATCTTATCATCTATCTTATCATCTCTCTTTTTATCATCTCCTTTTTAGTTTACGAGGTTAGTACACGAGGTAGTATGAGGTAGTGTATGAGATAGTTTATGGGTTTATGAGGTATCGGACCTAAAGGACTTAATGAGTAAAAAAAAAAAAAAAAAAAAAACTCGAATGGATACAACAGAGCGTTCTACGTCTCTTTGGTAAAGAACCGAATCAAAACTTATGTAAACTGTTTCCAACAAATTTGTAACAAATTGGTAACAAATTTGACACAACATACAAAACATTCACACAACATTCACAACATTCATTGACACCTGTAGTAATGAAAATAGACTGAATTTTTTATTTACTCATTTAAAAGTATAAATGAATAACATATAAGTTAGTACTGGTAGATAAAATCTATACTTATTTAATACGCAAGCAGGTTTTTTGTGACAATTACTCCTCCGAAACTACTGAACCGATTGACATGTTTTTGGTGTCATTGGAAAGAGCGTAACGTGAAGTTGTGCAGGAAACTTTCTTTTTAGGGAAATAATTAGAGAGTGAGGCCCTGGGGCCCTTTAAAGTTTCGTATTTCTCCATAAGATTAACATGGGAAACAAACATTGTTATGAAACTCCAGCTGTTGTCAGAAATTAAAAGTGAGAATAAGAACATATGTTAATTGGAAAATTGTGACAGAGAGGTTATGCAGAAAATCAGGTAGTTAATGTTTATTTGGTGCTATTAAAATTAAGACCAAAATTTGTAAACGTACTGGCGACAATGGGTGATACCATGCAGACTACATTATCATTGACAAAAACCAACATGGACAACCTATTGCTGCTATAAGTGGGAAACATTTCTACAATACACTAAAAGCCAGATCAGCTTTTGAAAAATGATAAAATATTTACAAGAAATGTTGATTATATTGAACTGTTAAGTACATTGTGAGTATTATCATTAGTTACGTAATCTCTGAGTTGACTCTTTTAAACTCATCAGAAATTATGACTTATATTTGTTCTTAAATAAGTTATTTGTTTTTAAATAACTCCTTTACTTCTTTGCGATTGCTCGATTTCGAGCAACTTGTATGACTAAATACAACAACATAACATGTTATTTAAAAACCAATTTAAAACATATCAGTAAATGTTTATGTGATAAATTGTATGTTGAATTAAGTATTGGTGTGTTTTCATGTGACTTTTAAAGGAATAACTTTTTGAAAATAATTCTGTTTTATTTCATTAATCGTATTTCATTAATAATTATACCATTAATTATAAGTCTTTAATTTGTTCTCAAAATGTATTTTCTATTAACCAACTTGCTACATAAAATAAGTAATAGGTTAGTTTCAAGCAACACAACAAAAATTTCCTAAAAATGTCAATACCTGAATTTTCTTCACCCCTGGTAAATCTAAAATTTACTACACAAAACCATAATAGAAGTCTTTCAAATATGACTCTTGGGATGTAATTAAACATTTTTATATATCTTGATTGAGATAAGGTGTAATTACTTAATAAAGGTGTCCCTGATATCTCAATTTGATGTGAATAACTGTCTTATCTCTTAGTTATAAATATCTTGTCACTAAAATAACTATTTAAATCATCATTACATACATTACATTTGTTGTTTTTGGTAAACATATATTTTAACATGCAATTTTCAAATATTATTTTCTTAATTGTGGATTAATTCTTACAAAGTTTTAAAATTAAACCTTTTGCAAGAAAAAATAAAGTACAGTAATTAATTATCAATTAATTACTATCCTATTAATGAAATATTGTAATGAAAAATTCTCATGTTTAAACAGCTGATTAGCGCCTTAACTGATTAACAGCTGAAGAAGTAAAAAATAAAGACACACATAATAATCCCATAAACAATTCACAGATGTAGACCTGCTGTTGGACTGCTTATAAAACTTTATTTTATTTATTTCTCTAACCTTTAAGTAACTGCTTTTGAACTAGATCTACATGTTATAAATTATAATTGTTGATTTAAAAATAATAATAATTATTGATTAATTAATCATTATATGATTACCTGAAGAAAACCACTTAAAGAATATATTCTTTTACTAACCACTATTAAAATCTTGTTACTGTATTTACACAAGTTTTGTAATTTTTTTCTTAAAAACCCAATTCAACCTCCGAAAAAGCAACTTTTTATTGCCAGTCCACTTTTACTTCTTATCTAGTTGATCTGATAAAAAATCTGTCCATATCATGATGACTTGTGTAGGGAAAGATCTGTAGAGTTTTATACTCTAACTTGTTATAAACAATGTTTTTTAATAATGAGTTATTAGTCGTAATCTTGTTTTGTTTTTTGGATACGATTTCAATGGAGGAAGATCCAATGAATGGTAAATTGATTAATTGTATTTCTTGCGAAACTGTTTTATGATTATTATATCTTATTTACATTTACAATTCACCCGTTGAAAAACGATCTTGCATTTTTAAGAGGTTTTGAAGTAAGAACTGATATTTTACAGAAGTATTGATTTAATATTCAAGGAATATTGAATGTTATGGGCTACTTAATTGTTTTTGATTTGATATAAAATACACAACTATCTACCTAAAACTCAAAAACCACTATGCAATTGTATAGACTAGAGTTATCATTCATACAGTTAATATTAAAGTTCTCTTTTCTCTTTTTTTCTTACTGTGTACTGGTTACTTTTTTGACAAGAATTTTAATGGGAATGGGATAAAATTTAGGCTGTTTTAATTGTCAGAGATATTTACCATATTACCCCCTATTTTGTTGATTGTATACTGATATCATTTAAGTTATGGTATAACGTTTATTAATTGTTTAAAAACTTAAATTAAATCATCTACAAGCTACACATATTTTAGTAGTTTTTAACTGTTTTACATCTTTTTACATATTTTTACCTAGGGAGCGATGTGTCTTTTTAAGAGTTAAATGTTTACTACGACTGATAAAATACAAGCTAAGCTTTATAAATTGTTGCATAGGCCTAAACACATAACCAAATTTTCAGGAATTGTTGATGAAGACCCTAGAACACATCCGATTTTTACTTCACTGGCTCAAGTTCTTGATTTACTAGAAAAAAACAAAGCGGTATGTGCACTATTGTAGATTTTTTAATAAATATTAAATACATTTTGTAAATTTTGTTGAAGTCATCCACATAACACGTAAAACAAAACAATGCTGCTTGTAGAGTGATTCATGTTAATTAATCAAAGCATTTTACTTCAATGTTAAACTGTGGTGATAGATCATCATCATACTTTGATTGGATTTTTTAAATGCAAACTTGGGTTGAAGAGGACAGGTTTTCCCTACTTGACGAGTGACAACCATTTCACCTAAGTAGTTACTAAAAAAAAAAAAAAACTATATGTATAGATTGCAAAAACTGCCCTAAAAAGATATTGGTAAAAAGTATCTAAAAACCAATAGATACGCCTTTGTTTGCTGCTTGAACTTGTTTCTCATAAATTAGCCTACATTGTATAAAGCTCCGCTCTGAGTTTTCGATGTTCTCTTCCAACAAATACCAGCTGTTCTCCTGCGATCTTAGTTAACATTATCACAATATTGAAGAAATAATTCACCACCGTGTACCGATTGCGGTGGCGAGATATAACCGGATGGAGAGCTCTTCCGGACGTCCTAAGCTCCCAGAAGAGATGCCAGGAAATAAGCCAAGTAAGTCATGTACGATTGGTGAAAATTCTAGTGTGAACACATCCACTTGGCATTAACTAATAGCTGAGGACTTTTATTACATGAATTGGTGAAAGGATGGGACTATATAAAACACTTAATTTTGTCACATAGTAAAAATCCGTCCATTATTATTCGAGAAGTAGTTTTTCATAGAAATTGCCTTCTATAGTATTACACAATAGACATATACACATATTATATAGATTTACTAGCTGGCCCGACAGACGTCGTCCTGTCCTAATGTGGTTTTATGTCAATGCTCGTTCATTTGCAAGATGAGCTCGTTTGCATGGCTCAATCACCTCCTGGTTGAAGTTCGTTTGCTACGCTCACTCACTTTTAGGTTGGAGCTCGTTCGCTGCGCTCACTTGCCTTCGGGTTAGCTCGTTCGCTACGCTAACTCGCCTCCAGGTTAAAGTTAAAAAAATAATAGTGCTGCACCCTGTTGGTAAATTTATTAACTTTTTAATGCTATTGAACATTACAGAATCAAATTGTTTAGTTAAACCAGCAGTTAAAATTATTTAATTCCATTTAAATATCAATACTCATAAGGTTAACATGGGAAACTCCAGAGCCACTGGGGCGGAGCCCTTTTGACGGATCTGCACCAAACTTCACAGAAACCATTTTTGAATAATGCTTAACAATGCCTGAAAGTTTCATTACAATATGTCGAGCGGTTTCGGAGTCCATAAAGGACAAACAAACAAACATACATTGGATTTTATATATATAGATTACTTATTATAGCTCTACTATGATTCACATCAAGTTGTGAACTATAGTTTTGGAAAGTCTTTCAAAGATACAAAAACATTTGTTTGTTGCAGTACCAGAGCGATCTAGCAGTCCAGCAGTTGCTGTTTGCGTACTTCAACCAATGTCAGTCGAAGACCATTAGTTACCTACCTAGACCTACCAGGCGTCCATTCATTGTAATTGAAGGCCACCACAGAACAGGTATGACAGAAGGATAATAAATATACGGTATCAGCAAACTGACACATACTTTCTCGTAGTAGCTTCTCAAAAACCCTTATAATCGGTTAGTAGATATTTTATGGGTAAAATTACTAAAGTTGCAATAACTTTTGAACCTAATTTTTACAACTACATGGATTGTACCATTTTGTTTAGATTTCAAAGGGCTATAACATAATAAATTTTCGTATTCTTCCTTTATCTTATGGGTAACTTGATACTGTAAGATCTCCCACTGGAAATGCAACTGCGCCGTGGACATCAAAATAGTGACCTATTTTTATTTTTCCAAAATACTCTACCAGTATGAGAAGTATAAAATTTTACTCATTTTACATCGCTCAACGACAAACAGTGTAATTGTAATTAAGTTCTATTATTGTATAGTTCATGAAACTGGGAGAAACAGTCATTTCGTGAGTGTTTTCATTGGGGTAGAATTATATCTATCTATATATTAATAGGCAAGCATGTTTCTTTAAAACCTTTTTTCTCAGCTCGTGTGCATCGCAGGGAAAATCTAAGGATACCGTTGGAAAGATATTTTCATGAAGAAGTGCAGAATCCCTTTAAAAATTAAAATAGGCTCAAATTTAAGCACAAAAAATGGATTTGAAATTTTAAAAAAAATTAACATGGGCGTAATGGGTTGCCATGCTGGAGACGAAATAACAACAAAATATAAACAGATAAAATCAAAACAAATAGAATAAATTACAATCACATGTTTTATTTACAGCATGGGGTAAAAATAGAGAAGCCTGTACCTTTACATTCAATCCCTGTTAAAGTTGTCACCAGTTTTTTTTTAATTCGTCGTAGTTGATGTGAGCCACCAACAGGTTGCGCTGATGTAGATGACTAATATCTGATGAAAACACGATGTTTTTTACCAAGTTAAACTTATGGAATGACTTATTATGAGCTATATAAACTATTATGACCCATCAAATTTGTCGGCAACAAAAATAAGGTAGAAAATAGAATTTAAGACACGCATTTGGTAACTGGCTTACACAACTACAGTTTTTTAATAAAGAAAATAGCGACAGCTGGTCCATATAGATGGAATGTCTACTTCAGTATCCAAATAGTCAATACGGTACGTGTGCATTACATGTTTCTGGTCGATTTTCGACCACTGGACGACCACTAGTTATATATTAATAGACAAGCGTGTTTCTTTAAAACCTGTTTTGCCAGCTCATGTGCATCGAAGGAAAAATCTACGCATACTTTTAGAAAGATATTTTCCTGTAGATGTGCAGAATACGTTCATAAATTAAAATAGGCTCAAAAATAAGCACAAAAATTAATTTAAAATTTAAAAATTACAAATAAAGAATTAGAGAAGAAAAAAATCAAAAAAATAACATGGGCCTTTTGGGTTGTCATGCTGGTGACGAAATAACAACAAAATATAAACAGAAAATCAAAACAAACAAAAGAAATTCCAATCACATGTTTTATTTACAGCATGTGGTGATTATTCATTAAAATCAGCAGTACAAATACAATTGAGATTTGCTTCCTATAATCAATGAGGGGAGTTTTTCAACAGTTTTTGATGTAGATTTAAATAACCACTTTATTATCCTGCTCTGCATTGTCGTTGCTAAGGACGGGCAGAGCAAACTACTGTAGTAATAATTATTATGTACCACCTGTCCACTCTAATATTAGATAAGAATTATACAACCCTGCAGCTCCAGTATGTGTATTTTGAGACAAAGGGGTTGAATCAATGAGGTTATAGGTTTGTTACTGACTTAGACCAGCTATAGTTCGGCCGCTTAGAAAGCGACCTCCTCCAACATTGGTTTATCATTAGCGCGCAGGTGGTTTTCTAAGCGGCCGAACTATAGTTCTTTAATCAGGATCATTTGTCAACCATCCATTCAGCTATGTATGATTTTATACTTTATACTTTATACTTTCTTATGAAATGGCGACCATACTATGTAGGTATTTTAAGCCAAGTATGAATGGAGATGAGTGTAGGATTAATAAATGCAATATATTTTATATGAATCATTGGTGATATTCACTGACAAAGTGATCGCTATGATTTCCAGCCAAAAGAATGTTGTCGATGAGGTTATCCCGGAGACTAGGGGCCAGTATGTTCAGCAACCCACCCAAGTGTTTGAGTTCTCTCAGAAACTTCTTCCCGACTGGCAGTCTACTTCTCCGAGCTTATTTTCAACTCTGTGCTTACGCCTTGGCACAAAACACAAGGAGACTGGTGAACATATTTCCAATTGTCATCAATGGGTGAGTCTTACATACTCGGTTCACAATATTTAGGCGGTTTGAGGGGAAGTTCCCCCAAATTTTGTATGTTGCTTAATCAGCTGTTGAGTGATTTATTCCCCTAAAACCATCTAAATATCATGAACAAAGTATAGTCATAAAATCATTTAGATTACCTTGTTGTTGTAGCCTCAGCCGGTTTCAAGTTTTTTAAATTGTGATAAAAAAAATTTGTAAATATTGAATCTTTGTTGTAACTGTATTGAGAAATATAATGGAGTCATACATAAGACAAATTTTGATTAGATATTTTTTAATATTAAAAGTTTTACATTCAAGAAATTATTAGAGAATGTAGGTAGAGTATCCTCTCCAAGAGCCATTGTTGTATTCTCAAAAGGGTATTTCTACCATTTTGGTCTTTTCAACCCTTGGAAGTAGGTGGAAAAGCTTGCTTCCGATGTTTCCCTTTGGTTAGTGCTAGATAGCGGATTATTGCAATGTTTTTGGCATTTCTTGTGTTATAAAAGTGTGTTTCTCCTAGTCTTGCAGGACTGTGAGATTTTAAAAAGCAGAGTACCTCACTTGTAATTACAATGACACCACAGTACGTTTTTTCAGCTTAGAAAAATGATTAGGAGTCAAGTGGTGGTTGGTCTCTAACCTTCTTGGGTGTTAAAGTAGGCGTTTAATTTTCTAAAATATGAATTTACATAAAAAATATCCTCAAGTATTGCAACCTTAGCTGTCACTATCAATCCCTTGTTCATGATAGAACATCGATATTTAAAACAGCAGTGAAACTGGGTAGAAGTTTTTCAAACATGTCAAGGACTAAAACCGCTCCCCATTACAAACCGGTACCGTTTACATAAACTCTTGTCTCAGTCGGCTATTTTGGAATATATACTGATTAAAACAAGATTTCTAGGTACTGGATAGAGCAGCAGATCTACGCCATCGCTAGAACCTACGGCGAGGATGCTCCCCCTGAAGGACATCCCATCTACCAGTGGCCCAAGGATCTCCTCAAACCTGACTTGATATTCTTTGTAGAGTTTCCAGACAACTTGCACAATGAAAGCTTGACTACGAGACCACCCAACGCTCTGAAGCATTTGTGAGTACTGTTAAAAGTATTCTCTGTAAAGCTGGGTTTTCCTAGGCGCGGAAGTGGAGAGCGGAGAGAGGAACGCGGAGAGCGGAAAAGAGATTACATGGTGTTCCGCTCCGCTTCTAGGAAAACAGTATCATTTAATTACCTAATGTTATAAGACAAGTGGAATCCGCTCTCCGCGTTCCTCTCTCCGCTCTCCACTTCCGCGCCTAGGAAAACCCAGCTTTACAGATTCGGCATCCATATAAATCAGCTGATGACAATATACAGACATTGACAACAAATTTTACAAGTAGACTTTTTGTCCTATTACAAAATCTGATGTTTTACATTGTATTTCATGTTGATGTTTAAGGACTTGAGTTGGATCAAGGGGTTTCTCCTATTTTAGAGTATATTTGATGGTTTATTTATTATTTGCCAATCTTTAATACTGTGGGATAATCAATGATTCATAAATATAACGTTTTATTGAATTCCCCACACAGGAAATAAGCTATTTCTGAGTTCTCTTTGGGGCCGATTTACTTTTGTTTGACGTCCTCAGAGGCCAAAAAACCGTCCGTTCGGATTCATATATGTAATATAAATATGTTTATGTCCATTAGCACGATGTAACTCCAGTATAAGTGATTAAATTTTGATTTAATCTGGTACAAACGTGTAAACGGTATTTACCAACGTTTATTCAAACAAGTTTCCGTACCAGCATAATTAGACTATGAGAACAAGGTTTATGGGGTAAAAATTGGTTTTTGATTAAGATTCAATGACTCAGTGTGGTTTAATGCTTACAATTTATTTGACTATCTTCGCTTCTCAGAATTTAATTTCATATGCTAATCCAAATCAAAATCCAGTTTTGCATGAGGTACAAATACTGGGGAAAACATAAGGAAGAGTCATTGGGGCAATCATTCACCATCCAGTCTATAGTTTCAAATTTCTCACCATAACTACAATAAGCTCTGTAACAATGTAGGACAGTTCATGATCAAATAAAGACTCAGAACTCTATTTTGAACAGATCCTTGTCAGCGCTCCACAAAATCAGGATTCCAGAGAGAGAGATCATTGTGATCAACACAACTTTGGGCTTGGATGCTGCGTTGAAGCACATGGAAGGTATCATCGAAGAAACAATCAGACCGAAATTCCAATACCATTGGCTCAACACCACCAGAGGGCCAACGAGGATACATTTGAAAAATATAAAAGCTAATAAACAAATCTAACCAGCTTATTTATTTGTCCTGTATACATTAAAAGTGTAGTAAGTCTCAGATACAGTAGGTTGTTTGGATTGTTTTAATTCTGATTTTTCCTTATTGGTGACAATTTTTTTTGAGTAGTACCTTTTGTAAAAAGGTTACTCTGATGTGGCGTTTAGTAAAAGCTAATGTCTTCTATACATCACCGTACCTAAAATTGATAAAATTCCCTTACAAAAACACTGTATTTATAACTATTTTGAATATTTACATTTTTTGGGAACAGGTAGTAATTCCTGCAAAGCTGAGACCGTCAATGTTACAGAAATTACATTCTTTTCATCAAGGCATAGAATCAAGCTTAAGACGAGCCAGAGAAGTGATGTTTTGGCCAGGAATGACTTAAATCGACTGTGGAAAAATGCTGAACATTTATAGCAGCAGATGGAAGATTATACAGACGTAACCATCGATTTGTTCGAATCTTCAAAAGCCCTTTAGTGGGGAGGCGAAAGGCCAAAATTCCAAAGTTGGCTCACCCCAAAAGGTAACCGGTGAACACTATGCTAGATGATATTGTATAGTAGTAGAGATGATATTTTGACCGGTGTTCACTCTGTATGAGTGGGACTCTCTTTTCTGGACGCCATTTTCCAAAATGGCGGATGTCACTGTTTGATCTTTGTATAACTCAAGCAAAAATAAACCGATTTTGATTAAATTTGGTATAAACGTTTAAACTTACATTCATTCGAACGGGTTCACGAACCAGCATGATCTGATCATGGGAACGGGGGTTTATGGGGGTTTATGGGGGTTTATGGGGGGTTTTATGGGGTAAAAATGGGATTTTTTTATTTTATGCCCCAAAGCACAAAATTTTCCTATTTTTCTCTAAACCATTTTAAAGAACTTAAAACAACAAATCATTTAGAATATTATCGTATTTTTGTACCCTTATTGGTTACGGAGAAAATTCAAAAAAGTGTAAATTTAAAATTCCCATGTTATTCTTATGGAGGATATTGTCAACTCTTGTAGTTTGCTTGTTTATGGATATATTTTCATCATACTTGTTAAACTTATTTATTTATACTAAGATATTAATATTCTACTAACATTCACGCTTTATTAGCCTCCCTGTAACAGCAAACCTAGGTACTCGTTAAACCAAATGTTATTTAAATTGAATTAATTTAAAAACGAATCAGGCAATTGGAAATCAATGAATACAATGAATACAATGAATTTATTTGGCCAATCAACAACAACATTGTTACAGGCTATGTCAATGAACAAGCATAATGTACAAGCATAAAATAAAATAAATATCAAGAGTTAAAAATCAAACCAAGCAAAAATCTATCAAAACTAACCATGTGAAAAAAAATATGTTCAAGACCATGCACAAAAAGATACAAAGCAAACAAATGCAGTTCATGCAAAATGCATGCACTATGCAAAAACAGCAAACAGGCTGTTCAGAGGAAAACTTACTTAACTAACTACAGTTTCAAAAAACTCTTTGAATTTGAAAAAAGGATTTTCAATCATCCAATCTAATATTGGTCTAATATAAACGAATCAGGCAATTGGAAATCCACTTAGTCTGCAGGTTCGCTGCGATGAGGGTATTTTATTCTTGACATTTCTTCTTATACCTAGTGGTTCAGGAGATATAAGCAGTTAAAGTTGGGATTTCCTCCATGTTAATTAGATTGATCCGTTTTAACTGTCACCCTAATGTATCCCGATGGGCCTTCGCACTTTTCTATTTACAAAATTTATCTTATATTTTTTTAAATAATGGACCTCAATACAATGAGACATTAAATTAACTTTTATTTAATTATTATCAGTTATTACAATAATATTTCTTTAAACATAAATTATTTACTGTTTGTATTTAACTTTATTCTATCGTGCTTAGTTTTGTAAAAATTTCGGATTGAACAGAGCGGTAAATCCTCATTCGAAGGGTTCGGCGGGTGCTAGCCACCCGCGGCTGTCGTAGCATCGCATTCGTAGTCCAGTCATAACCATAGAACTAACTAATCTTATAGTTTTATACATCAATGGTCATAACTAAGCTTATACCCCTCTGATATGATATCCTTCTACTTTCACGTAATTAGAAGAATTGTTACAGCCAATAGAACCGCATGTTGACATTTTTATGTCAGGTTAATTTACTACAATCCAATTCTATAGGTTTTACACTAATACAGTGCAGTCTCTATAACTCAAATTAAATGGTGTAGCATAATACTGAAACTAATTTTATATCGGTTTTAATAATGTTCTTGTAGTTTATTATTAATGTATATGATTTATTCAAGTTGTAATTTATATGCCAAGCCCTTAACAAACACATCTTCATTTAAAAAGGTTGTCGTGTGATACTTCAGAGTAATCTTTGGACTACTACAGGCATATGTAATGTGTTAGCATAGGTGCGGTAGCTTCATGTACAAATTTACCGAAACAGAAAATTAACTAAAAGATTTCCAAATATACATTTTAGTACAATTTGACCCACACATTTATTTTTTGAAAAATAAATTGGACCAACATTGTACAACGGGTTGTTTGTTGCCTATCCACCAGTATGGTGTAAAACGTTCTCAAAAGCAATATCCAATGAATCTTATCTATCGATTTCGGTACATTGCAGTCAAGAATGTACTGTAAATCAGGCTGAGGTAGACGTGTCAAGGCTATTACGTAGAATTGTAAAGATTAAGAACAATTTAGGGCTTGTATGTTGAGCCATTTTCTATAGAGAGAGTGAGAAGCATAAATAAGAGAAGCAAATGGTAAGTAAAGGAAAAAGAGATGGCAATTGCTTATAACGATGGGTTAAATTCATGAGGTTTATTGATCAATAACATTTACTCATGTTTTTATTTTGTAATCTATAATATTTTTTTTTTTTTAATTTATTTGTAAATAGGGTTATTTGTTTATATCAATGCTCACTCCGCACAATTGGCAGACAAGAGGCCGCATACCAAGTATTTTAACTCATCGGGCGAATCTGAGATGTGCCTGATAATCTAGATTTGTTATTATATGTCAAGTCAAAAGTGTAACGAAATAGCACAGGAAATACATTAGGATTAGGTTGACAGTTAAAACGGATCAATCTAATTAACATGGAGGAAACCCCAACTTTAACAGCTTATATCTCCTGAACCACTAGGTATAGGAAGAAATGTCAAGAATAAAATACCCTCATCGCAGCGAACCTGCAGACTAAGTGGATTTCCAATTGCCTGATTCGTTTTTAAATTAATTCAATTTAAATAACATTAGGTTTAACGAGTACCCAACAGGGAGGCTAATAAAGCGTGAATGTTAGTAGAATATTAATATCTTAGTATAAATAAATAAGTTTACCAAGTATGATCAAAATATATCCATAAACAAGCAAACTACAAGAGTTGACGATATCCTCCATAAGAATAACATGGGAATTTTAAATAAACACTTTTTTGAATTTTCCCCGTAACCAATAAGGGTACAAAAATACATTAATAAACTAAATTATTTGTTTTTTTTAGTTCTTTAAAATGGTTTCGAGAAAAATAGGAAAATTTTGTACTTTGGGGGCAAAGAATAAGAAAATCCCATCTTTACCCCATAAAACCCCCCATAAAACCCCCATAAACCCCCGTTCCCATGATCAGATCATGCTGGTTCGTGAACCCGTTCGAATGAATGTAAGTTTAAACGTTTATACCAAATTTCATCAAAATCGGTTCATTTTTGCTCAAGTTATACAAAGATCAAACAGTGACATCCGCCATTTTGGAAAATGGCGTCCAGAAAAGAGAGTCCCACTCATACAGAGTGAACACCGGTCAAAATATCATCTCTACTACTATACAATATCATCTAGCATAGTGTTCACCGGTTACCTTTCGGGGTGAGCCAACTTCGTTATTTTTCATGTTTTACTAAATTTGCCTTCCCACTACTTGAAGAACCTCTGAAGAAGGGGGATGTATCTATGTTGAATTTAATATTAGTTGAATTTGTAGCAGCTGGTTAATATTATTGTTTATGTTAGTGGTTGCTATGTAGTGAATGATTCTAAAAAATCAATATACATATTAGTTTTACTGAAGTCTTTACGATTATGTATTAAATAGTTAACAGACACGAAAAGCGAGTTTCAAAATTTACAATGGGATGAGAAGTCTACTTGTGTTGGTTAGTCTATGGATACCACTTCAGAAGTTGCAAATTTCGATCAGCAGGATTTTAACCCTGACAATCAATACAGAAGTCACACCTCTATAGAAATCTTCAGCACACAAATTATTGTTGTTTACTAAAAACACAATATTTAGTAGTTAGACTTTTGAGTATGTTTTATAGAAATAATTTTAAATTAAAAACCACCTATCAAGCTTTAAATTAATTAAACTTTTTAAATTAATTAAACTTTTTAAATTAATTAAACTATTTAAATTAATTACGCTATTAAATCTGACATTGTCAATTTGAAATAATCCACAAATTGGCGATTGTTGCACCAGATAACTTTGAGTGTCTAAAAGGTTTGAAGTTTGTTATCAATATTTGTTATCTGCGAGAGCTATAACCTTCCTAATATCTGAATCAACCCACTAGAATTGCTCTGACACACCTAAGTTTTGATTTATAGATGATACCATTGTTGGCATCGGAGCCATGAAGTGTGTTTAGTGCTTGGGTGGACAGTTACTTGGATATTTAGTACCAGGTATAAATTTTTCTGATATAGTACGGTATATTTATTTTGGTAAGCATTTTTTTTTTCAAATAACATATTCATATTCATTCGAGATGGGGAGGCCACCTATGTGGGTATTTTAACCCAAATATGAGTGAAGGATGAGTGTAGAATGGAGTGTGGTGATCTGTGTAGCTTTGGTACTGACTAAGATAAGCTGTTTCAATAGCCAGGATCATTAATTTAAATCCCAATGATTAGAGTTTACAAGATTTAATGGGAAGTGAGACAATCCTCTCCCATGCAAATACAAACAACACACTTTGCAGACAGTTGCTTTCCTCATAGTAGTTTTCCAATTTTTTTTTGCAAATTTGTCATCTATAATATTAAAACGAAACAGGGTTTTTTTATTTCACGATTCTAAATCAACCACTTGACGGATTTTCATGATTTTTGTGTTTGAAAGAAAGATAATTTTGAGAACTAGGGAATGTCGAAGCCATAATTTTTGTTTAGGGTTTCAGTTTTTTAGAAATTAAGTTTAAATTTTCAAAAAGTCTAGCAGCCGACGGACGAGTTTAAGTCGTTTTAGTGGTGGTTTAACTAACAGCTGGTTTCTAACTGTCATTGAAATGTTTATGTTACAAGTTGTTTGTATAAAAAAATATTGATCGTCAGAGTTTGCCTACACACTATTTCACTTTAAATTGTAGTTTCTTTCCTACCGTAAAAGATCTATATTATCAGGAGGTTGTTTAGTTTTGAACTAAACATTTTAAACGTATAATGAAGTTTTGTCATAAATGCAATCCGTCTAAGTATAAGTGCTTTAAAACATAAGTGGTTTACGTGTTGATACATCTTTTTCTAGATGTTTAAATATAAGTATGACTGCATACAATACACATTTTATTTGTGATGAAAATGTCAACCGGTGTAGTAGGTCTCCAGAAAACTGACCAGTAAGCTGCAGGGTGTCAGTAGAAACTAAAATTGATTCATACCATATCATAACCATCCCAGTAGTACTGTACGATTCAGAAATTTGATAAAGGGGTATATTTCAAAAGTAGACAAAAAGGCTCGGATTTCGGATGGGCTAGGCAGGCTTTGCATGGCGGCGAGTAATATACTTCAACTTTTAAAAGTGTATTCCAAGGAGTACTACAAGGTAGACGACCACTTGGAAGACCAAGTAATGAAACACATCTTCAGACTGGTATCTTCCTTAGAAATGGCAAGGGATAGAAGAGAACGGGAGGCCAGGATCATTTTAGAGGTTTCAGTGGCCAAGGTGGTAAAATAAGGTACGGTAAGTGATAGTATGCAGTGGAAGGTATTATGTAGCTACTGTACCGTACTCAAAGCCAGTGGTGAATCGTCCACCAAGTTGTAAACTAGCTGTTCTGAATCATATTCAGCTTTAATTGACTTCTCGATTCCCGTACGTAGGACGGGCCAACAGCTCGTAGTCTTTAAACTAAAAATAATTCTTTTGTTATACAAGGTTAGGCAAAAGTATGGAACCCCCTCTCATAATTTTAATAGGTTATTCTGAAAACTAAACTCTGCACTACTTTTAGCGAATTTCCCTATAGGGAAGTAGCTATTACCGTAGGTCTCATGGTAAGACTTAGGCCCGGGACCGATTTACTTTTTCATTTTAATGTCCCCAGAGGCCAAAAACACCATTCGTTCAAATTTTTATATATGTATATATATATATATATATATAGGTATATATATATATAGATTTATATATATATATATGTGTCCGTGAACACGATAACTTGAGTAATTTTTATCCGATTTTGATGAAATTTGGTTTGAAGGTGTAAGGCAGGATAAACTTGAATGAGTTCGCGATCCAGCATGATCGGACCATGGGAACAGGGTTTTATGGGGGGTTTTATGGGGTAAAAATTGGTTTTTCTCACTTTTTACCCTCAAAACACAAAATTTCCCAATTTTTCTCTAAACCTTCTTAAAGAGCTTGAAAAAACAAACAATTCAGTATATCAAAGTGTTTTTGTACGGTTATTAGTTACGGAGAAAACTAAAAAAATGGTAAATTTAAAATTCCCATGTTATTCTTATGGAGAATATTGTAAAATGTTGTAGTTTTCTTGTTTATGGATATATTTTGATCAAACTTGGCAAATTTATTTATTTTATAGTAAGCTATCAATATTTTACTAAAAATACACTACTTTATTAGTTTCCTTGTAGCAGCAAACCTAGGTACTCGTTAAACCTAATGTTATTTAAATAGATCAATTGAAAATCTTTTCGGCCAAATGGAAATTCGCTTAGACGGCAGGTTTGCTGCGGCGGGGGTATTTATATTGTATAATAGTACTTTATTTTAAAGTCCTTTATAACTAGATTGTACCATATGACGTCATGTGGGTTCTCTTACGCTGGTACAAATTTTAAATGCCCGTCATTTTGCTCTGGGTTGAGATAGAGACCTATGGTTTTTGCTGAGGTTCTTTAATAAACATCTTTGAAATGAGGTATGATTTTTTTAGCTTCCCCGAAATGCCCCATTTTGGGGGGACACAAGTAAAATTGTCAAGCACTTCCAAAAAGTGCACTTTTTATGTTATGTAAGGTGTGCCGAGTTCGAAGGTCTCCGTTCTTTTGGCTAACCATGTATGTCTATTGTCAACTACCATAAAAATTAATCATTTTTGATAAAATTTTGAACAAACAAATTAAGTAACCAACGTCTTATATATTCAGTTAAAAAAACAGAAGCTGGACAATTCTAATTTCTATGGTAAAAGGGCAATTGAGGGGGAAGATTGTGTCCCAAAATAAGTTTTTGGGATCTCTTACTTGCTTTTATTAATCAAAATTTTCACAACTCAATTTATCACTAAACATAAACAATAATTTAGTGCCTTACGATTTATTCTTGCTTGTGGTTATCACAACATTCAGACCTTGACAATATTTTCTCACATAATGTCCTTATGAAGAATAAACTAATTTATAGATGGCTAGTTTGTGGATGTACCGTATCTATCTTTATAACATTTGGGAAAATGCTTAAGCACATAGTGGATTTTACTTATTCTTATTAACTTTTTAAATTCTCATGTTTCTATACAAAACATTTTAAAATGTATAAAAGAAAATTGTATAATAGCACCAAACCTGTTGAATATAATGTCATTTACTTTGTATGTAGTTCAAAGTATAATTGTCTTTTATTTTGAACTGTTTTTATCAAATCCAACAATAAACTAGAAACTCAATTAAAATGTAAGTATGCTGTTCTGAAAAAATTGTCTTTACTTATTTGAAATTGATATTAAATAACATATAGTTTCAGAAAAATTACTGGCTACATCTACACAAAATAAAATCCTTGTGTGTAGAGTTAATAGAATTTTTTAATGGGATTAAAAAAGAACAACAACTTTTTCATAAGGAAGATCAAATTTAACTTGTTATTGAATGCTTTGAGCTAACCAGTCCAGTTTCGAGAGATTTTTATGTGTTCTCTCGCTCTTCTTATCACTTAGATTAAACTTACCAAATATTTAAACATGGACATAATTTCAGACCAGGAAGAGAAAATGGTGTTCAGAAAGTCACTGAAATATAAAGTATCCGAGGAAAGAATATGGCCTTCACAATGTGTAAGTTTAAAATAATATCTTGTAAACATAAGTCGTTTGTAAAACTTATCGTAAGCTATGAGGATTAATAGTGGTCCTACGTGGAGTAGAAGTAAAAGAAATCCCACTTAGAATAACAGATCTACCAAATTAAAGTGAAAAACAAGAATTTTTATCTTGCAGGAACTAATAATATGTCAATTTAAAACTAATTAAAATTACAATTCACAGTTTTTTGTAATATTTTTTAACCATTCTTTAAAAGCAGTTATAGCGAAATACAAAATATTTTTCAAATTTTTGTGTCGTACATTTTACAGTTAAGCCCACTATTACACAGTCCGCTAAATTTCACAGAGTTTTCTTGCCCATACAAATTAATTGTTGAACACAAATTGATAGTCAGCTGTTATTTAAGTTTGTAGATATTGACAATTTGAATGTCTGCTATGAATATATTTAAGTTTATAGATTTTTTAAATTCAAAAGTCAGCTGTATATTTAAGTTTATGTTTAAAATTTTAATGTCAGCTGTATATTTCAGTTTATATAGATGTTTACAAAAGTGTGTCAAAACTGGAAATTGGAAAGAGTGTAAACGGTAATTACAAACATTTAAGCAAATAAAGCTAATAGCATCAGAGTTCAGTATCCGCTAAAGCGATTATCTGAAAAGTGTGCACTCATTCGGTTTACTTAGGCACACTGTTTCAAAAAGATTGAGGATGGGAAATTTACTTTTAGATCCGCAGTGCGTGCAAAAGTGGCATTTAGAATAATAATTGTTTACTTGAGTTTTTCTATGTTTGTCCTTTCACAGTAGTTTATGATAGTTTAAGTTTGGTGTCCGGTTGATTTAGTCTTATCTGGCAAATAGAAATCTTAAAATGGCTACTTCTTCACAGTATAGAAGGGTTCATGATGAAGAACTCACTGAGGTATTATAGATTATTTCCTACTGCATTGTTACTCTAAAATTAATTATTTAATAGTTTGATTTTTAGAATATAAGTTAAAAAAGTGATGGATATCATGTATTTTATAAAACCATTATTGATGGTAAAACATATACAATAATTGATTTGTCCATATATTTTCTCTGATAAGAAACAAATACAAAGTTTCATTCATTTGTAAACAATAAATGTTTGTAATTCTATTTAGGGCTTGTACAAAAAGTCAGTTATGTACCTATAGTCCAGTAAATAGAGACAAAAATAGGGGGGTTAACTTACAAACGGTCCGGTAAGTCTAAATTTTTTATATGTTGTCTAGGATGGTAAGTAGGTGTTTAAAATGAAAAATGCACAATTCTCCACCCTCCGCGCCCGCCGCCATATTGAAAAATCGATAAAATCTGTACTTTCTAGAGATTTTCGCCTATATCTCCGTTTTGGTGCGTTTTAGCGAAATATATGTAATGTAAATGTTGTAGACAATTAAATTTCCTATAATATAAGTATAACAATTTGGTTTTAAGACTTATGGTTACGAAAATATTTAAATTTTTATACAATAAAACATCATTTTTTTTGTTATTTTGACAAATCTCTATTAGTCCAAGCAAACTAAAAAAACTGACACAGGGAACGTTATAAAATTGCAAGAAAACGTTTTATGGTTTTATTTTGTAGTGTTGGGTCTGCAGAGTGACATACTAAAAGTTGCCAAAATCGGTCTACAGGAAAACCCCCTAAAATCACGATAAAAAATGGCGGCTTTTCTCAACATTGGACAATTTTGAAAAAAATATACCACATGCATAATTTTATTCAAAATTTTGTGAGATATTGAATTGGGACGGCCACCGAAGTTTATTGGGTGGTTAGTACTTCATTTACACAGGGAACTCATTTTTGGCCGCCATCTTGGATCCGCCATATTGGATATAAATAAAGAAAATTAAATGCAATGATAACGTTGTGACACATCATTATAAACCAGATTTTCACGCTGATTTCAATGCCGAAATCCGTTTTTAAATATCTGTTTACGTTTTGAAGATATATTCAAACGAAAACTCTCCCCCATGCATTTCTTATGGACGTTTCGTACTTGGAATGTTTTTAAATACCATTTTTCTTATATCTCCAGTTCTTATCAACGCTTGCAGTTCAGTATAGCCTTTAAATATTCTGTGATGTAAGCGCTTTGACCTATTAATCATTGAAATCGAACGAGTTTGCGAAGAGCTACAATCCCCAAAACAATAACAAAAATTTTAAAAAAAGTTAAATTTCATATTGTTTTGGGTTTGTAGCTAACTCGTTCGATTTGAACGATTAATAGGCCAAATGAAAGCGCTTACATCACAGAATATTTAAAGGCTATACTGAACCACAGAAAACGTACTACTATAACCACTGAACTACAAGCGTTGATAAGAACTGGAGATATAAGAAAAATGATATCTAAAAACATTCCAAGTACGAAACCTCCACAAGAAATGTATGGGAGAGAGTTTTCGTTTGACTATATCTTCAAAACGTAAACAGATATTTAAAAACGGATTTCGGCATTGAAATCAGCGTGAAAATCTGGTTTATAATGATGTGTCACAACGTTATCATTGCATTTAATTTTCTTTATTTATATCTAATATGGCGGATCCAAGATGGCGGCCAAAAATGAGTTCCCTATGTAAATGAAGTACTAACCACCCAATAAACTTCGGTGGTCGTCCCAAGTCAATATCTCACAAAATTTTGAATAAAATATGCATGTGGTATATTTTTTTCAAATTTTTCTAATGTTGAGAAAAGCCGCCATTTTTTATCGTGATTTTAGGGGGTTTTCCTGTAGACCGATTTTGGCAACTTTTAGTATGTCACTCTGCAGACCCAACACTACAAAATAAAACCATAAAACGTATTCTTGCAATTTTTTAACGTTCCCTGTGTCAGTTTTTTAGTTTGCTTGGACTAATAGAGATTTGTCAAAATAACAAAAAAATTGATGTTTTATTGTATAAAAATTTAAATATTTTCGTAACCATAAGTCTTAGAACCAAATTGTTATACTTATATAATAGGAAATTTAATTGTCTACAACATTTACATTACTTATATTTCGCTAAAACGCACCAAAACGGAGATATAGGCGAAAATCTCTAGAAAGTACAGATTTTATCGATTTTTCAATATGGCGGCGGGCGCGGAGGGTGGAGAATTGTGCATTTTTCATTTTAAACACCTACTTACCATCCTAGACAACATATAAAAAATTTAGACTTACCGGACCGTTTGTAAGTTAACATACCTCTATTTACTGGACTACTAATTACTATTTAAATCTAGATCACAAATTAAATCATCAATTAATATTATTTTTTATTTAATTTTTATTCAAAACTAAATTTTCAATTTAATGATAATCAAAACATAGATCTCCAGTACAATAATTATTCAAAAATGGATAATGGATATTCACAATATAATCATACAATTTTTCAAACTATATTTTCAATGTGTAATTAGAACTGGCGCCACTGGGGTCCCTTTTTAGGGTTGAATATTTATCAAGCTATACATCCCACCCCAACCCCCCACCAAAAAAAAACAAAAAAAAAACTGTTAAAAGCCTACATTATTTTGACACTTAATCAGATATAAAAAATTTTTACAATTAATTATCGTATTGTACTTTAATTATTATTTTTTTACAATCACGTAGCATAACTTATAATTTATCTGTCATGCCACAAGCTATTGCTGTGAAACTTTGTACAACAATGATTATACTAGTGGAACCTGAAGTTTTAGTTCTCAACACTTTTTATGTTTAAGATAATCTTTAGCTTTTCCACTTAATTTTTAAAGAGCATTACTCGAGTGCGTGGCAGATTTAATTCACCTCACATTCGCTCAAACTTAGTTTCCTCCTTTTCAAAGTAAAGTTTCTTTTTTTATTTAAAGTTGACTACAGGTCGTTGAATAAATGTTTGATACTATATACTTTTGTGGACTTGATTCTTGAGTAAAAGGACACATTTTCAGTACCGGTAATTTAATGCAAATAAAGATTACTCATAGGGTATGGTAAGTGTATTTTTAAATGTAAAGGAACAGTTCAATTTTCCTGTATTGATTATTGCCAATTTCCATAGTCAATGATATTGTAGAAAGCATTTGTTTTATTTTTATACTCAACTTGTCTATCACTACCTGTAAATTAAAATACTCCTGTAAATAAAAATCGACACCTGATTAATTATAATATTCTTCTTAAGTATAATGCAAAAACCTTCTGCATAACAACAACATTATTATTTATTTTGTGTTGATCTAAACAACAACAATGAATACTTCTGCATGGTTATACAGTATGTTTTATCTATGGTTATATACACAAAATGAATAGAAAAGTAAAGTTTCAATACCCTGCACTAAATTAAACTATTTCAATCCTACTGTTTTAAAATGTAATACAGTAGAGACTCCCTCTTATCCGGACACCTTTTAACCAGACATCTGTTTAACCGGACTACACTCTACGGAAATTACATCTCTTTAACCGGACAATTTTTATCAGTACATTGGTTTAACCAGACTAGATCAGCAGGAAGTGGGCGGTACTGAAACGACTGTTCTCGTGGGAAAGATTTGAGACCAGTGATCACATGTCTAAATACAATGCTCTCCTAAATTTAAGTCGAATATCACCGTAAACGGTCCGTTTTAACGAGTTTTTGGGGACGTCGGCTTAACCGGAAAAACCGTTATCCGGACTGGCCTTGGTCCCGAGGAGTCTGGATAAGAGGGAGTCTACTGTAATTTAGTGTATATATACATCTATTTTGTATGAATCACATTTTAAAAGTTTTAAAGTTTTTTGCATACCAAGTAATTGGTCAATTCAACCACTACCGACAGTTAATGATAGGATTGTGTCATAAAAATGGTAATTAATGCAAATTTTAAAATTATTTTTTTCATTTTGAAGTTAATCTACTATTTTGCTAGAATATTAAACAAAAAAAAATGTGTTAACATTGCATTGAATTCCAGGTCAAGATGTGGCAAAAAGTTAAAGTTCTCCTTTGGAAAGTGTACATTCTGAGGAAACGCCACTTTGTTCTCACCTTTCTCGAACTCTTGGTGCCTGTCGTCCTCTTCTGGCTAGTCGTTCATTTCAAAAACATGTTGCCAGAACAAAAGGAAATAGTGACTGACAAATATCCGAAACTGTACTCGAATATTACAAGACTGGGAAACTACAAGATTGCATTCTCACCATCAAACAGCATCACAGAATCGGTGATGAAGATTGCTTCTGAAAAAATAATTGCGTCGGGATGTAACGGTATGGCTGTGTAAAATAGTAGTTTGAATTTTGGTCCTTAATAACTGTGAAATTAATCGTCTCGTAGAATACAGTAGTAGCCATTAGAGTATTTTGTTGAGACCATCATTTATGTTTCAAGACACTAGAGTAATTAGATTTTTATCATGACCCATCTAGCACAGAGAATACATTCTTAAGAAATGGCGACAATACGAATGTAAGTTACCGAGGGAAACATTCAATATTGTACACCTCACACATACCTCAAAAATTAATTTCAATCCCCATTCTCAAATATTTATTTATTTTGCTGATGTAACTTTTTTCCTAATCGGCCAATCCGCACAGTCAGTAGAACACATCTCAAGGCCAAGATACAAGATACAAGATTCTTTGTTTGGTCAATTGAACTTGAACAGTGTAATTAAGTTGTAAATGAGTTAGGTAATTAGCATTAAAAAGAAAACAGAATAAGAGCCATGGATGAAAAAAAAATGCAACTGTCTTTACAAACCAGTTAACAGCTCGTGACATCTAAGCTGGCACTTGGCCTATCGCTACCAGAACCTATTCCAAAAACATTATGTCCCGTCATGCGGGTTGCATCAACTGTCCTCGCGACGCATATGAAGGCGCTCGAGTACAATGCAAGGGGAGTCAACCCCGTGAGGCAGCGGAAATGTTTGCAGTCCGGTCTTTTCCCTACCTCCACCCTCCTCCCGCCTACACTGTCCGCGCTAGGCCAAGTGCCAGCTTAGGTGTCACGAGCTGTAAATATTATTTAAAACTCAATATAGGTACAAGTTTTTTTTTTTTGTATTAAATTTGTTTCATTCATTAAGTTTTTTGTTGAATTATCTTTAATTTATTCTAAAATTTATCAGATTAATGTTTGTATGTGTTTTCAGTGACTCTAATATTGTTTAGTGTTTGTATGTGTTTTTTTCATTGACACTGGTATCGTTTAAAGTTTGTTTGTGTTTTCTCAGTTACACTGGTATCATTTAAAGTTTGTTTGTGTTTTCTCAGTTACACTAGTATCGTTTAAAGTTTTTTTGTGTTTTCTCAGTTACACTGGTATCATTTAAAGTTTGTTTGTGTTTTCTCAGTTACACTGGTATCGTTTAAAGTTTGTTTGTGTTTTCTCAGTTACACTAGTATCGTTTAAAGTTCGTTTGTGTTTTCTCAGTTACACTGGTATCATTTAAAGTTTGTTTGTGTTTTCTCAGTTACACTGGTATCGTTTAAAGTTTGTTTGTGTTTTCTCAGTTACACTAGTATCGTTTAAAGTTCGTTTGTGTTTTCTCAGTTACCCTGGTATCGTTTAAAGTTTGTTTGGGTTTTCTCAGTTACACTGGTATCGTTTAAAGTTTGTTTGTGTTTTCTCAGTTACGCTGGTATTGTTTAAAGTTTGTTTGTGTATTCTCAGTTACACTGGTGACGTTTAAAGTTTCTTTGTGTTTTCTCAGTTACACTGGTACGGTACCGTTTAAAATTTTGTTTGTGTTTTCTCAGTTACACTGGTATCTTAATTTAATGTTTGTATTTGTTTTTTTTAGTTACACTGGTATCAAAACATACGGAAAATGAAGTAGTTAATTGGTTAAAGGCAGAATATGTCAAAGATGTAAAGAATAAAACCCGTGATTATTTCTTCTGGGTTACCAGTCCGAAAGGGGTTGGAGTGATATTTCTGGACACAAGTTACATTGAGAATTTAACTTACACTCTTCGAACAACTAGAGGGATATTGGAGACAGATGAAGACTCTTTGTACGGCCAAAAAAATGGTTCGTAAAATATTTGGGGTTAACATAATTTCTAAACTTAAGAATAAGATACCTTGAGCTAAGTCCATAAGTATTGTGCCTATTTTTATGTTTTTGCCATGTTGTTACCCTTCTTATAAAGACAAAAATCAATATCTTGAAAACGTGTTTTGGATGACATTCACACAAATCAATGGTAAAGAAACGGTATCAGCAAACTGAAACATACTTTCCCCCACTAGTTTCTTTAAACCGTTATACAGAAATGGGTAAGCAGTTGGAGTAACTTTGATATTGTATGGGAAAATCACCATTAAAATCAAACTGGAAAAAACTCCTGGGTATGGTTTAGTACCAGGTTTTATCATAATCAAACCACTGGTGTAGTTTTCAGCTCATCCACACTCACAGACACACTTACATACACATACAAAAACCACTTTTTTGTATTTAGGGAGACTCAAATCTTAAACTCAAAAATTTTGACCAAAACAAAATTTTCTCCATAGGATTAGACTACTTCTCCATTCAAACAGTGGGTAAAAAGTCCCGGGATGGTTAAATATTTCAAAAAATAATAAAGATAGAGCTTAAAAACTTGGTATATAGTTACTGGACATTAAAATCATTTAACACTTTTTTGTTATAAACTATCTCCTCAGAGGGACAGCCCGATAGAGTCAGAAGATAACCTTAAACGTAAGCATAGGTTAATATGCAGAAAGGTCTTTACTAGTAGAATACAATGCCGTGAATTAGAACTCAAACGGACAACTGAGTCCAAAATAGCAGTCGTTCAAAAATTTTTGAATCTGCTATATTTTAAATCTTTGAACGGCTGCCATTTTTTACTTAGTTGTTCTTTTGAGCTCAAATTTGCGGCATTGTATTCTACTAATAAAGACCTTTAATTTTATAAGCATTTCAACCTATGCTTAGGTTGAACATTTTCTTCTGACTTCTAGTGGGCACTCCTGTGAGGAGGTATCATATAATAGCATTGGAAATCCAATGCGTCTTTGAATAGCTGTTATTTTTGACTCGGTTGTCCGTTTGAGTTTGGGTTTGCTATTTTGCTAACAAAGACCTTTAGTTTCATGTGCATATCAACCGATGCTTACATTTAAGATTTTTTTCTGACTCCTGAGGAGGTATCACTGAATAATGTGTTAAAATGATTGAAATATTTAATCGGCCCGAGACTTTATTTCCACCCTGTATAGGAGGAGGAAGTAAAAATACTATACCTGATTTGATGTTGAGCAAAGAATCCACCCCAGTTATCTTGTACCCCAGCCATCCACCGTTGAAAGTCTAGAACCTTTTTCCCAACAACACCAAAATAGTAGAGATTGGCAAGATAATAAAAGTCAAATATCTGTTGAAAATGTATACCACTTCTACATAGTATTGAAACTGTTATTTTATATTGTACTTCTCTGCTCTTAACAAATTTAGAGTTGGTAAATATTGAATTCGAAAGTCATTGATCAATCTATCTCATGTTTATTTTTTTCAGGATATGGCATTTCAAAATATAGCTTTTCTGGTTTTTTAACAGTTCAGTCTGCAATTGATCAGGCATACCTCAAAGTAGTTCAAAACATAACGGTAAGTAAAAACTTATTTCATTGTGTGAATTCTGTTAGGAAAGCAGAACAATTAACTGTGTTTATGTGTTTAATTATAAATGCATATATTATTTCAGTAGCTGTACTCATGCTTGAGTAGAGATTCTAACTACAGCAAATTAACCAATTTTGATTTACCTTGAACTAGAATATTACAGTTATTACCTTATTTTGATGCCTTCGTTCTTGTGGTAAAGATTGAATTTACCCTATGTACATTTTTCCAGCTTTTGGGGTATCTTCAGGAGGCCTTCTATTATCATATCTTCTATAACATTAATACTACAAATTGTCTATTGTCTATTTACACAAAATATTTTAGACTTGTAAATTGTATCGAGGTCAGGCCAAACGGGTGAGACACCGCCGGTGGTAGTCATGACAGGAGGTCCTTCGTCTCCGTTTCAAGATCTCCCGCATTAACTCTGTCGGTGCGTCACCTGTTCGGGTCGTACACTTTTAGGCCGTCGACTGTTTTCCAACTGAAATCGGCAACTAGTTGGACAAACTAGTCGCCAGCGTCCCGACCAATGTAGTTAAGTGGGACAGTACACACGGTGCGACTGCGATGCGACCAGTTGAGGACCAGTCGGCGATCAGTCGTTAAGCAACCGGACCTGCCGGTTGCTAGGTGATTTCAGTCGCCTGGTTTGAACAACTTTTCGCATATTTGTATTGCGCTTTTCAAGGATCGGGCATACCAACTGCGATAACTCTTCGTAAGTACTTTTTGACATCCTGTTCATAGACTGAAATGTTGCGTCTGTTTCTTTTAATGCAGTGGCAGCTACAAAGAGCCTACATTTAATATTTGTTTTAACATAAGGATGTACCCAATACCTTCTACGTTCTTGATTGTCTATAAAACACCAGCTTCTTAATCACTACCACTCATTTCAAACACCATACACAGTACACAGTATCGTTATAAAAAAAATTAGAACTCATTTACTGTCTCAATTCAACTACAGTCGCGCCCGTGTGCGGATTTAACCAACGCAACTGCAATCTTAATCGCGTCACAAAAAAGTTGGTTCAACTTTAGTTGGGTTTCAGTCTGCCCGTGTGTCATTCTTACACTTTTAGAATACACGGTTTTTGTAAATTACATGTTTTAATGACATCCACAAAATAAATATATGCGTTTTTCAATACCACTGATTATAATTTTAAACAATGGTATTGTGTCCAAATTTGGGTAAAAGGCACTCCCAGCTTTCAATTTTAATATTAATCGTTTTAAACCATGATTCATGCTGTCGAAAAGCCCAAATTCTCCCTCTTGATAAAGGCATAGACTAAGCAACACAAGTAGACTCCTCATCCCATTGTAAATTTTGAAGCTTGTTTTTTGTGTCTAGTTCATGGACGTCCACGCTGATCGCTGGGGTAGACAAAATTTTGTTTCTATTATTTTAGGGTTATTTTCATGATTTGTGCTTTACGATTTCGTTATATAACTAGGTAGGAGACCAGTTATTGTTTATGATTACGGTATATCGTTTTATTTGGTTAAATAGTTAACAATAAAATGGGCTTCAGCTGTTCCATAAGGATGACAAATCTACTAAGGGAGTCTGTTTTATCTATGATAAAGGATTTGAACTAATCAAAATGGTTCAAGTTTATTTTTTAAATAAAATAAACCCTTGAATGTCTTATAAGAATTATTATTTTCCATGTCGAAAACGTGATTTACTAAACAGATTCATCCGAATATTTACTAGTGTGACATCACTAGCATTATATTCAAATTAATGTATTGATCCTTCATATGGATCAATATGATGCATATTGATCTGATTGCATACTTTTTTGCAGATTCCAGAAGGCACAAAAATAACCACCCTGCCATACGTGAAGTACGCTGTGGTAGACTTAGTACAGCTGCTGATGCCAACCATCATATCTCTTGGTTTTACGTTTGTGATGCCGTCGTTGCTGAAAGAGGTTGTGGAAGAGAGAACTTCGGGTATCAAGGTAAGCATAAGGTTAGCCCCAAGTAATTCAAAAGACAAAATACAAAAAAAATTAAATTATAAAAAAATATATTAAATTGAACATTGGAAGTAGGATAAATGGTGTTCTGTTATCATACTGCTATTATCAGACTTACAGAAAAAAATTATTTAAAATATTTTAATTCTTTTTTCTATGTAGCCTGTGGTTTTTTTGTACAAAGGTTGTTTTTTGTGTTTTTTTTTTGTACAAAGGTGTTTTTTTAAAGATTTTTGCAATTAATTTCCTATTGAGTTTTCCTCAAGGCATATAAACAAGATAAGATTCTGACTGTGATACCGGTACTTGAAAAGTTAAAGATAATGTACAGGCACTTGAAATCAATAATTGGCAAACCAAAAATAACCATGATATAAACACGTTGAGCAAATCAGAACTTCATACACTAACTTTCTTATTGTACTTCTTGGAGTTAATTTTCAAGCAAGATAACAAAAACATGCAATCCGATAACTAAACTCCTACGTAATTTTTATAACTAATACAACACTGATGTACTTATAATTGGATTAGAACTTATTTTTATTTTCTCTGCACTTCTGTATAGTCAAAGTTAACATTTTGTGGTAACCTATTTATCTACAAAGGAAAAGTGTTCAAAATTAAAATTTAAAAAATATTGAACTTGGCTGTTCTAATTGTTTTAGCTGGCTGCATTTGTGTATGCACAATTCATCTATTCTTCATACTGTACTTTACACGACGCCAGTTGGCGTGCAGATTACCTTTCTCAGGTAACTTGAAATACGCTAGACGTAGGTTACCTGCCCTGTAACCTGCCTGCATATTGGCCTCGTGTAAACGGCTATTCTCTGGTAGTCCTCCATTTTAGTAGCAGTCAAAATGGAGACCGGTGTGACCAGATATCGCTTTGTATTATTTTATTTCACTGTTACAGCTGTGGTTTTTCATTTTGACAGTTGCTACCTATCATAAAAAGTCTAATGTTTTGAAAATTGTTATTGTTGTTGCCTGAGTTTTTGTAAGTAAGATGTTTTTGTCATCCTATGTGTTTCTCCATACTGTGTGGTATTTTCAGGAGTCTTCTTAATTAATCTTTTTATCACTAACACTAAAGTAAATTTTTACAAAAATATTTTCACACATGCGTTGACGTGTAGTCGTGTGTAGTATAATAGTATCACCGCTGGTTCAATTGGACAACCTGACTCTAGACACTACTGTTTTGTGTATAAATATTTTTGTGAATGTAGACTATAGTGTTTAGTGATAAGAAGATTATTTAAGAAGACCCCTGAAGATGCCACACCCCACACAACGTGGACAAATTTGGTGGCAAAATTTGTTACCTACAAGATCTCAGGCAACAGGGGTAAATCTAATACAATTAAACTTCTTGAAACTGGGATGACAATAAAAAAGGAAATGCTAGTGATATGAAAAACATACCTTCATATGTTAGTCAACTGAAAATTTTAATAACTTGTTTTGGAGAGAGATCTGGTCTAGTGGTAGAGCGTCGGTCCGTGAGGTCCCAAGTTTAAATCCTGCCAAATCACTAATGGTGATCTAAGTGATAATGCCGAAACCAAGTCCAGTAAGTGATAATGGTCTAACCTGAAGTAATGTGAAAATAATTACGGGCTTCTCCCTAGCGTCCTTGGAAAAAAAGTTTTAATATTTTTATTTTATTATTTTCCTTATCATCCAACCTTGCTGCGGCTGGTTTGGGTCCGATTATCGAGATTCTACTGTGTACATACTACTTCAATTTATTAAACGCTACAATTTTTGCAGGAGATGATGAAGATTATGGGACTGAGCCCGTTGCTGAACTGGCTGAGTTGGATGGTGTACAGTCTCCTGGTTTATCTCCCTGTAACTGTCGCCATCACCTTTCTGCTTACGATAGACTCAGGCACCGGACCACCAATTGACGCAAACTTCTTCTACGTTTGGGGAATGTTTGTTCTTTTTACAATTTCTTTCCTCACCCTCATTCTGGCCATCAGTACATTTTTTACCAACGGTAAGTGGAATGTGGAGCTTTTGCTGTGTCATTGTGTCTCTGTAAGTTAAAGTAGTGGTGGTCCAGGTTTGACACATCCATCTGATACCCAAACCAAGTAGACCAACATGTATTAACCTCACCAGAACACGTGATAGCTGGATCATGTCTAGTGAACAGTTAATGTTTACTACCTTAAGTTCGAAATAGTAAAAAAGTTTTAGAGTTTTTTTGTTTATAAGGTTAGAATGTTTAAAATATTGCAAATCCATCATAACATAAATAGTTTTTTAAATAGGATTAAAATTTTGTATTCTCAAGTCAAAAACTGTGACTGACCAAGATGAAAAATAGCTATATTTAAAATTATTGTTAGTCAATTAAAAAAAAATGTTGACCCTAATATTGTGTTTGCTATTGCTATTATTTACTCCAATGATAGTGGTAAACCTTAAAATGTTTCTGCAGCACTAAATTTTTAATCTTGTACCCAGACAATCAAACAATTTAATGACCATGCAACTTATATTTTGTGGGGTTGATTTTTCTAATGGGGGTTATTACTATTACTCCAGACCATTGCAAAATCTCAGTCCATGAGAAGATATGGTACAGTCACCATATTGGGTACATTTGTCGTCCGTTATTCAGACCAATGCAACATCTCAGTTCACTTTATTCAGGTAACGGTAAAGTTGTATTTTTCAGGCACCATAGCCATGATAGCTGGGGAACTGATATGGTACGGAGTCACCATATTGTTGGACACATTTGTCGTCAGTTATCCAGACCAGTACAACATCTCAGTTCAGATTCTCACCTGTTTATGGCCTTCTATAGCATTGGTTTGGACCTTCAGAACGATACACAACTTCCATCGTAGTGGTAAGTCTCAATCAATCTAGTCGTCAAATGGAAATGATGAAGGGCTAATAACCTTCAGATAATAGTGAATGGCTTGATATTAAAATTGATCTTTGGGTTTATAACCTTCTGTTTAATGTACCGGTATATAGTTTAGAAAGCTTACTTGAGAACATAGTCTGGAGGCTATTGGGCACAATAAAAGGTCACTACGCAAAACATAAAAATTATATTTCGTCATGACTTAGTGTACCCCTTCAGAGAGGAGGTTGATGAGAAACAGCCATGTTTACAAGCTATTTATTAACTATCCAAAATGTTGAGCTAAACAGTCTGGGCTCAGCCCAATCAGCTTTCAAATTTCTTTTCATTATCCATGTTTTCCATTTTCATTTTAATAAAAATTTGAGTATTTGTATATTGGGGACATGTTTTTGTTTCTATTGAAATTGCCTCAATCTATTCAGCCGATATTAATTTGTATGTCAAGTATTTTGTAATGTTTTTTCTAAGAAAATGTTTTCCTGTAGTTTTTTAGACTGGGACGGGTGGCGTCGTCCTGTAATCCAGCTACTAGGAGGTCACGAATTGTGGATATTTATAGGGATGCACTGTGGACGCGATGCTACCTGGTGTGGATTAACGTCCGCACTAGTGAGTACTACGACTATCCGCAGTACTATCCTAATAATTAGACCAATTCGTTAATTACGAGGAAAAAATGTGGTTCGGATTCCACAATAAACTGTAGGTCCATTAGTTGCCATTAGCTGTATGGGCTATTAATTAACAGCTGTGTCTAAGGAACATGTCGGCCTTAGTCACTAACAAGACTACAAGATCGCGCCACTCATCCTACACTCATCCTTCACTCATATTTGGGTTAAAATACGCACATAGTGGCGTCCCCATCTTAAATAATTGATAATTGATAATTGATAATTGTAGGCCACCCATGGACGCTCGGAAATTTGTTTGATGACGGCGCTGGCGGAGGAAGAGTTTCTGTCGGGTTGGCGCTACTGATGCTGATTGTTGACATTGGTGTCTACAGCTGCGTAACATGGTACATGGATAATGTCAAGCCTGGACCGTATGGTAGGGCAAAGCCCCTTGGATTTATTTTCAAGGTGAGAATCTCGCAATAGATTTTACATACTGATACATACTGTTGTACTTTGCCATTATAGTGTTCTGTTCTTCCAACAGTTTCTGTTATGAAAAAGTAAGCATATTCATGATAGCCTCCTAGTACTATTCTTGAGAGTTTATTGGGTATATTGCCACCTTAGTGGTTAGCATCAGGCTTTTGTATGAGAGGAGCAGGTTCGATCCCTGGTACATCCACAAACATTTGACCATAAAAAATGCTTTAACAAATAGGATTACAATATTTATCAACTGCTTTGTGTTGAGTAGTATTGTCACAATCAAAATAAAAAATTGAGCTTCATACCAAAATATCAAGCATATGAAAAACATTTCTAAATTGTGGTTTTGTTGAGGCATATTAAAATTTCTTCATTGTTTTGTTACAATCCGAGCATGTTTCAGTACTTCAAGAAGAAAAGACAAGCTACAAACACTGTGGTTTCACAAAAAGAATCTCAAGAAAACTTTGAAAAAGTGCCGAAAGACATCAGTGTTGGTATAAAAATAGAAAACCTTGTCAAAACATACAGCAAAGGAACCGTAACTGCAGTGAGAAATGTGAATCTAGACATTTATAAAGGCAACATTACTGCACTGCTTGGTCACAACGGAGCGGGAAAGACTTCTCTCATGTCTATGCTGGCTGGTAAAATGATAATTTAGTATATCATATCTTTAAAAATTGATACTGAGTTGTAGCATAGATAAAACATAGGCTACTCCCTTAGTAGATTTCTCTATTGTTTTGTTTACAATTTGTGTCCCGTTATTACAGCCATTTAAAACCTCGTTTAACCAAATAATACGATCTAATCATAAACAATAACTTGTCCCCTAGTAATATAACCAAACAGTAAAGCACAAATCAAGAAATTAACCCTTAAATAATACAAACAAAGTTTCGTCGATACTAGCGCCCATGTGTCACGTACATGAACTAGACACGAAAAACGTGCTTCAATGGGATGAGAAGTCTACTTGTGTTGGTTAGTCTATGGTTGTAGCATAGCCTCCTATAATACAAGGCCACGGTGTGGTGTGTGGCAAAATCACACCGACCAGCCTGTAACCATGGTAACAGTAACAAAAGTGTAAACATAAACATTGTGCAGATGCTCCATTATAAATTAGTACAACAGCTGTTTCAGTTTGCTATGACAGTGGTGCCACTTTTGTCTCGCAGCTGTCTTGTATTAGAGAAGGTTATGGTAGTATATATAGACTAGACATCCTACTCTATGGTACCATAGCCAGTTTTAGATACCACTGGTTTAAATTACCATAATTCATATAACCACGTACAGTAAATATCATAGTGATAGTACAGTACCGAAAACTAAAGGAGGAAATCAAATTTTCACCGCAATACAGTCTGTAAGCGTCTCATTAACTACGGTCTATTTGAATTAAACGAATAAATGAATTTATTTCCCATATCACAAAACACTTTTACAATCATAATGAGAAATTTAAAAATATTGCTGGTCCATATAGTTTTTCAAAAATAACAATAATTATAACTTATGGAATGTGTACTTCCACTTCCGTACCCAAATGTCATCCTGCCAAATGTTAGAGTATATACGTTAGTTAGTGAGTATTTAAATATCCTTACGTTCAAAAAAGTGTTCAAGTAAGTTGGGGATTGTTTGAGACTTGCCACTTGTTAGATTTTTTTCAACTTATTTGCAGTCATGATTAACAGATTTGTGTGAGAATTTTTACTTGAAAAGTTCAAGTCGATTTCAAGTTAGATTTGACTAAATCATTTTCCAAAATTAACAAATACTAGGACCTTGAGATCTGGAAACTGAAGGGGGAAAGGTAAAAGTTAGAGTTATAATTATGTTGGTTTACCTTTTGATTGCCAGGTTCTTGATGAATGAAGAAATTCTAAAAATTTAGAGTTATAAGTTTTTGACTAAGCAAGGTTTGAGTTATCAAAGGTGTTATACAGAAAATTCAAGATACTGAGTTGTTGAATTCTTGCAATGATAACGTCACGACCCTTAACCTTTCCTTAACTCAACCTTTCACGCTAAACCTTATAATTAGACCTCAAGCAATATTTTTAAATTGGGAGTGTGTAGCAGGCATTATATATCAAAGATTAGACCGTATTAACCATTCAATCCATAACTATACTTTATAAACTTTTACCCAGTTCAACAGCCGAATAATCAAAACCGTACTGTCCAGGTTTCTTCTCACCCACCAGTGGCCAAGTGATTGTCAACAACCAGAATATATTTGAGAACATGGTACAATTCCGTTCCAGTCTCGGACTCTGTCCTCAGCACAATCTGCTCTTCACATACTTCACTGCTCTTGAGCACCTCATCTTCTTTGGAATGGTAATATCCAAATTATATCTTGTATTATATTATATCTTATATCACAGATAGTTCAATTATTTTGTTCTCTTTGAAAACTGTGGTTTAATTCAAATTAGGTTACAACTTGTAAAGTTGTGGTTTGGCTGTGGAGTTGTTAGGGGCATAGTCTAGTTGTAGTGTGGACATTCTATCCTGGAGTCTAGGGTTCAAACCCAGCCAATCACAAATGGCTTTTAATAATGTGATGATTCCAAGAACCAGTGGTCCAGAGCCAACTAAAAGCTATCTAAAGTTTACTTATCTAAAAACATCTTGCCTGAGCAAGAATGTTCTCTCTATTGGAGAAATTTCCACTAAAAGTCTTCAAGGGGGGAGTGAGGGGTATTACAAGGGACGATTTTAAATAAGGGCTGCTTAGGCGTACAGCTTCCTAGTTTGTGTGTACACCGCAACGAGGCTCCTTGCTTCTTAATTGCATAATGTTTCAATAGAACGGTGGCATTTACAGCTCTGTAGCTGACATGTGTCCCGCGTTGCTGTGGGTTTAGAAAATTAAATTTGTAAACCATTTAGGTGGGTTTTGACTTTATTAACAGCACTGTTTAATACATTTCAAAATAATTCCCACAACAATAAATTTTGTTTTCAGCTCAAGGGAATGACAATGAGTCAGGCCAGACAGAAAAGCAAAACGATGCTTAAAACTTTAAAAATCTACGACAGGAAGGATTATACGATAGCAAAATTGTCTGGTGGGATGAGAAGAAAAGTGTCTCTTGCTATTGCTCTTTTAGGGGATCCAGAGGTAAAATTTGTTACTAGAACAGAACTAGTAATATAAATAAAATGTTATTAGTAATTTGTTATAGTTGGTGATAAATTTGTTTAGTTTCCCACTTACACATCACCATTGGAAAAATCCTAAAACAAACTAAAAATAAAAGATGTTAGTTACAACGTCAACATGTCATTTGCATTATTGTCAGAAACATTGATTATATTGCTTGATTTATAGAAATTAAGGTGAAAGAACTACAACCTACTGGAAGTAAAGCTTCCCCCTTTTCCCCCTCCAAGATCCAAGAAAACTTTGCTAATACTGTAAAATAATGAGCAACACTTTGTCAATAATTATGAATAGGGATTATTAACGTTTGAAAACTATTTATTCACCAGTACTATTTATTGGGTTGAAAAAATGTAATGGATTCAGAATTTTACCAAACAGCATCGTTTGGTATCTGATATAGATTTTTTTAACACTTTCTATCAAACATTCTTTAGAAGTAGTTCTCTAGAAACTGCGATATTTCTCAAATCAACCTTCAATTATATCCATAAATAAAAAAGCTACATATATTTTTTTCAGTAATAAGTAATATTTGCATCAATTTGACTTTTCAGGAACTTATATTTTATTTTACCTTTTTCTGGACTCCCTTTGTTCCAGGTGGTCCTGTTGGATGAACCGACATCCGGCATGGATCCAGAATCTCGGCGGCAGGTTTGGGATATTTTGTTGGTAAGTCTTTCGTCAGTTGAACTTGTGACAACAATTATTATCCATGTTTGACGTTGTAGAAAAACAAAACGGAAAGTTTTTGCCTGGGAAACACCTTTTAAAAAGGTGTGAATATTTAGTCATATTTAGTTAAAATGTATTATTACTGAACCATTGAAAACAATGTTGAACTTAAAGCTTTTAAAACACTACTACTTGGACCTTTCAGTACAAGGTGTTTGGTAACGATTGCTCTTAGAGGACGGTTTAAGAAAGGCGTTTGCAAAACGGATGCAGAAAATTAAAATTAACACACATTTATAACTTGTTAAATACAGTATAAATTCAAAATTGGATATAATTTCCATTATCTTCAGGCCCGATCAAATGCTGGAATACTGTATTAGTATATCAAGTTAATATTATTGTTACTGATCTTATTAATTAAATTGTTACACAGCGTACCGATACACTTTTACACTTTGAATTGGCCTCTCCATTGAAATGAAAAAACACCCAGTCAAATTGCTCGGTTTTTTTATGGATTCTAAATTGGAAAGAACAAAATATAAGAAAAGATGTTCATTCCCATAATACAAGGAATAAACTACAGTTAGACATAACGGCTCGTAGACTTTAAAATAGTAGCAATAGTCATAAACTAAACTGCATTCATTTTTTTAATAAATTGCCTGATTCAGCCAGAACTGTATCCTTCAAGATATTCAAATCTCAATTATGTGAATGGTTGATAAGCAATCCTTTCTATGGCATTCACGAATTTCTTAAAACAAAAGTTGATATTGAACTATGACGTGTATCTACATGATGCATATTCTCTAAGACTTGTGAAATTGTTATTAACTAAGTAGTTTGTAAACTTTGTATTTTATTTGTTATTTTGGTATGTTTTGTATGTGTTTTGATTATCTCTTCCTTTGTACAAAGAAAGGCCAATAGCAATAAAACTCTTGATTCTTGACTATGAATGTTCTGATTGAAGTTTTAGCCTGGTGTTTTTAGACTTTACGAGGACAGAAAACTATAATCTTCACGACTCACTTTATGGAGGAAGCGGATGTTTTGGGTGACAGAATAGCTATCATGAACCACGGTAAAGTCAGCTGTTATGGCACTCCGATGTACCTCAAGCGCCTTTATGGTTAGTTAATTACAATATAAATATAATGTTGGTGAAATTAAATCAGCTAGTCTTTGTCATTATACTTCACAAGGTGATTAATCTTAAACTCATATTTCAATCAATCAAGCTTAGTATAATAAATCCATTGTGAAACCAATCTATAGTGTCAAACATCCAGTACCATGTTCCACTGAATATACATTACGGTACGGTTACCGTAATTGGCTAACTTGTATTATCAGGCAAGCACCATTTGATTAGCCAACTTTTTATACATAACAAGTTTTTTAGGCTTTCCAAACCATAAAAAAAATTTCATTTATTGGAAGTGTTGAGATAGGCCTAACATCATTTTACCAGAACTCCTGAGTAAGTTACACAAACGGTTGTTAACAACTTACGTGGATATTGTGCAGGCCTGATAATCTGAAAGCTGCTAGTTCGATCCTGAACGAATTCAGTAGCTTTTTTTTATTCAAAACTGGCTCAAGCTGTCCCCATGATCACTGAACTTAGATGGTTCAGGCTAATGAACCAATAATATCATAACCATAACATGAATTAATATCATGAACACAATAACCAAATAAACCGTAATGAACCATTGGCTAATGAACCAAATAATCATATTCAGCAACAAAACTATCAACTCATTAATTCAATACTCATCCTTCACATTCACGTCCTGTTTTTCCAGCACTATGCAGATCTAATCTAACCCTGGATGAGTATCTTATGATTCCATTACGCAACCATTAGCATAATATAATCTCAAGTATAAATTATATTCATAATTAATTTTATTTCCAGGCAAAGGCTACCAGTTGCATGTAAGTAAACGTGACACAGCACCAGTGAATCCCATCGTTCAAGTCATCGAGCGACACACAACCAACGCGACCATGAAATTGTCCTCTCCGTCACAGCTGAGCTTCAACGTACGAGCCGAGGACTCACCTCAGTTCCCGAGTTTGTTCTCCGCTCTTGACGGCAAAAGAGACAATCTCGGGGTGATTGGGGTGAGCATCAACTGCACGACCATAGACGACGTTTTTATCAGGTTGTTGACTTTGTAATTGTTTTATTTTGGTTTGAAATACGGTAATTTACAAGATTGTTTGGTTTCAGTTGTAATGTTGAACTGGTAAAGTTATTTGGATGAATAACAAAATATACTTACCATCAAATGTAGTCGGTGATTTAGCATTTGGTTTACATGTGAGAATACTTGATTGTTTGGTGCACGAAAGTGTCCATTTTCAACTTTGAAACTTTACTTTAATACTTTTATAATGAATTTACATAAAACATATATACAAACATTGTTACTAAATACATTACAAAAAACATTCGCACGACTTGCTAGCCATTGTATGGACTCAGATAGGTGTAGGTCTTGGATGGTGCAGAGCCCACTATCCCCAAAAGCCTACTACCAAATAAGTAGTATTCCAATAAAACTAACTAATAAACATCTCAATGTGTTAGTATTTTTACTTCCCCCTTTTTCTTATTTCATAATTGTTGACGTATAATTTCCCAACTTTTAGAAGTTTTTGTATTTTCCACTAAGCGCGACTGCCTTCCTATTTGTGGAACCCTGTGTGGCCACATCTTTCCAAAAAAAATTTTTTTTTGAGCCAAAAGTTTATAAGTAAACTAGGAAGGACAGTTAACAAAATCACATGATCGTATATATCAGCTGGACCCCACTGGTACGACCCAATTTGAGGAGTACTAAAGGCTGATTTCCATGAAATCATCACTCTGCTCACTAAATATTTGCAATCGTCAATCCAAAGTGTAATTATTTTACAATAGTTTCTTTTAGAACTTTACTTTTAGCACTAAATTTAGATTTTACAATACTTTTGATGATATTGTCAATGTTATCTACCCACTTTTGCAAAGTTCAAAGAAATAAATGAGTGGTCTAAAAACAAATTTCAATGTGGTTCCTAATTACAGTCCAACTATTTATGTATAGAGACTTGTATTTTTAGCAGTATGTTTCTGCAAACTATTTATATTTTTGTTATATTTAATATCAAATGAATAATGCTTGTTGTGTTAGTGTCATAGGAGGAGATTCAAAGGAAAGAAAAAGTTCTGATTGTAGCATCGAGGCTCTGGGTAAGTGAAAAGTTAAAATATTTAAAATCTTGACATAATATTTTTAAAGGAGTGTTGCACTAAAGTACTATCCACCATATCAGGAGAAATACAATTCGTACCTAGTATTATTGAGAATTTAAGGGTCGCCGGAAGACTGCCCCCCGGACAACTATCCCCCCCCCCCCAAGCAGGTTCCTACGTCATGTTGACGTCAGAGATCGGGGGGCAGTTTTCCAGTCATGGAGACTCAAGATTCGTTGTCATACTCTTCTAAGCTAACCTTACCTAACCAACCAAACTTGCTGTTACATTTCAAAATTCTGTATGATATACCCAACATGCCTTTTCTGTTATCAAACGGAATTACTCAAATTAAAATTACAATTACATAGAATCACATTTTGCTAGGGGGGGTAGTATTCCAGTCGCGGACACGGCTGCCATATTGGTTAGTTGGTAGATTTCGTGACATCACGTTTAATCTTGGGGGGGGGGGGGGTGGTTTTCCGGGGGATAGTATTCCGCATCCCCGAATTTAAGTTGTAATCTTTTGTAACATGTCATCAATACAAACAGTACACAGTATTAAAAAAAAATCTTTTGTGTGCAAAAATAATGAAAATTCATTTTTGGTTGCTTATCAAGAAAAATTCTATTTCAAAACCACTCCGTAAAACTTGCAAACAGCTACTAAGTAATTTACTTTCATTTAATTTCAGAATCTAAAATTGTTAAATTGAGTGGACGTGATTTATTGGTGCAGCAAATCAAAGCACTGGTCTACAAAAGGATGCTGATAAGAGTGAGGAGTTGGATAAGCACTATTATTTATGTAAGTTTTTGGAGTCAGCTAATATTTTAAAGCAATTATTACATTTTTGTTCTATTCTCAAAGATACAAAAATAATTAGTTCTGATTCTAACAATACACAGCAAAACAATTGATTAATCACATTTGTAAATTAATAGTTAACGTAATATCATTGTACTAATAGTCAAAGGTAATATTAAACGTTTTATCAAATAAACTAATACAATAATATAACCTAAGAGCTTTCAACAGATGCAACCATATTACATACCAAAACACAAGAGGGTGTTCCTATAACTTGTTAACTGTTTTTAAACTCTTATCAAGGTTTTTTCTTGTAAAACCTTGCATATGTAAAATGATTTGTAATGATTATTTACAAACTGTGTATAAAATTCTGATTACCCTAGAAGGTGTTACTGTTTGCAACTTCTTATCATGGTTTTTTCTCATAAAACTCATTTGAAAAGAAAATAGAACAAGATAAATGCTTTGAGAAGTTCAATGGTTGTGGCTTATGGGTTTGTCAAAAACAAAAATTTAAATCCTCGAATTAATGAAAACAATTGTACAACACAAGCAACAAAAATAACTGTGTAATTATAAATCATAAATTAGAGCTCATAAAACAAGAATGCCAAGATGCAGGACATGAATTTTTTTGAACATTCCTTTAAAAATTTAAAGGGAACAAAAACCCAATATAAAAAAAACTCTAGGAATATTTAATGGACCTGTCCTTATATTCTTTAGATCAATAAAATATGGTCGCATCTTAGTTTAAGGTAGTTTTAGTTTATTTGACACCATTTATGTACAACTATATGTATACTTATGAATAAGTAATGTAAATTATTGTGTTACATACATTGTTTGATTGATTGACTGTTTGTTTAGGTCGTAGTTCCAGTAGCTCTAATGGCAGCCACAGTATTACAGTTGATGTATCAAGATTATTCTCCTGTTCAGAACAAACTGAAGATTGCCTTGTCTAGTTTTCCGAAAGTCTCTGTGGCCGTTCAAACAGACAACTCGACTGTGAGTGAAGCCCTGACAGGAATTATCACCTCTGGAAAAGCAAGCGTCATTTCCATACCAACAATTGTGGACTTGGAAAAGTGTAAGGTGCTTTTGAGGTTAAACTGTGATTTTACTTTATAAAGGTCCTGTACTTTTATTTACTAATATGAGATAATTCCCTCGCCATTCAGTTTCTTTTAAGATCATTCATAAAATTTCTTTCTGTCTTTTGGTTTTCATCTTTTTTTAGGATACTTGTGTCGTATATGTTTTGTTTTTAATGTAACTGACTACTCCAACAATTTGTTAATAATTACGTCAAGGAATATGAGTCTAGTTGATTAACGTATATTATTCATAAACTATTATCATGTAAACTTATTTGAAATTCGTCACAAATATTTATCCCAAAATTAAATTTCAGTATATTTGAGCAGGCCCGCAGTTTGCATGTGATGCATTATGGGCCCGAGAGATAATTTCCCCCTCTCTACCTACATTGTGGGGGAACGTTTCTCTTCCTTGCACCCCCAAAAAAACCTGAAACTTCTTTGAACATTCCTTGATTTTCAGAAGTTCCAATGACAAAAATAAAACAAGAAAGCTTCACCTTTAAAAATTTAATGTTTGGGCTCCACAATATGGCCAAGAATTATATTATAATGGTTCCTCTGGGGTTTTCTCTATTATGCCCTAATGTGTCAGTGTACTTCTAGTTAAACTATTTTAAAAAATAGCACAAACAATATTATAAGTCAATATTTTTTATCTTCTCAAACTAAAATATCAATTTAAAAACTGTTCCCAGATTTCATCAGCCAGCTGAATGGACAGAGAGGGTTGATCCAGTACGAGAGATCAATGATCGCAGGCTACCAATCGCTGAGTAACATTTTGATCGGAGGCTACAGTCAGTATTTTGATCACTCGTTTGCACTCGTTCTGAACATGATGGCCAACATACTAATACTACTGAACAACAAATCTGCAAGCATCACAACCTACTGTCATCCGATAGCAGTGTTCGACACGGTAAGAGATGATAGTCAACAAAAGAGTTCAGAAGCATTTTTACTAAGGGTCTTTGCCATGGGGTTTTTGATTGATTGAACGAATCACAAACGCTATTAATGTGATACAATCCTCTTAATTTTGTATAGATTAGAGATCATTAGAGATCAACCCTAGTGTTTTCACTGTACTTGGTCAATTGCAATAAATAATTATTCTTATTCTTATTCTAAAGTCTATACCTACAAAATGGTTGCACAGAAAGTTTGAGGCATTACACACTAGGCTATCTAAATTAGTTTTTATGAATGGTGGTTTTTGGTTTAAAAATTAAAACAAAAGTATACCATACTGAAGATAAGTTTAATTATAATCTGTTGTAAGACAAAATTGGTACAAAATTGGTAAAACTTTTTCGGCCAATGATTTGTACAGTATTCACTAGATATCATTTAGCTCAAACCAAATGAAAATATCATTTACATAAATCATTTGAAAATAACCACTAAACTCATACATTTCAATGTACTCACATGATGTTTCAAGAAAACTCGAGAGATCTAACAACATATGTTTCAGGTAGACGAGTGTGACAGAGCAATGGACGCGTCGGACCACGTATCTAGTTTCCCGCTCAAGGTGATTTTCCTGTCGCTGGGTCTGCTGATGATGACGATGAGTCTGATTCCGTTCCCACTCAAGGAGCGAGTGACCCGAGTCAAACAGCTGCAACTCATGAGTGGCGTATCTCCGCTGCTGTACTGGCTGGTCATGTTCCTCTGTGACTTTGCGTTGTGTCTTGTCACGACATTACTCATGGTCTGCATGATCCTCGTGTTTCAGCAGAACGGCGTCTTCACCACCTCAGGATACATAGGTACATAGGGTGGATGAGTGGATATTAGTGCTTGGTGAGATAATGGCCGGAGGTTGGATTTCGAGAAAAGAAATTGGCTGATGGTTCGAAACTGGGGTCATCTGACTTCTTTGGGATTTTAATGGCTAAAGAAACAGCTGGTCTTAGTCAGAAAAATGCTACAAAGGCCACTTATTACCCATCGTAATTGGTTGTACTGCACTCTATTGATTATACTTTACATACTGGTGAGGTGGTGTCTCAGTCAGTAGTGCCACGGACTTTGGGCTCAGACAGCGATGTTGTGGGTTCAGATCCTGTGGTATCTGCCACTACTTTTGAATTCACGTTTACTTCACCGGCTCACTCATTGCTTTGCTGGATATTTTCCACTTAGACGATGCTTCTGTGGCCCATGTGGATATGGCTAATGCAAAAGAGACTGCCAACCTGTTTGAAAAAAGAAACACACCAGTAAACTTACATTTTGAAGGGACCATTTTTTCTGACCTTGAAAGATAATGAATGTAGATTGAAATCCAACTTTGAAGATTTCTTTACCAATTAACTTATTCGCCTAACTCACTGTGGGATGGATAAAGGGTTTGTACAGATTTTTAATCAATCATGTAAACAACCAACGTGTAATGTCAAAACAATAGTGTTCCACCACAACAATATTGTAGGATAAGTTTTGAACTTTGTCATACACAGAGAGGTAAAGTGCCTATAGATTCAAGAAACAGGATTATTGGACGAATGTGCGCTTTCAGCTCCATAGAAACTGAAAACTGTGGAGGTTTTTGCACAGAGAAGTAAGGCACCGTCGGGGAGATTTGCTTATGGACATCCGAGTATGTTGTGCTGGAAATGTACTTGTGATGAACAATTACATTTGTGAGCCTGAGCGGTGATCACTGGAAATTCCTATTGCACAGGATATAAGGTCTTCCTCCACAGTGAGGGTAGTAGTACATGATGGCAAGGGGGGCGGTGTTGGACTTTGCCGTAGACACCAGCGACTAGTGCTAGACACCACTGAAATGTATCATTTGAGTGTTTCCTCTGTACCTTACTTCTCTGTTTTTTTTTTTTTTTTTATTGTCTGTCCAACCACTTAACTATTAACAGAGCACTAATGCAGTATATTCATTGAAGGTTTTGTTTCAGGTACTGTTGCATTAATCATAGTTTTATTTGGATGTTCTGGGTCCTTGTTCGCATATTTCTTCAGCTTCTTTGTCAAATCATCTGTGAAAGCTACTGTTTCATTTGTGGTGTTCAATCTGGCAGTTGGTAAGTACTTAACAGGTTTGTGATGAGTAATTCTATATCGATTACAATTCGGTTCGATATTAATACTGCATTGAGTTTAATTTTACCATATGGTATGGTATGAATAAAAATATAACAAATAAAATACATCCTTCAAAATATGTACCTAAAATTATATTTTAAATAGTGTTGGGAGATGTATTTTATTTATTGTATTCCTAATTCTTATAACAGAGCCAACACTTAGGAATATATAAAGGTCCAATAAATTGTTGAATATCCTTCCACAGTAAACGTAGATGTTTGATAGTACCTAGATCAGTATTTAAAACCAGTTCATCACAAAAATATTTACTAAATGACTCTATGACATTGTTAGACATAAAACAAATTAAACATTGGGGCCATCGTACTAGTTGTGTAGTGAAAAGTTTGCAGAGTCACTGTAATAAATGGGCTCCAAGAGGTTAGGTTTGTTGGGGGCGCAAGGAACAGAAAAATTCGCCCACAAGGTAGGTAGAGAGGAGTACAATTAATTATCACTCTTTCCCATAGCACAGAGATATATTTTTACAAGTTATATTTTAAAATCTTATTATATTTTTGTGTATGTATATTTTTTTGTACAAGATTTAAAAAAAATTCTTATCAGTGTGGAAAGAGCCTTAGAGGACTAGTTGGAAGAGGTAAAATTCACTGTTCTTTAATTTTTAAAACTGTTAATGATTGATATAACACATTACAGACAAAGGCTTTGTTTTTTTTATTCTAAAGGTTCATTTTTCTTCAGGACTGTTTGGAGCTACATTCCTCGCAATTCTCGACAGAACGTACACATCTTTTGGCATGTGGAGGTTCATTCTGAGTTTCAACCCATTGTTCTCAGCAACGTCCGCTCTGATCCATCTCTTCACAGTCATGTACTTGGATGGAACGTGTTTGCAGTGCGGTTATAATTGTGTCAGTAAGTAAAGCAGTGTAAAAAATAAAGGTTTTATATGATAAAACCTGAGGGATCGTGTCGGTGGCTCAGTTGGTAGCGTCACGGACTTTGGGCCCAAAGCAGTGATGTTGTGGGTTCGGATCCTGGTCACTGCCATAAACATTTTATCAGTCCAGTTCACCTGTTATCAGTACTGGCTCACCCCTTGCTTTGCTGGATACCGTTCCACACACAGATCTGTAGTCAATGTAGACGGGCATAGTTGCATCATATGATATACAGTAGACTCCCTTTTATCTGGACTCCTTGGGACTGAGACCAGTGAGGATAACTGTTTTACTGGTTAAATTGATGTACCCTGAATCACTCGAAAACTAATCCAAATATTTTAGGCTACTTAAATTTGTGAGAGCATTGTATTTCACGATGGATCATGATGGAAAATGTCCACAATAGGTTGTTAAATTAAATACACTCGCCATCACTAACAAATTACTAAACAATGAACTTTCTTATGTTCTACAACTGGCTGCAGCTTACACATAGAAATGGGATAGGGAGAGCTTATACAATGTTTTATAAGTTAAAATTTGTCTAAATCTTTTTATTTCAGAAACCGACCCTTTCAATTTCATTGAGGCTGGTCAGAACTCGTCAAACCCTCATGGAATAAACAGTTTCCTCATCTTTCTCGTAGTTGACATATTTGTGTATTCGGGTCTTGTGCTGACAGTCGAATACGGAATGATGAAACGACTTAAGTTCCTCATCTCGACACTTTGGATAAAACATGCGGAAAACAATTACAAAAATGATGAGGATGTCAAACAGGAAAAAGAAGAGGTCCTTACATATAACAAGATTGGAGGTTAGTTTTGACTTTTATTTAGGTAGTTTGAAATATTAATTATTGTTCTTGTTACAGTTTTGGAACCAGGTGACATTGAAAAATTAATGGTCATCAGTGTGACTGTAATGGAGTAGATCGTTTGCTCTAATTGTCAAACACATATTGTGATTTTTGTGATTTTGGTTTTCCACGAAAAATACAGTAATTCCATCACTCTTTCAACAATCTTGTGCTTTGCCTTATGTATATATTTGACTAGTTGTAGAGCACAGGACTATGGTCCCCAAGATCCCAGGTTCAAATCCCACCAATCACCAATGGATTTTATCTGAGTAATAATTCAAGAACTTGAGACCTAGCCTGAAGTTATGTGAAAAATGATCTCAGGCTAGAGCCTATAGTGTCCTAGGACGTGAAGTGCGACATTTAAAAAAATCATAACATTCATGTAACAGTAGCGATTGTGGCTTTCCAAAGAGAATCTTTTTCCATCATTCTTTCAATTATCTCATGTTTAGTCCCATCTGATCATGTTTTGTTCGTGTTTATTTGCTATCACACTATCCAAAGGCTAGAGATCAGTACATTAGATTATGTAGAGAGATATTCTTTGCGTTGAAGACATCTTCCTTCACAACTCAAGCTCCCTCGGTTTTAAATGCTGTCAATGGCAGTAATATTTTTTTTCTTTGTCAAGGGTAAGTTTTGAACTTCTTGTACCTTGGTGCATTCAAGTAAGCCTGGGATTCCAACAAATAATCTTTAAAATCTAGGGCTCTTGTGCTCTGTTACACATAGGATATGTTATGTTTTGTTCCAAAACAATGCCATCAACATTTTCTTATTTACAGGTTTGCTCAAGAATACAGCCATCCTTCAAGTGTACAGTCTAGGCAAGAAGTACACCCGTGATACAACAGCCGTACACGATGTCACGTTTCAAGTGGGCAGAGGGGAATGTTTCGGACTGTTGGGTGTCAATGGGGCTGGCAAAACCACCACTTTCAAAATGCTCACAGGCGAGGAAATACCTGACAAAGGGGATGCCAATGTTTACCAATTGAGTCTCATAAAGAATAAATCCATGGTTAGTGAGTTTAACAAGTATTTATTTGCATGTTTTAATAGTTTTATATATTATTAAAAACTAGAAAAATCATGAATAAAACTTGAAAAGACTTGAAATTGATTTTTAAATATTTTGGAAACTTGCTGCTCTGAAATCTCTTTTTGTATATAATATACTACGTTTAACTTCTTAATTTTTAAGATTATCTCGTTCGCATGGCTCAATCACGTCCTGGTTGAAGTTTGTTCGCTACGCTCACTCACCTTTAGGTTGGAGCTCGTTCGCTACGCTCACTCACCTTTAGGTTGGAGCTCGTTCGCTACGCTAACTCGCCTCCAGGTTGAAGTTCGTTCGCTACGCTCACTCACCTTTTGGTTGCAAATTAGCTGTTGTCATAAATGTAAAAGAAATAATAGTGCTGCACCCTGTTGGTAATCCTTGTAACTTTAATGCTATTGAACATCATAGAACAGAACCAACTTGTTTAATTGAAACAGCTGTTAAGATTCAATAATTCCATTTCTCATAAGGTTAACATGGGAAACTCCAGAGCCACTGGGGCGGAGCCCGAAAGGATTTTTGAAATAAGAATATGCCTATATGTTAATCGGGAATGTGAGCTATCATCATGCCAAATTTCAGCCCAATCCGACCAGTATTTTTCGAGTTTACTTTTCCCATACACACATACACACATACAGCAACCACCTCTTTTTTATAATAGTATAGATAAACAAAAGTAAAAAGTGGCATGTGGCAGTGCACACCTCTGTACTGTACTGTTTATTCTTCAAAACAGGTTTATCAAAACACTACAGTTATATAACAAATCATTGTAAGCCTTTCTAATTTCAGTTTCTGTCCCATGTCGGCTACTGTCCTCAGTTTGACCCCCTCAGTTCTCTGTTGTCGGGCAAAGAGATGCTGAGAGTTTTTGCTCTGGTGAGAGGAATCCCTATGGAGGAGTGTGAATCCGAGGTGCACAAATGGATTCAAATACTTGGTAAGATAATGACAAACGTTTTGATGAATGAAAATAAAAATAGTAGAATGTGTGATATTTTGGAAACGAGGGGATTTAAAAAAATGTCTTACAGCTAAGAGTTCAAGGTTTTACCTATCATTTGATAGTAAAAATATATAAAATACTGTACTCAACCACTAACATTTGCTTTGAGTACCAGGGCCGGATTTAGCATTTTTGCGCCCCTAGGCCCAAATGATTTTCCGCCCCCTAGTCTGGTGTCACAGTTAGGTACTTTCCTTCAAACAGTTATTAAAAACTGTATCATGCCCATAGGCCTAAGTTAATTGCTTGAATACCACTCCTCGTTGGTATCATTGCAAGTTTTGTTTGTAGAATTGACTTGTTTAGCCTTTAAAAAATGCCGTCTTAAATACTTTTAGCAATTTTATGCTTTTAATAAATGCTCACGTTTTTGTCCGTGTGACTGAAACAAAACAACTCAACCCACTGACACTGAGCATTCCTGCAAAAAAAAAAACATGGCCACTGAATCCAATTCCAGGCCCGAAAAAAATGAATTCCATGCAGTACGTGATACCATAGATTAAACATACTCCTTTAGTAGATTTGTCATCATTTTGGATTAGCTGAAAACAATTCTTGATGAGTAATATTCCGGCCAACCGTACCGATCCTTAGGTCTGAGGAGAAAATGACAGCATTAATAGTGCTTTGGAGGGTATTGAATTTTTCTAAAATCTAATGCAAACTGAGATTAATATTTTTTGGTTGATTTTAAAGGGAAATTCAACGTTGTTTTATTCAACACAACTTATTATATATTTTAACTTGATCCTGCAGATTGTTGTAAACTAATCAAAAGATTAGTTAATATCTTTTGTTTTTTGAGGTTAGGGTGGTAACAATGTCTAGCACACATGCGCCCCTAATCACTCTGATGAATACTGCCGAGCCCGAGCCCGAGCCAGCATAAGTGAGTGGTAGTGCATTGGGAAATCCGGCCCTGTTGAGTACCAGTACGAAAAATGACACCCATGATATTTAACATGATATTGATACCTAACCAATGACTTTTAAAAGTTATGAGATGATTTGTGGACCCTACTCTCCTTGATCATTTGAGCCCATCGCCATGCTCAAATTGTGCATTTTAATAGGGTTCGATTCCAAGGCAAAACAAATAACGCAACACTCTTTCACTTTTCAAAGGTTATGTTTGTTTCAGACAGTTATTAGGTGAATAAAACTACTGATATGCAATAAATTAAATTGTTGCTTTTAGATCTACCCATTGTCTATTGTCTGAAAATGCTGAAGAAGGATTTACCTAAATCAATCATGGTTCAGTAATAAAAGTAGTATATTTAAAATCCATTTTCATAAACGGTTTTGTCTAATGTTTAAAATTTTACTGCGGTTAAAAATTCAACTGAAAGATAAGCATTTAAATCACATCAAACGCTATTAAAAAAAAGTTATTCAACATTATTGAACCATTAAAAGCAACCTCTAAAAATATCAAGCGTTATGGGGGTAGAAGCCCTAAAGGAAATTACCTTTTTAGTCACCATTCGTAGTCCCCTAGATCATAAGCTTTACAATGACACCTCATTCGTAAAAATCGGTTAAGTAGGATGGCTTAAAAAGGGATATTACAGAGAACCCCTTTAATTATTGTATTAAGTTTATAGATAGATGATCCTGGCTTACAGCTGATCATAGTCAGTAACAAAGCCACACAACTCATAACTACACACTCGTCTTGCATTCATATTTAACTTAAAATATCCACTCAAGTGGTGTGTTGTTTAGACTGTAAAGATAAAAATCCACAAATATTGATATAGAGAAAAATAAAATCTAAAGCAAACTTGTATGGCAGGAATGCAGGAGTACGCAGACAGACCCTGTGGCACGTACAGTGGGGGCAACAAGCGCAAGTTAAGCACTGCTATTGCGTTCATCGGGTCTCCTCCCGTCGTGTTCCTGGATGAACCCACCTCCGGAGTAGACCCCTTGTCCCGCAGGAGGTTGTGGGACATTGTGGCCGAGTGTCAGAGGACGGGACAGGCCATCGTGCTCACATCTCACAGGTTCAAACCTAGTTCCTACTGCAAGTTAATTAGAGTAGTCTCGATTATAAAATCTAAAACAGCCAAGGCAAGGTCAGATAAGTGGAAAGATCAGAGCACACAACTAATTAAAATACATTGTAAACATGTACAAAGAATTTAATATTGATAGTTTTGCTGTTGTCTAACCCCATTGACAAAAAGTTTGTTTACCATTTGGCATTTAGAGAACTAAATTTTTTTATGAGGTTGTCTGAGATCTGTGTAAGATGTGGTCATACCATGCAAAAATAGCACTTGATTATCATACCATTATCACTTGATAATCATAAATCTTTATTACTACATAATCAATCGTCTGCAGAAGGTTTGGTCGAATAACCAATGATTGGATAATCGAGACTCTACTGTAGCAAAATCCGGGACTAAACATTGACTTTTAGTCCAAAACAATATCATTTTGTAAACTAATGTGCTAGGGGTTACACACTCACGCAGGAATCTCCTGTGTTCTTGAAATGCTCACCTGCATATTGCAAAATAAATACACATCCAGTTACTTTGTACCATAGAAAAAAATGATAGTGTATAAACAAATATAGTTCAGCTGAAATTCAGCTAAACAAATACAATTAGAAACATCACATTTAATATTTATATAAGAGTTTGATGTCTGTTGTCATTTCAAATTTCAATCTATTTTGACTGTACACAGCGATTCAGTTGTAGCTTATTGTTATTGCCTTTAAAATGTTACCATGACCAACTCCCATGATCCTGTGCACATCATCACCGTCTTCCATGATGGTGGAAAATCCTTTTATCCCTTGCAGTCACAGAAACATCATCATTGTTTTCCGCGATCACAGCAAAACCCTTGAATATAATCATTAGCATCTTCCTCATTCGTGCAAAATACTGAACAGAACGCCTCCCCCGGTCACGGGAATGTTGCCACCATCTTATACTGTTAATACTGTTCTATGAAATGGTGACCATACAAAGTAGGTATTTAAGCCAAGTATGAATGGAGATGAGTGTAGGATGAGTGGCGCGATCTTGTAGTCTTGTTAGTGACTAAGGCCGACATTCCTTAGACACAGCTGTTAATTAATAGCCCATACAGCTAATGGCAACTAAGGGACCTACAGTTTATAGTGGAATCCGAACCACATTTTTGCCTTGGTAATTACGAATTGGTCTATTTATCAGGATAGTACTGCGGATAGTCGTAGTACTCACCCGTGCGGACGTTAATCCACACTGGGGAGTATCGCATCCACAGTGCATGCCTATAAATATCCACAATTCGTGGCCTTCCTAGTAGCTGGATTACAGGACGACGCCACCCGTCCCAGTCTTCTGTGATTGCGGAAAAATCCTGAACATGCTCACAGTAGAATCTTTGTAAACTTCATACTCACCCTGGACTCCAATCGGAGTCGTCAGTAGCGAAGGAGTTAATCTAATTCTTCTCTTTGTTCCCAGCATGGAGGAGTGTGAAGCGTTATGCTCTCGACTGACTATCATGGTCGGGGGCCGAATGAAGTGCATCGGTAGTCCGTTATATCTCAAACACAAATTCGGCCAAGGCTACACAATTAAGGTGAAAATGAGTCCAACAGTCAACCGGAAGGATTCTCTGAATTCACTCAAGGAAAACATGAAAACTCATTTCAAGAATTGTGTTCTCAAAGATGAACATTTGGTAAGGCTTTGCTTATTTAGATTTTACAAACTGTCTGTCACACCATGAGTATGATAGACAGCTTGCTGTGGATTTTATGACTAATCAACTCATGTCCTAATGTGACTTTAATCAGTTTTTGACTGAATACAATATTATTGCGGCTAGCGTTAAATCCCTGCTTCTACTGGAATATTTTACTAAATTTTTTCTACTAAAAATGTTTATTCAAATTGAATTAACATATAATTTAGAAACTATATTCTTACTCGTAACTTGAAATTTAAAAAAGGTTTTCTATTCCTAGCCTAATATTTATTTATACTAGATGCGGAATACCTCAAGCTATAACCACCTTCATTCATTAACTAATACATATAGTATTATCATTGACTATTGGATACTCGATAGTCAAATTTATCACTCAACATCAATCAACCAATCAATCAATCAACATAAAATGTTATCTGAGCCAGTTAACAGCTATCGTACAAGCCCTAAAACCTTGTCAGACACTTCTACTCCAATATCACTGTTTGAGCTGGAAATGAGTCAGTAGTTTAAAAATCTTCCGTGTCTAAAGAAGGCTACATTTTTATTTTTCATGTGAGCTACAAAATGGTTACTGAGCTACAAAGTTTGTGACTGCTAAATACTTCAAAAAATAATAAAGCTACAAAACATAGAAATCATTTTAAAACATTATTCAGTGATATGCAAGGACGGCCCACTAGGAGTAAAAAGAAAATCTTTAAGGTAAGCGTAGGTTGGCATTCACAACAATTTAATCGTCTTTGTTGGTAAAATACAATGCCGCAAACTTGTTACCTAGTGCAATCTCTGTATTACCAAAAACAGGTATTAACACAATTATCAATATCCATCCATGACCCAGAAGATGAAAAAACGCATAATAAAGTGTAAACTTGGTATTTTAGCCACTTATTCTTAAAAAGATTTTGGGCCTTGCCTACAGTTCCCTGCCACTTTTCCCACTCTTGCTTTCTCCCACTTAAGTCTTTTACATATCACTCTGTCGCTGCCATCAGATTATTTTCTGCCATTCTTAGAGCGTAGTTCCTCCGTTGGCAAAGTCAGTTATATGGTTTTAAGAGCTAAAACCTACTGGAATACCCCACTTTTTGTTCTAGGGTCTTCTTCACTACCACCTCCAAGACCACACGGAGCCTCTCGCCAAAATCTTCCAGAAGATGGAAGACTTGAAGAAGAAGCATACATTAATCGAAGACTATGATGTAAGTCCCACGACTTTGGAGGAGGTTTTCATGTCATTTGCTCGTCAGAGTGTTAAGGGCTGTGATTAAACATGTTTTTATGCATTTTACGATGAGATTAAGTTATTTGTTGCTACAACCTCTTCCTATTCCTATTAGTAATGGATACAAGACCTCAGTTTTTAGATGTTAATTTTTGGCCCATCAGTCAAGTCTCTTTTACCATTTGAGATGCCAAAAGCTATAATACAGATAAGATGGGATAAGCTAAATGTATGGGTTGAGAGTTCGAAAATAACTTCTATGAGCCACAACTGTAGACTTTTCATAACCTTTTATAAGTCAGTTATAATTTAATTAATTTAAACTTTGCCTCTTAAAGAAAGACATTTTTCATTTAATTTCATTGATTCCTTCATTTAATTTAATTACCTGTGGTAACAGCTTGTATGCAAGTGTTACGATTAAAATACATATAGTTTTCAAGACATATGTTTTAATGTGAACAAAATGTACTATGCCCAGTACTGAGATGGTACAGTTTGAATATTGAATTGCCTAATTTACAACTCAAATTTCCCAGATTCAAAGTAATCAGTTTTCTGTTCGCTAGAACCATGTCAAATGTAATTTTATTGATTGCTGTGACTATCAGCTCACCAATATTTAAGTAAAAATGGTGTCTAGGGCAAAGCACAACACTGCCCTCTTCGCTCTCATGTATAGTGTGATTGTTGACGGAAAGCGGCTGGCTGAAGGGTCGACCCTACTCACACACATGCAGGCATCAAACACACAGACGCAAGGGATTAGGACAGACGTGGGACGGACCATTGGCTTGCCGCGCGAGTCATCGCTGGCTCACGGAAATTAAACTATCAATTTTTTAATTTTACGTTTGTTATAAAATCTAGTAACACTTTTGACTTCAGCTCAAAATGCTTAGTAAAATGATACCAAACAAAATATATTTTTCTTACAAAGTGTAAAAGCTACGAATATTTTAACACGCTTTGATTAGCTAGCTACTTGTCATAATCATTTCGTGTTTGGACTCATTTTTCATTGAATTAAACAACAAATTTACTAACACTGACCATTTTACTGTATATATAACATCAAATGAATTGCAATTGAGGTACCATACAACAGATGTTATATTTCTACGTAGTGAATAGGGGATCGGGGCTTTCAGGCAATTAGGACGGTGGTGAGTGTGCGTGCGTGAGTCGGGTCCCTCGCAGGTAGAGCTGAGCTCCAGCCGCACTCCGGTAAAAATCAGACTATAGTACAATGCTCAATGCTCACGGAGAAAGACCCTGTCAGTGCTTAGTGCAATAGGAATTTCGGCACAGCTCTCACAATTTGGGCTCTTCCTTGCTCGTCCTTAGTATAGTTCCGACACTACATACCACAGCTAAAAGCGCACGGTTGTCCCATTAGCGTATTTTTCCTCTATCTTACTTCTCTGTACAAAAAGGTAGATGGATAAGGCAGAGAGAGTGTGGAGAGAAGTGAGATTCTAGATGAAATAAGAACTGTGATGAAATATGAAATAGGGAGGCCATCAAATAAAATTTTCTCAGGATAAACCCGAACCCAGTGATACTCGAAACAGAGAACACACTTGGAATAGCTCCATCAAAATTTGGCTTAAAACTAAAGTAAGCAACGCAAGGGTAAATCAAGAGGCTGACTGTGGTAAAAGAACTTTATTAAAACCTTGTGTTACAAGGATTTGTTTAGCACCTTACACTAATTCTGCACTAAGGCAGTCAACATAACAGGCGCAGATATATCAGTCTTACACGTACATGTCTCAGTCTTATCAGATACAACGAAGGTGCGTTACATACCTGAGGAACTAGCTACTAACAACAACACACCACAATATCTCACATTAAATGCGGTCAAGCGAGATATGTGTCAAGTTACCTACAGACAGACCACGCACACATACACAGTAATCCTCATGAGGTAGAGGCGGTTAGGAAAGCAACACGGACCTAAGAGAAATGACCAGCTCGTCAAATTACAACTATAGTGCCTAGCACTGGATAACTCCTTCTTACGCTAATAAAATTCATATAAACTCATAAACATTATTGCTTAACTAGATTAACTAATTGCACCGAAAGCAACGTGCATGATCAAATAGTCCTGTTAGTTTTGTGATTGTTAGATTTGTTGTAAGAATCGGTCTTTGAACGGATTGATAACATTAACACGGGGATGGTTGGTCACCAAATAAACGGTATTGTATAATCGACATAACTTAGAGCAGCGATTGTTTTCACCAACTTAGGAATACCAACTTATTGACTACGATAAACTTATTAACTGAGCTAAGCTCCAAAACGTAATATTTACAAGTAGGCCTACTTATTTTAATTCTAGATACAGAAAACTCAATTTTAACAAGTGCTTTCTTGAGAAAACACTGACTACGAAAATAGGGTACTGCGTTTTAAATAAAACAACTTGCTACTTGTATGGAAATGATAAATGAGACATTTTGATTTAAAATAATCACCTATAAATGTATAAAAACAATACTTTTTACTCATATTTTTGTTCAAAATTAATAACAATTCAGCTTTTCAAGTTGGTACATAATCAAATCAGTTTATAATTTAACATAAATAGAAAGCTTTCATAACCAAGTCACATATTAAGTATAAGGAACTGAATATTTTAAATCATAGTTTGTATGATTTTTCATTAACATATTGGCCATAATTTGTTTATTAGATAAAATGTTAAATCATGTTAGATTTTCAGACTGCTACGGTACAAACTCATAATATGCAGTTACGTTATGAAAATGTAAATAATCAAAATAAGAAATCAACCTTATTTCTTGTTGTATGTCGAGTCAAGCTCATGCATCTTCAAAACTATCCTTATGTTGTAATGTAAAGCATAGTGCAAAAGCATGATCCAGTTAAGACGTGAAATATAAACTACATTATTGCAAATTATTTTAGTTTAAAAGTGCTCACTCTTTTTTGTACGTTATATGAGTAAAACAATCCTTAAAAATACACAAACTCCTTCAAACATTTACAGCTTTGTTGAAAATTAATATTTGTTCAATGATAACGGTACACATTTAGGTATTGTATAAGGTGTTGGTAAACAGTGTAAACATTATATAAAACGTCCAATCCCATCGAAAGTAAATACCGGTAATGCAAAAAATGTGCACAGTATGTAAATCTGATATTGTATAAAAACTTGAACAGTGATGTCATAACGTCAATATTAAGTTGTATATCTTAAAGATCATTGAAAATCTTAAATTTAAAGTTAGTTATATAAAATGAAAGTTGATAAAATCACAATTCGTCAAGTACATACAATAAAACATCAAGTAGGTCTAAATAACATAAAATATAAATGGATCAACGCTCACAAATGGTGCATTAGTAATTCTTTAACAAAAGGTAAAATTTACAAAAAATTTATAAAACGAAATATAACTTGATATAATACACGATTCTTTATGACTAAGTATATGATTAATGTGAGGGTTTGAGATGATTGGTGTTTTAGCTAACAAACCGTAAGTATACGCTATGAGACGATATATTGTTCTAAAGTCCTTAACTATAAGCTTGCAGTTCTGCATTTGTCTTTAGGAAACATCCAAATACTAATATAAGTCCTCCGGACTCGTCAAAGATTCAATGGCACGTATCAGTCTTGCCACTCATTCAGTCTTATAAGTCTTAGAATAAATGCAAAATCACATTTTAGTTTTGGACTGTAACAAAACTAACTGCTACTTCTTTTTGTACTTAAAGACAAATCGTCTTAATGCACCCGAGGAACTATGCAATAATAATCGATTCTGTCTATAATTAGACAACTATAAATACAAATATCAAACTTTGTAAACAACAACACACACATGTACAAAGTACAAGAGCCAAACATTGTATGCGGCATCAGGTAATAAAAAAAACAGTATACATCACTTAAAATGAGCAACAATAAAACTACAATATACTTAAAGATTTCCAATTATTCACGGGTTGGAACGAGTAAATGTATGATCAGTGGTGAAGTCCAAATGCCCCTTCATTGCATGTAATTCAACTGAAGGAATGTGAACGCTACATAAAACTAAAGACTTTTTAAAATCACAGAATAACATACTAGGGTTATTTGAAAAGTAGGATCGGATTTACAATTTAATGACAAAATAGACACCAACTATTGGCATACCTTAGTAACTAAAGTACTAATACAACTAAAAGTCTCCCAATTTTTTTTTTTTTTTTATCAACAGCAAATGTGTAGGCTAGGCTATTTGGTTTGAAATTAAATCTTCTGGGATGTAGTCTTATTTTAACATTTTATGCACAATACTGTAGTAGATAGTTGTAGGAAACACTTTTACATTGGCAAAACTTTTTCTGGAAACCTCTATGATTATTACAAAAACGGAACCTACTTTTCAAATCACCCCCCAATAAAAGACTTTTGATTTAATCTACTTTCTTATTCATAGATAGGATAAGAAGCCACCATAGCATGGATTGTCTTAGACAACTGCTTCAATAAATTATACATCATATATACAAACTACACAATGAGATGGTCTGTTAGACAATCATTGTCAAAAACGTTCAGATTCCTTCAGCAAAGACATTTTGTCCTACAAGTAAAATAAGTTACTGAATAAAACCCGTAAGATTTAATATACCTGGATACGGTTGTTACCAAAGTCTACGACGACGATCTGGCCGTCGTTGGTGAGGCAGATCCCGCTAGGACGGTCGAGTTGTCCCTCCTCCTTCCCTACTTGGCCGAACTGCCACAGGAAGCTGCCGTTGTTCTCAAACACCTGGATACGATGGTTCCTGGAATCTGCTACAATGATGTGACCCTCTCTGTCCACAGCGACTCCTTGCGGACGCAGAAACTCCTTGGCTCCAGATCCTTCGCTTCCCAGAAATCTTGCATTGCGACAGTTGGGCTCAATGACAACCAATCTATGATTGTTGAAGTCAGTAACAATTACAGTTCCGTTTAATCCGAAGCAGACGCCTCTTGGAGAGTCAAAGTGCTTCCACATGGTAGAAGTGTTTTCGTACCCGTACTTGCTAATGAAAGTCCCGTCAGGAGTGAAGAGTTGAATTCTGTGATTTCTAGTGTCAGACACAACGATGCGGCCAGTAGGATCAACGTCGACATCCCACGGGTAGTTGAACTGTCCATTCTTGCTTCCCTTTTCACCGAATGTGTAGACAAAATCTCCTTCTGATGTAAATATTTGTATTCTGTGATTGTCTTTGTCAGCAACAACGATCCTGTTGGCCGGATCTGTGGACACTCCTGCTGGTCTATCAAATTCTCCTGGCTCGTTTCCGTGACGACCGAATTTGCGGAGGAATACTCCTTTACGGCTGAAGATCTGGATGCGGTTGTTACTGCGGTCCGCGATGATGATGTTATTGTTTCGGTCACAACAGACTCCCCACGGTCTACACAGCTCTCCATCTGCGTCTCCTTCTTTGCCAAACACCAACTGTACTTGCCCAGCTTCTGTGTAGTTTCGTCCGCTGCGAGCGTTCAGGTTGATATTGAACTGTGTCACAGAGACGTGCTTGTTGCGCAAAATGTTTTGAATGATCTGATTCCCGTCCAGTTTGGATCTGAAGTTCACTCCGAAGGTACTATCTCTTCTGGGCTCTACATCTGTGAACGAGAAAGGGCCGTCTGGTGGAGAGATGGCTGCCATCATAGTATCTGGTACGCCTAAAATGCTTTCACCGAGATGAGGTTTAGTGAGTGCAGGAAACCCTATTTCTTTGGTCATGGGAGTACACATGATACTGTCATTGATGGAAATGGAAACAGGTGGAAAAACTGAGGTCGATACGCTGCCCATCGCTCTTACAGCATTGAACAAAGCTTGTTCTGGAGGTAAAAACAATATATTGTCATCTTCCTGAGGTTGCATAGAGAGTTTCAGTTCTTTGAAGAGTTTCAATTCATTGACAGCTTGATTTTTAGCTTGCAAGAGATCGTAAGAAGAACCACCTTCTAGAGCGTCATTCAACAAATCATGTGTACGGCTACACCGGGTGAACGCCAGTCTGAATTCTTCTACTTGCTGACTCAAGAACTTTCCCTTCATGACTCTGAACTGTTCGACCCTGTTGAGCAGCTCCCGTTCCCTCTCTTCCAAAGCTAAATGAAACTTCTTCATAGTGTTTCTTATATCCCTGGACACTGCTGTAGCTCTGAGGTCAATGGTTTCAATCATTCTATTGGCTTTGTCCAAATTCTCTTTAGTGGTGATAGCGGTAGATCTCATGTCGTCCAACAGCTTGATGCTGAGTTTCCTTGCGTTGTCAAGGGCGTCTTGAAAGTATATGAAGGCGTGTCCGCTGTGTTCGTTGGAGACACATTCTCCGCAGATGGCCACATCGCACGTCTCACAGTACAGCCGAACTATTTCGGTTATGTGGAGCTCGCAGAAGAAATTGTTGCCTGGGGGTGAAATCGAACTGATGGGCTTGTAGAAAGTGGGACTGAAGTTGGCGTTGTGGTTGTCGTCGAAGCGCTGGATGTAGTGGTCTTTGGTCAGGCGGACTCTGTGATGGGCTCGCACGCAGCTGTCGCACAACGCTTCGTTGCAGTCACGACATCTGGATGTGACAACCGTTCCCTCGTCGCACACTCGACAGATGAAGCGAGGCGACTCTGCCTTGTCACTCAGCAGATCACTGATGAACAATTCCTCCTGCTCCAAGGAGTAGTGGCTGCTAATGCAAGAAGTCATGGAGCTCTCATCGGAAAATGCTGCTACTGCCATTTTCTGTAACAAGAAAAACAAGTCTTAAATGTTTGACTCAAGTAATCCTTAGTGAACAAACTATATTGAGTAAAACAATGGTGTTTTTAGTTCTGAAGTAGACATTCAGTCTATACGGATAATTCCTTATAGATCAGCTTTTAAATATTAAAAAGGAGCACCGTTTATTGAGCCACTTCCATATATATTACTAACTAAAATTCAATTAACTCAATCAGTCAGTAGATTGCTGTTAGTTTCAATTTTAGCAGCAACATGTTTAGTTATTGTGTGTGATTTCGATGATGCAGCGTATGTGGTAGTCGCATTGCTTACGAAGCTGAAGAAGATATGGATGAAGGAGTGGTTGAAAAAAGGAGTGACTTTACTCATGAAAGACTGCTGAATTGGCTTAAAGAACCGTGTGACATTAAACAATTTCTCAGATCAGATACAGAATCTAACCTACAATTCACAAAGTTGAAGCTGTTAAAAACACAATACAGTATATTAATACAAAAACTCGAGTAGATGAACTAGCATACTGATACTGGCAACACTACCTATACACATTAAATATTTTGAAGATTGTACAATAATTTTCAAGAATTTTTGTATACTCTCAATATATAACACAATCAGATTTTCACCAACAATATAGCCCACAAAAGAGAAATAATATTGACCGTGACTCATGAATACACAACTACAAAACAACCTCCACTGCAGCAAACCTGTACACTAAGCGAATTTCCATTTACCTGATTCGTTTTCCCTCAAAATATTTTCTTAAACATGTTACATTCATTTCCTAAATACAATAACATTAGTTAGGCCTACTAGTTTTTTATTGAATCTTAAAATCATGTTTAATGGATTTGTGTACCATTGAGTCATATTTTATCAAATTGTATTTTTTTCAAATTTAATTTCATCCTATTTTAATAGAACTGTTCCTGTTTCCTATTATCTTTGGATACATTGATTATTTTGACAATGTACAGCCCACAATAATCATAAAGTTTGAAAATTCGACATTATTTCCATTTATTCTGACTTCGTTTATATCTGCAAACTCATCCGTTTGAGCATTTGATTTAAATAAAATTCTACAAAACTGCCATGAGGGGATGAGGCAAGTCAAGATAATTTTATACCAACACAATCTCACGATGAAAATATGTGGGAATTGCGAAAGTACAAGTGTTGTGGTACATACTTTACCTGAGTTAAGTTTTAGAGTGTTTAAGAGTGGTACAATAAATATAATTACAGTGGTAAGTGTATTTTTCTATAGCAACAACAATTTGAAACGCCTTTAGTAAATCATCCTGTTGGTAAACAGACTTTTCCTAGAACTCCTGAGAACGAAGTGTGGGTGAGGGTAGAGCGAGAGAGAGGGCAAACAAAGATGGTGTGAGTGACGGGCGAATGGAAAAATACAGAAAATGTGGGACGAGGGTATTTATAGACAGGGCTGGGGCAGGTACCATGGGGCAAAAAACGGGGCCTGGCCTTGGGCTCGAACACAAGTGCAACTCAAAACAGGCAACAAGAACTGCCATCTTCTACCCTCGCACAAGGCAGGAGACGTTTTTAAACTTTCACGAGGAAAAACGTTCTCATCTCTTGCTGAACCAGAACCGCCCTAACGAATATACTCGAGATAATACATCAGTGGTACAGTCGAACCCCGTTAGTAAGAATCTCGGTAAAACTAATTCCTCGATAAGACGATTTTTGTTTAAATCAGCTTGAAACTTTCATGAAGGTCTATGATAAAACCTCTATACAACGTAGTAATTAAGTTAAAAACCTCCATAAGGCGAATATGTTTGTGACATGGGCTACCGATTAACTTCAATACAACTAATATTCATACACTAAATCTCTACAAGACGAATGCGACCTCTATAAGACGAATTTTTAATGATCTTAACCTACCTAGTACTTAGTTTTCAAAACAAACAGAAGCTTGTCTCAACATGAAACCCCAACCTTCCCTCTTCCATCCTCGGTCATTGTTTGGCAAGTGTATACGAAAGAAACTTCTACAAGACTAATAACGGCAGTATTAAACGTCGATAAAACGAACCTTTTTGAATACCTCGATAGTACGATACTCCCCTTACCCCTTGAAATTCGTCTTTTAGAGGTCCTACAGTATATATTTACGGTGGTTTTAGTGTAGAAAATCATATTTTAATAGATATATTTGGTGTTAAAATGTGTATATTCAATACTAGTATTAGAGGCTAGATAAGTAAACAATACAAATTACTTTCTTGTACGGTAGGCAATTATTTCATGATATTTTAATTTAAGAGGGAATTATTTCCCAATAAAAGCTCTGCTTATATTGGTCAACTTGAAATTCACTATTTTTCTCTCCTTGAGTAATCACACTACTATAAAATATGTAAAATGTTAAACGTGCTAAACAAACCCAGCTTACTGAGATACCTGGTGTCCTCAAATTAAAAGAAATACATGTGATATAATAATTAGTTAATTGAGTGCCAGTCTACTAAAGATCTTAAAACACAGCCCAATTGGTTATATGTAATACTGTATAGGCCTAATGCAGACCGCTTAAGAGTCTTCCGTAGTGGAAGCCATGTTGTATTTCTTCCCCATAAGAACAATGTTAAACATTACATCATTTGTGGACACGTAACGGCGTTATTTGTTAAGATATAGCTTTGAAATTTATAATTTGTATTTTTAACATAATAGACTCGTGACTGAGGTTTTTGAATTTCGAAAATCCATTTTCATTTCCTTTCAATAATTAGCTTAATTTGAAGCTAATTAATAATCAATTATTCATTATAAAAATTAAAAATTGTGAAATAAAAAACGCCAATCTCTAGAGGACCGCAATTCCTTAAATTTAACTCCTTATCCATAATTATATGACAATTTGCTGATGAGATATTTGGACCCAAAGTTAACATTGTTCTTATGGGGAAGAAATCCAACATGGCTTCCACTACGGAAGACTCTTAAGAGTGTCAGGAGTGACAGAACCGAATGGTTCAAATCACTGAGTTTGGACCGTTCCCTTTCAACAAACGTGAAAAATGTCATATCGATGCATCAGCGTAGGATGGAACAAGAATGGTCTTTTCCCGTTATTTTACTAGTGTCACAGACTGTACTGTCACCATAGCATATTGGGAGGATTGGGAGGTCAATACTAGTGTAGACGACGCCACTGGTGCAAGCTGTGCACAAGGAAAACGCAGCATTTCCTAGAAGTTCTGACAAGTCCCGCTTTCTAAAAGGGTGTGTAACCCCACAACCTTAGGCCTGTTTCACATCTACCCGGCTGCCGGGTGCCGGGTGTCGTTTAACCGGCAATGGGGTGAAGAAGTATATGGCCCCGTTCACACATGCACGGCATGTGTCGTGACCGGTTAATCACTTGCCCGGCTGCCGGGTACTAGTCGAGGGATGCCGGGTGCCCCCTCGGCGAAGGCCGGCTGCCGGTGTCGGTAAAACAGGCCGGCTGGAGTAGTGGGTATAGTGGCCAAATGTGACTGTTCACATACAACCGGCACCTGCCGTCTGTCGGGTGCACCAAATGTACTTTTAGTTCAGTTGTTTGTTGTTATTGTGTATTAATTTTGGGTATTTGTTTGCAAAGTTTTGGTCATGTCGGAAATAGACCATGAACTACTTATCAATTTAGTTCAAGAGCAGAATTATTTGAATTCAATTGAATTTTTACTCAATTATAATTTTCATTTATTTTATTTTATTACATAACATTGAATTGAATTTCACTCAAATTCAAACAGAATTAAATTTTAAAAAATCCAAATATAAATACAGTTGCAATAAAGGTTATTTCAAAGTAACATTACAATTGCTCTATTTCCAAAAAAAAATTCTTATTTCGTTCTATTTCCATCCCTACGACACACAAGTTTCACAAGCTTGAGTAACTGCCGGAGTGCCGGTGTCGGCGTAATGTGAAAGGTACACTCGTGCCGGTGCCGGCTAGAAGTCGGGTTAACGGCATGCCGGGTAGAAGCCGGGTAGATGTGAAACGAGCCTTTACGCGGAATCGTCTTAAGTTTCCTCGATTTTTACTTTGAAATATTTACATTGTTTCCGTTTTGACAAAATCCTATAATAATTGAGTGCGGTACAATATACAATACAATTGGCTGCGGTATAATACAATTGTACATAATGTTCAACCAGAATCTGACACAAGTCTCCTTAATATTTACTTTGAAATATTTACATTAAGATTCCGTCTTGACAAAATTCTACGATAAATAAATTGGTGCGGTACATAATGTTCAACCAGAATCTGTCACTTCCTGCAGTTACTTGTTAACATTTATTTAGGCCTATTGATGGTCATAATGAAAAATACGAAGAAAATAATAATAGGACCACTGTGTTGCTACTGTTCTTGGCATTGTGTTTAGCATACTTGAGAAAGTATTTGAAGATATTTTTTTTCTAAATTAGAACACGCTCCAAACTAAATCCATTGCAATTAATTATCTACTGTTTATCATTCGCACCACAATTTGCCCTCTATTTTTCCCTATTTTAATTCCGAGTAAATCGACGCACTGGGGGTTATTAGTTCATTTTACACATCGCAGTTGCGTTTAATCTGATTATTTTCAAGATTGTACGGAAACTGCGCAAATAGAATATTTCGTTCACATATCTCACAAAACTACACAAAAAATCATGGATTTGTCATTGAATTATAGTTTGATCAAAACTATAGAAACTATCGTGCATCTCAACACTTCCCTTCCACCCAAACTAAAGAACAACAGTTTCCTGCAATAACTTTTGTTAACATTTACTTATTGATGGTCATAATGAAAATACGAAATAATAATAGGACCACTGTGTAGATACTATTCTTGGCATTGAAGTGTACATCCTTCCATCCCTAAGCTAATCCGAAGTTCTATTTGATCACCGAATAAATAGTAGACAACCAGTAATTTTCCACGATAAATATTGCCCCAATTCCTAACAAATAG